TGATTTGCTTGGATTGGACTAGTGTTAATGTGCTCAGCAAGTAGCTAGAATGTGCTTTGTTTGTTTATCGGTTAGAGAGCAACTCTTAAAGGAATTGAGGTGTAGCTTGTGCTAGGTGATGCAGAACAATGAGATATTTCAAAAAATATCAGTAAAGATATGTATCCAAACTTAATACATATAATTTGTTGTGCATGGAGAAAGAGAGGATAATATACATATAACACATTTTGTATGGATTTCATAATGAACTCAACATGCTGTCCTGCTATGATTAAGAAATTAGATGTAGTTGCTATTTAAATGATTAAGAGCATTTTCTTAGATACTTTCCACTTGCTTTTATGATTAATAGGGTTTATTCAATTTTACTATCCTAATTAGATACCAATTTTGTAAAAATGCTCAGAAGTTATTTTGGGCAGCTTTATCATTGAGCATATAGGTGTCTGTTTTATCCTATTAGATTTATATACTGTGTGGTTAATTCTATTCTTTTTGGAAATTAAACTTGGTAGTCAAATCCACAGACCCCTCTCTTCCCCCTGCACCCAGGCCACAAAACCCAAGCATTTGCATTTTTGTTTTTTGCTTCACTAAATTTTTGTGGTTAATGTGTTGTTTGTTATTGTGATGGAATCAGCTGCTTAGTTATTGTTCACTGGGGGTGAGAATCAAATTCACACTTTTTTTCTTTTCATTACTTCTGGAACTCTCAATCTTTCTGCAGTATCCCAGAGCTTCGGAAGAGCATGTCCCACTATCATCTCGCCTTGGAGCTGCATCTTCCCTCTCTACGGGACTATTGGTTGATACAAACCTTGACACATCAGTCCCTGATGCTTATAGGCCACCTCCTCCACCTATGCCATTTGATGTGGCTCCAGGACGTCCTCAAACTCCAGTAGGGGCTCAGGAAACTTTCAGCAATAAGGATGATGCAGCAGAACAAACAGCAAATTCTGGTTCTGTTCAAGAAACAACTGGCATCAATACTCTAGAAATTTCAGCTAAGTGTGAAGACATAAAGGAGTCAGACTGTAAAGCACAAAATAATAATATAGAATTTGATTCAGCAAAGGAGCTAGATGTTGAGCTCTCAAAGTCAGTTGAACCTATTGTTTCAGCAACAGAGGAGGAGGATGTCTGTCCCATCTGTCTGGAAGGTAATGCTCTTTTTACAATTTTATTTCATCCCTTGTATGAGCTTCTTATGATGATTTAATATGGTTATTCAGCTGCATTCCCTTTTTTTCCTTCTCCCTGTGTGCATGCGCACTGGTAGTGATGCAAATCTTTAACTTTCCCTGCCTATCTGTAGAGTATGATGCAGAGAATCCTAAAATTACTACGAAATGTGAGCACCATTTTCATCTTGCTTGCATTCTTGAATGGATGGAAAGAAGCGAAACCTGTCCTGTTTGTGATAAGGTTTGCCTTCTGAAGTTTATCCTTTGGTAATGTAATTAGAAGAATCTTTTAGCATGCTTGGTGACAACACAGTTCCGATTTCTCTTCATGCAGGAGATGATAATTGACCCTCCTATTGATTAGTAGCGATGCTGAAACTTCAACCTCGGTCAACTTCTATGCTGTTTGAATTAAGTTTGAGAAGCAAAATTTACAAATGCACAAATTTGAGTCGTTTGTGTCCATTTTCCATTGGTTGGCACAGTTTTTGCTGCAGATGTTTCTTTTACTTTCTGAAGAGTCGATGCCCGTTTCGATGCATATTGTGTTTGTGCCTCAAGTACTGCATACATAAAAAAATAAAAAAAAAACGAATGAGAACAAAAAGGGACAGGGTTTGGATGCGAAAAAAAAAAAAGATATGTGCATTGCATTCAATTTATATGGTAAATTAGTGTTGGCGATATAATGGCTAAATTTGCTTAATAGGGTGCATGTCCAAAGATTTTGTTGTTGATGGGCTTTCCCTTCCTCCCCTACTCCTCCCCCTCTGTCCCCTAGTATAGATTTTATGCAATTTACAAACTGAAACAGCATTTTTCACTAGTCAGTTGCTTCTTGTTTGTTAGATTATTTATGTAAATAGTACAAATCTGATTTTCACATGAAGGTTTGGTTTTTGTTGACTTTAGAGATTAATGATTTGCACAACTCATTTCAAAGCATTCTGTTTTCTAGTGATTGCTATTCTTTTGGCAGTATAAACTATTAAGGGTTGGTTTTTGTAATTACTTATTAGTTAATTATAATTTATATGTATCTTTTAAATATATCCATGAAATTGTTGGTTGATTTCTATTTCTAAAAGAACCCAAAAAGCACGTGGCTGTATATATATAACCCATGTTCGTCATCCTATTATAAAACCATGTGCAGATACAATAGGATAGGATTTGACATCTCATCCTCCTTCAAGTTCAACCCTACCTATTCATGGAAACGATACTCGTCTCCAATTTTCATGTCATAACAACATAACCTCAACTGCCAATATTTGAACAAATGATGCCTAGTCGAGATGGCTAAGTCAATATCTTTCAGATTATGATGGACTTGCTACATTTGTGATTGTAGCTTTAAGTCAGATTGAAATATATATTCTTAAGATTTTTTCCATTGTTTCCTTAACCAATTAACGTAAAATTCTACTGATGATGAGAGTGAGAGTTATTGAGTTTAAAGTTATTTGAGTTTAGAGTTTTCTCTGTTATAAAAGTTATTCTGAATTTGATGAATGTTATTTAAAAAGAAGCTGGAGAATTGCTCTTGTCGTATAGTTCATAATATTTTATTTTTTGTCTATTTGTTCTCTCATTAATAAAAAACAAAATTTCATTAAATTTAATTATTCAAAAAATAAATTATTAAGCTACATACTAAATAATAATTAATTTTAAAAATATTTTAAGCTACATATTGATCTGTAATTAATTTTTTGCATCTTCATTTCAATCATGTGAAATTACAACTTTCAATTTTTTTATAGGTCGACATGAATCAATCAAATAACTCCCTATGAAAATTATTGGAAAGAGAGAGCTCAGTCCATCTATTTGCTTTCTTGTAAATTTAAAAAATAAAAAATAAAACTTGTGACATAATTTAAGTGAATAAAAACAATTTTTTATGAAGAAGAGTAATTCCCAATCTCAAAAACAAAAACAAAAAGAAACTAAAATGAAGAGTAGTAAACTAAATTTGACATTAAAACATGACTCTATTATAAATTTCTGAGTAATTATTTTTCCTTTTAAAAGAATCTCATTCCTGTTATATCAAAATATTATGGAAAATTTTAATCAATTAATTCATTTTCATACCATTTTGAAACACTGCCAATTATTATAAAATGTTCTCATAATTAGGAGAATAGGGAGGAAAATTATGAACGTAATTCTCAGAAAAATAGACTTTTATGAACTTTTTAAGAATACAGACCTCTAGTTAATATAGGACATTCACTAATTTCATAATATATATATGCTATATTAGTTATTTTATTTTCAAAAACAAAAAGTCTATTCGAAAAATAATTTAGTTTTGGATGCTACTTTTCTGTGATGATATTATCTTTGAAAAATATGTTTCTAATAATTTATTTTTTTGTTATTTTGATTGTAATATTAAAAATTAATTAAAAATATTTTAAATTTATAATTACAAAACTATAAACATTTCATATTTGAAATTTTATTATTAAATATGCAAAAAAATATACAGTATCGGTCATTAGTATTTGGTAGTAATCATTGATGAGTCTGTAAAGAATAATGGTAGCCAGTGGCAGATAGTGATTAACAACATTTGATAACGGTAGCCCGTAGCAGACAGTGATTAACAACGATTGATAACGGTGGCGGTGACTATAAATAATATATAAATTAATATAGATGTGTATTTTATAAGATTATAATAAATTTATTAATGTTAGAAAATTATTTTCCTATTTGTTTTTTTTAACGGTAAAAATATTTTTTCATTAATTGATTTTTCTCAACAACCCAAATATTAGAAGATGTAAAAAATAAAATTTAAGTAAATTGTTTGTTCCCTTCGAAAAAAAAAAGGAAATTATTTTTGGAAAACAAACCGAACATTAATTGGTTTTTCGTAGTCAAATTGAAGAAAATAAAAAAAAAAAAAAAGAATTTCGATGTATTAACGAGAATTAAACATAAAAAAATTTTAAAAGACCTTCACTGGTTTTCTATGATTCTATTTATAAAGTTGAGATTTTTATTGTTGGTTCCTGCGTTAATTACAATTGCTTGAGACCCTAATCATAAATCTTCTCTGTTGTGTCTCTCTGTGTTCAATTCAGATCCCAGTCCAATATTCTGCAATTCCTCTGGCTGGCACCCACTATTTTTTATTTTTATTTTTATTTTTTTCAAGAATCCAAAACCCTCTCCGAGCTTAATTGTGGGATGTCCTCTGTCTATCGCTCTCGTGTTGTCCTCTTTGTTGTAACATAAATTTGGCGGCTCTGCAAGGCACGGACCCCAGAAAAGCAAATTCAATTCAAGACCCAGAAAATGAGGTAAAACGGAACAGGCTAAAGCTTTGGCAACTTTCTTCCTTCTTTTATTACTATTCCATGCCATGCCATGCCCAATTTCAAGATTTATGTCAACTTTCTTAGTTCTGTTTTAGCTATTCGTTTAGTGATTTTTCTTGCTTGTATCAACTTCTGAGCTTCTGAACGCGGAATAATAAAAGAAAGTAACTTAGTGCTTTTTATTTGTGATTATAAGGGCATTGAGCTAAGAAGGCAAACAAATTAAAATAAATAAATATATTAAAGGTTCATGGCAGGATGGTCGATGTTAACAAATGGGTCTTGCTCGGATATCATCAATGGACACAAGGGTAATGTTTGTTGCTCTGATGTTACTCATGCTGTGAAGAATAGTAACGTTGTTGGCGAGTCTGATGAAGATTCTGAAGTTAAACTAAGATGCCTGTTTGATCAGGTTCTTTCAGTTTTTTCCAATGAGGCAGCTTCTTGGGGGTGCATTAGGCCCATTCCTACATTGCTTGGTAATGGGGAATCATTGGATTTGTTTAAACTTTTTCGGTTGGTGAGAAAAAGAGGTGGGTTTGATATGGTGAATGGTTTCTGGTACTTTGTGGTTAAAGAGCTTGGGTTGGATCTTGCTGCTTCAGCTTCAGTGAAATTAATTTATTTTAAGTACTTGTATAAGTTGGAAAGACGGTTGAAGGGAAGAAGCTATAGAGATGGGAGATTGGGAAATGGGCAATGTCAAACTGATGAAAACGTTAGTTGTTTATCCGTGGAGTTGGAATTAGAGAAAGAGTTTATACGTTTGTTATCACGTGGATATAAGAAGAGGAAGGATGGTAAATATAAGAAAAATGGAAAGAATACCAATATGGTCGTTTTGAACAGTAAAACAGGCTTGTTGGATACCAAAAATGTACATGAAGTAAGCAATGGTGTTGGAAATAGGCATATTGATGCTGACGAAAAAATTCGTGATTGCAAGGAAAAGTATTCTGATGATGATGATGTTGATGATGTTGTGATTTTGGATCCCAGTATCGGCAGGAAAATATTTAATCCACGGAAAAGAAAACGAGAACCACTATCAAGAATGCTGGACTGGGTGATCCAAATTGCAAAATGTCCTGATGATTCTTCAGTTGGAGAGATACCACCATTATCCAAATTGAAGGAACATAAAGGTGGTGAATTATGGGCCCAGGTCATCAGGGCTCGGGATGCTCTTATGCGAAGAAAGCAAATTGAATCAAAATCCAAACGATCCCTTTTGCAGGTCTAGTTGTGCTTTTCTTATGTTTTTTTTTCCTCTTCAATATTTTAGTTCTGTTTTGCAACAGTTATTTTGTAGCTAAAGCCATTGGTGGAGCTAGAACTAGAAATCTAATTTTGGGAGGGGCCAAAAGTATTTTAAAAAGCAACTTTTTTGTATCTCCATGCAATGTGTTCTTCTTTTTCTGGTAACTCAATAAGGAGAGGGAAAAAAAGAAGAAAATAGAAGAGGAGAGAAGGGGATTGAATCAAATATAGTAAACTTAGCAAATAACAGAAAAAAAGAAACAAATTGACATTTTAAAATGATTTTACTTGGTTCTTTTCTTTTTTATGTAAGTTTTGATAATGTTTTTTCCCCCTCTGTATTTCAATAAATATTTGCACTTACATGGTAGAACTAAAAATACATACCTATGAAACTGGTGGTCACGTTCCAGTTTGAAATATTTTGAATGATAAAACTAATTTAATTTTGTTATATTGACAATCGATACTATAGATGACTAGGTTTTAAGATTTTCAATGTAATCAAGATATATTGTCTTTTGTCATTCACATATTTCTCATTAAACTTATATTTCATTTGGGAGGAGGGTTATAGTTGTAGAATTTCTAAAGGGCTTTTGGAGGGACATGGGTACTCCTGCGGTTCAACGACTGTCTAAATCTGCATCTTTTTCCTGTGCCTGAGGTTCTTTCTTTGCATTTTGGTATGGAGTACTAGCACTTGTACATCTCACTTGCATAGGTTAGTTTTTACGATTGTCAATGTTTTCTTGTTGCCTAGATTTATTAGCCAACAGCCAAGACTATTGCTTTTTAATTATTTAGTACTGATTAGAGTCAACATCTAGCAGAAATATTTTATCTTATTGAGGTGCTAAAAGTATAACTAACATACACCGTATCATATGATCCATATCTCATCTTCTATGGCAAACTTATTGACTTTATTTGTGTCTAAAGCTCTGCCTTTGCCTTTGAAAACCTAGGTAGCCCACTTGATTAAACCAATAAGAGGCATGAGCATCCATACTGATAAATGAAGTCAACTCACAAGAAAGAACAAGAATGGCACACATGCTTTGTATGTATTACACACACACACACACACACACACACGTGCATGCATGAACTCAAGTATACCAGTAAAATATAACGAAATGTAATTATTGCAATTTGCTATTACCCTTTTGAATTGTTGTTCAGGGTCATTGGTTCCAAATATAAGATAATTTTTGTTCCAAAGTAACTTGAGACTTAAATTGATTTGGAATATATATTTTCATTGTGGAGTTTGTAGTTACATTGCCCCACTTCCTTTTGCTAACCGCTAACTACAAAGATAGCAATTCCACGAACCGATGCCTATTCTGATTAAGCAATCTATACAAGCTGTAAATAAGCCTATTCTATTTAGATAGTATCAAGATACATTTTATTTTGCATTTTATGCAAGTTGCAGATCATTTGAAAACTTGATTATGATGAGTAGTGGTGGTAAAACCTTGTAAATGCCCAAAAGCACATACATGCAATTTAAATAGGCTCATTATAGATGCATACGAGAAATAGACTTTTAGAGGTGCTATATCTTAGGTAATAAGTAGGTGTTGCCTTGCATGTACATTAGCACAAGTCTTTCAAATACATTTTTGAAATGTGCTTTAATGCTTTAATTGGCCTTCTCTTCATATAGAGATTGGAATTCCGCAAGCATTATATTTTGTAAGGACACCATTCAGTTCTGCCGTCTCATTGTAGAAGCACAGCTTGTTAATAATATTAATTTCTTTGTCATTTTTATCATCTTCCATTCCTTGCTTTTTCATCATGTTTGTGGCAAAAAAGAATTTGTAATTTGAATTTTTTTTGTCTAGTTAGTGAGAATACCAAGTCCATTATTCAAATGGAAAAATATAAATAAAATGATTCTTTCAATATATTTTAAATTATAAGATACCTGGTTGTTGACTTAAAAAATTTCACTGTATGCAGTCGTCATGTCCTCCATTATTTATAAAAATTTTTAAAATCTATGAAAAATTTTTGTTTCATGAAATTTTCTACGCTTTGGCTTGGTTTAAGATTGGATATGTTACATGTCCTTAGTCATATTTATAATCTTCAACTTAGATTTTACATAACTCTGTGTTATCCATCTTGTTTTAATCCTAAAGTTGACAATCCTCATCTTTGTGTCTAACATAAGTGTATAGATTTCAAAAAGGGTATATTTAGCGATTGAAAAAGTAGTCCATTTTAATTAATTGTTGTCCTTCTTGTGCTCTTATGAAAACAATTTGAACTTGGTACAGAACAATCAAAAGATGCATCCATCCATGTATGAGGATGTTTCCCCTCTTAGTGACCAGTCTGCAGAGAGGTTAAGGTGCAGTGAGCGGCTTCCTGCTTTGGTGAAACCTCGTTTCTGCTCTTGTTGCAATCCATGTTCATCTCCTCTAAGTAAATTGACTAGTCCTCCCAAGACAGAGTCTGAGAGTGGTCCAAAGGAGCAACCGCTTGTGCCTGATGATTTATCTGCTGCAAATACAACGCTCAACCCATCTGGGGATGAACATATCCAGAGGCATGCCTTAGTGGGTCCTCGTTTTCAAGCTGAAGTCCCTAAATGGACTGGTAAAGTTTCTGAGAGTGACCCTAAATGGCTAGGCACACAAGTATGGCCTCTGGCAAATGGAGACTGTAATTCCCCATTTGAAACAGATTCTATTGGTAAGGGAAGACCCAGTACATGTGGCTGTCAGCTTCCTGGCTCTGTTGAATGTGTCAGATTTCACATTGCGGAAAACAGAATGAAATTGAAACTTGAACTAGGCCATGTGTTCTATCGTTGGAGATTTGATCGCATGGGTGAGGAAATTTCACTTGGATGGACTGCTGCAGAAGAAAAGAGATTTAAGGATATGGTGAGATTTAATCCACCATCCCTAGACAAGTGCTTCTGGGATGATTCTCGAAAGTATTTTCCTAGAAAGCCAAAGGAAGAGCTGGTTAGTTATTACTTCAATGTCTTTCTTGTTCAGCGCAGAAGTTACCAGAACCGTGTGACTCCAAAACAAATAGATAGCGACGATGATGAATCAGAATTTGGATCCTTGGGTGCCGCTTATGGTCATAAAGCGCTGATGGTACCAATTGGCACCGACACGTTGGTATGTTCGGAGAATAAACAGTGCACTGATTTCAAGTAGAAAGGATACAGTTTAAGAATTTTTCACTCTGTTTTGAACCTTGATGGTTTTACAACCCTTGATCAAAGTTCATACCTGTTCTTTTGTTACACATCAGTAATGCATCATTTGATGCCCCAGATAATTTTGACAGGATTAGTGATTCACATTTGATACTGATGCAATTATGAAAAGGTGCAAAAATGGAATTGGAGCCAGCCAAGCCATGGGGCGATTTCGGCTGGCTCTACGAAGAGGGAATTTGCATTCTGTGCTAAACTTCTCCATTCTTAGTCATCCATCGAGTTATCTTGAACTATGCACCTGCTCAACATCAGGTTGGAAGCTGTGCTACTGATTCAGATGGCAGCATTCTATTGAACGTGGTCGTGTGCTGGGTGAACAACTCGGGTGAGGAAAATCGGGGTGGTGGGAGGTAGAGAGAGAGAGAGAGAGAGAGAGAGAGAGAGAGAGAGCTAGACACAGACGGCCGTTTCTTTCAAGTTTGTAATTTATTTGTTTTCATAAGGCTTGCCATTGCCAATTCTTCATATCATGTTTCAAGGTCTCAGGGATACTTGTTTTGGCAATGGCCATTTTGCTTCTCGTGTATTAGTTTGTTGTTTTGCTCCTGAAGTTCTAGTCTTCTAGATGAAGAAGATCAATACACAAGAAAAGGAAGTGGTTCTCAGTCTTGTTACTGTGCTTATGTCCAAAATCAAATCAAATTTCTAAACAAAGAAAAAGAAAGTTAGCAATGGCTTTAAACAATTTAGGATAAGGTTTTGTATTAATCATCTTTTCTGAATGGAAAAATTTAAGAAAGAAAAATGAGAATTTTGAAATGATCAAGAACCTGTTATAATCAAGAAATTGAAGATACTTTCTTGTATAGGGGCTTAAAAAAAAAAAAAAACAAAATAACAAGAAAGGTATAATGCCACTTCCATATAATTACTATATACAAAGAAAAGGATTGCGTGCCGGATGGGATGGGACGATGATGATAGGGCATTATTGAGTACCTTTAGCCAATCTTGTTTAATGCTACAAATATTATAATTAAGAAATATAAATATATAAACTGTTTAGAATTGACGGGCTAATTTCTCTCGAGATATCGGAGACCGGTTATGCCATATGTCAAAGTGAGTTTATAAGTAGTCAATACCTGTATTACAAAGCTGTTGAAATAGTAAGCCTATTCTATTTAGATTTTCAGTATCAATAGCATTACATGTTTTAATTGATAGTGCATTTTACTGGCAAGTTTTCGCAGAAAGTCATTCTTTTTGGAAATACCCTTTGATTATGGAAGTAATGCCTATCTAATTAGTGGGGTGGTGAAAATAACCTTGTAAATTTGCGCTACATAAAGCATCATCTATGCAATTTTATAGTAATAGGCCCTCATTAATAGATTGCATATACGAGATAATTAGTACTTTTTAGATTAGTTCGCTAGTATTCGTCAATTATGGGTAATATAGTACGGTGTTGCCTGTGGCTGACATATGCCAGTTTACGGATCATAGTCACATTCAAAGTTCTTTTGCAAACAATACTCGAAGAATATCTAATGTTTTGAATTAATTAATGTAATGATCAATTTAATGCTTTCCTAATTGGCTCTTTACTCTTTTTTTCATGTAATTTATAGCCAGATAATCGGAATTACGCGCATCAGAAGGCATAGTATTATTTTTTAGTATAATGCAGATCAATAAACCACCTTTCAATGTTATTGCTCGTTCTCATTTTTTGTAGACCAGCAACGAGCTTATGTTGTTAAATAAGTATTAGACTTTCTTTGTCCCTATTTTTAAATCAATCTTTGCCATTCCTTGCTTTATAATTCCATCTATTAAGGTTTTGTCCTTGTTAGGTCACTAGAAAAACGGATACTTTGTAAGTTTTGAGATTTTTTTTTTTCTGTTTAGTTTCAGGTGGAGGTTTTTACCAGGTACCTAATGTCCCATTATGTCAAATGAAAAAATATAAGAGTGAACAATGATCTTTCAGATATATTTTTTAAGATATAAGATACCTGGTTGTTGAACTTAAAAATTTCACCTGGTATGCATCGTCAAGGGATGGTCCGTTTCCATGTTTATTCCTATATTATTAAATTTTTAAAATCTATGAAATTTTTGTAATTCATTGAAATTTTCTACGCTTTGGCTGGTTTAAGATTTGGGATATGTACATGTCCTTAGGGTCTATATGTATGTACTCAACTTCTTTCAACTAAGTAGAGTTTTTAGTTTTACTATCCTACACTCTGCTGTGGTAGTCCCTATCTTTGTTTTAATCCTAATAGGTATAATTAAAGACAATGTCCCTCATCTATTGTGGTCTAACATATATAATGGTGTTGATAGATTTCAAAAAGTGGTTGTTTATCGATTTAAGCCGAATTTGAAATAAGAAGTTACACGCTTCCAGTGTTTAATTAATTTGAAGATCTTGTCCATTCTGTGAAATGCTCTTATGAAAACAATGTTCGAACTTGGGTTTACAGAACGTAATTTGTCTACCTATAAGATTGCAAAGGAGTGTGCCATCCATGGTGATGTCACTATGAGGGATGTTCCCCTCTTAAGATGGAACCGGATCGGTTCAGAGGATAGGTTAAGGTGAGCCGTGAAACAGTTTGTGCACGCTTCACTGTCTTAGGCTGATGAAAACCTCGTTTCTGCTCTCTGTTGCAATCCATGTTCATACGTCCTCTAAGTAAATTGACTAAGTCCGTCCTGTCAAGACAGAGTCTGAGAAGGAGTGGTCCCAAGAGGAGCAACGTGCAGCTTGGGTTGCCTGATCGATTGTATCTGCTGCAAATACAACCGCTTCAACCCATACTGTTGGGATGAGACATATCGCAGGGAGTCGGCAATGGCACCAGTTGTGAAGGTGTGTGGAATCCTTCCAGTATGTCCTTCAAAGCTGAACAGTTTGCATCCCTAAGAATTAGGATCTGTGGTAAACAGAGAAGTTTTCTGAGATGGCCTGACCCTAAATGGGCTAGGGCACACAAGTGTATGGCCTCTGCGCAAATGGAGGACTGGTATATTTCCCCAAATTTGGAAGACAGATTCTAGTGTGGGGGTTAAGCGATACGCTAAGACCGCAACATCAAGTACATGTGGCTGTCAGAGCTAGTCCTGAGAGGAACTCATAAGCTTGAGTAGATGGGTCAGGCATTTCACACTTGCTCACTGAAGGAAGCTTAAATAACGAAAAAATGAATATAGATTAGAACGTGTGGAAGCGTAGGCCATGTGTAATACGTTATAAACGTAGAATTTTGATTCCGACATGGGTGTAGGGAAATTTCACTTGGTAATAGGACTGCGTCTGACAGAAGAAAAGCAGATTTAAGGTAATGATGGTGAGAGTGTTATGTAATTCTCAAGTACCATCCCTTGAAGACAAAAGGTAGGGTCTTCTGTTGTTATTAAGGATTCTGGTCGGAAGACATCAGGTGAAATGTGTTTCCATAAGAAGAAGATGCCCAAAAGGAAAGAGCTGGTTTAGTATATTACCAATACTTCAAATGTGCTATTCCTTACGCTATCAGGCGCAGAAAAGGGATTACAGCTCATAGAACCTGGTTGTGACTCCAATAACAGATACGTTTGTGCAGAATTCCAAGCGTACTCTCGGTATAGTAGAATGAATATCAGAATTTGATCCTTGGGAGGTGCCGCTTTATAAGTGTCAATAAAAGGCCTGCTGATGGGTTACCAATTGGCACCGTGGCACGTTGGTATGGTTCGGAGAAGTAAAACAGTGCACTGATGTTCAAGACTAGATACTGGATTACAGGTTTAAGAATTTTTCACTCTGTTTGAAACCTTTGATGTCGCTTTTTACAACCTTGAATCATAAGTTTCATACCTGTTTCTTTGTTACACAAGTCAATAATGCATGCAGTGTGATGCCCAGATAATTTTGAGCAGGAGTTTAGATGATTCAACATTTGATACTGATGCAATTATGAAAAGTGTTGGCAAAAAATGGAATTGGAGCCAGCCCAAAAGCCATGGGGCGATTTCGGCTGGCTCTACGAAAGAGGGAATTTGCATTCTGCTTGCTAGAACGTTCTCCATTTCTTAAGTCATCCATCGAGTTATCTTGAACTGATGCACCTGCCCCTCAACATCAGTTGCGAAGCTGTGGCTGACTGATTTCAGATGGGCACAGCAATTCTATTTGAACGTGTCGTGTGCTGGGTGAACAACTTCGGGTGAGGAAAATCGGGGATGGGTCGGGACGTTAGAGAGAGAGAGAGAGAGGAAAGGTGGAAGTGAGAGAGAGAGAGAGAGCTTAGACCACAGACGGCCGTTTTCTTTCAAAGTTGTAATTTATTTGTTTTCATAAGGCTTGCCCATTGCCAATTCTTCATATCATGTTTTCGAAGGTCTTCAGGGGTGATACTTGTTTGGGCAAGTGTCCATTGCTTCTCGGTAATTAGTTTGTTGTTTTTAGCTCCTGAAGTTTCTAGTCTTCTAGATGAAGAAGATCAATTACACAAGAAAAGGAAGTGGGTTTCTCAGTCTTGTACACTGTGGCTTTATGTCCAAAATTTCAAACAAATTTCTAAACAAAAGAAAAGAAAGTTAGCAATGGCCTTAAACAATTTAGCGATAAGGTTTTGTAATAATCATCTTTCTGAAATGAAAAAAATTTAAGAAAGAAAAATGAGAATTTTGAAATGATCAAGAACCTGTTATTAATCAAAGAAAATTGAAGATGACTTTCTTGTATAGGGGGCTTAAAAAAAAAAGAAAAAACAAAATAACAAGAAAGGTATAATGGCCACTTCCATATAATTACTATATACAAAGAAAAGGGATGCGTGCCGGATGGGCATGGGGACCGATGATGGATAGGGATTATTGAGTACTTTAGCCCAAATCTTGTTTAATGCTACAAATATTATAATTAAAGAAATATAAATATATATATATATATATATATATATATATAAAATAAATGTGTTATAAATTGTTTTGACAGGCAAAACAAAAAGGATAAAATGTGAGGATGAGTAATATGGATTTATGAAGCTATAAAAGGGTATATATAAAATAAATGTGTTATAAATTGTTTGACAGGCAAAACAAAAAGATAAAGAATGTGAGATGAGTAATATGATTATGAAGCTATAAAGAATCTCAATGTTCCAAAGCTTATATTTTGGATTTTCAACTCATGCCTTTTTCTTTTTTAATTATGTTATATTATATATGATAAATACCCACCTGCAATTTGCAGATTTTATATATAGTTTCTACAAAAAATTGTATAGCAGTCAGCCTCAAAACTTGTAAATTAGAATAGCAAAACATGTTAAATTGAAGATTTCAATTTTGTAATTTAGAGACACAGTATCCTTCAGATAGTAGCTTGTCAATTATAGAAACCAAATTATAAATGAAAGTTATCATTAGAAAAAAGACTGAAAAGACTCGTGAAGTAAATTTTTTTCTCAATAAGAATGATTCAGTACATGAAACATTTCACATTTATGAATTTTCAAGAAGATTGAACTTTTTTTAGTATTTAGATAATAGAAAATAAATTTTTTTCCTTATCTGTTCCATTTTATAAATGGTTAGGTGTAATAGAAAAATATTTTATACATATCCATCCTTCAACAAAGTATGAAATATTTTTTTTTTTTTTTTTTTCATTTTTTTTTTCCCATAAGAAGCATTTGAAGTTTCCTCAGTTTTGGGCAAATTGCTTGCTTATTACATGGCATGTTAGTTTCATTATTATTTTTTTTTTTTTTTTTTCCATAAGAAGCATGAAGTTTCCTCAGTTTTGGGCAATTGCTTGCTTATACATGGATGTTAGTCATTATATAATATTCATGCCACCATCCTCTTATCCATCCATTATTTCATTTTCTAGGTTCACCAATCCTCCAACCAATCATTAAATAGAAACTTTGCATTCTTTAAACAATTTTTTTATTAAAAAAACTACTTACAAATATATATATGATATTGCTCAATTGCAGCTAATAATAAATTTTAATTTTAATAATGTGATAAAATTCTGCTAATTACTAAAATATTTTTATAGAGTGATTTCATAAAAAAAAAAAAAACAATAAAGAAGGGCTGTGAAGTCAAATAAAGAAAAAATAGGCAGGATGTTCAAATTTTATTCATTGGTAACCTAATTACGTCCTCTGTTTCAAAATCAACGACAATCTTTAACTCGACACATAGACTAAAGAATATAATTAATAGTTTAAATTTTACAAAAATTAGTGTATAAAATATCTATTTGCTCTCCAATTAAATTAAAAGAGTGATTGATGGACAATTATCTCATGAGTAGAATACTCAACAAATAAGGATAGATTAGGAAAGGAAAAAAGTTAATGGAGTTTTGAAATTATAAAAACGACACTTATTTTAACAGGAAACAGAGTATTTAATGCTTAATATTGAATGAATAGATGATGTAAAAGTTTGAATTATTTAAACTTTAATTATTACTACATCTATTCGGTTAATTTTGTTTTTTTTTTATTAATTTTTGGTAAGAATTAAGAATATGTTTCGGTCGGAAAAAAAAAGAGAATATGTTACAGTATCTCAATTTAAAATAAAAATTAATTAAATTACCCTTTAGTTAATTCTTTATAATTAAAAATAGATAAAACTTAATCAAAATATCTAAATAAAGGTAAATTTGAAATAAAATAATTAATTTTATCTTGATTTTTTACAAATATCATACGAGTTGAAAAAAATTAAAAAGTATTAAATTTAACGGAAGATAATAGTAATTGAAATAATTTCAATTACTAACATTACATATATATATTATCAATTTATAATGAAAATATTACATGTAAATGACAAGTTATATATGAAAAATTTTTAAGTTTAATCTTTTAAGGAAGACTAAATACAATTATTAAAATTTAAATAATAAATTATGAATGTAAGAAAAAATAAATATGATGATAAATTAATTTTAGATGCTAGTCAGTGGTCTAATTAGTTTTCATCTTTGGAACAAGGGATTTTAAATTTTATTTTTTTAATTATTAAATTATTTTTCAACAATTTGATGAGTTAAAAAAATAACAAAAAAAAAAAAATAAGAAATTAAAATGAATAAATAATAAATAATACAATGTCTTAATCTTTTGTTAGCTATAGTGAAGAATATATGAAGTTAGAAAAGTTACTGTGATGGGAAATAAATACCATGGTGAAGTCGGCTCCCATGTATGGATACTACAGCATATAAATACTAGTACCTAGTTTCACTCATTGGTGTCTGAACTACTGCTCTTCTTCTGGGTCTCTCTTTTCATTAGGGAAAAAAAAAAGCTACTTCTCCTTCTCATCTCACCTTTCTCTTTCTCTCTCTAAAAAGATAAGAGCAAAATGTCTTCTCCAAGCAAACGCAGGGAGATGGATTTGATGAAGCTGTAATTATATGTTTTTTGAAATAATTCTTTATTTGATTGTTCTTTCTTTTCTTTCTTTTTTTGATTTTCTTTTTTTCTGGGCTTTGATTTGGATTAACTAGGATGATGAGTGATTACAAGGTGGAGATGGTCAATGATGGCATGCAAGAGTTCTATGTTGAATTCAATGGACCAAAAGACAGTACAATCTTCTATACCCATATTTTCTCTTACAATTTTCTATGATCTAATTTGTTTCTTATGTGATTAATTGAACTTTCTTTGATGTTCTGTTTGTGGGTTCTTTTTATTTTGTGTGTTGAATTATTTGTATAGCTGTGTTGACTTGTTCAGATACTTTGAGCTGCAGATTTGTCCTTGACAATGGTAACAAATGAATATTTACCTTTTCTTTCTGCTTCTGTTATCATTGGTTATTTCTGGCTTTTTGTAATGAATAGTTTTGATCACTGATGAATAATCAAAATTGTGACCATTTGCTTTTAGTGCCTAGTGGAGTGTGATTTTGATGAGTTGTATCCTCTTATCTAACTTAGTTTCTGTAAGCTGCATCTTTGTTGTTCACTGATTTTCCTCGATGAGGATAAAGTATATTGGGAAGTTTACGGATAGGTTATGTCTTTTCTTGGTTTTCATTGAAACATGTCAGGTCCTTATCAGGGAGGTGTGTGGAGGATAAGAGTAGAACTGCCAGATGCTTATCCGTATAAATCTCCATCTATTGGCTTTGTCAATAAGATCTACCATCCAAATGTTGATGAAATGTGAGCCAGTGCACCTTAAAATATGATGATTTTACAAGAGAATTTACCTCGTTCAAATGTTATATGTTTTCATTTGGTGACTTTTCATTTTTAACAAAAGAGTTAACTGTTTTTGATTTTCAGGTCAGGTTCAGTTTGTTTAGATGTTATCAACCAGACTTGGAGCCCCATGTTTGGTAAACCTACAGCACTATGTTTACTTTACATACAGTTTATATACTACGGAGGGAGGTTCTATGTGTGTATATATAGATGGAGATAATGAGCCCTAGAACGTGCGCCAGATGACTATCCGTATAATTTCCATCTATTTGCTTGTGTCAATAGAGCCATTCTACCATTCCAGAAAAAGAGAAAAATGTGATGGAAGATGGTGAGCCAGTTGCACCTTTCTTAAATATGATGATTTTAAAAAACCCCCACGACAAAGAGAGAGTTGAGGCCTCGCTTCAGGAAAGATTGTTAGAAGTATCCGTAATTTCTAGCAATTTGTGTGTGACTTTTCCTAAAATGTGTTTTACAAAACAGAGTTAACTGTTTATTTGATTTTCAGGGTCAGGTTTCAGATTGGTTTAGCATGTATCAACCAGACTTGGAGTCCCCATGTTTGTACAAACCTACCAGGCACTATGTTTACTTACATTACAGAATTGTATGTATACTTACGGAGGGAGTGTTCTGATTGTGTGTTATATCATATATACTATAATATATATATATTTATATTTGATAATATATATTAGTCTCAAAATTCTTTTACTCATATATCAACTTAAATATAGAATTTTGTGCGATAGTTATGCCATTTAAGAAGATATGATTCTTTCCTTTTCCCTTACAATCCTTTATATATATATTTAGTCTCAAATTCTTTCATCAATTTTAATTTGTGCTGTTATCATTTGAAGTTGATTCTTTCCTTTTCCCTACAATCCTCTCCAGATCTGGTAAATGTGTTTGAAGTGTTTCTTCCTCAGCTTCTTTTGTATCCCAATCCATCAGATCCATTGAATGGAGAAGCTGCTGCTCTAATGATGCGTGATCGCTCTGCTTATGAACAGAGAGTAAAAGGTAGCAAGTCTAAACTTGAATTATGAACTCTCACATTATGACTTCTGTTTAGCTGCTGTAAACTAAGATTAAGATACTTCCACTCGAAGCTGCTTTTTTTAATCTCTTGATTTAATTCACTCCATAACTGTTTTTGAAAAGAAAATCAATGAAGTTGATAAGAGGCTGGACATAGAAACTCCATTGTGTGTTGCGCATAACAGTAATCCTACTCTATCTATACCTTGGAGGTTTGAGAGCATACTACGGCAAATAATTTGGAGTTTCAACCTTGAACCTGATGAGTAATCAAAAGTAATTCCTATTCCAGTTTCTTAGCATTTTTGCATTCCTACTTAGTATCTATAGTTGCTTCGCCCAATTCCAAGGAGAAGTAACTGGATAACTGGTAGTATTTTGAATGCTATTTGGTTGCTACCATCATATGATGTATCTGGGTTGTTGAAGTTGCTAGTGGATTTAATTGGTATCTGCCTATGTGGGTAGCTCACACCATTACTTGTTACAATTTGCTCCATTTGTTTTCATTGGATCAAATGGAATATGTTTCCAATGGGGTTTTCAATGTTAGAATTTAGAATAGTAATTGTTAGCATTTAAAATCAAGTGTGCTTAGAAGTTAGAACATCTGAGGTGTCAAACTTGTACCTTGACTTCTCTTCACAGACCTTCAGGGGGCACGATTAGATCCTTTGAAAGAATATGGATCTTTATACTGCGATTTCCTAGTATCTTGACAGAATACTAAAACTGTTACTCCAATTAAATGAAAATTTTTTTCTGTATGCATCAGTTATTGTTCATTCTCAAGTTATAATATTGAATAGAAAGAGCAATCAGTAATTACTTGCATTTCGTGCATGATTCACTGAAGACCTGGGGAATGTGAACCATTTGATTATTTTTTAGTGCTGTAGATAATTGTACATCGTTGAATATCGAAAAAGTTGCTTGGAAAACATTTCTTTATAATTTCTGATCAGAAATTCAGCCATTGCCAAGGAAGACTTCATTTTCTTAAGCAAATGGTGCTGTCTTTTATGTAGCATGAGTTTATATCAAAGGTTATCATTCATTGCCTTTTAAATTGATCTGAATAGTGTCAACATAAATTCAGTTCACTGTTTCAATAAGGACGAGGTGACAATAATTTAGGTGAGAATGGTATATAACTCTCACCATGTAAGTTATTTGGGGCCCTAACGCAGTATGGTTTGGTTGTCTTGATCAATTCATCTAATTTGGTTTGGAAATCAGAAGTTATTGAAGTGATTACAAGATTATATTGAAAAAGTTTTCTTGGTCGAAGATAGATAAGAACTATACAATGCAGCATTAATATGTAGCTGAAGAGTCTTTACTTAGGTTGAACTTTAACTTTGAGTAGTGATATATGAAGCAAAAGACAGTTGTTAAGTTATTGAATGAAACTTGGAAAAGTCTGCAATAGACCTTGTCTCCATCAATGTTGAGGCTACATTGATTACGATCTTCCTTCCTTTATGATTTGTACATGTACAACAGTGTAAAACATCTCTAGAACTCAGTGCAGTATCATTTTCTAGCGGGAGAACTTGTACATCTCTACAAAATTCCTAACGGAGCTTGACTCCATTTTCTTTCTGTTAGTCATTTGTTTCTTTAATTCATATTGCTTAGAACTATTTGATTTCCAGAATACTGTGAGAAATATGCTAAGGCAGAGGACATTGGAGCCAAACCGGAAGAGAAATCGAGCGATGAAGAGCTGAGCGATGATGATTATGCCTCTGAGGATGACCAAGTTGCTGGCAAAGCTGATCCTTAATGGCATGTATAAGTGCATTCTAATTGTCTGTATCTGTATATGATATTCAGATCTTCGAAAATGAAAACCCTTAAAAGAACTGAAGGCTTATGGAAAAAATTCTGGCCCCTCCTGTCTTTATCTTCCATGCATGTTCTGTAAATTATGCAATTCAGGATCAATGCCTTAGATGTTCATTTATTGTTGGGACTAATTAGCTGTTTGCATGCATAAAATGGTGTTTATACATGTAACCTTTCTGATTCCCTGTAATGGCATGATTTATGGGTTCTCATCTCACAATTTCCTCTTGTTTTCCTGTCTAATCAATTAGTACTATTTTGTTTTTTTTGGCACAAAACTTGGCCATTGGAGAGCATCTCTGACCATTTTGCTTATGAAAATGCATAATTTAAGGGCTCACCTCGTGCACTAAACCAATTAAGAATGAAATTCTAGTGTGATGATAGTATTTTTACCATTTATTGAGGAAAAAAATGATAAAACACTAACAATTTAAATTTTTAAAAAATGAATGAAAATTTTCTGGATGGCTCAGTGTACGGAAAATATGCGTTTTAAATTACTATGTTGTTCTATATATTGAAAAATTAGGCCAAGGTTATATGTGCCCTTATAGCTCAGTGGTAGAGCGTCAGTCTTGTAAACTGAAGGTCCGTAGTTCGATCCTGCGTGAGGGCAAAATTTTATGCCTTTTTGTTGATTTTGATTTTAATTATTATATCTTTTCTTGGAGATTTTTCATATTCATTTATTCGCTATATAAGAAATTTCTCGTTTCCATCTCAAATAATAAGTTCCTTTTCCTTCAAAAGCATTAATTTTTTCTCCTCTGCAAAAGAAATTTGGATTTTGTTTATTTGTAATTGATTTGACAGAACTGAACCTAAACTCTAATTAAAAGTCTTTTTGTTTAGGAATAAGTTTCTAATTATAAAGTTACAACTCTGAAATCCCATATTTATCTTTTGGTTCTCTTGTGTATTTTCAGGGGAAGAAAGAAAAACTTGACCTTTATGGAATAAAGAGTAATGCACAGGAAACAGTAAACACAACTTTGTCACTGACTAAGCTCAGTCTTTCTTTTTATAGTGGATAGCAGCTTTTTATTTAGTTGGTTAATCAGACTCAAGAAGGGGGGAAAAAGTACCAGCAACCCACAACTGTAATATTCCCTAACAGGAAAATGTTGAAAGCAAACTAACCCTTTTCCTTTTCTTTATTGATTGGCTCAGTGTCTTACCCCAAAGCAGTTCATCTGCACAAATTAAACAGTTGAAAAAGCTGAAAGTGCTTGTTGAAAGATATAGTTGGAAGATTTTCTAGATTTATAAATTGTACTACCAACTTTCGCTTCAAAGACAAATGTTGCTTTACAGCTATGGTGTATGGAAACTCTCAGATATGAGTTTCGGAAACGTTTTCGTGTCCTCTTCTGCATAAAAATTTCATTTTCCCCATGTCAAGTTATATTAAAATTTCGCTTTTCCAGTATCATTTCTATATTTTCAAATTTCTGCATTTTAAAATCTTACATATGTATACCCTTGTTTTTGGTCACAAATCGACTAAAAAATTTATAAATATCATAAGCTTGTATGCACTTTTCTTTTTTGTTTGGCGTGCAGGGAAAGGTGATAAGTCATAAGTTTCTTAGATGAGATGCCCATGTTGGTGTATATCATCTATCTGCCTCTATATATTACATGTCAGGTTCCGAACAAAGAATAGTCATAAATAAATGAAAGAATGAAATAAATTAGATAAATAAATAAATAGAGCAGAAAAGATTTCTGAATTGGCCCTGGTTAGAGATCCTGTCTGTTACATGTTTCAACTCTGCACCAATATGAAGCACTAAAATATATCTCCATAGAGGCTGTATTAGAGGTTACTTTGACGATAACTCATCAGTCTAGCAGTAATATACTACAGAACCAGAAATAGAGCAGGGGATCATCAACCTTCGCCATTGATAGTGCCACAAGAAGGCAACTTCATTTATGATCACCATTCTTGCTGAATGAGGGAAGAACAACAATGATCATTCCCAACGCGCCGACGCCACATATGGTTGTCTATAGGGAAAGAACTCCTGCCATATAATGTTCTGCAATGGCCTCTTCCTAGAAATAGCATGTTTCGGGATGCAAGGCTACTTGTACAAGAATATCCTGTTTTAAAATCTGATGCAGCAGCAATGTATCCCGAGTTGGCCAAATCTTAAATGCTAAGTATTAAATAGGTCCCCTCTTCCTTTTGTCTGATTCAGAAAAAGCAATAGAGTGAAGAAGAAGAAGAATTTAAGGAAGCATGATGCAACAACAAGCATGTCAAAATAAGGTCAGAAATGCATGTGTAACAACGGGGAAATTTTAGTAATGGGAATGTGTCATTTGTTGACTTGAAATTGTATAAAAAAAATCTCTAAAATGTTTGTGATAGTTTTATTTGAGAACTTTTGTATGCTACTACTGTAAATTTTGCTTACAAGAAATATAGCCTATGGTGAAGTGTAAATCTGAATATTGGCAAGAAGCCTGGTGAGCTTGCTTAGAGTTTCGCGAGCAGATATAGTGTCTGGATGATCTTCACCACTAATCGAAGTTCTAATAAAAATAGCTTTCCTTATTAAATCATCCCCAATGTCGAACTGTCCCCCTCTCAACATGAGCTTTGCCCTAGTTTCCAGCACAGTGGCTCTTGATAGGGCTAGCTCCTGCCAAAGATATGGATTCAACTGAGCATTCGTCTGAATGGGCCTCCAACATAGTGATTTGTCCAACCACTTCTCAACTGGGGTAACAAAAGCTTGGTCTGCTGCTTCCAAAGCATTAGTGCATAGGCGAAGGAGCTCCAGTGCAGCATTGCATCTAGAAAATGTAATAAATGTCCGAATTGCAAGAGGCAAAACGATTTCTCTAACAATGTACAACAATTCTGACACCTTCACCTCGACGGCTTTACAGTCATTGCCAAATCCAAATAGCAGGAAACATGCAGCCCATATATGATCTGGATGGTGGGATATAGATCCACGACTGATGACAGCTTGAACCATGGCCTCTGCAACTACCATTGTTCCTCTTTGGCGCGCATAAAGCTTAACAAGCTCATTGACATAGATATAGCCTTCCTTGGTACTACTTCTTGCAATATTAAATCTCAACAACATGGAAGATGCTTCTGCCTCTGACCTTCTGATGTATGATGTAAGACCACAACTCAAGGAATGCAATAACCTTTTCCATAAATGTCTCCCTCTGTGCTTTCGAGGCATTTTGTTTGCAGCTAAGGCTAATATAGTAACAGGAATAGCAGCTGGTGCAAACCAACCACTGGCCTGAACCATCCTGCTTGCCAAACTCCTTGGCCCATCTGCATGATCAAATATTGAGAAGCATACCTCAAACAGTTGAAACAGAAAAATGTTTCTCCTGACTGAATGAGCTTCACTTCCACTCCATGATATCTCCCTCATGGGCATTCTATTTATGGTGTCCAATAGCCTGCTTGGGTTTATAGGTAGCTCATATAAAATTGCTCCTACTATTGCAAGGCCCAAAGTTAGTCTTCCCACTTTCTCCTCTATAGCCCTGAGGACATCGACATCTGTAATTGAGTAGTCTTTCCCACTTCTCTGCATTAAACACATTGCCTCAAGACCTGACAAGTAAGAGAGTTTCAGGGGTTCCAAATTCAGCACACGACGGAGTCGTGTGGAAATTATGATGTGAGTCTCTCCACCAAAGCGGGGAAGAAGATCCATTATAAGTTTTTGATCCCACCAATCCTTTTCACTCTCCAAGTTATCTATAACCACCAAAAAGGGAATGTTTCTCATTAGCTCTTTGCGAACTCTAGAAATTGCTTCCTCTTCTTGCTCCTCAAAACTTCTCATCCTGCCTTTTTCTAAGCAATTCTGAATGCCAACATCAACTTCCAGAAATGACCAGAGATTCAGATAATTCTGCCTAATATACCTGCTTTCTCCTCCAATCCATAGAACCATCTTATACCTCTGGTGGTATCTGTAGGCAAATTCCAGAAGAAGCTCCGTTTTGCCGATTCCAGATTCCCCAGATACACAAGCAATCCCCTTCCCATATACAATCTTTGTTGATCTTTTTCTCTTAGCATAACGTCCTCCATTCTTCGGTCTTACTTGCCGCTGCTTTTGAGAAATTTCTGTGCTTTGCATCTCAATCTCCTTTTCAGATTCTTTCCACACAACTGGCCCTTTACCTTTTTTGGCTCCCTTCTCGCTTCGTTTTTCTTCCATTGAACTGCTCTTATTCCATCCAACAGTCAAATTCTTTTTCCTGGGTCTTGCCTTTATCTCAAAGTAATCTCTTTCTGAATCTCCACTGACATCGCCAAAAAGTATGAACTCTAGTTGAGACAATTCTTTCTTCCTACCAATGAAGTTCTCATTTCGAGGGAAAGGGAACTCGTCTTTATCTACCTTCTCTCTCCACTGAGTCAACCGTTCTACCACACTTCTCCTTCCCAACCTCATTGCCAAAAGTGTGACAGCTCTCAGTATGCAATCTCTCCAGTTACCCTCTTGAGCTTCCAGTTTCCAATCATCAACCCGAGAGAGGCCATTAACAGCTTCTTTCCACTCCTTCTCCAATCCACCATACAAAAGCCACAATTCACCTCCATGTTTTTCCCACAACTCTCCTCTCTTCTCAACTATGTCTCTGACTAGGCAATTGTCTGGGGTCAAATCAAAGAATACTGGCACCAAATTCTTTTTGCTTGCAAAATACCGCATTTCCTCAATGGTATATGGATTCCGAAATGACTTCTTCGTTAGGATTACAATTCCAAAAGAAGAAACATCCATTGCCTTCTCAACAAGTTCATGTTTCCGTGAGTTCCTACATCGAGCTCTGTCAGATACAAAACAACTTATCCCTTGAACCTCCAATTCAGCACGAAGCCAATTAGCAAACCTCAGCAAAGAAGGTTTACAACCATGCAAACCTAGAAAGACATCACAGCTCCTCAGTCTGTTACAGGAAAGGGAAACTGACACTGGAGTATGTGATGCTTCATGGCTTCTCCCATGTTTTCTGTGCTTCTCCCTGAACCCAGAATAATCATTATCATGGGCAAAGTTGTAACAATATGGGGAGCTATTAGAAATGCCAGTTGAGGAAAATATTCGATCAAACTTCTGGAAGTCAGTTCCGTTTTCAGCAACTGGATCCCTCGACATCTCTGGCAACGCTCCTGTGACATTTGCAAGAGATGCATATTCTGGATTTCCTGAAGTAGAGCTAAGAGGATCACCGCTTAAATGAATACTGTCACATTGAGCATCTGACCTTGTTGATTCAGATATTTGACACGTTGGTGATCTTGGAGAGAAGAAAGGTGACTGATTTGCTGAAAAGAATGCCGAAGATGATGATGACATATTCCTTAAAGTGGTTACTGGCAACACACCAAATCTGGAGCTATCTTCTTGGACATCCATTTTTCAAAAATCCCCCTTTCCTGAGCGTATCAGATTCTATGCGTGGTCTCTAAATAAGAGAGTTCATTTCTGAAATACATAATGACTTAGTTCAGTAAAAGAACTGCCCAAGTGAAATAGACACATTTGAAAGCGCACCAGCAAAACTGTGTCGTTGTTCACTATTATCAGTTACAATAGCTAATAAACATGAAAAAAAGAACAGTCCGCACATATAAAGAAATTTGAAATTTCACACGACAAACCAAGAAAAACTTTAACATTGTTGACTCATCTCAAAAAGAAAAAAAAAAAAAAATCAACCTTTATCGCCAGACATTGAACAGAAGCTCTCAAACTAAACTGCAAAGCCCTAGATATCTAGGAGAATGACGGAAAACAAAATACCTTCCTAATGAGCAAATTTGAAGAAGATAATCTGCAATGGCAATAAGTAGCTCAAAATAGAAAATTCAATACCTAAAGAAGCAATGCAGAGATGGCAATAAAAATAATTACAAAATTGAACTGCTATGCCTAAAGGGGTAAAAACTAGTAACAGTAGTGAATATTTATCCTTTTGAAATCTTTAAGAAGTAATTCAAACGTGCTATTCATCTAAAATATATGGCGTCAAGTTGAATGAAAAAGCTATAGAACTCGTCAATAAAAACTTGAACTTCACAATAGATCTAACTAGCAGGTTAAGACGCGAAGAAACTTTGAATAAAGAAGCCCCATTTCAGATTTGAGTATACTAAAATAACATTTTATTTATAATTTAGATCTGGGAACTTACTTTACTAGGCTTCAAATCTCGAACTCGGTTACGAAGATTCAACCTTTAGCCTTAAAACCAATCAAACCAGTTTAAAAAATTGAATGCTGAACCCATAAGAATTCAAATTTCGAGGAACCCAGATAATCTCTCGAGTATAGTTTATTATCAGTACAATGAACTGAGCCAACCTGCAAAAAAGGTGACACCACCTTGACATACACGATTACCACAAGCAAATAAAAAGGACAAATGATTATTCAATCACATAGAGAGAGTATTGACAGTGAGAGATAGAGAGTGATAGAGAAGTAGAGAGATAGAAGTTCATGGTCTCAAACTGAAAGTAATTGTATTTTACTACCATTTTAGAGATAGATTTCATCTTTTTGATAGTGACCCATTTCAAAACAAAAAAAGGATTTTTATTTAAAACCTATTACAAAAATTTGCTTACCTTTCCGGTTTCTAGTTAAAAGGAAAAAAGAAAGTAATATAAATATTACTCACCCAACAAGACCCTTAAAAACAGTTTCTGAAAAACAAAAAAGAACAACTCTTCACACACTTCTTTCTTTGTCTAACTAAAAAGACTGTGTTGCTTTGTTTTTCTATGTCTATGAGAAAGTGAGGGAAATAGTGTGCAAGAAACAGAAGCACCGTTGGAGGAAGGGAAATGGGACCCAATAGGATGGATCTGACGATATATGGGTTCTGTAGGCTCCACATTAGAATGATAGAAGAGACACTCACCCCTTTTATAGCTGTGAAATTTCAGGTAATGCACTGTTGTTTCACATTGGACTTCTTCCAGTGTTCCTGTGGATGATGTTAAAGGTTTTTTACCCTTTTTAGGTCTAATAGAAAAAAGCCTATGCTTTTTAATTTCTTTCTTTGAATTGTTTTCGAAGGTTTTTGCCTTTTAGTTCTCTTGCTAAAAACTTCTTGGCAGTATAATTCATAAAAATTCTTTCTTTTTCCTTCAAATGATAAAAATTCTTCTCTTTTTCCTCAAATGGTAAGACAATAAAAATGCATTCTTTTTCCTTCAATGATAAAAATTCTTTATTTTTTTCTTCAAATGATAAGGAAACGGTAACCATAATATTTTCACATACGTATGCATTGGGATTAAAAATTTTAAATATTTACTCTCTGAAAATTTTTGAAATTTGGATTATAAGGATCAAAAGACCACTAGTAGCACATAGTTCAATTAACCAGCTCAAAAGTTAAGAGTGTGCCAATGATGATGAATAGAATAAAATGCCCTTCTTTTGGCATGAATTGAATACCATTGCTTTCACATAACTTCTAATTTTCACTTGTAAACAATGTGCAAAAGCTATGGTTAGTGTTCCTAACCAGTTCAAAAGAAAACAATGGTTGTCTAAGGATTAACCCCATTATCATTTGTATATTTAATGATAATTGCTATTTCTCCCAAATTGCACTGTATTTAAGATTGTAAATAAGACAAGCCGCTCGTGAGCTATTCAAGACTCTGCTCGATAAAAGCTCGAGCTCATTCGATAAGTTTATCGAATTCGTATAATAAATAAATCGAGTTCGAGCTCAGTTCATTAGCTCACAAGCCAGCTTTATTGAATCAAGCTCAACAAGTTAAAATCTACAAGTCAACTTTATCGAGTTAAGCTCACGAACTAGCTTAATAAGCCAAAATTCAAATAAATATATATTAAAAAGAAATTGTTTTAGTTTGATAAGTTTCGATCTCAAGCTCGAGCTCTGTCTTGTTTATAGTTACTTTGAACGAGTTTGAGCTCACCAAAGCTCGGCTTAAATCGGTTCGTTTACCGCCCTAATTATATTGACATGCAAAAAAAGATTTTTTTTTTCTTTTTCTTTTTAACAAATTTAAATGTCGAATTTTTATGTCCTATCATTTATGGTCAGAATTTAAACTCTGCCCTAATTATGGAAGAAAAATCCTTATTACATTAATTGTAGATTCTGAAGTCAATGATGGAAAACAAAATTGGGAAGTATTTTTTAACTTCCTTGATCACCTATTCACACCATTGGCTATGGGAATGAAACTCACACAGAAATTTTGCTCTCTTCCAAAAGTTACTGATTGCAATAAGATAACATCTCTATCTATCAAAGGAGTACTATTAGGTTGACTTGAAGGGATACTGGATTTGGCTCTTTCAACATCAGTCCAAAACACTCTTTTGATGCCCATTTTGGAGCACATGCATACATGTGAGACCACACTGAAATGGATGGCTGAGATCTATTCACGCTCTTATTTCTATACTCAATCAATGGCTTAGATTACAACACTTTTACTTAGTAATAAGAGAGAGAAAGAGGGAGAATTATGGAGCATTGTAGTTTTGAACTGGAGTTGAATACATTCTTGCAGGCCACACCAGAACATTGCCCCCAATACTTATGGACAACTTAGAGAGTTCATCTATGAAAAAAGCATAAACTATCTTTTCTATTGTTTGGTGGCTAATCATCAGAACATTTTTTTCTTTAAAAGATAATATTTTTCCTAATTTAAAAGGAAAAAAAAAAATCTTTGCAGCAATAATTTGATATGCTCATTTCTTCTATCCTCTGCAACTCAAGTGGGCCATAGAGAAAGAAAATTGTCACCATCCTAAGTTTGATCTATCAACTCCATACATTACATTGATTGATAGTTGTCTACTTTTGAGCAACATATCCAATCCAACCAACAACTTGACCTAATAACTTCAAATTAGTAAGAGGAGATTTTTGTTAAACCATATAAATGAACATGTTGGGTTAGAAGTTAACAAAAGAAGCAAATTTATCTTCTTTGATGAAATCCAAAAAACAGAGCATTTAGAGGAAAATAGACCACATTGTACCTTAAACCTAGAATTTGAAGGTGTGAGCAATAGAGTCTCAAGCATGCTCAAGAAGACAACTGGAAATTATACAAAAGAGTGCCTATTGTTTCCTATTAAGACACTAATTATGAGGCCCATAATCAGGAAGCTGCCTAACCTTGTTTCTTCTTAAATGTTAATTACTAACATTAATTATAATAATACCATTAAACACAACCTAGCTAGGTGGTGGCTAGCTTATTTAACAATTCCATTCAGTCACATGCACCTTTTTTTTTTTTTTTTCCTTTTTGAGAATGAACATTGTTGGGTTAGAAGTTAACAAAAGAAGCAAAATTTATTCTTCTTTGCATGAAATTCCAAAAAAAAAAACAAGAGAGGCATTTTAGAGGAAAAATAGGACCACATTGTACCTTTAAACTAGAAATCTTGAAGGTGTGACAATAGGAGTCTCAAAGCATGCTCCAAGAAGGACAACTGGAAAATTATACAAAAGGAGTGGCCTATTTGTTTCCTATTAAGCACTAATTATGAGGCCCATTAATCAGGAAGCTGCCGTAACCTTGTTTCTTCTTTAAATGAATTTACTAACAATTAATTATTAATAATACCATTAAACACAACCTAGCTAGCGTGGTGGCTTAGCTTATTTAAACGAATTCCATTACAGTCACATGCACCTTTTTTTTTTTTTTTTTTTCCTTTTTTGAGATTCTACACCACTTAAACTAAAGCGTGAATAACAACTTCTTTTTTATCTTTTATTATATTGGACCTCTAATTGACTGGTTTCAGTTTTATCTAATTTTCCTTTTTTTTTTTTTTTCCTTTTTGAGATTTACACCTTAAACTAAAGCGTTGAATAACAACTCTTTTTTATCTTTTATTATATTGACCTCTAATTGACTGGTTCAGTTTTTATTCTAATTTTATCTATAAATATACAGAGGAAGTCTTGAATTCGAATTTTCTCGATCATGAAAATATTCATTTGGACCACTGTGTTGTACCAATTTAGCAAGTTATATTAAAAATGAAAATGCTTTGGGCAATGTACCAATTTAGCAATGGCAAATGATCTTATCTATTTGGGCAAAATTTAGACTAGTAACAAAAATTTGGTGTATTTTTCTGTAGAAGCAAAAGGAGAAGAATCCCTCAAAAGGAACACCTAAAATTATTTTTTGCTGAACTTTCTCAAACTAAAGCAACTAATAGGTCATGTAATGTAAACTTAGCAACCTACCAAATGTAATTAATTTGTCTAATTATAATCAAAATGTTGAGATGTCTCCCTTTTTGTAATCTATAAAGAATAGGGAATTGCAGCATATAATGGGCAATTAAAAATTGTTGACAGCTTAGCTCTAAAGGGTGGCTTTGCAATTATAGGAGATATAGGTGTCAAAGGACAATAAGTTGACTCTATTAGACCATATAAATCAAAGTTCAAGATCTTAATGTCCCCAATCTAGTTTCTAGATTTTTGGATAGGAGTTGACTTTGGCATTAGAAGCTTGAAAATGGAGATAGTATCACATTTAAGTTTTCATTGAGGTGGATGGTGGATCAATTGCTTTCATGCCTTGTATTAAAGAACAAGGACACTCTATAAAGAAAGACACCGTACCCTTATGGGCAAATTCTTTGAACACCCCTTTTTTCTGCAGGCCGTAATTTGTGAAAAAAATAAAGATTTTAAAAATTAGATATTCCCAAGCCCAAAGAGTTTTGGAAGTAAAAATTGGAAGCATGAGAAAAATAATTACTCCAAACTAATGGATTGAATTACTGAAACTCTAAAGTTTTCTCTTCACTTCTTAATTTCTTCCCATAGTTATAATTCTAATGTCGGGTATAAAAGAAGCAAAGCTTTAAAAAAATAGAGCCGATGAAGTAGCCTCCCCTCCTCTCGAACTTCACCTTCCACTTCCCCCTCCTCTCAAACTTCACCTTTCACTTCTCACACATTTTCTACAGGATGTAAAAAAAGACAAACCAGAATATATATAACTGAAATCTTTATTTAATCATTAGTTATTTAAACTGAACTTGAATCTATTGTCTGGTCGTACATGCATATACTTTAGATGCATATACTTTAGGCTATGCTTTTGATAAGCAGGTTTTTACTGAAGCATCCCAAACTAGACGCCCATTGGATTAGATATGAGGCTGTTGTTTATGTAGTAGCCCACTTCCAACATGGGCCAAATCATCTATTACTATGGAGCATTGATTAGGGCTTTGAAAATGGTTGGTTTGATGTGACACTGAAATGTTATTATCTTTCTTCTACAGCACTGAGCTTTTAAACTGGTCATCATTGGTAAACAGTGATCCTATAATTACAATTTGCTTTTAATTAAAACGGTTTTTTTATTTCCTTTTAATAAAATAAAATATCTTCTAGTTGGGGGCACAATAAGAGCATCTGTGAGTGCGAGTGTGAGTGTGACTTTGTTATATCCTATGTTTTATTTTTCTGAGAATAACTCTGTTTTCACTTCGATTGATCTTCAAAAGGTCAAAACTAGGTAATCCAATTTCTTCCTTCAGATTAATTCATATATATATATATTTTTGCATATTGTTATTATTATTATTATTATTATTTTGTATTTTTCTTTTGGAAATTTCTTGTCCATATTTTGAATTATCCACATCTCCTTTATAAGAACATATGCGGGCTCTGTTTTTCTCTTAGTGGGTCTCTTCGATTTAAGGGTTTTAGTGCCTTTCTGGGTTTTGGCCTTCTGGGTTTTCTTTTTTTTGTTTGCATCGAAGACTTAAACTTTGGTATTTTTTTTAATGTTTTATTATTTTCTTTTTTAATTCTTAAACTAATAGATCATAGTAGTTACTATAGGAAGTTTTCAGTTTGAATGGCTCGGTTGATTCTTCCATGCAAAAGTTCGTGTTTGACAAAGACCAATCTCTTGGGTTTGATCTCCTTTGCTCCTGTGATTACTCATATCCCATCCTCTCATTTACTTCTGTTTAATGACTCGTTTTGTATATTTTATCTGCAAAAATTTTTCTATTGTTTATATGGATTTTTAGTAGTCAATTCGTTTTTTGTTTTATTTATATATATGGCCATTAGCTCTGTTTGAATGTCCTCAAAAGAATTCATTTTGTTGAATAGGGTGAATATCCTCACCAGAGCATGCGTTTTAGTTTCTTCTGGTCTAAATTTTGTTTATCTTAACTTCTTTGGTGACATGGCATTGGGTGGCTATTAACAAGTTCACCGATTATTCATATATATTATTAACAAGTTCACGATTATTTCATATATATATACTATATATAATATATATATATTATATTTTTACCCTGCTTATGTTTTCGTTACTTATATATATATTTTACCTGCTTATGTTTTCGTTACTTTTGCAGCTTCAGGCTAAAGGACGAGCTAGTTGCTTTCCAAATTCTGTGAAAAATATTCCAAAATACAGGCAATTTTTTAGTTCAGAGGTTTGCACACTTTTCCATTTCCGACCATGTAAAATCTGGGTTTTTTACATTGTGATTTCTTTCTTTTCTTTCAAGTGATCCATGCTTTTCAAACTTATAGCACTTGAAGGTCTCCTGATTCTAATTTTCAAAATTGTGGAATCTAGGTCACATTTCGAAGAAATCATCGGTTTGCATACCCTGTGTTACATGTGAGCTGCTATAACTTGAATTGATTTCTTTTGCATGTCTACGCACACCTGCATAGACACAGTTTTACTCATTTGCATTGCTACAAGAATGATGTGCTCTTGTAATAATTTTTATGTATATGATTTTCTTTTTAATAACTTTGTTTTGTATGTGTATTCCTCAAATTCAATCCAGAGGGCTAACCAAGACAGCAGGAGGCTAATTTGTTCAGTTGCTACAGAACCGTTGCCTAAGCAAGTTGAAGAATCCAAAATGGACGCACCAAAAGAAATCTTTTTGAAGGATTACAAGTTACCAGATTACTGCTTTGATACGGTATGGATAATCTTATCTAAGTTGATTATTTTGCTTTTAGACCTATGGATTATGCTAAAGGCTTTTGCTTGTTTTATTGTGTCTTTATGTCTCTGTAATCTCAGGTGGATTTGAATTTTTCACTTGGTGAGGAAAAAACAATTGTTAGTTCAAAAATAACTGTTTTCCCCAGAGTTGAAGGCAAGGACTTTATCCTTACATATGTGATTAGATCATTGTAGGAAGTAATCACAAATGTTGCTTTTACAACATCAATGGTTCAAATGTGAGCAATAATTACACTACGTTGTGGAACAGGTTCGTCTGCCCCACTGGTTTTGGATGGAAGCAATCTAAAGTTAATTTCAATTAAGATCAATAGTGAGGAGTTGAAGGTGATATTTTTTTTAACTCTTCCAAAAGATCGGTTAGGCTTGTAGTTCTGTTTCCAGCATCCCCACTGGTTTTGGATGGAAGCAATCTAAAGTTAATTTCAATTAAGATCAATAGTGAGGAGTTGAAGGTGATATTTTTTTTAACTCTTCCAAAAGATCGGTTAGGCTTGTAGTTCTGTTTCCAGCATAAATGATTTTGAGAAAGTTTTGTCATTTTTTTGTCCATGGGAGTGGCTTTTTCTAACTTCTTACTGGGGCATTTTGAAGTTTGATTTCCTTCATTATTTATATTTTCATGGTCATGTTACATCCATCTCTAAGTTTCCAATATCATATCTTCGCCATTTTTTTTTATATTTCTTTCATTATCAGTTTCCACAGGTTCTCCTCCCCTTTCTGTTTTTTATGTATCAAGGTGAAATGGTATTTGTACAATTCATTTTTGTTATTTCCTTCTTCCTTTTGTCTTTTTCAGAACAAAGATTATCATTTGGACTCACGCCACTTGAAAATCCAATCACCACCTACTGGTACATTTTCATTGGACATTGTTACTGAGATATATCCTCAGAAGAACACATCATTAGAGGTGATAAATATACTCATCCTTCCTACATATTTTTCTTGTTACATTTGGCTATTTCATGGCTTACCAGGGGTTTTAACTTTCTATATAGGGGCTTTACAAGTCTTCAGGGAATTTCTGCACCCAATGTGAAGCAGAGGGCTTTCGCAAAATTACTTTTTATCAGGTTAACTAATTGGAAAAGCTTTTACTTGTGGTATATCTAATTTCAACATGCCAGTCTGATTTCACTTGTTGCATTTTAATTTGTTGACAGGACCGCCCTGATATAATGGCAAAATACACATGCCGAATTGAAGCTGATAAATCATTGTACCCAGTATTGCTGTCCAATGGAAACCTCATAGAACAAGGAGACCTTGAGGTGAATTTCTGTTATAAACCGTTACTGAAGACCTCACCCTGCCCAAGTAATTGCTCTACTCTGACACTTATTTTGCTGTCTGCTTCTGCTGCAGGATGGCAAGCATTATGCTCTTTGGGAGGATCCCTTCAAGAAGCCCAGCTACTTGTTTGCGTTAGTTGCCGGCCAGTTGGAGAGCAGAGATGATACATTTGTTACTCGGTCTGGTCGAAATGTGTCACTAAGGATTTGGACCCCAGCCCAAGATGTGCAGAAGACAGCACATGCTATGTTTGCACTTAAAGCAGCAATGAAATGGGACGAAGATGTCAGTATATTCATACCTAAACTGTTTCCCAGTTTTGTAATTTCGAAGTTGTTCTATTTCTCATGGTTGTGAAGTTTGCCTTCGATTGTATAATTCTGCAACAGGTTTTCGGTCTTGAATATGATCTGGATCTCTTCAATATTGTCGCTGTTCCAGATTTTAACATGTTAGTTACTTTTCATTTGGCAAAACTTAATTCTGTGCCCTTTTTTTTTTTTTTACACTGTACTATATGATGTTAACAAATGTCTTTTGTCTTGTACGCTTAATCTTGATGGTACTTGCATTTTGATCAATTATCAGGGGAGCTATGGAGAACAAAAGTCTCAATGTAAGCCTTAAAATAACTTTTTTCTTGAGTATATCTTTTTTGATATCTGATTAGTTCCTCATGTCTTATTAAATTTGCCATCCGGATTGCTTGTCAACAGATTTTCAATTCCAAGCTTGTTTTGGCATCTCCAGAAACAGCTTCGGATGCAGATTATGCTGCAATTTTGGGAGTCATTGGTCATGAGGTTGGTTCTTTACATCTCTAACACAATGAGCATCAAATGCTAATTTTTATTAAGTTAGAGGACTCTATTTGTTGACTTTTTTGTTTTCTTCTCATTTCTCTTATGCAGTACTTCCATAACTGGACTGGCAATAGGTTGGTTTATACCCCATTTCATAATCTTTTTTAATTCATATTTTTGCTTTCTTCCCTTACTTTTGGTACTGGCTTTGCTTGGAACCTCATTAAAATCGATGCTATCTGTTTGCGTGGATTCTCTTTTTATGGTTATGGCAGTTGGTTTTTACACTGCTTTTGTTTTGATCAAACATGCGATGGAACTTGTTTTAAGTGCTAAGTAAATAATTGCAGAGTGACTTGCCGTGACTGGTTCCAGCTTAGCTTAAAGGAAGGGTTAACTGTATTCCGGGATCAGGTGAAACTCTTTTATTTTCTGGATGGTGAGTACAATTATATCCTGACAAGAGAATCTTCTCTTTCTTAACTTTTAAAATCTTCCACCATCACTAGGAATTTTCATCAGACATGGGTAGCCGTACTGTAAAGAGGATTGCTGATGTTTCAAAGCTTCGAAATTACCAATTTCCACAGGTTTTGAATTCTCCTTTTTGATTTTGAAAATGAGATACCTTCACTCTTATTATATGAAGGGTTTGTAAGTTGCTGCATGTGTTTCTTTTCTATGTGGATTACATGGATATGGTATTCTCTATACCAAGGTGTAAATGGATGCTGATAGATCTGTTTGCAATAATCCAGGATGCTGGTCCCATGGCTCATCCTGTACGACCACATTCTTACATCAAGGTTTGAAATCAACTTATCTTATGAAAGCTTGCAGAAAAGTCATCAGCTTGCTCTAATCTTAGTTTAGTGTTTTCTTGAGTGCTTTATTCACATTATTGCTTTCTTTTCTCCTGCAGATGGATAACTTCTACACAGGTAAGTTTCTGTTCCATGCGACCACGAGTTAAAGCTGATATAAAATAATTATTTCTGAAGGTTGTTTCCTTCTTTGATGTTTCACTTTCTTTATGAATGCTGGATGGATTCTGATATTGATCTATGCACCAACTCCAACTTGCAGTCACGGTATGTTTGCCAAAATGTATTTCTATGATCTCTTAATTCCATTCAGTGTGTTTCTTTGTTTTGGCCCGATAACTAATTGTTACTTTATTTCTTGGTTGTTTCATTCCCTACAACAGGTGTATGAAAAGGTATAGATCTTGTACCCCTAAATCTGTGTGTCTGTCTTTGGCCTTTTGGGGGGATGCATGGAAATCAATTATCTAATGTTGTGTTTCAGGGAGCTGAAGTTGTCAGGATGTACAAAACCTTGCTGGGGAGTCATGGTTTCAGAAAGGTATAACACGAAAATATGTTCAAATTGTGAATTGATATATATGTGATGAGATGACTAGCTTCTGCAATCAAGTTGCTCATCCTGGGGAAGTGGTGTTTTATTTATGTTACAGGGCATGGATCTTTATTTTAAGAGGCATGATGGCCAAGCTGTAACCTGTGAAGATTTCTTTGCTGCCATGCGAGATGCAAATGATGCAGATTTTGCTAATTTCTTACTATGGTATGGGTATTTTAAAGGATCATAATTTTATGATTGCATTTGTTTTTTTGTTCTTGATTTTGTTTTGAAGATTAGGTTTGTGATCCTTTCGTTTGTGAATTTCCAATTGGTGGAGATAAACTAGTCTTTCTGCAAGCAAAATGTCTTTACTGCATGGGAGACTCCTCCATTTTGTTAATCATGCCCCTTGTTGCTTGCTTTATTTTTGTTTTGGAATTGTGATTAAAGTTTTTGTTTTTTGATGAAATTCAGAGTTTATATCATGAAAGACAATAATATAAGGAATTTATTACAATGGAGTTTTTAGGGTGTAGCTCGAATTAACTATTAGTAAAATTATCCATTTAGATATTTGCAGAGGTGGTAGAAGTAGCAGGTAGCTGATGGTGTTGGGAATAAATCAGGGACAAATGTTTAATCCTTGGGGTTATTTTGGAGAATAGATTTTTAGTTTTAGCCATTTAATTAATGAACTGCTATTGACTAGCAATATTTTTACTCAAAAACCCAAAAAGAAAGATCATTCTGTTAGCAGAATTAAATATCTAGTTTATTCCACTTACGAAGATTAAGGGAAATGAATGTATATTTTGCCAAATGTCTTTTGGGGTGAAGGGGGGGTGGGGGGGGGGTTGTTTCACTTCACCCTTTCTTTTTGGTAAGAATGTTATCCTTTCCATTTTAATTCATCTGCATTGTACTTTTCTTATTTTAATTGCTTGTTTTTTTTTTTATTTTTTATTTTATGCTGTGATAAAAATTTCAGGTACTCCCAAGCTGGTACGCCTCGTGTGAAAGTTACGTCATCTTACAATGCGGAAGCTCGTACTTTCTCCTTGAAGTTTAGGTATGACTTGCTATTAACTTAAGAGAAATTATGAGCTTTCTTTCTTAGTCCAGTGATATTATTAATCTTAACGGGACATTTGTGCAGTCAAGAGGTGCCGCCAACTCCAGGCCAACCAATTAAAGAACCAATGTTCATTCCTGTGGCACTAGGTCTGCTTGATTCAAGCGGCAAGGACATGCCTCTTTCTTCTGTCTATCAAGATGGAACACTAAGGTCTATCACAAGCAACAATCAACCCATATACACAACGGTTCTTAGTATAACCAAGGTCAGTGGGGAACCCTGCTTCTCCATGCTCACATGTTAAAGCTGTTTTATTGTTGGATGTTGTTATAGTTACAGTTGGTGGACGTAGGGTCTATCATATATTTTACTTTCACCCTAGATATGGCCACTGGTGAACATAACCAGATGCATATATATAAAGTTCTTGGCAAGTCATACGTTGCAAATAATTCTTATGGAGCTGTAAATGATGGATCACAGAGTTGACCTCTTCTTTTTTTTTAAACCAAATATCCTGCAAAATGAATATTACAATTTTATGTAATATGTTAGGAAAAGTTAAATGTTTGTTGGGCAAACTATTGAGATGTCCCTTGGGTTTAGCAATATTTTTTTATTAATATCCTTGGGCTTTGTTTTATACAACGTAATTTAATGTAATATAGGGTTATCAAATTTTTAATTCATTATTCTATTGAATTTTTATTTGATTACATCAACTACATTGTCCCAAACATAGTTTTGTTGTATTTCAGGCAAATCATCGGTGTAATTAGCTAGATTAAGAAAACAATTGCTTGTGATATGAAATGGCCTAGTCCTGCTATTTGCCAACTGGAATTTGGCCTTTGGTTAAAGAAGTTTTTATGCTTTTCAGCATTTCTAATAATTAAAAGTAAATATTTTGATGGTGTAAAACAGAAAGAGGAAGAGTTTGTCTTCTCTGACATACTTGAGCGGCCAGTTCCTTCTATATTGCGGGGTTATAGTGCTCCTATTCGTCTTGAATCTGATCTCTCCGACAGTGATCTGTTTTTCCTTCTTGCTCATGATTCGGATGAATTCAACCGGTTTGTGTTTCTCTGTCTTTCATTCTCTTCATTTTGCAGTCAAGCTGCAGATGGAAAGCCATGTATTTACTTTGTTTTCTATTTTAGTTGGGAGGCTGGACAGGTCTTGGCAAGGAAGCTGATGCTGAGCTTAGTGGCCGATTTCCAACAAAACAAACCATTGGCTTTAAATCCAAAGTTTGTAAATGGGCTTAGAAGCATACTCGGTGACTCCAGCTTGGATAAAGTATAACGAGAGTTTTTTGTCTGATTTTTTAATCTTTTTTTTTTCTTTTAGGTTTTGTGGGGCAGGAAGGAGACAAAATGCACTAATTTACTTGAATCCATTTTTGTTCTCTAGGAATTTATTGCGAAGGCGATAACTCTGCCTGGTGAAGGAGAGATAATGGACTTGATGGAAGTTGCAGATCCTGATGCTGTTCATGCTGTTCGATCTTTCATCAGGAAGCGGCTTGCCTCTGAACTAAAACCAGAGTTGCTAAACACAGTATGACATCCACTGTTGATTTACATAAAACATAATATATTGTGACTCGTTCATGACTTCATTCCTTGGTTAATGACTATTAGTGAAAGGATTTTTTGTACTTCACAGGTTGAAAATAATAGGAGCTCAGAAGAATACGTCTTTAATCACCTGAACATGGCTAGACGTGCTCTAAAAAATGTTGCCCTTGGTTTGTGTTGCTTAGGCTCTAGTATTTCATTTGTTCAGATTATGGTATTTTTAACTCTGTTTGCTTATTATGTCGGCATTTTCGTTTTTCCATAATCTGTAGCATATCTTGCATCACTGGAAGATGAGGAGTTAACAAACCTTGCTCTACATGAGTACAGAACAGCCACAAATATGACAGAACAATTTGCAGCTTTGGTAGCCATAGCCCAGAACCCTGGTAAAACACGTGATGAAGTCTTGGCTGACTTCTATAACAAGTGGCAACATGACTTTTTGGTGAATCTCTTAACTCTATAGCTGTCTTACTGCCTAATTGAGCTTAGTTCATGTGGTTCTGCTGTTATTTAATCGAAAGGAATGACGTTTTCAGAAATTAACTAATTAATTTTATAGCGCTATTACTCATGTCTTCTCTGGAAGCAATTTGCTAAGAAGAAAACATATAAATAGTTTACTTATAGCAAGGAGCAGATTTTGTTGTTGATTTATAACCTAAATTCTCCTTTTGAAACTCTTTTTCTAAGGATCATAATTTTTTCTCCCTTTTTCTTAGGTTGTGAATAAATGGTTTGCCCTCCAAGCAAGCTCTGATATTCCTGGGAATGTTGAGAATGTCCGAGCCCTCTTAAATCATCCAGCATTTGACCTACGCAATCCAAACAAGGCAAGGGATCAGAAATCTGTCTTCGCACTTGGATCTTGCTTTTTAATCTTTAGAGAGTGTTGAATTTGAATGTCTTTGTGAAATAGGTATACTCGCTTATTGGAGGATTTTGCGGTTCTCCTGTGAATTTCCATGCAAAGGATGGATCAGGCTACAATTTCTTGGGGGAGATAGTGGTGCAACTAGACAAAATTAATCCTCAGGTCTATTTTTAAAGAACACCTCTAGAATCATAAATCAGTTGCAATTGGCAAATGAATCCATGTATGCTTTAGGGTTAATTGGATCCTTGAGATATCTACTCTCTGACATTTATGGATTGCAGGTGGCCTCCCGCATGGTGTCGGCTTTCTCACGATGGAGACGCTATGATGAAACCCGGCAAGCCCTTGCCAAGGTAACAAGCTGATGCAAATTTTCAAAGTGCTGTCTCTATTAATAATTTCTACTTTCTAGTATGTCCAATTCTTTAAAATGACTGTCCAAAAAAGAGTTTTCGAATATGAGGGAAAAATATAAAATATCAAATAACTATCGAAACTGTTGAACAGTCCTTTTTCATGGTTAGCAAATTGATTATAGGCAAATTTGCATGGTTTCTTGCAGGCACAGCTGGAGATGATAATGTCTACTAATGGACTCTCTGAGAATGTGTTTGAGATTGCATCGAAAAGTCTGGCTGCTTAGACTCCGACTCTATAGGGAAATAATAAGTACCGGTTGCCTCTGTTTTCAATATAGTTCTAGTTCTGTGCTGTAGAAGCTGCTGCTGGATTCAGTAGCTCTCAAAACTCATTTTCATTATCAGATGTGTGATATTTAACTGTGAAATAAAAATGCCATTAACAGCAAAAGAAAGGTTTTGTAAACCAGCTTTTTTAGAGAAATTATTAAACCAGCAGTTAAGCTACAAGAAAATGAATCTACTGATGGTGATCATAATTATAATGTTGTGATTATATAATTTGCAGAGCTTTTTTGCAGCATTAATTAGGAAATTTACAAAAAATATTGATAAAGCAGGAAAGAAAGCAAGAAAAAGCTTTCTGATCTCCTACTTGACCACCATTAAAATTTTCAGTGGACAAATGCTAAGGTTTTGAAGGCAATTATTAGTTAACTTTATATAATAGTGTTTTTGGAAAAGTCATAAAAACTATTGGAAAATATAATATTTCTATTTATCAAAAATTATACTGTTCTAATAATAACATGCCCTAATTAACTTCTTTAAGCTATAAAAAGTCTAAAAAGAAAATTCTTGTCCCATTCATTTTGGAGGGAAGAAGAAGAAACATTATGGGACACTGCAAGATTATGAGCGAGGATTCTTTTACCTTCTTTTGACCACTTGATGTGTGTGATATATATATAACATTATGGGACAACTGCCAAGGATATGAGCTGAGGATTCTTTTACCTTCTTTTGACACTTGATGTGTGTGATATATTATATATATTATATATGATATATATATATATATATATATAATCCAATCAAAATGCGTTTACATATATATAATCCAATCAAAATGCTTACACAAAGTCACAGCATAGTGATAAATACATATTGAAAATAGATCCAGATTCGAATATCTACTCTCACAATATTCAAAAAAAAAAAGAAAAAATCCAATCAAAAAGCCTATGATATCTTAAAATTAAAAACCTAACAATGGCAAGGTTTTAATGGACCCAATTGAACTAAACCTTTAGAACTTGATCATTAGGCTCTTCCATAGATGTACCTGAAGAATAAAGTAGAGGAGAAGAGCAAAGTGAATGGTCAAAAGTGAAGAAAAGGTTTTAGTTACAAAATTGTAAAGGTTCTTTTGCCATGTGGGTTGTGTGGAATAAGGACAATATTTAAAGCTTTTTTATCTTAAGATTTTTTTGTCATTTTATTTTTTATTTTTTGTGTCAATTAGGAAAAGTATTTATGGTCAAAATTTTCATAATTTTTGTTAAAATCCAAGGGCAAAAATGAGAAAAATCTCATTACCAGGAAAAAACTTGACAGGCTATATTATAAAATCAATTAATTTAAATGTAAACTAAAATAGGAATTTGAGGAAAAATAAGAGATAAAAAAAATACCGATGAGAAGAAAAAAAAAAGATTTTAAGGCTGAATTAAGCAATTAAGAAGTTTATTATAGAGTAAAAAATAACTGAGTCTTTAAATTATATTAGAATTAATATTTAATTTCTTTTATATTTAAAAATAACTATTAATTAAAGACTTCACACGAACGAATTTAAATATTACATAATTTAAAGATTGCTTTGCAGTTTACTATTAATTTTACGAAAAAATTAATTAAATTAAAAAAGAAAAAAAAAAAAGGTAAGCGAACCGTGCAAGCTAGTTCAAAGTGGCGGGTAAAGAGGAAGAATTTTAGTGTGTGGGACCCTCTACGTATGCAGTGGGTGATGTGCGCACGAAAGCTAGCGATAGATGTTAGACAAGTAGAAGTCGATGCCTACACACACGTGCGCACTATTTTATTTCATTTTATAATAAAAACATACCTGTAAAAAGACAAAACTGTCCTCGGCGTTGCACAGATATGAATAAAACCGAAAAGTTTGGGTCTTTGATTTGACTCACAAGTCACTCGACCATCTTATTAGAAAGTCATAAACAAAATAATATTTAATGGCGAAACGTAAAAGTTTGTATTTCTGTGTTATGATTATATTTAATTGATCTTTTTTAATTATATGGAGAGTAAAAATTTTTAATTCGACGCTATAAAACCTTTCACTACTTGCATAAATAAAATAGGTTAGTACAAAATTTTAGTGGTGAAATTAAAAAAAGAAATTATAAAATTTAGTGGTGAAATTAAAAAAAAATTAATTTCCATTTTATAGGTAAAGCTTAAAATTTTCTATATTTAATATGATAATTTAAAAAAAAGTTCAAAATTAGAAGGCAGAAACACTATTTTAATTAATTATATTATTTGGTAATATAATATCTACTTCAACATTGAGAGTTTGAGAAGTGTTTTATGAAACATTATTTTCATTAACGTTTAGTGTCTTATAATTTTTTGATGACACCTATATCTTTATCTTGTTCCTCGTCTTTACATCATTTTTTGTCATTTTATATTAAATAATTTTTTGTCATTTTATATTAAACAACTGATCAAACAGTTATTTGTAGCAAACACTTTTATTCTAAAATAGTTATTCTAAAACCACTATATAATCATTAACCAATAGATAATATTTAATATATAACCACTAGTAAACTGACAACTATTAAAACTGCTAACAACTATTAGAACAACTAAATTTGCTGAATAGACCCTAATTTAACTTTTAGATATTAAATTAACTCATATAACATTTAACTTTTAATGTTTTTATGAGAAGTTAATCAAATAGCTAACAGCTAAATATCAGATAACAGACCCTAAATCCTTGATTGCATACTAAGTTCTTTGTCTACGAATCGAACCCCATGAGTTGCTCGTGAAAGCAAATAAAAGTATAACGGAAGGTTGAATAAGTAATTTGAAGAGAGATAAGAAATAAATAGCTTAAAATACAATTAAGTATAATATAAAGTCAGGGTCGTCGATAATTACAGAGAAGCAAGTCGTTGCCGTGTTTGACCTCAGAACTCAAAACCCTTACTTACATTTATAAAACAGTATATATAGAAACACAGACCTTCCCTCCCTTTAATTAAAATTATTTTTTTATTTTAATTTTAAATATATATAAAAAAATTAATATCACTCCGGAACACAACTCAGATTTCGATTTAGATTTTCTCGAGAAAATTCAACATTTTCCTGCAATTACAACACTTTACTTAGGTTGAGATGAGAGCCGTTAATGGAGATTCCAGACCTTCCAACAACGCTTTGGACACTATAAACGCTGCCGCCTCCGCGATCGCTTCCGCCGAGAATCGTGTTCCTCAAGCTACGGTTCAGGTACTTGTTCTTTTTTTTTTTTTTTTTACTGTTTCAGGTACTTGTTTCTTTTTTTTTTTTTTTTAAATTGATGATTTTAAGCGTTATTTGTTTGCTTATTTTTCAGTTTTCAGTTTTTTTCGATGCGATCCTTTTTAAAATCAATTCCAAGTTCAATTGATTTATATATTATATATATATATAAAAATATATATTTTTTTTTTTTTTTCAATTGATTTATTTGTTTGTTATTTATATTGATTGTGCATTTTATGGATTTTTTTTTTCTGTTTTTTTTTTTCAATTGATTTATTTGTTGTTATTTATGATTGATTGTGCATTTATGGATTTTTTTTTTCTGTTTATTGCTTTTTATTATTTTTTTAAAGTTCTTTTGGAAGCAAAAACTGAGACAGATTTTGCTTTCTAAAGCAGTGAAGTGCTTCCAAAATAATATGATGATGATTAAACCTCCTTTTAGTGTTCAAAGGTTGACTTCTGTTTGTAGAAAGCATGTTGCTTTAGAATGAGCTGTTTAGTTTTGAAGATAAAGTTGGATGCTTCTTAACAGTATTTGGTTCAATAATGTGGTGTTCTGTAAAATTTCTCAATGGAAGTTCTCTCTTATTTGGTTTTTTTACCTTTCATATGAAAGGGTAATCTAAATTTCCCCCCTATGCACATGGCTGCAAGAGTAATATTGAGGGTATGTTTTTAATTTTTATAGCTGCTATTAAAGGAACTAATTTTCGTATAGACCTGGCCACCAAAAGAAGGGGAAAGAGTAATGAATCCATTTCAGGGTAAGGGTGCGATGTCATTTATGATCCATTTCAAAGCTCATGTTTTTCTTGGAGGATACAATATATTTACGTGGCTGACTTAATGTTGGAAGGTTTTCATAGAGAAGAGAACGATGAGAAAGTAAGGAGAGAGATCTTCTTTACTGTAACAGTTATTCTGATGGTTTTGATTTGTTAGGTGGTTCTCAATTATATCTGTATAACAAACAATCAAACTTACAGCTAGGATAACTTGGGATGCTTTGCTTACCTCAAATGGTACAGTGTGAAGCTGCAATTCGCAAGAGTTTTATTTGACTAGTTTTAATTAGGCTTGATATATATAAAATATAGGCGTCGATATTAACTGCCAACTTTTATATGTCAGCCTCTGTTGAAATATTTTCTATGAGGAGCTAAGGACTGTAGATGTTTAATTGTTTATGTCAATAATGATGGCCTTGTAATCTGTGGTTCTAAATAAGAAGGGGCCTGAAGTGCTTGCTATGTGACTTTCATTCTAATCATTTTTTCATATTATTGTGCACATGCAGAAGCGCAGATGGGGAAGCTGCTTTAGTGTATACTGGTGTTTTGGTTATAACAGACACAGAAAGAGAATTGGGCATGCTGTTCTTGTGCCTGAAACACCTGGCCCTAGAAATGATTCTTCAGCGGCTGAAAATTCAACCCAAACACCTACGATCACACTTCCCTTTGTCGCACCTCCCTCATCTCCTGCATCTTTCCTACAATCAGAACCTCCTTCTGCTTCACAGTCACCGACAGGTGTCCTGTCACTCACCTCTATATCAGCCAATATGTACTCTCCCAGTGGGCCTTCATCCATTTTTGCTATTGGCCCTTATGCTCATGAAACCCAGTTAGTTTCACCACCTGTATTCTCTACTTTCACTACTGAACCATCTACAGCTCCTTTCACTCCTCCTCCAGAGTCTGTACACTTAACTACACCATCCTCCCCTGAGGTGCCTTTTGCTCAGCTGCTTGACCCCAGCATCAGGAATGTGGAGGCTGGACTGAGGTTCCCATTATCGAACTATGAATTTCAGTCTTACCAACTTTATCCTGGAAGCCCGGTTGGCCAGCTGATTTCACCGAGCTCAGGCATTTCTGGATCAGGCACATCATCTCCTTTCCCTGATGGAGAATTTGCTGCCGGTTTTCTTGAGTTCCGAATGGGTGAGCCTCCGAAGCTCTTGAACCTTGATAAGCTCTCTACTCATGAGTGGGGATCACGCTGTGGTTCAGGAACTTTGACCCCAGATGCTGTAAGGCCTACATCTTGCAGCTTCACTCCAGATCGTCCGTTTTCTGATTTTGTATCACACAAACATTCAGACAATGGAAACCAAAATGATGAAGTTGGTGATCATAGACTCTCTTTCGAATTAGCTGCTGAAGGTGTCTTGGGATGTGAGGAACAGAATCCAGCATCCCCTGTCAAAATCATAGGAGACTCTTTGGAAAATGGAACAGTAGCTGCAAGAACAGAAGACTCTACTGAAGTGGTAGATGATTTCGAGTCCCGTGTTGGCGAAACATCTAATGGAACTCCAGAGAAAGCCTCAACGGATGGAGAGAAGGCACCACCACGACACGAGAAGCATAGGTCCATAACTCTTGGCTCTCTAAAAGAATTCAACTTCGACAATGTGGATGGAGGAGATTCCCATAAGCCTAATGCTGGTCCAGACTGGTGGGCCAATGGAAGTGATATAGGGAAAGAAGATGGGGCCACCAAGAATTGGTCCTTCTTCCCTATGATGCAGCCAGGTGTCAGTTAGCAATTATTTAATTCCATCTTCTGATACCTTCCAAGAGGATTTCCAATTTTCCACTTGCTGCAGGGTAAGCACCACACTTGTTGAAGCAAATTCCAGTGAATTTTTAGGGTGTTGTGCAAAAGGAACACTGACCCTGAGATGAAGGCTGTTTTTGAGTCCTTCGTGACCTGAAAACAGGGACAGGTGGTAGTGGCACTTTTTTGCTTACTTAGCATAGATAGTTGTAATATATCTCCCTAGTTAATTTAGACAGAAAGATGAACTAACATTGCTTGTTAGATATTTTTGTGGTGTTGTCTTTTTTTTCATTGTAACATAACTGGTGAATAGGACAGTTTTATACATAATAGTACTGAAGATGAAAATTCGATTTTATAATAACTACTGAAGATAGAAAATTCTGCCAAATTGGGTGATTTTCTTGTGATGGCATGAGATCTGAGTTCAGTATTAATTTTGTCATTGTTAAGTATTTTATCTAAAACCAGAAAACTAATGAACTCTCTGTTCTGGACTTGTATTGGTTTAACCTATTCGTTATCCCATTTTTAGCCTCTTAAGAGCTGCACCAAAGCATGAGGATTATTGTTTTGGGGAGAATAGCAAATTGTTTATGCCTAGTGTTGACTCTGGAGTTCAACTGTTGGAGAAGCTATCTTCAGTAAAATGCATTAGCTTAACACATGAATGGACACCTAAACTTATAAAAAAAGACAGAAAAAAAAAAAATTCCAATGACACTTCTTAATTTTAGGTTGTTCAATTAAACCCTTAAATTAGTAAAATTATATATTATTAAATATTTTAACTTATAAAAATATCTTATACATGGTTTAATACGAATTATTGGAAGATAAAAGTCAAAGATGAATAAAATTTTTCTTAAGCCAGGAAATTTGAGCTCCAAGTTATGTATTTGACCAAATATATTTAAATTTTAGATACGATGAATCCAACTTTCAGAAATATGATATCATTTAAACTTGAAATTTTATGTTTCTAGATTATCAAAAATATGGTCAAAGCTCAAAGGAAGATTCTTTACAGTGTGGAAGTCAAGTTTGTATCACTCATACTATTTATCCACACAAATTGGAAATATGGTCAATTTTTTAATGCTACATATTGCACTTTCTTTGTTACTTCCTTATAAAATATAAAAATATAAACTTTTTTTCCCTAAATTAATTACTCTTCCTTATCTATACAGTTTTATATCTCAAATTAATTTATAATTAAAAAAAGTGGTGAATAAGCATTTTGTTTAGTATATTATTTTTTATTAAACACGTTTTTTTTAATATTAAAAACATATGTTAGTAAGCACATTTGTAGTAGTTGTCTGGAAAACAAAAAGTAAAAACATGGTCTAATGGTCTACGTTGGAAGGCTCCGTTTCTACAGCCAATATTATTTCTGTGATTACAATTTTCAAATAAAAATTTTCAGAACCATAAAAGCTGTTTTAGCTCCAGACAAGAAACCTCCCCTTTCCACGGTTTCCTTTTGACCATTAAGACACACACAACATTTGACCTTCTAGATTGCATCAATTTCTTTCTCCTTATAAAAACACCACCAACCATTATCACCACAACCATCTATCTATAAGAGATCATCGCCGCCTTTGCCTCAGCCGTCATCAAATTCCGAGTTTTCAAGAAGTAACAGAAATGCCTCCTTTTGCTACAACCATGACCTATCAAATGGAGAACCTTAATATTCTTGGTTGTGGAATTAGTCCACAATCGGATGTAGTTACAATTGATGTTGGTGGCCAAATCTTTCAGACCACAAGGCAAACTCTAGCTCTAGCTGGCTCAAAATCTTTGTTCTCTCAACTCGCTGAGTCTACTCAACTGGGTCCTCGATTTATAGACCGAGACCCGGAGTTGTTCGCTATACTTCTTTCTTTGTTAAGAACTGGGAATCTTCCTTCAAAGGCTAAAGCTTTTGATCTTCAAGATTTGATTGCAGAGTCTAAATTTTATAATATTGAGTCTCTTTTAGTAAACTCTTTATCTAATCCTTCTCAATTTGATGCATTTAACCTCGAAAAGTCAATGACTTTGCCGTTGAACGGCAGAGATTTTGCTTCTACCATGGCCACGACGCCGTTTGGGACCTTGCACGTTGCTCATGGCAGTAAAATTACGTCTTTTGATTGGGCTCTGCGCAGGAAGTCAACGATCCTAACCCAGTTCACGGCGATCGATTCTCTCTTGGCGATTTCCCCCAATCTAGCTGCCGCGGGAGCCACAGACTTCTCGGGTATGCAAATTCTTGATCTTGAAAAGGGTTATGTTAGGGATACTCTGTGTTGGGAGAACGCGACCCGATCGAGCTCGACGGTTCAAGCAATCGGGTCCTCGCCAGAGTTCTTGTTGACAAGTTTTGAATCGGGTCGTAGAAATTCAAACTCGATTATGGTCTATGACTTGCAATCGCTTGCCCCAGTAACAGAGATTGCTCATTGCGAGATATACGGGGCAGATCTTGACTCGGCTATTCCAGCCACGAAACTGAAGTGGGTAGAGAGTTATAATGTGGTAATGGCATCTGGGTCTCACAGCGGGCCCTCTGGTATACTGGGGAATGTGAAGTTGTGGGATATAAGGTCTGGAAATGTGGTTTGGGAATTGAAAGAGAGAGTTGATTGTTTCTCTGATATTACTGTTTCTGATAATTTATCGGCAATATTTAAAGTTGGTGTAAATTCAGGAGAGGTCTTTTACACAGATTTGAGGAAGTTAGGTAGTGGGGACAGTAATCCTTGGGTTTGCTTGGGGGATAAGAGGAAAGTGATGAATGTCAAGAAAGAAGGTGTTGGGTCCAAAATTGAGGCTCATGGGAATCAAGTATTTTGTAGTAAAGGAGGGGATTTGGAGCTTTGGTCAGAGGTTGCCATGAATTCTTCGAAGAAAACTGAAGATAGGGTGTTCAGGAAGAATTTGATGGGGAGAGTGAAGGATATCGGAGGATCAAAGATAACCAACTTGGCTTTTGGAGGGAGCAAAATGTTCGTGACTCGTAAGGATCAACAATATGTTGAGGTTTGGCAGAGCTCTGTAAGGGGGTTTTAGATTTTGCAAATTGCTTTAGTTAGGGTTTGGTAGATAATTTTGAAGACATTTATTCTCGTTAAACATTGTGCATTTTGTACTATATGTCTTAATTTGATTCATACAATTGTAAATGTACTGTATTACATCTAAAAAATTGCAATGTGATTAATTCATTATGATTGGTTTGAGATCAATTTGGCCATTTTCTGTTTGCTACTTAAGGTTGATTATCAAGGAGGAGTTGTTCACCTCTGTTTCTTAGTTTATACATTTCCCCTTAACCAACGAACTGACTGTGATATAATTTGGAATTCTGCGCTTGAATAATTGGGATTTTACTGTATTATAATCCGAAATGACTGTGGTTTCTGGATTTTGTCAAATTGGTATCAGAATTTGCAAATTATCAGCTTTCCAAACTGTCTCTATATTTTGTTCATCTTTATGCTTTATGATGCTATGAAGAGCTAAACAGTTCAATCTGTATGTCCATGAGTTATTGTACCGACCAGGGTAGCATGGTTTGGCTCAGCAGTTAACTTTCTATTATGGTATTAATTCTCGGTTTATGCCACACAACTGGATATGAAAGACTATATGGGCACATATACATATAGGATATAACATTTGCTATTCAGATTAGGCTAACAATTTTGGCATCATGAGCTATGATTTTGATGTTGTGAAACTATTCACAATTCAGTTCTGTCATTTAAATATTATTTCTTATAAACTGCAAAATTTTCTTTATTTGCAGTAAAAATTAATGTCATTATTTTGATCTGAAATGTATGGTTGGAGTCTATATTATACATATGAAACGAAATTAAAATGTGATACAGGTTTGTTTGGGCAATGCCATAATCTGGTAGTTTCATGTTTACAGAGCCTACTGCCTTAAAAGGCACTTTTGATTTTGGCATCCTCAGTTTGAAGCAGTGGCTGCATTGCAACATCAGCCTCTACTAGAATGATGTCATTTTACTTTCGAAATTCTGTGCTTTAAACTTCATCTGAGACTTTTTCTTTTCTGTACCCCAAAAAGTTGGAATTTGCATTTTAGATGCAGCGTGTTTTTGCACACGTTTATTTTTGCATTGTTCTGCTATTTGGTGCATTTAGAGCTGCTTTGTAGGAGTTGCTGGGATAAAAAAGGATTTCACCAAAATGCTTAGAAGATCTATAATGCTGAATGTTACAGATTTGACATGAAAAATTGGACAAGAAGATTAAAAATCAATTGCACTATGCTATAATTTTGGTTTTCTGGTGCCTTCGGTTGGGAAGCAAGGCTAGGATTCTCAAGTATCATTGTTCGCCTGAATATTTGTTGTGGGATAAAATTGTCTTGTCGCTTCTTTGTGGAGACATATAAGGAGACTGAATGCCTTGGTCTTACAATTTCTTTCTGTTGTGTTCTTTACTACGCTGGCATATGGTTTGAGAAAGATAGTGTATTCCTTGTTATTTTATTTTCTGTAATTGTCACTGTTTCAGTAATAAATTTTTCTTTTACCTTTAAAAGAAATTCTATTGGACTTTGATGATATTTTCACTTTTCAGACAAGGGTTGCATGTAACTTTTTATAGATCTGATTAAGAAGCATATGCATCAAATTTCGCTTATGAATCCATTTATTTGATCTATTCACAAAGAACAATAAATCTTTTTATTACTGGTGGGAATGACATAATACTGTACTGCATTCCTTTTTTTTTCCCCTTTTTCTCTTTTATAAGTCCATCCTGACCTTTTTTTCTAACAGAGTATTAGCTCTTACTCAAACATATTTGTTCTTTTTATTACTTCACACTGACAGAGATAGAGTAAGTGTAAAAGATGCACCATGAAATCCCATGGTTCTTTCTTCTAAGGTGCTTAATTTGCAAGCTTATTTCGCTTAATATTCGTATTTTTAGGCACTACGTTTCTGTGAACCAGATACGATTCTGATCAAACATTGAACTTTCTAGTATGCTGACAGTAATAATATGCTTATTTATGTGTGACTTCTGCAAAGTTCCATTTCCAAAGACAACTTGTCAAGTGATTGGAACACAGTTCGACCTCATCATGAAAAATGGGAAAGGCAAATAGTGGAGAAGTCCAGTAATAAAGGTATGTGTATTATAATTTTTTATATTGTACGCCAAAGCGTCCCCTTCCTTGCATATTGTGATGGAATTTCAGGCCTTCAGATGGAGAGCAATGAGATCATGTTTCCAGAACTAACTTTTTTGCTTGGGCACGGTTATGAGTGCTGCTTCCATCTAATGCCAGGATTAGATGTGTAGAACCTCTGATTTCAGACAGCATTTTTCTATGCATTGAATATATTTTAGCTTTTATGTGCTGTTCTATTAATACTTTCAGATAATTTGATTATTCCAGTTCTGTTAATAAATAGATTTTCATCTGATCTTCTTGTAAGATCTAATACTCACTGAATCTGTAGGTTTGAAGTTCGGTATCTTTTTTCCTTTTGACTACTGCCTTTTTTTTTCTCAAATAGGAAAAGAACAGATAGGTCCAGTTACTTGAGGTTTGAGCTTCTTCTGCATTGCCAGGAGTTCTATAGGTAGAGAATATGCCAGAACAGGGTATTCTTTCAGTTGGATAGAGACCCATTAACAGAAATACCACAAATGAAAAATTAAATAGAAAAACTATGTCCCATCTGGACTTCAAATTCCCCAGGGCCCTCTTTGCTGTCTGATTTATAGTTTATCCTGAATGGTTTGTTAACAGAAATATTAACATTCCCTCTATTTCACAGATCAAGAATATCCTAACACTTCCTGCCAAGGTAATATCAGGCTAGCTTAAGTGCACAAGACTAAACCTTGATTGATGAATAAGTGAAAAGATTCCACATTTAACGACTGCATTAATCGTATTGGATAAATATGGAGTTACTACTGCAAATTTAAATTATCGAAATGAAATGACTTGATTTGTATTCTAATACTATGGCACTGAAATTCTCCACATTTCATTAGAACAGGTGCTGTTGAAATTGAGGCAGGTATAGATTATGAAATGGAGGAAATGTGTGGCTCAAAATGGTTTGGCTAGTTGCTTGCACATTCCTTCCTTCCATCTCTATTGATAGCTTTTTGTGTATTAGGACAGCAATTCTCTTATCTGTCATTGAAAGATGATATAATAGCAATGGTATTGACGGAGCCTCCCAAGTCCGATCCCAACTTATAATATACGGTGAGGATTCCAACCGCGTCAATGTTAGGTGGAAATGTTCCTAATTGCAGACTTTTATATTTGCTACTCCACATCTTATTGCCTGCTTAATAAATTAATGTAATTTTTTGATTGAATTGCAATTTCTTAAAAATTCACAGATCTTTCTTATTTATTTGTACCCGCATTTCCATATTTGGGCTGAGATGTTGCTCAAGTAAAGCTTTTCAAGCAGTGATGACTCCAAATTTTAATTGTAAAGTTCAATGAAAATTCATGTATGTAGTTAAACATTTAGCATTGACCTAACACATAACTTGATCTTGAATTTTGATCGATTTTCTTATGGCTTCTTGAATTTTATCGGAATTCAATCATGACCATGCATTTTCATATTCAGGATTGAATCCCGACATAATTATGTACGACGATGGATCATTAGCATAGTTATAGACTATGTGTATGAATTATAAATATGTTTATAAAATTATCATAATTTTCAAAAGAAGTGTGTCATATTTCTAACTACTGAGAAGACCAATATCCTGATAATTGGCCATTTAAAAAGTGGTTAGAAGTTATAACTTTTTGAGGGAGAGAGAGGCATTAATTGATCCAAAGAAACTGGATTAAAAATTTCAATTGACCCACATGTTGATTAGAAAATAAATTATTTATCCCCACCCTAAATTACACAGATTACAGACATAATACTCGCAGTAAAAATTTGGATTAATTCATATTCCTACCCTAATTATAGAATAGGACACTGCTTGGTTCCATCAAGCCTTACAAAACCGAATACGTTGTCGTCCAGACTTTTCATTTTCAGCAATAAAAACCCGTTAAAACGGGTGAGCGGCTCAATCAATTAATGAATGGTGGGCCTCTCGTCGTCATTCGCTAAACCTTAGTAATAACCTATCACCTATAGTATAACTCATTTTTCTGCATTGAAGTGAAAGGATAGAGAGTTACTTATACATAACGTCGTTGCACAGCAATTAATTATATATATATATATATAAAATTCAATTAGTATGTGATTAAACAACATGTATATATGATTAATGCCCACAGGCATTATGCATGCCCAAATAATTGCTTGCTGGAATTATTATTATTATTAAAATAGAAGCAACTATCTATTGATCATCTATTCTTTGTCATACTCATACCCCACATATATATATATTTTCTATTCTCCTTCTTCTTCTTCTTTTCTTCATTGAATGGAAGATAAAGAGGAGGCAGCAGTTTCCTGAAAAATTAGGTGAGCATCTCTATTTTCTTTTATTGGTTACATCAACTCTTTCTTTTGGATTTGTAAAAAGTTAAAAACTAACTTTAAAAGGAAATGAAAAATCTATAATGATGTTTACTTTGCGGTTTAAGATTGGAGTATATGGTTCCTAGATAGCTAGAATGCATTTTTGAACATGGCTCGTGTCTTCTAAAATGTCTGCCGACTTTAGCTTTGTCAAAATATTAGAGGGTTGTTGCCGTTTTGCCTTAATTAACTTCAACAACCTCCCCTACCATTTAATGGCCGTTCTTTCTTATTTTGCTTTTGCATGGCTCATTATATTTCTATTGTTTCTCCAAAATTAATGATCACATCAAAGAAAAAAAAAATTAAAAAAAAAGTTATTTATACATTCATCAGCACAACTGACAACATGACAGTCTGTTATCCTCCTCCTCCCTTATTTATTGCTCTTCTACTTTCTCTATAAAACCCCACTTTCTCTCTCACTCTTACTCACACAGTTCTTGCTCTCCCTCTCTCTCTTTTCACTTCCCAAGAAAACCATACTTTCTTTTTCTCTTAAACCAAACATCCAAGAAACGTAAGACTCTGTTTCTTTCATCTTCTCCATTGTTAATTTTGATTTTTCTGTTCTTTTTTTTTTCTTCTAAATTAAAGTTTGATAATTACATTCCACCAAGAGTTTCATTTCTTGAATTTTTTTTTTGGGTTAATTGCGTTTCTCGAATATATATTTTTAATATTTTTTTCTTTAGGGTTACGTTTCGTGCAATGGATATGATGTCAATGGTTCTTATGGTCGTATCAGCTTTTGTTGCTTATTTGCTATGGTGGAAAATTTACTCTCGATCTCTCAATGGTCCAAGTGTATGGCCCTTACTGGGTAGTCTTCCTGGTCTCATCAAGAACTCTAATCGCATGCATGACTGGATTGCAGACAATCTTCGGTCCAGTGGTGGCACGTACCAGACTTGCATATGTGCAATTCCTTTTTTAGCCCGGAAGCAAGGTCTCGTGACTGTCACGTGTGACCCTAAGAATGTAGAGCACATCTTGAAGGCCAGGTTTGATAATTACCCTAAAGGTCCTACTTGGCAATCTGCGTTCCATGATTTGCTGGGTGAAGGTATCTTCAACTCTGATGGTGACACGTGGCTATTCCAACGTAAGACCGCTGCACTGGAATTCACCACTAGGACTCTTCGCCAAGCCATGGCTAGGTGGGTTAACCGAGCCATTAAAAATCGGTTTTGTCCGATGCTCGAGTCGGCTCAGCTCCGATCACAGCCGGTTGACCTACAAGACTTATTGCTTCGGCTCACTTTTGATAACATTTGCGGCTTGGCTTTTGGTAAGGACCCACAAACTCTCTCGCCGGAGCTTCCTGAAAATGGCTTCGCAGTGTCTTTTGACCGAGCGACAGAAGCCACTTTGCAACGCATCATTTTGCCGGAGGTTGTTTGGAAGCTGAGGAAATGGCTTCGGCTTGGAATGGAAGTCAGCATGAGCCATAGCCTTGAGCACATTGACAACTATTTGTCCGACATCATCAAGACACGTAAGATTGAATTGGTGAGTCAGCAAAAAGGAGTTGGCATTGAAAACCCTCATGATGACCTATTATCCAGGTTTATGAAGAAAAAAGAATCCCAGAAGGACAAGTTCTTCCAACACGTGGCATTAAACTTCATCCTAGCTGGACGCGACACGTCATCGGTGGCACTGAGCTGGTTCTTCTGGCTGGTGAGTCAGCACCCAAAAGTTGAGGAGAAAATCCTTATGGAGATTTGCAGCGTTTTAATGGAGACACGTGGCAACAACATTTCAAAATGGTTAGAAGAACCATTAGGGTTTGAAGAAGTTGACCGATTGATATACCTTAAAGCAGCATTGTCCGAAACCTTAAGGTTATACCCTTCAGTTCCACAAGACTCAAAGCATGTGGTCGTCGATGATGTTTTGCCGACCGGAACTCGTGTTCCAGCAGGATCATCAGTAACATACTCAATATATGCCATCGGTCGAATGAAATTTATATGGGGAGATGATTGCTTGGAATTCAAGCCAGAGAGATGGTTATCAATGGACGGTAAAAAAATTGAGGTACAAGATTCATATAAATTTCTGGCATTCAATGCAGGACCAAGGATATGTTTGGGTAAGGATTTAGCTTATTTGCAAATGAAATCAATTGCTGCGGCAGTGTTACTCCGCCACCGGCTGTCGGTGGCGGCAGGCCACCGTGTGGAGCAAAAGATGTCATTGACATTATTTATGAAGTATGGATTGTTGGTGGATGTACACCCAAGGGATCTGAAGCCTATATTGGAAAGCATAGGCAAGAATAATAATAACAGTGGTAAAAATGAGGTGGTAAAGGTAATTAATGGTAATCATCATGTGGAGGTAGAAATGGCTGCTGCGGTTGCTTGAAAGGATTTGGTTTTTCCATTTATTTACAGAAAAAAAAAAAAAAAAAAGATATTGCGAATAGGTTTTACCATAATTATCTATGTTTATAAACAGATTCACAATCATGATGATCATAAGTTGTACGGTAAATATACCATGATTTATGTATCAGGTTTTTCAATTCCTATGTTTAAAATAAAAATATAAGTGTCTTGATTGTTTAAGGTTAACTTGAATGTTTAATTGGATTAAAGACATTAACTTAACAAGTTGTCTGAAAATTGATCCACGAGTAATAAATTAAAACGTCACGATGGACCAACCTAATGAATAGATTATAATAATATTCATGGCTTAGATCATTAAAATTTCAACTTTGGACACAAAAATCTTGAAAGATTCAGATGTTGGACAAACTTATTTTAATTGATATTTATATTTGCTCTTATGTGGCACATGTTATCAATTGGTGGAATTGTTGGGCAACAAAAACAATATTACTAATTATCATATATAATTACCTTTACATCACTTTCTTATATATATCTTTACTTGAAAGAAATGTATTCTCTGAGAAAATGATTGCTATAAATGAGTGCCTTCGAGTTTGGCACAATAAGAATATATTGAAGTTTGAGTCTAAGTTCGAGTTCAAACTCAATTCGAGTTGACATTTGACTTGACAATTATAAATTAACCAAACTAGAGCTTGAAGTTAAAGTTTACCAAAATTAAATAGAGTTATTTTAATTAATTTTGACTTATTAACTAGCACGCGATAGACTTTACTCATGAACTCAGTTTGATAAAATGTTGGTTCACAAACTGATTCACGAGCTAATCAAGTCAAGCCTTGAGTAGATCGCGAGCGGCTAAGTCTATTTACAAGCCTAAATTTTTCATTATTAAATGTATATCAATTGTTGTCTAGCAAATTAGCCTGATTTTGTGTAGACAGGAGCCTGGTTTTCCGAGGAAGATTTATGCATTGTTGAGACCAATAAAACCTGGAAAGTGAAATGTTCCTAGAAAGACAGCCAATGACCTAAATTAATAAACAAAGTACCCACCCTCCACCAATTTTTTGACTTTTGATGTATGAGTACAGGAATTAAGAAGAGAGGCTGATGTATTCAATTCTTTTTATTAGAAGAGATCAGGTTTTTTAAACTTGTTTTTGGTAAATTATATAATAGAATCAAGTTTTATTATTTTTAATAATAACTATGAAAAACTATATACAATAAATATTTATTGAAGTTTTCGAACAACTAGATGTGGTATGATCAGTCTTATAACTAATGAGAGGAGTGAAAGATTTTACTTTTGTGTCTTTTCGATCATAAGAATTTTCACCAATAATTTAAGGGAAACACTACTCCTGTTACGTAACTCATCATGTGATTTGAACCCGATGGACCTTCCAGTAAAAATAATTAGGTATTTGTAGCAGTAGAACGTGTGGGCCTAGAGTAACGATTGTGGGCTAGCTTAACTCAGGCCAGTCCCATTCACTTCCGGCCCAACTTTGATGACAAACATGATAGGTATGATTATAATTGAATATTCATATAAAATTATTTTACAAGTTAAAGTATATAATTATTATAAATTTATAAATTAAATTTTTTAATAGATGAAATTCAAAGTTTACAAAATTCAATGTCATTCATTCATTTAAAAACCAAATATAAAAGTATTAAAAATAAGAAATTAGAGCATATATTCTTACATCTGAATTGACTTGAACATGTCACGATCATGCAATAAAGTTTTTATTCCAAAATATTTGACTGCTAGTATATTTTGAGTTTACACACGGTTGGGCATTGGTCAAATGTTGGAAGCTTTCCTCATTAATTAATACATACATAAATTATAATCATTTGTCCAATATAAATAGATTCAATTTCCTTTTTATTTGTCATAAATTGTAGTTTTATTTTCTATTTTAAAATATCATAATCTTTATAATTTCTTTTCCTCATTCATTTGTCATAAATCATAATGTTATTTCTAATTTTGAATTATGATAAGCTTTTGAATTTTCTATTCTACTAATATTTAATATGTATTTTTATCGATAAATATTCGGTTATTACTATTCTCTCCGTCTTATAATTATAGTATTAGTTTGACTTTCACAAAAAGTATTATGATGTTGTGGATAAATAACTCAATCATAATATTATTGAAACTAATCAAAATTTAATTTTTTTTGATTTAAAAGTCTATACAATCAAAATTATAAAATTGATTAATATTGGTGGCAACAATTTATTAATAGAGATACACATTAAATGGGAGTAAAAATAGAAAAATTAAAAAAATTAGACTTTAAAAAAAGAAAACGAACTATAATATATAAGTGAAAAAGAATTTAAGACTATTATTATGAGACAGAGTAAGTATTAATAAGTAAATCTTAAAATAAAAAATTAATTTAAAAATGAAATTTTTTTAGTGTTATTTACTGACATCTGAATTTTATTACCAAAGACTGTATAATTTAATTTGAAATTTAATTACAATTAAGGTTTTTCGCACTTTTCGTAGATAAAAAATAAACTTTTAATATTTCACATTAGTGAAAAAAAATTAAATAAAAAATTATGATTAATTAGATTAACTAGAGCACGTGTCTGAAAGTCAAGACAGTAATTGTCTTACGAGGCAAAAAGAGTTGATAGTGTTACTTGATGATTATATTTAAAAATAAAAATAAAAAATTAAATATTGTCAAATAAAAAAACAAAAAGGTGGATCTTCAATCTTCATCAATATTAAAAAAAAAAAAAAAAAAAAAAAATAAAAAATTAAATTAATGTGCAAATAAAAAAACAAAAGGTGGATCTTGAATTCTTCATTCAATATTAAAAAAAAAAAAAAAAAAACACATTGCCGTAAGCATAAATAAAAAAAAAAAAAAAAAAAAAAAAACACAATTGCGTAAAGCATGATAAATGGAATATTGAGTAAGAGTAAGTGCCATTTAAATAATTAATATAAGTCACAGTTCGTGATCCCATGCTTCACGTGTCACAACAAACCTTATGTTCTTTATCATCTTTCGTTGACTAAGCAGCACAACTCAAAAATCTGTCAAATTAACGGTCAAGATTTCACGTCGTAAGTTATTACCATACATCACAGACCTTACGCGGGGTCTTCCCGTTTTCCAATAATTAATATTTTACTACAATTAACGCTAAGACAACTTTCTCTCTCTATCCCTCTCTCTAAAAAGAACATACAGATACAGGCCCTCGCTTTCTCTCTCTCTCCACATATCTTTTCTAGCTTTCTTTCTTTGAGACTTTTGAGCTTCTCTTCTTCTTGTCTGCGGAGAAGTGACACTGCTGTTTAGAGCTATACATTCACCATTTAAAATTGTAGGTAATGATTAAGGTTCTTTGCATGCTTTTAACATTTGAGCTTTTTTTTTTTCCATAGGAGCTGTTAAATCTTCAATTTTTAAGAGAATTATGGTGTTAAAAGAGTTCATATGCTTGTTTCAAGTGAATTTGGAGATGTGTTTTCAATTTTTAAGGTATTGGTTTTTCATTAAAGTTGTACTCTTGAACTCTTTAGCTTCTTTGGAATTTGGTGGCGTTTGCTGTTTTATTTTGGGGTTGAAAATGGTTGAATTTGTAGATCTATTATTGATATTTGATAAACTATGTTCTGGATTCTTGAGGTTTAAGATGTTATGTTGCATTATCCTGTAAAGGGGGAGTATTGAAAGATGGATCTAATTCAACTGTGGTTGTTAGGTGTCAAAGTCTCTCATGCTAGCATATAAGTCTTGAATTCTGTTTGGGTTGCAGAAATTGAACTGTTATGGGTTACATACAGGAATGAGAACTGATTAAGTGGTGAACTAAAAGTTAAGGCTGACAATTTTAGGTGAATGCATGTGGTATAGTCATGTCTTGGAAAATAAGTCATTAATGAGTTTAAAATCAATTGCAAGATGCTTTAAAATTGTTATTCTAGCTGCAAATAGTCTGATTAGAGTTTCCTAATTCTGCTAGTGAAAGTCTTTGCCAAGGCTTAGCTATACAGTCAGCCAAAATGGGTGAAGCCACCAACCTTTAGGTATCAGCATCTAAGGTTTGATGCCACTGACAACTGATAAATTCTTTTTATGCTGTACGTGCGTGTATGGTGATGATGTGTTCTATATCTCTTTTAATTCTTTCTGAATATTATATGTTCTAATTCATGCGTTGATTGCAGTTACTAATATTGCTGTTGTTTTTGTTTGCAGAAAAACTGACAACTAAACAATCCTGCAGGTTCATACTTGGCTTAGAATCCCAGACAGAGTTTTGGAAATTCACTTGCTCTCTTTCCTGGGATTTATGCGGACATAACAATCACTTGTAATTTAAGTAGTGCATATATGGTAGTCACCTTAAGTTAGAATTTGTGTTATTATTTTATTGCATATAAATATGCCTTGGTGGGGAAAGACATCATCCAAAGAAGACAAGAAGAAAACAAATGGAAGTATCATTGATGCAATACATCGAAAATTCAAGATTGCTTCGGAAGAAAAAGACAATAGTAGATCAGGAGGTTCTTGGAGACGGGGTAGTGACACTGTTTCAGAGAGGGGATCCATATCACGGGTGCCGTCAAGGTCACCATCGCCTTCCACACATGTTTCGCGCTGCCAAAGTTTTGCAGAAAGGCCTCATGCCCAACCGCTTCCACTTCCTGGGGCGCGCCATGCTGGCATTGGACGTTGTAATTCTGGAATTAGTGCATCAATAAGACCAAGACTGGATGGAGGTTTGAAGCCTTTGGATTTGCCTCTTCCAAAACCTGGATGTGGCCCTAATAGATTAGGACATGCTTACACTGAGGGTGATATAGCTACAGCTTCTGTTTCTAGTGCTAGCTCCACTGACAGTGACTATCCATCTGATTCACGAATCCTTAGCCCCCTCACATCTGACTATGAAAATGGAAACAGAACTGCTACAAACAGTCCTTCGAGGTGAGTTTTTGTGTATATGCGCAATGAAGATCATGTTTTTTGACGTGCCATATGTGTGGTTCTGTTTTCTCTCTGACAAAATTTGTCTTTCTATTTTGAAGTATGAAGCACAAAGATCAATCCCATATTTTCAGTCCAAAGTACTCAAAAGAGATATTGAAGCCTGCTGACTTTTCACTCAATAATCAGATTCCTTCTACATCACCAAGACGGGCTCCTTTAAGCACTCATGTACAAAATATGCAGATTCCTCATCGAGGTGCACTCTACAGTGCTCCAGACAGCTCATTGTCAAGTCCTTCTAGAAGCCCAATGAGAGCATTTGGACCTGAGCAAGCTATTAACTGTGGATTATGGGCAGGGCTAGGCTCTGGACATTGCTCAAGTCCAGGTTCTGGTTATAACTCTGGGCATAACTCAATAGGTGGAGAAATGTCAGGACAGCTGTTTTGGCCAAATAGTAGATGTAGCCCCGAATGTTCTCCAATACCTAGTCCCAGAATGACAAGCCCTGGTCCCGGCTCCAGAATACACAGTGGTGCTGTCACCCCTCTGCATCCACGAGCTGGAGGTGCTTCCATGGAATCACCTACAAGCCGGCCTGATGATGGGAAGCAACAAAGTCATAAGTTGCCCCTCCCGCCGATAACAATCTCTAATACTTGCCCCTTTTCACCTGCATATTCAACTGCAACATCTCCTTCAGTGCCCCGAAGTCCTAATCGGGCAGACAATCCAACAAGTCCTGGTTCACGTTGGAAGAAGGGTCGTCTGCTGGGGAGAGGCACGTTTGGACATGTGTATCTGGGGTTTAACAGGTCAGTTGGAATGGTTATATGCTTAATATTTATGCACTTGAGAGAGAACGTATAATTATCTTATAGCTAGCTTTGACCTATGATCATATAACATTGTTATTGAATTGTCCATGACTTGTAGTACTTTAGAACAATACATGAGATTGAAATCACTAAAATCATTGTTGTTCCAAAAACATGCAGTTTGTCTTTATGTTATAAAATGTAAGAATTTAGGGGAATAATATATTATATGATATTGCACTTCAATGGCTAAAGTGCATTCAAATTATTAGATTTGGGACTAAAATATGCTTGAATTTCACAAATCAATGGTTAAAGTGTTGTATAAGTTTCCAAAGTATCATAACTAGGTGTTCCTTAAGCTGAATCTCTGGAGTTTGTAATAGTTTTCTTCAACCTCAAGCACTGTCGTTGGAATTATTGTGTCTTTGTTTTACTTCAGAATTAAACCCTGGATTTGAAGGTATCATTAAACTCCAGAGAAGCTGAGTTATGAACAAATCTTTTCATGAGCATTCTCTTCTCCAATAATTTTAACTGTATTATGCACGTCTCATTTGAATTTGTTGTTTGGGCTTTAGTGAAAGTGGGGAGATGTGTGCAATGAAGGAGGTAACTCTATTTGCAGATGATCCAAAATCAAAGGAAAGTGCACAGCAGCTGGGACAAGTAAGTTTACTTGGGTAGATTCATTGGGATTTTACAGTTTAATGGCCATAAATCTTAAAATACAGTTTACTTATCTGAGAGATTTCTTAATGATTGATAATATCTGGCAGGAAATTGCATTGTTAAGTCGGCTGTGGCACCCTAATATAGTGCAGTATTATGGATCTGAAACGGTAGGTGCTTTTAACATATGCTTTCATTGTTAAGGACATTATTTTTATAAGGTTGAATTAATGTGATTAATATTGTTTCATGCTAAATATTCTTCTTTGGTATGTATTCCTTGTGCCAAATTGCATTGTTGATTATTGTTCCAGAATTTTGGAACTGCTAAGAGGTTGCAACGCTTTACAAGCAGATATATTTCTGCAATAATCTATTGGTTTTTGTGTTTAAATTTTTATAGTGTCATATTGCTACCTTGTATAATGTTAAGGTAGTGTTATATTTTATTTTGATTATCATTAGAAATAAATTAGCAATCAGTCGTCTAGATAACCTGGTTCTTTATTGGCTGAGCAGGTTGATGATAAATTATATATATACTTGGAGTATGTTTCGGGCGGTTCCATCTATAAACTTCTTCAAGAGTATGGTCAGTTTGGTGAAATAGGCATTCGTAGTTACACTCAACAAATCTTGTCCGGGCTTGCTTATTTGCATGCTAAAAACACTGTCCACAGGTATGACTTTTTGTTGCTACTTCATGGTCTGGATATATTAGAAACATGGTTTATCAAATGTTAGAGCATGATTATGCTTATGTCTAGTTTTTGTTTTATACAGAGATATTAAAGGAGCAAATATTCTTGTAGACCCCAGTGGCCGCGTGAAACTGGCAGATTTTGGGATGGCAAAACATGTGAGAATAGCTGTCTAAAATTTTTTGAAAAATTGCTGACATTTATAAATTTTGCAAACTAAGAAAATCAATCTCCTATAGATGTTGGTCGTTCGCAAACTAAGAAAACATGGAAGTAAGATGCTTTTATGCATGCATATTAACCTGTTAGCCATGTGCTCTAACCTGTTTTAACTAACTAATCTCCAGATAACTGGGCAGTCTTGTCCACTATCATTCAAGGGGAGTCCCTACTGGATGGCGCCTGAGGTCTGCATTTTTTACTGCATATTCCATTTCTGCCTTTAGTTTGTGATGATGCTAATCAGTTTCTTTTAAATGTATTGAAATTATTTTCAGGTGATAACAAAGTCGAATGGTTGCAATCTTGCTGTTGATATATGGAGCCTTGGTTGCACAGTTTTAGAGATGGCAACATCAAAGCCACCATGGAGTCAATACGAAGGGGTTAGTAATACTACATCTATAAGTTTAGTTATTAGATTTGTGACATTACTTGTGCAAATTAGCATAGCATTTCCCTTGGTGAAAGTGAGAGTACTTGAGTCCTGACCCGTTGATTGTTTGACCTACTTCTTCAAAGGTTGCCGCTATGTTCAAGATTGGAAACAGCAAGGAGCTTCCTGCAATTCCTGATAATTTCTCAGATGAGGGGAAGGACTTCGTGAGGCAATGCTTGCAACGGGACCCATCACATCGCCCTACGGCTGCTCAACTTTTGGAGCACCCTTTTGTGAAAAATGCTGCTCCATTAGAGAAACCAATTTTGGTTGCTGAGCCTTCAGAAGCAATGCCCATGGTTATGAATGCAGGAAGATCAATGGTATTGGGAATTCTCTCTTTAATTTCCATGCTACCTTCATGTCTTCAATTTGTTATAAGCCAAAAAGTGCATAGTTGTTTTTACTTGCATTCAACAATAAATTTTGTCCTCTTCAAAACTGGGGTGCAGTTTCATGAGCATTGTTTTTTGCTCTTTGATGATCTAGTGATGAAAATTCAACATTTGAAATTTGACTCTCTTATATGATCATTTTCATTTCCATCACGAGTTTGATTTGCTGAAGTGGATCACATCTATTGCTTGCTACATTGTCATGGAGGGTTTAGAATAGTCAATTTTAACATTTAGGCAGAAAATGTTACCTTGTTTTTGTGAATATATTGTGAAGAGAAGTTGTTTTTAACTTTGAATTTGAGTGTATTGGCACCTTCTCGCCTCCCCCAAACCTCCCAACAAGTAATGGAAAAGTGTTGGCCTGCCTAGTTAGCTGTTTCAGTTATAACATATTTTGTTTTCTTTCTGATGCTTTTGTATGTATTTTCTTGGTCATTTCTCTATCTTTTTCTACCTTATCTGCTTTGACTTTTATGACCTTTGACTTGACTTTTGGGTTTCAATCTTGGATATGAAATTAGGGCATTGGGCACGCCAGAAACATTGCAGGCTTTGATTTAGAAGGGTTTGCTATCCATCAATCTCAAGGCTCAAAAACTGCAGGGTCCAGGTTCCTTTTATCTCTTTCTCTTCTCCAATGCATATCTGTACGTTTAATCTACATTTGCTTGTGTGAATAAATGCACTCACACACTCCTATATGTGCTTGCAGAAATACATATTTGGGTTATATCTGGTGAACTTCATATGGCATATATGAGGATTATTTGCAAGTCTATTATTATCTTATTAAGATGAACTAGTAGTCTAGTACTATAGACAACATAGTTTAGCTGAAATAGAGGTGTTTCTTATTCTATGTATTATATATACTACATGTTATGTTTCTCATTTTGATGAAATTTGGGGCATTCAGTATCTCTTTATCACCAATCGCCATTCATACAACTGAAACAAAATAAATGTGGTGGTGGTGGTTGCTTTCTTCAAATGTTAACAGTAGTTTATATCTAGCATTGTTTGTTCTGTAAATGATGATTAGCATGGTATGTTTTCCTCCATTCGTCTTGCTCTTGAACCATGTTAATGCTGTTTTAAAATGTGCTCTACTGAAAGGAAGAAAAGCCTGTCCATGCTTTTATGATGGTTTCAATCTGCAACGAGTTGGTTTTTTTCCATGACTCATGTTAGTTACTTGAGTTGTTCAGAACATGTAAGCTGACTATTATTTTTATCTAATTGACACCTTTTATTTCTTTACTAAATTTTGCCCTTCTATTCCAGTGAAATTCATACACCGAAGAACGCATCCTGTCCAGTTTCTCCAATTGAGAGTCCTCTTCTACATTCAAGGTCCCCACAGCATATGAGCGGACGATTGTCTCCATCTCCTATATCTAGTCCTCATACTCAATCTGGTGCATCCACACCTCATACCGGTGGTAACGGTGCAATCCCATTTCATCATGCAATGCAGCCAACAACTTACTTACAGGAAAGCATGGGAATGATCCCAAGGTCACATAACATTTTGTATGCCAATAGCAATAATCCATATCAGGATCCCAAGCCTGATTTTTTTCGAGGGATGTCACAACCCTCTCATGTTTTCCGGGAGCTGATTTCTTCAGATAATAGCTCTCTTGAAAACCAGTTTGGACGACCTGGCTATGCAGACCCCAGGGAACAATATAATAGGCAGCCTGTCTTGGCTGATCGTGTGTCTCAGCAGCTCCTTAGAGATCATGGGAAGCTGAAGCCATCCCTGGACCTAAATCCAACCTTCTCAATGCTTGGCCGTACCAATGGAATCTAACTTGCACTGAAAACAATTTTCAGTACATTCCTTTAAAGTCAAGATTGACCATGTGGTTAAGTTTGGATCTTCTGAAACCTTGAATGGCAGAAAAAATGTTTGGAAGCAGAATCTGAATACTTGGATACAGAGTTCATATGATAACCAATTTGCATAAAATATGCATGGAGATGATGGATAGTTGGCAACACTCAAATTGTTCTCACTTGTGATGATTGATTCAAGATTTTTACTTGGCAACTATAATATTTCACCTTATCTTTAATTAAGCATGTTTTCATGTCAGCTGTGATGGTGCAAAAGCTCATATTTGAACAAATGGTTTATTCGGAGGAGAAGGTGGCAGCATTCAGCAGCTCCTTGAAACCGGGAACATATATACTGGTGTAAAGAACTGTATATCCTATTACACTTGAAACGGAGTAAGAAGAGCTATTACCATTTCTGAACTTTAATAGCTTGTCTTTTTCCTTTCACTGTTTTTTGGGTGGAAGGATATTGGTGGAAATTTAAAAAATTTTGTACAGAAAGTTGGAGTCCAGATTTTGTCGAACAATGACGATCGAGAATTGGATGCTTGACCTGATATTTTTTTTTGTATCAGTATATGGCAGCTCAAAAACAGAACAGACTATGCTGCTCTGCTGATACTATTGCATCTACTTTATCTACATTAAATCAAATTGACGACATCTAATTTAACCATCTGTAAATTTATTACTTGTGAATGAAATCCTTTGAACATTGTGTCTGCAAACTAAGATTCTTTGAAACCCTGTTCACTTTGTCTTGGTGAAGTTGAAGCTAAAATCCTGCAATTCTTTGCAGTTCTTGATCTTAAGACAGAGGGCTTGGACTTTTTGAATCAATGATCTGTTTTTTGCATCGTTTGTTAAAGACTGAACAAATGTAACAGTAGAATAAGAAATTATTCACAAATGTAAAAGGAGCATACATCAGTAAAGTCTCTGACAGAAAAACTTAACAGGCTCCTTACATTCAGCTACCCTGAACAGAACAGAGAAAGGTAAGAGTGGCTTGCATCACACAGGAAAACACCCACAAATCATCACAGCCTCGCAAGGATTGCCACCCAACAAATATTTGAGAGACTTCAATAAATCAAACTCCAGTAAATCAGAATATTGTTCGACCGGTTTAGGTCGAAACTTCTTATTTATAATATAATTCAAAAAACTAAAGTCTAAAACACGAGATTTAGACATTTCTCTTGGGGAAGAACTAAACTTAAAGGTCTCCACATGAATACACGGGTCAGGACGTTCAGGATAAATGAACCCGGCTTTAATGGTGCAAGGTGTCCTTTCCCCTACACAAGATATGGAACCACGTCCAGCTACGTGATATGGGCGATATGGCATTTGTGTATGCGCAACGCTATCCGTATACCCGATATCATCATCATCAGGCTCTAATTTAGGTTTTAAAAAGTATAGGGGAAATGGGCAATCAAATTTCACAGGAGATAACAGATATGCACGAAATGGAGAGAAACACACTTCGTCAACAAGTATGAAGTCCATCCGGTAGGGCGATTGATATCCAGACACAGTATCTGTTTTTGATTGCTAGTTTGAGATAAAAAGCCTGGAACCTCCTACACAATAGGAGTCTATTGTAATCATAGGGGAATATTCAGAGTATTCCATAGGTTCAGGAAGTTCGGTCCAGCTATTTTCAGTTGGATCAAACAGCTCAAAACTTGGACGTCCGACATAAAAACCACTTCGATAAAGCATTTGGGAGAAAACACAAACCTTACCGTCAAAGATAACCACAGAAGGGCGGACTTTCGAAGCCTTCATCTCAGATAATTCGCCCAGCAGCATCCCCCGTGAAAAATCATAGCCTAACACAGTGGATTCCCAATCCCCCTCTTTGCCCCGTCTTTTTATATTACTCAGATCCGGGATGATGTACCGACCGCCGAACATATATAAGATCGATCCGCAAAAAGCGAAGGCCGTACTAAAGGATAACAAGGAATTTGCAATTGAAGAACTGGATTCAGCGTCGGTATACTGATTGGATTAGGTTTACAATTCAGATTGAAAACGTATACTGAATAAAAAGTACCCCTCGGCTGCCTTAATACACAGCAAACGATACAAACTTTCTCAGAGGCCATCACCGCATCTTCAGCCTCTAGAGCCACGTGTTTTGACGTCTCCCCAAATCCAGAGGGTTGAGATAACAGCCGCTTTGCCATTTTCGTTTGAAGAAGACGCGTAGGTTTTAGGGTTTGAGGAGCTTGATGATCCGTTTCTTAAATACAACGTTTTCTTGCATGGTGGTCGCACGTACTTCAAATTAGGGTTTTCTTTCGTTTTTGATTGGTTTGTTATTAAACTCGGTCCGAATATTCACCGGCCAGCCAAAGAATCAGATGGATGTGTCACTGGTTTAATGAGCGGATCAATGATTCAATTAACGGGTATAATAATATTAATAGTATGTATTGAAATAATTATAATTATAATATTAATTAATTAATGTGTTCAAATTGATATTTATACCTCGAATTTGAGTATTCTAAGCTAAATGATACTTTACAAATTATTTATATCATGTGTAATTACACTAATCAAATGAATTTATTTATTTTAAGCAACTACATTTATCGTGATTAGTTTTTAAAACTATTTCAAAAAATATAATATCATTTAAAGTTAGTTTATTATAATAGAGAGTTAGCTCGAATTTACTATTAACGTTACAATATTCTATAATTATTTTTTACTAACAAACATTCTCACATCATGGTTCTAGGCTAAGAACAGTTCACAAGTAATGTTCAAACCAAGAAAATCCCCAAGAATAGTTCACAACATACAAACTGAGTAACAAAACAAGTTGCATACATAGGAGGCTTGAACTTAGCTACTTAGAATTTATCAATGTCAAGCTGAAATCCCACAATTTTGTGGCTAATTCTGAATCTTTAGCCTGAGAACTTGGATTGGCTATGTTACTGTCCGCAAAATATTGTCCAGTTACCCCATTAACCTGCGGATTCAAAGCTACGTAGCATGTAGTGGCTGCTCCCTGTAACCATTCATAACAAACTAATAAAGCTAATTGACAGAATTGAGTTGGAACCCATCAAATATTTAATTCTAAAGGGCAAACCTGTGGGATGTTTTTGAGAAAATATTTACCAACCAGAGAGACAAATCCTGCATCAAGCTCAAGCTCAGTTTATCAAGAAACTGGAAAATTTTGCAGATTGTTTGAGTGTCAAAGAATTACCATTGAAAAAACTGTGATACCGCAAAATATTTGTAGCAATTCCTCCGGGATGAAGTGAATTAGCAGTTATATTTACTCCATCTTCCTGTTATAATCCAAATGCAGTTATATATATTGTTGACAGTAATTCTCTTGGTGCTGTGATGCTAAGTGCTGTCAGCTTAGCTTTCTTATTTCTCATGAATTGTTTTTGAATGAAAGCTCTAGAGTATTTGAATGTTGAATGAATTTGTGGTAGAGCTTAAATTTAGCCACAAACAAAGAGACAAACTTTCTTAAATCATGAGAAGTTAGTATTAAATTCTTTGTGGAAAGCTAGTATAATGTTGCTATATAAAGCAACCCTTGTTAACGAAAGTGTAAGAGAGAAAAACTTGAAAGCTAAGAGTATGAGAGGAGAGAGCTTTGAAAGAATATTAATTATGTAGAAAAAATGAAGAAGAAAAGAAAGAAAAAAAGATCTGTATTTGCATCAACTTTGTCTTTAACTTCCTTAAACTCTGCTATATTGCTTTCTTTGTTTTATCTCCTCTCAATCTTCAACATATAGGCATTCAATTACTTGTTTCTTGTTTTGCTATTACTTAATATTAAAAATGTATTGTACCTTGAGGCGTCTTGCAAGCTCATTGGCGTGCAAAATGTTAGCCAGCTTCGATTGTCCATAAGCACGTATACTTCCGTATCTGTAAATTCACGGGTATAAGAGAGTAATGCTCAGAAAGACATGGCTAATATAAGTATTATACAATGTACAACCAACTATTTAGCAGCATCTACAGATAGGATTCCCAAAATGAACAGTCAAATACCCCAATTCGTCATTGAGTTTATCAAAACGAATTCCTTCCTCATATGCAGCACGGTGAGCTTCTGACGATAAGTTAATAATTCTTCCCTCTCGATTGCTTTCGTGTGCTGTTTTCTTCATGCTCTCCAACAAAAGGTCAGTTAGAAGAAAATGGCCTACAAAATGATCAAGAAATCTCCTGGAGTTTACCCCTATTTTGTTTGTAGAAGATACATCATTGCAGAAATATTAATTTACTAATTCAACAGAACTGTTTGAAAATGGGGGAGGAGAGCTGGTTTTGGAATTTTAAAAGATACAACAAAAATTATATCTTCAACACATAACAAAGGAAGAGATAAAGATGAAGAGGAAAAACATAAATTCATTACTCATAGTAAAAGGATTTACAAAGCATAAAAAACAAAGTTTTTTTTTTCTTCTTCTTCATTCTCATATAGCTATCCAGCTCTCTCCTCTTTCGCTTTTTTTTTTTTTTCTTCTCTCAAATCTGTCCCAGCAGCTAGATTTATACAAAGAAATGCAATCTAGTTTTTACCAACTCTCCACCAAACCCAATACCTTAAGTTAAACTAAACTAAGAAGTAAGCTTTGCTGCCATCATCTTGTTCAAGTTTACAAGAAAGGAAATGATCAAAAACACAAGATGAATGACATTTGACAGCCAAAGTGTCACTATTGCTAACAACAACAATGTTATCAAAACAGAGTTTAAGGAAACAACTAGATTATCATAGAAACAATCTTAGACCTACAATAAATGGAAAGACTCGAAGTATAGAAATTGTCAACCTTACATAATTATATGCAACTTACCAACTTGGTTTGTTGCAAACTGTATTTCTATGCCATCTTGGGAAAGTGCAAAAGGTGTTGCCATAATGCCAGCATTGTTACTTCCAACAAAGAAAAAGAGAAACTTTATATAGCAGAAAACAGAATTCCAGTGAACTCAAACTCTTAAAATTTCTTGTTTCTTACATAAGGAGATTAAGCGGAAGACCCGAGGAAATATATTCAGATGCAAATTTCCTGACTGATGCCATTGAGCTGAGATCCAACTGCATAACATCAATCTTGGCATCTGGGATTTCTTTAAGTATCGCTTCTTTGACACTCTTACCAGCATCCACATTTCTTACTGCCATAACTACATGTACACCTCGCAAAGCAAGAACACGTGCTGTCTCTACACCAAGACCACTTGATGCTCCTGAAATTAGGTTGGACATGAATTAACAGACTAACCTAGCTACTAACAACCAAGAATTCCTTACATTAAATCTTCCATGTAATTGATGAAACATTTAGGAGAGACACAAGATGGTCATATTCTGCAAAAGCCGTACAGAAGAAATATAATCTAGACCAAAGATTGAAATAGGAAGATATTTGAAAAGTGGATTCACAAAAATCTCTTTCCATTCATTTGTGTAATCATTTTCTCAAAATAAATCCATTTGACACAAAAACTAATGAACATTAATCAAATCCACCCACAAATTCTTGTAAGATCTAAGCATCAATGTATTATTACTATAACACTGAGATGCCATTGGATTAGCATATAATAGGCCAGTAGTCGAGTTGTCTACCTTGCAAGGTGAGGGGTTCAACTTCAAACCCAGGCAAACCATTCCCCTTTAAAAGTTTTCTAATGCACCAAACCCAAAAAGGAAAGGAAAAAGACAATTACTAAAACGCAGTAACAATCACCAAAACAGACAAGCTTGAGAAAAAATCATTAAACCCCAGAAATAACCACCGACATTATTTATTTTTCAACTCAAAATAATAGTTTCCCTATTTGGAAACTAAAATGGAAACTGGTAATCTGCCATTCATAAAGAGTCAATATTTATTTTGCTTTCCTCTAATTTAAACCAAGCAAAAGCTGAAATTAGAAAAGGAAGTAAAGTAGCAAGGCAAAGGCTACAGATAAAAACCTGACCAGTGACAATAGCAGTGAGACCAGTGCCATCAATCCCCTGTGTAACTTGCTCAGCTGTGGAACTGGCAGAGAACCCAGATGGCCCTTTCCACCCAAAGATCCACATATTCAGATTTTAAAACTACAGAGTTACAAATTGTTTCTGGCTATATACAGAGCTATAGCTGTTATTCTTTGACTTCAAACCAATCAAATCATGTCACGGCAAATCAAATACTTTTCACAATTTATCAGCATTACTAGAGATTATAGTAATATTTAAGGAGACTCATTGTAAACGTACCAACATAACATTTTAGAACTAGTTTTATGCTACATATTTTTATTTTATAAAAAATGCAAGGTCTTGCGGTTTGGTGGGATCTCATTTTCATCTTTTCCTGTTTTGCATAGTGAAGTTCCTACTATAAAAACCCCTTATTGTTGAATTAGTTTTATGTTACATATTTTTATTTTATAAAAAATGCAAGGTCTTGCGGTTTGGTGGGATCTCATTTTCATCTTTTCCTGTTTTGCATAGTGAAGTTCCTACTATAAAAACCCCTTATTGTTGAATTAGTTTTATGTTACATATTTTTATTTTATAAAAAATGCAAGGTCTTGCGGTTTGGTGGGATCTCAGTATATTTAAGGAGAACTAATTGTAAACGTACAACATAAATTTTAGAACTAGTTTATATGCTACATATTTTTTATTTTTATGCAAGGTCTTGCGGTTTGGTGGGATCTCATTTTCATCTTTTCCTGTTTTGCATAGTGAAGTTCCTACTATAAAAACCCCTTATTGTTGAATTAGTTTTATGTTACATATTTTTATTTTATAAAAAATGCAAGGTCTTGCGGTTTGGTGGGATCTCATTTTCATCTTTTCCTGTTTTGCATAGTGAAGTTCCTACTATAAAAACCCCTTATTGTTGAATTAGTTTTATGTTACATATTTTTATTTTATAAAAAATGCAAGGTCTTGCGGTTTGGTGGGATCTCACTTGCATCTTTTCTTGTTTTTCATAGTGAAGTTCCTGCTATGAAAACCCCTTATTGTTCTCGTCAACTAAACTTAAGTGTAACTTACCATTTGAACCACCTCTGTATGAGTATCTAAAAAGCTTATTCTGATTATTAGGTTTTGACTCAATAATTCATAATATAGGATTAGAAATAATCCTGTCTCTATTCGGTGCAAGATTATTTTCGATATGTTGCAGGACTTTTCTTTTAAAATTATTGCTAATTGAGTATAAAGCCTTATTTAGCTTTGCCAATTGATGTGTGAGAAATTGACTAGGAATTGCTCTCTCCATTAACACTAATATAATGCACGTAGAATTATGGGGCCTAAATGAAGTTTTATGTTTGGTTTAGTGGAAAGAGGGATAAGAGAAAAAATGGAAAGAAAATGCTTAATCCTTCCTGGAAGGGAAAAAACATATATAAGAAAGTAAAGTGAGCCTCTAAGCTCGATAAACTTCCAAATTATGAATATTGATGCAAGAAAAAGGAAGAAAGATCAAACTTTCATCTATATATCGTAATATAAATCCGAAACCTGCATATAATACATTCATGTTGACTGCAGAAACCAGTTAAACTTTGATAAAAGTTGGGTTCTGATACAAGACAAGTAATATTCAAAAACCAATATGTACATACACTTTTCTCAGAACTGAGAAATCAACAGAACATATGAACTGATCAAGGAAACAAGTTACTTATATAGGAGGCTTGAACTTGATTGCTTAGTTACTTAGAACTTGTCAATGTCAAGCTGAAATCCCACAATTTTTTGGCTAATTCTGCGTCTTTAGCCTGAGAACTTGGATTGGAGAGATTACTGTCCACAAAATATTGTCCAGTTACCCCATTAACTTGCGGATTCAATGCTACGTAGCATGTAGTGGCTGCTCCCTGAAACCATGCATAACAAAGTAATAAAGCTACTGCATTTCTTAGTTGCACTGACAGAACTGGATTGGAACATATCAAATTTGTTATTCTAAAGGACATACCTGTGGGATATTTTTGAGAAAATATTTACCAACCAGAGACACAAATCCTGCATCAAGCCCAAGCTAAGTTTATCAAGAACTGGAAAAATTCAACTTGTAAATGAATGAAGAAACTAGATCAAAATTAACTTCAATATTGAAAAGAATAACCTTAGCCATACTAAGAAGAGTTGAAGTGTCAAAGTATTACCATAGAAAAAACTGTGATGCCGCAAAAGATTGGTACCAATTGACCCAGGATTAAGTGAATTAGCAGTTATATTTACACCATCTTCCTGTGTGGAAAGAAGTGGGGGAGAGGTTTATAAGCTTCTTTTGAGATATGTGATTACTATGAGAAATACATAGTAAAGGGAGAAAACTCCTAGTATTCAAAACTTAATATTTAAAATGTCTTGTACCTTAAAGCGACTTGCAAGCTCATTGGCATGCAAGATATTAGCTAGTTTTGATTGTCCATAAGCACCTAAACTGCCATATCTGTAAATTCAACGAATAAGAGTGTGATGCTCAGAAATACATGGAATATTGCTAATCTATAACCATCTATATGTGCATTAGTGTATGCAGAGTGTGTCCATGTATTTAGCAGCATCTAAAGATAGGATTCCCAGAAAGAACAGCCAAATACCCTGATTCGTCATTGAGTTTATCAAAACGAATTCGTTCACGGTACGCAAAGCGGTGAGCTTCTGATGATAAATTAACAATTCTTCCCTCTTGATTGCTTTCACGTGCTGTTTTCTTCATGGTCTCCAACAGAAGGTCAGTTAGAAGAAAATGACCTGCAAAATTATCAAGAACATCTCTTACAGTTTATCCCCATTTTATCTGTAGAAGACGAAGGATATTATTAATATATGGGGGAAAAAGAAATTAATTTTTATTTTTTTGAGAGTCTTCACAAAGTAATCCCATATCTGTTATTCTCTAGGCTTTCTTTTGATCTGTGTTTTCTCATGAGTATTGAACTTACCGACATAGTTTGTCGCAAACTGTATTTCTATGCCATCTTGGGAAAGTGCGAAAGGTGTTGCCATTATGCCAGCATTGTTACTTCCAACAAAGAAAATAGAACTTTAGTTCTTGCTGTTCAATTTCAAAAGACTTCCTAAATGGGTGTACAATGTGCACATTAAAGAATAGTTAGGAAGAGAGCTGCCTTTATAAAAAGTTCCATGAAAGAACAGAATAGAATCAAAATAGCAAGCAGCAAAACAATCACTCAAATGGGCTTGCAAAGCAGAGAATATCTGTACACATTTAAGAGGAATTTACATAACAGAAAACAGAAACCCAGTGAACTCAAAACTCTTAATCTTAGTTTCTTACATAAGAAGATTCAGCGGAAGACCAGAGGAAATATATTCAGATGCAAATTTCCTGACAGATGCCATTGAGCTGAGGTCCAACTGCATAACATCAATCTTGGCATCAGGGATTTCTGTAAGTATTTCTTCTTTGACACTCTTACCAGCATCCACATTCCTTACTGCCATAACCACATGCACACCTCGCAAAGCAAGAACACGAGCTGTCTCCGCACCAAGACCGCTTGATGCTCCTGAAATTAGGCCCAAAATGAATTAACAGACTAACCTAGCCTAATAACCAAGAATTCCTGACAGACATAAATTGTCATAATGGATAAAACATGTAGGATAGACAATAAAGACATGTAAGAGAGACATTTAAGGAAAGAGAGTAGGAAGGACAAAAGAGAGACATTTAAGGAAAGAGAGTAGAAAGGACAAAGGCTATAGATAAAACGTAACCTGTAACAATAGCAGTGAGGCCAGTACCATCAATCCCCTGTGTAACTTGCTCAGCTGTGGAACTGGCAGAGAACCCAGATGGCCCTTTCCACCCAAAAATCCACATATTGCCTGTTCTAAAACTAGAGTTACAATTTGTTTCTGGCTATATACAGAGCTATAGCTGTTGTTTTTTGACTTCAAGTCAATCACAATCGTGTCGCGACAAATCAAAACTTGAATATATATATATATTAGTGCAAGAACTTGGCACATCTGCTTGTTCTTATATTGCTTATTAACAGAAAAAACCAATACAAAACCCAACCCTTTTTAGTTTTTCACCGCAAAGTTCTTTTAATTATATTATAATATTACCTTATTCATTTCTCATTCCCTATTCATTCTTCTTCAACCTCCATCTTTGCACCGAAACAAAACCTAACAAAGCCTAATCATTCTCGTTGTTGATAACTGCAGATAAAAGAAATCTGAAAATTATGCTTGTTAACCTTATTTACTTCATCGATTGAGAAAAACCCAACAAAGCCTAATCATTCTCGTTGTTGATAACTGCAGATAAAAGAAATCTGAAAATTATGCTTGTTAACCTTATTTACTTCATCGATTGAGAAAAACCCAACAAAGCCTAATCATTCTCGTTGTTGATATTTACTTCATCGATTGAGAAAAACCCAACAAAGCCTAATCATTCTCGTTGTTGATAACTGTAAATAAAAGAAATCTGAAAATTATGTTTGTTAACCTTATTTACTTCATTGATTGAGAAATTTCACAAGAATCCACAGATTATATTGCGTAAATCTCCTTTTTCTTGCCCTAATTCCACATCCCAGGCTCAACTAATACTGGATTAAAGCCAAGAATCTTTTTGTTAAGAAAAGAACAAGAACTTCACTTCCGTCATAATTCGTTATATTAACCCAAGCACAGCCAGAGCAAAAATGGACGCAAGAAATATATTCTTTTAACAAAAAGATTCCTGAACGAATGGATTTCAATGACTTCTAAATATAAAATATATTTTTTGTTTAGATACATGTCATTTCATTTCTTTATCTATCCTGATTATATCGTAATTAATATCATTAATTATTTACTAATGACTTCAATTGAGACATAATCAGGGACTTGTATAATTGCAGAAACCATTGTAGAAGGTTCTTCCATCATATGTAAAAAAGGCATATGGGTTTTGATACAAGTAATATTTAAAACCAAGAAAATCCCCCAAAAAAAGTTGATATGTCCACACACTTTTTCACAACTGAAAAATCAACAGAACATTCAAACTGAGTAATAGAACAAGTTGCTTAAATAGGAGGCTTGAACTGCACTGGTTAGCTATTTTGGATTTGTCAATGTCAAACTGAAATCCCATAGTTTTTTGGCTAATTCTGGATCTTTAGCCTGAGAACTTGGATTGGCTATGTTACTGTCCATAAAATATTCTCCAGTTACCCCCTTGACCTGCGGATTCAATGCTACGTAGCATGTAGTCGCTGCTCCCTACAACCGCACATAAAAAACTAATAAACATACTGCATTGCTTACTTGCAGCAGTGACAAATTGAATTGGAAATATCAAATGTTTGATTCTAAAGGACATACCTGTGGAACATTTTTGAGAAAATATTTACCAACCAGAGACACAAATCCTGCATGAAGCCCAAGCTCAGTTTATCAAGAACTGGAAAATTCAAACTTAGTAAAATGAAGAAACTTATTAAGCCTGATAATGATCGGATGTAATACGCCGAAAATTTGGTAGATCAAATTAACTTTCAATAGTCAAAAGAATAACCTTAGCCTATGTCAAAGAGGAGTTGAAGTGTAAAGGAATTACCATTGATGACACTGTGATACCGCAAAAGATTTGTAACAATTGCCCCAGGATGAAGTGAATTAGCAGTTATATTTACTCCTCCTTCCTGCATTGGAAAAAAAAGTGAGTGACAAGCTTATAAGACTTGTTTTGAGATACTTGTGAGATTACTATGACAAAACCACACAATGGGAGAAAGGCTCCCGAATCATAAAGCAACTCCTAGTATGCATGCGATAGGGATACCATAGGAAGCATTTATAGTAAACCATTCAAAAAAGCAATCAATGTAATATATTATTTTGATTTAGTGCAAAATATCTGAAAAGGAAAACAAAGAGAAAAATAGGTACAGAGGAAAAGTCCTTCATTAGCCAGGATGTAACTAAAGGGCCAAGGATAAGAGGCACCTTTAATATATATATCCAGGGTTAAGAGGCAACTTTAATATATTAATATATATTATATATATATTATATATTATTATATATATATATTTGAGATTTAATGCATTCAAGTATTTGGTTTTCCATGTGTTTTCTTTTTTCTTTTGGATTATCAAATATATATATTTGAGATAATGCATTCAAGTATTTGTTCCCTGTGTTTTCTTTTTTCTTTTGGATTATCAAAGCACTAAAGTTAAATAACGGTTGATCAACAATTTAAACAATGTTGCTTGTCAATAAAGATTTTCTGGTGATTTCAAAGTTTTTCCAAGGTATTAGCAAATATGCAGAACATTGTGAGGACCAAATTTCCACAAGCATTGAACATTATTTTACCGATTCACCTTGGGACAACCACATTTCAATCAGACTATGGCAATGACAAGTAGATACATCTTACAAAACTTACTATATATGTTTAGAAATCTTAGATTATTAGAAACTTCATTGACCAAAAAGAATGACAATGTCCTGGAATCTGACCTCTTCCAAAGATTTTCATTAGAGACTCTAATTACTTAAATTTAAAATGTCTTGTACCTTAAGGCGTTTTGCAAGCTCATTGGCATGCAAAATGTTAGCCAGCTTTGATTGTCCATAAGCACCTAAACTGCTGTATCTGTAAATCCACAGGTATAAGAGGGCAATATTCAGAAATACATGGAATATTGCTAATCTGTGCATTATAGATTGTACAACCATCTATATGTGCTCTCGTGGATGCAGTGTGTGTCCATGTATTTAGCAGCATCTAAAGATAGGATTCCCAGAGAACAGCCAAATACCCTGATTCGTCATTGAGTTTATCAAAATGAATTCCTTCACGGTATGCAAAGCGGTGACCTTCTGATGATACATTAACTATTCTTCCCTCTTGATTGCTTTCACGTGCTGTTTTCTTCATGCTTTCCAACAAAAGGTCTGTCAGAAGAAAATGGCCTGCAAAATGATTATGAAATCTCTTAGAGTTTACCTCCATTTATGTTTGTAGAAGATACATCATTGCAGAAACATTTACTAATTCAAGAGAACAATGTTTATGAAAACAGAGTTTGAAGAAGTCACTAAACTATTGTAGAAATGACATATAATAAATAATAAGACTGAAAGAAGTATAGAAAGTACTTCGAAGAATCACGAAAGTTATTAATCCATGGGAAAAAAAAAGGCAATTTTTATTTTTTTGAGAGTTTTCACAAAGTAATCCTATATGGCTTATTCTTTAGACTGCCTATATTGGCTGTTTCCAACGGATGTTTGTTGATATTCCCCCATATTCAATTGCAAGGAATTTGAAACCTTTTGTGCTAGATCAGTTTTATTACTATGCATTCTCCATTCGATCTCATTTCTAAATCAAAAGCATACTATGTTGCATTTTGCTGCCACGACATATATTGGAACCAAACTATAAGGAAATTTCTTACAGAAATTATCTGCAACTTACCAACATGATTTGTTGCAAACTGTATTTCTATGCCATCTTGGGAAAGTGTGAAAGGTGTTGCCATAATCCCTGCATTGTTACTTCCAACAAATAAAAAGAACTTTTAAGCTCTTGCGTTCAATTTCAAAAGGTATCCTTAATTGGTGTACAATGAAAGAGCAGAATAGAATCAAACAGCAAGCAGCAAAACAATCAGAGTCACATGTGCATGCAGAACAGAGAATTCCGACACACATTTAATAGGAATTTATATAACAAACAGAAATAGAATCCAGTGAACTCGAACTCTTAATATAGTTTCTTACATAAGGAGATTCAGCGGGAGATCCAAGGAAATATATTCGGAAGCAAATTTCCTGACAGATGCCATTGAGCTAAGATCCAACTGCATAACATCAATCTTGGCATCGGGGATTTCTTTAAGTATCGATTCTTTGACACTCTTACCAGCATCCACATTCCTTACTGCCATGACCACATGTACACCCCGCAAAGCAAGAACACGTGCTGTCTCCGCACCAATACCACTTGATGCTCCTGAAATTAGACAGAATGAATTAACAAACTAACCTAACCTACTAACAACCAAAAATTCCTTACGTAATCTACATTGTCATTTAGGTAATAATCAATCTTCCACATAATCGATAAAACATGTAGGAGGGAATTTTAAGCAGGAAGGTCTTACAGAAATTGGTATCAACAAAGTCTAGAGCTGATGGTCATATACTATGCAACAATCATTACAAAAGAAATATAACAACCCAGAACCAAAAATACAAATAGTTAGATATTTCAAAAGTCCACCCAAAAGAATCTCTCTGTATTCATTTATGTAATCAACTCCTTAGGATAAATCTATTTAAAAAAGGAACCAATGAAAAATAAGCTCACAAGCACAAGTGTTCATTAACAACTCCGCCCACAAATTCTTGCAAGAACTAAGCATCCATGTATTATTACAAAAACACTGAGATGCCATTGGTCTACCAGGGCTAGTACGACAATAGACGAGTTGTCTGCTTTGTAAGGTGAGGGGTTCAAACCCAGGCAAACCACTCCCCTTTAAAAATTCTCCAAATGGACCACGGAAAAAAAAAGGGCTTGAGACAATTATGAAAACGCAGTAACAGCCACTAAAATATACAAGCTTGAGAAAAATTATTAAACCCCACAGATAATCACGAACTTGTTCCCCTTTTTGAAAGCTAAAAATGGCAACTTGTAATTTACCATTTATAAAGATTCAATATTTATTTTGCTTCCCTCTAATTTAAACCAAACAAAAGCTGAAATTAGAAAAGGAAAGAAACTAGCTAGGCAAAGACTGCAGATAAAACCTAACCTGTGACAATACCAGTGAGGCCAGTTCCATCAATCCCCTGTGTAACCTGCTCAGCTGTGGAACACGCAGAGAACCCAGATGCCCCTTTCAACCCAAAAATCCACATATTGCAGAATTTGAAACTAGAGAGTTACAAATTGTTTCTGGCTATGCTTCAAAAACTGACCAAACATGGAAATATATTGCTATGAAGAGCCAAAAGTTTTATTGTTTGACTTCAAGCCGATCACAGTCATTTCGGGACCAATCAAAATTTGATGTATAGATTAGTACATGAACTTGCCACATGTGCTTGATATTTGCACTTACTAAACATTGGTTTTGACAATCCATGTCTGTTCTCCTGTGACGAACAGCTGGTGCAAAATTAAAATTTTGTAGCAAATTCAACAAAGTTTTCAATTTATCGGCCCGAAAGTGCTTTACCATTCATTTTTATTATTTAATAGCATCAACTTAGATTATAGTAATAATTAAGGAGTAATTGCAACATTAAAATGTATTTTTGTTGTTGAGTTGATTTAATTTGTATTATTATTTGTTAACCAAAATAGTAATTTTTGGTTTTGTTTTTCCTTCAAAAAACTTATATTTCCCTTTCAATGGAGAAAGGAATTTGGATAGAATTTTAAGATTAAAGATACTATACACATATAAGATTATTTCCATTTCATTCAAAATTATAGCTTTAAGTACTAATTAAACAATAATATTTTATCTAACTCTGAGATAATTTATTAAAAAAATTATCTTTGAGAGTGTTTTAATTACATGTAGTTGGGGTATTCAGTTCCAGTTAATAAGTTAATAATTCGAGTTCAGTCCCACTTATATTTGCAAGTTATCACATTTATCAAATCCAAGTGACATCAGAATAACTTAATTTCTACTTGCACAGTAGTTTCTCTAGCAAATGAACTTGGATAGGTTGAAAGCTACTTATCTTGTGCTTGGTGTGAGCTGTGATTCCACATTTTACATTTACTTAGAAAGTTGAAAGAGGAATAAAATTGTTGTAAGCATAAATTTGCCTCTAAAGCTAACACTTTTATCCTTGAATCACTCTTACGTTTATTGCTAAAAAGTGTAACTTTAGGAGCACAATAAGTCTCCATAGATTTAAGTTGCCGCAAGGATAAAAGTATTAACTTTGGAAGTAAATTTATGCATTAGGCACAAAAAAAATTTTCGTCTTGGCTCAACTTAGGCTAGATTTTGGGCAAGGGTTGTTTGAGCACAATGTCCTGAGTTTGGGTTCAATTATGCAGTATAATATGGAGTGAACATTTCGAGGGAGCCAGCTCAAATGGCATTATGCAGCTCCCCACTTTTCTTTTCTTTATAAAAAAGAAAGGAGAGGGAGAGAGAGAGAGAGAGAGAGAGAGAGAAAGAAGCACTGAGCCTTGAAAAGGACAGTGGTGAAGATCAATTGTGTGAAGAACTAAAGAAGAAAGATGGTTGAAAACAGTGGCTGCTCAAGGAGCAAGCCACACAAAACCATCCACAAGAGCATAAGTGAATTCTCAACTAAAATCACATCATTATTACGACAATTGGAACTTGAGATTGAATTTTAGGTGAAGCAATAGAATTGTGGATGGGAAGTTCCAATCAATGGACCTTCCAACCACTTGACTATTCTCATCAGCACTAAGCAGACATGATAATGTAGGACAAGATTTTGCTTAATGAAAGGAAGATAGCAGAATAAAGATAAAAAAGAATTTCTCCATTCAATAGGGGTCACAAACTTGATACATCACCAATACTAGATAATTTACACACATGATTAACATAATTAACTTTTTCAATACCAGATTCACATGGAAGCGGAAGAGAACCAAAAATACACAACAAAAGAAAAAACAAAAAAAAAAAAAACAGAACACTAAAGTAGAAAAGTGATGGTGAAATGCAAAGCAGCATTTAAGCCCTGCTCTTGAAAGGAATAGCTCTAATGACTATCTGGTGGTACAGAGCAGCAAGAGCAGCTCCAATGAAGGGCCCAACCCAAAAAACCCACTGCACAAGCACAAATAGACAAATTGCAAGAAATTAAAAATCTATTCATCTTTGGTAAAGTGGCAAAAATTCTCTCTTGAAAGTCAGAATATACTTACGTGGTCATCCCAGGCGTGGTCTTTGTTGAAGATGATAGCAGCTCCAAGACTCCTGGCTGGGTTAATGCCAGTTCCAGTAATGGGGATGGTGGCCAAGTGAACCAAGAACACTGCAAACCCAATGGGAAGAGGAGCCAAAATCTGCAACAGGATTCAATAAAGTGTCAACCAGAGCAATCCTAATCACAATCTTCTACTGAGAGTTTAATACTTCTCGTTATGTATTTGAGAAAGATTTGTAAAAAGTAATGAACCGTCAAATATCAATCTCATATAATCATTCGAACTCCATATCAAGTAAGCTCAAGGTTAGTTTTCACTTGATATAGCTGGTCCACGATTGAACCAGACATTTGGTGAGAACTCGTTCACAAGGCTACAGAAAACATTAGATTGTTTCCAAAACCTTTGTTCACATGGATGTGGTAAGAACTTACACAGAGGCAGTAAAAAACCTTTGTTCAATCAATTCTTGCTACAGCAGCATGAAAAAGGATTTAACCACACGGGAAAAACTTACTGGGGATAAGACTTGCCTAGACCGGGTCTTCACGGACCAATACACACATGCATGTGCTTTTTATCTGCATGGACCCGGTCCAAGGAAGTCACCTCATAACTCAAGTGTCAGAGAAATTGTGTTAGTCATTAAGACCATTCCAGGACACAAGAAACATGCAGCCATTAATCCATTTTCCTCCATTACACTGTCAAAAGAAACATCATTTATGCTGTAACACAAAGTGCAAGACATTTTTTCTCTGTCAAGAATACATTGGAACTAAATAGACATACTTTGTTTTTGATGCAGCAAGTGCAACATCAAGCAGAAACAAACAAGTAGCAGAACCTATTTGTCTTCACCACTGCAATGGCACCGGACACGACCTTATTATGCTCGGACACATTTATAGCCTATGTTTTCTGTGGTGGTAATAAACAAAACGTACCTAAGAATTCTAACCAAACACATGTGAGAGGCAAGAAAATTCCGACCCAAGGAATTTTCTTGTGTAAATCACATCCGCAAACAAGAAGAAACCACTTATTCCAAAAAATGAACACGCTGTAGATTATGGCTGCTAAAGTTTCCAACTTCATTAGCAGAAAATGGCTAATTGTAGCAGCCTGCAACTATCTATATAGGTTTACAAGGATTCATTAGACCATGAAGGAATACCACTTATCTGGTTTTACTTCTAAAATTAAGAATCAGAGAAGATCTTGTAGACCCCAGATTTTGGAGAATCAAACAATCAGCTCATTGAAAAGGATTACAGCAGCTATTAGTAAACTTAACCACGAGTGATTTAAGCAAAATATCAAGTTATAGGACACTAAATATCACAAACAACCAAGTCATTGAAAGTTACAAGAAAGAAAGAACCCAGTAGTCAGGGACGAAGCCACCCTTTAGAGGAGAGGGGCAATTGCCCCCCCTTCTATTTTGAGAAAAAAAAAAAAAAAGTTTTTCCTTAACTATTCCAGGCTTTGAACCTCGGTCTAATGCAATTTTTAAGACACTCTGACCATTTTGCTCTCTCCATTTCTACACAATAATCTCTTGATGTACTTTTATACTGATTTGCCCCCTCATTTATAAATCCTAGCTTCGTCCCCGTCAGTAGTTGAGCAACCCTCCTCTCTCTTTAAGAATTTATAATGTACTAAGAAAAAGGAAACAAGTCTACAGAGCAGTCCAAATGACAGTTAAGGATTTGCAGGTAAAAGAACATGACGAAGTTGAAAGCCAAATATATGACACAGGGCGAAAAATGGGGAATACTTACAGGGACATGAGAGTCCCTGGCGCTCCTCTTAGCATCAGTGGCGGAGAAGACAGTGTAGACAAGAACAAAGGTGCCAACAATCTCAGCACCAAGACCGTCACCCTTAGTGTAGCCTGAAGCAACAACGTTGGCTCCACCACCCAAACTCTCATATACACGGTTGCCCTCAAAACCTTTCACCACACCAGCACCACAGATGGCACCAAGGCACTGCATGATGATGTAGAACAAAGCCCTTGTCAAAGAAAGCTTCCGTGCCAGAAACAAACCAAAGGTCACTGCTGGGTTAATGTGTCCTCCTGTTTTTGCAACACAAACATACAGATCTGGTTACTATGATTCTTGATCATAGAATTTTGAACAATATACACTACCATAACAACTCAAAACCCCCAACCCACTTGAAAATAACATGATACATGAAAAAGGTGGCTACTTCTCTGATAAAAATGCAAATCCCAAAACCCACCAAAGTTTAGCTCACAAACTACAAAAAAATGGAAGGAAGAATTACGTTTCCTGAGTTCTGAACGATATGGACTATTTACAATAACTGTAAACCCGAACTTAACCGTAAATGAAAAAGAAGGCTAATTTGCACGTAAAAATGAAAATACAAACACAAAAATTTTAGCTCAAAAAACTGCAAAAGCAGGAAGGAGGAATTATATTACCTGAGATACCAGCAGTACAGTAGACAAGTGCAAAGATCATTCCACCAAAGGCCCAAGCAATACCTTGGGTACCCACAGTAGCACATTTATTGCCAGATTTAGAGACACCCATAACAGTCAAGACAGTGATGTACAGGAACAAGAAAGTTGCCACGAACTCTGCAATACCAGCCCTGTAGAAAGACCATGAGGAGAGCTCACCAGGCTCAAACAAAGGAGCTGGTGGTGGCTCCTTGTAGTCCTTGTCTGTTTGAGCTGCAGTCCCTATGGGTTGCCTTTCTGTAAACTTGTTTGCTCCTAGTCTAACATCTTCTTCCTTGCCCTCCATTGCTGTATCTCTCACACACAGGAAAAGAAATGATGGGTTCTTTGAATCTCTCAAGGCAAGGCCAAAAGCGCACTCTTAAAAAGCAAGCAGAAGCTGTGCAGTTTGTGAGGAGATAAAGGGTGGTTTTATAGGTAGTTTAAGTTTCCTTAACTTATTTGGCCTAAAGAGAAAATGGGTTGTCCTTGCTTATATTTTTTCAATTTTTAATTTCCTGATCTGTTAATTCATCTTCATTACAATGATTCTTGTACACTCTACTGATTATTTCTTAAATTGGTAGGGCCATTTTAAATAATCTTGAACTTCTATTTAATATATACTCCAATGATCTTTCAAAATAAATATATATGAACAATCATTTTCAATCATGATACAATAAAATTATTAACAAAGTTTAACTGTTAAAAATTCTAATTACCTAAAATGAAAATACTGAGTATGAAAATAGATTTTGAGAGATTTATGGATGTTATTGTGTTAAATAGGGTTTTTTACCTATTTTAAAAAAAAAATGGGTGAATATAATTATTACTTTATACTCTAATAATAAGTAGAGAGAATAGAGAAGTATTAAAAGAAGTGAGTAGAGGCTAAGGGATTGTTCTGGAAAGTGCAGAGAGATGTTGACAGGTTTTGGTTGGTGGTTTGTACCTTGTTCTTATCCTAGAGTTATTTCTTTTTCTTTTATTATTTATTATTACTTTTTTGTCTCTATAAATTTCCAATTTTTTAATTTCCTTTTTCCTGGTCCATCTGATTAGCTGTTCAGTATTTTCTGATCATTCATCCAACTAGGACAAAAGAATGTGAGTCAGGTTAAAAAAATAAATATTAAAAATTTTCCAGAAGAAAAAAAGCTATTATTGAATTTTTATATCTAAAAATTATGTTGACAGTTAAATAAAGCGGTAGGAAATTTTAATCTTTTTAACGGTCAAACTATAAGTTTGATTTTTGAAATATGTTTTGAGAAGATCACCGCACATTCTAAAATAAATAAATATATAAATAACATTAATATTTTAATTAATTTTTTTATATATACATATATATTTATATATAACAATAATTAAAATATTAGTATAAAAACTCAACATTTTGTAATCACTTTCTGATTTAACAATTTCCTGCCTCGGAATGGTTGTTACATGTACCTTTCATTTATGGGTACAGTGGTCATTTCCCAACACGAACAAAATGTAGGAGGATATTTTATTTAAAAAGCTAAAGCTACAGTACATAGCGTCCCAGCCACAAATTAAAAGCGGAAAATAAAACAAGAATCGAACGGTCGAGAGAAACTGACCGTTAGTGTCCGTTACGAAAGTGACATCCACGTTTTGAAAAAGCCCACGGGTAACTTAACGGTTACATGTAATAAAACGGTCCAAACAATCCGAAATTACTATGCCGGCCTTTTGTCGTGGCCTTATGAGGTACTGACACGTCTACGAAAGTCCAAAGTTTCAACCCTATGAGTAGTTGGCCTATGATGACATGTCCTTAGTGAGGGTTAATTAAGGGATGAGGATTCAGCTTTTGTAAGTTGTAACCAAAAGGCAAAAGAAAAAGGAAATGATGAAATAACCTTTGGCTTTGGGAAGCAATTGATTGTGGATGACCAAAAAATTGAGTGCATTTTGAAAGAAATATTTCAATTTAAATTTCTTTTTTGTAAGTGTGTCCTAATTGATATTTATTTTCCAATTTATAGCTATTATATAGCGATTGAGTTGAAATTTCTTTTTTTTTTTTTTATAATATATGAAGAGTGTAAGGTTTCAGGTTTTAAACTGGGTTATAAATTTTTTTATAGTTATCTTCCAATCAATATTTTTCTTTTGTTAAATATGATGAGACTCAAAGTTTAGAAATGATTCCATTGCTTAGACATTTTGTTTAAGGACTATAATTATACAATCCAATGGATCCATGACCACCTTGAATAACAAAAACCAAAAGCTTGAATTAGGGATTATCCTTCAATGGTATTTAATTATTTGCATGACCAAACATGCCAAATAAAAACAAACAAACAAAACTTAGGTGGGACCATATAACCTTCTTTTTTTTTTTTTTCTTCTCTGTTGGTTGTAATCCTCCACACAACATTTTGATCTCATTCTTTAGCTTTATATGAAGAAAAAGAGTAAACCCACCCTATCAATTATGATGCTATTGCTAGACAACTCATGCTCATGAGATACCCTCCTGCACTCACATGCTCTCTTAGCCCCACAGCCCACTGCCAGCCTCAGCTTCACCCTCCTTTAAGGCCCCACTTGTCACATACAAAACAACAACAAACAACCAGACAACGCAAAACCCTACAACCAGCTTAGCGCATAAATTTCCATGTTCATCCTTGTTGCCCCTTAAAATCTGTGGAGTATTCATTGTAATTTTGCATTTTTATATTTTAATAATAATTATATCTAATAAAATAATTTTTTAAAAGTTCAATCATAACTATGTATTTTCGTGTTTGAACATTCGAAAAAGTTAATTCATCTTCGAGAATGATATAATTATTAATGAAATGTATAAGTGAATGATTATAATTCAACTTTCACAATGTTCGGGCGAATAATCGGTCAAAATTATGTATCACGTCCCCTGCAACGAGAAGCTTACCCTTCCACAAACATCTTACATCTAGAGGTCTTAACCTTTCCCTATGTACACGTGGCATGAATCTAATGCTAATTTGTGTAAAACTCATTACTAATCCATATCGACATTAACCTTTAGCTGTTCATAGTAGCAGGTAGTTGATAACCGTTCATGATAATTCTTCGTGTTATCAGGTATTAAATAATAATAATTTTGGAAAAGGATTATTGCATTTGCATCCTTTACGCTGATATTGTAATCTTCTTATTAAAAGGGGGGAAAATGGGATTCCAATGGGGTGAAATAGGATTCAGAAGAATAATTTATATATATATATATATATACTTATTTCAATTTTCAGAAAATTTTAATTTGATAATTGTGATTAACTATTAATGGTTAGCAGCGGTTGGTTAGTAATTGAAGAGTCTAATATTAATAATTAAAAATCTCAACTTTACAACCATTTAATTATATCTTCTAATCAACAATCAAAGAGTTCAAATACCAAATATTAACTCTGCATAATTATATAAATGGACCCTAGATGAGGCGAAAGAATTCAATTAACAAACTTAATTGATGCATACCACATATTTCAAATGCATAATTAGCAATTATCAAATATTTAATCATAGAAACCTAGAAATTTACTTGTGATATATTGTTAGGTTAAGACTACCTTAATGATTAGGATTAATTTTTGAGGTCACCAAGATTTTTTATTTTATTATTATTATTATTATTATTATTATTATTATTATGAATTTTCTAACTTATATATATATATATTTAGGTTAACAAAACTTGAATTAAATGCAAGAGTTGCTGTCAAGGATGCTTTTATTTCAAGATTGTGATGAATGTAGCTTGGCAGAAGACTTTTATTAAAACTTACAAACCTTGCTCCCCACGATCTCATATATTTGTTTGAATTTAAAAACAAGTTAGGACAAAAAAGGTCTCTCTCATTCACATTAAAAACATTACAAACCACAAGAAAAGTCCCTTTCTAACATTAAATGCAATCTCAGTAAAATCTAATGGCAAGAAATCATAATTGCACAAAAAAAAATGGAAATAAAACAATTTTTTTATGAACAAATATATTGCTTGCTATTATTGTATTAATTAATGGACAATAAGCCCAAAGGTTAATCTAAAAGGTATCAAAGATTCTACATCATACAAACATTTCCATGTTATGCTAAGCTTTGGCATGCTGGTTATATTTTTAACCAGCTTCCCAGAAGTGGATGATTAAATACACCACAGGTATATTTACAGGAGAACTTACTTTTCCAGGTTCAGTTCATGAGAGTGTTCAACATGGATATGGGGGCAAGGTCTTTCTGGTTCTCCTCGTGTCCACAAAACGTTGAGGTCGCCTCTTTTCTTTCCCAATGCCAAAAAGGTTCCTGCATAAGCGTTCAGATTTTTTTTTTTTTTTTAAAACAGACGAGTGCAAGCATAAATACTATCAGTCATTTGGCATTTCTAAATTGTTCCTATTGCTTTCTGCTAAAAGAATTACCAAGAGTGAATGGAACAATGTAAAGCAGTGCTGGTTGGCCATGCCCATCCATCAAGTTCAGTGCCACATATGTTATGAGTAGACCTGTAGTGGATTTCAGAACTAAGAAGGGAAAAGGAAATTGAAAAATAACAAAAAAAAAAAAAAAAAAAAAGAAGGGAAAAGGAAATTTGAAAAATTAACAAAAAAAAAAAAAAAAAAAAAAAAAAAAAAAAAAAAAAAAAAAAAAAAAAGAAGAAACAGGTATATGCGACACAAAAATAGGAAAAGGAAAGACATTAGTTTGAAATTCTATACCTAATCCATAAGCAATCATTGCCCACAAGAAGTATCCAGCTCGAAGACTTTTATTTGCCAGCCAATCGTACCTGCAAGGATAAACAATTACATTTAGTGCACACAGGTTGGAAAATGCCAATAATTGCATTTTCTTCCACTGGAACACTATTGAGGAATGCTTGTCGAGAAACTGCTATGTTAAGAGCAGAGATAGCAAATGAAGAAATAACATTAGAAATAATTTCCAACCTAAGTGAAAATGCTATCAGCAATCCAGGCAAAAGAATGTCGCCAAATCCTATGATGCTGTAACCACCCCAAGGATCAAACATGCGTGGGATCTTTAGCAGCATAGGGATACCGTCCTCTCCACTTCTATCACCGCGAGCCACCTATGGAAAAATAAATACAATTGATCAAAGCTCTTCTGAATGGCCCAATAGTAAAACTCAAAAACCAAAATTACCCGTGAAATGGTAAAATTTGTGGGATTACTTACCACAATCATGACACTTTCATGGAAGAACTTCTTAGAAACAAACACCCAAAAGATGTCATACAAAAATGCACAGCTGAGAAGAACAGTGCCCACCTGATATAAAATAAGACAGAATAGTATTAGGAGCTGGAGTTCACAAAAAAAAAAAACATCAATTTAAAAGGAAATATATTACATACCATAAAAGGTTCAAAGCAAAAAATAAAAGAAAAATTATTAATAATAAATTTGACGATTGAACTTTACAGCTTTTCACAATCTGGCCACGGAATTTCTAATTTTAACAGTGTCCCAAGTCAAAAGCTCTAATTCAAATGAAAATTTTAATGAGGGATTGATGAAAAGGTCTTCCGCCATTTTTCTAATTTCAAGTACTTCACTGTTAAAATTAAAATTCTGAGGATTATATCGTGAAAGCTGAAAAGTTCCAGAGCCAAACATATACTGAATTCTAAAAAAAAAAAAAAAAAGACGTATTGGTGAAAATTAGTGGAAATCCTGCGAGATGGAGACACTTATAATGCGTATGGAAAGTATTCTGAACATTAAAGAGCTCTCAAAGTATCCCAATCAACCAACTATCACATGAAGTCCTCACTAAAAATAAAATAAAAAAACAGGCCAATATAATCACTCTCACACTATACTAAGGAATTGTGTAACACTGAAACCTTTGTTAATCCAGGCAAATACTCACCTCACCAATACTTCTATAATTCCCTCTATGACATCTGAGCATAGTCCTGTGCTGAAGGATAATCTCTACAAAAATGACAAATTACAACCCGCTAATCACACAAAGATTATATAATAATAAACTCCAAAAAACCACCAAGGGAAATCACATACTCCCTCCGATCAGTGCAATTAATTTGTGTCCACTATAACATACGTGCACAGAGTATCCGTAACATGTGGATGTTTATGTTACTCAACTAAACTATACCTGCCACACAAAACTAGAAGTTTGAGCCCCGAGCCCATCCTGAGCGTTGTTCCTTGGTTATTGCTCTCCAATCTGGTTGCAGGAACTATACCAGACATTAAATTTAATATCACAATTTAGTAAGGTAATAATTAGATACTTGCGCGAGCTGATATATAGAATCTTTAATTTACTTCTTGCATTTTAGAAAAACTATCACCTAATAGGTTAGCTGTTTAGCAGATTTTAAGTTTATCAAAAAAAAAAAAAAAAAAGTATAATACTCAAAAGAATTAACATATAATCATATACCCACATCTTTTCCCCTTCATCTGCAAGAGTGGTTAGCACTACAAAAGAAATTATGGCTACAATAACAACCAAAAACCACAAGGAAACCTCTTCTTGTCATCATATTTTTTATTAACCAAGTTTTCAAGGTGCCAATGCTGGTGCAGCTGTACAATAATTAACCATTGATTTAAAAATAGAACTCCAGCTGATAAGAATTTTATATTGCATAGAAACTAGAGCTTGGTAGTTTAGCAATAGTTACTTGCCAGAATTAAACCATTACATATTACTAGAATCTTGTGTTTGACAATGTACAAGAATTAAGCATGATGTTTGGTTTCCTCCAGTAATGGTTGTTTCTCATTTGAAGCACAAGACAGAACAAACATAAGGAGTTTGAAGGCTATCCTCATTCAAACCTACACCTATTGAATGTATAGTAATCTTTAACTTTTGGCATCATAATATTGTTATTAGTCTATGACATAATACCAACAATAAGTTCATTCATGAACTTAGCTTACTTGTCTTGTCAGATGTCCTCATTCAAACATACAATTATGCTCCAGATCACATTAAAGGACACAAACATTAAAAGTGCTGCTACTAACATAGAAAACTTAGGCATCGACCTCCCTCATCCTTATGTTCTTTAAACTTCAACCAAATTAGCAAAAACAAAATTAATACTGCATTTTACCTATGCACAACACTCTAATGCTAGTGTACATTTTTATTATGTTATGCCAGCATGCTTGAGTTGATTGTATATCAAACATTCATGGCAAACTAAACAGATTGGTAGCAATGTTACCATTGTTTCTTCTTTGTTTCGAGTAAGAAACAATTCCATAGTAACCCCCTAGCATCATAAAACACATTCACAGACTAGGAATTTCACAAGGGACTATATATTGATTAAGGAACCCGGGGAGAGTACTTACAAGCAACTAGCAATATATTACCTTGAGGTTAGGCACATGGACAATTTGCAGAACAGTTATTATCAATGCAATTCCCTGATTAAAGAACAAAAGAAAGGAAAAAAAAAATTATTAGTTGAGTCGCCTAATATCAGTTTTACAGTATTTTTTCACCCATAAATTGATATAGAAGAAAAATAGCAAAATGCTATATGACTCTTGATATCCATTTAAATCTTTCACAAGCATGGCATGGTAAAACAGTGAAACCAAGATAACTACACAAGCAGAAAGAAATAGATTCAATGATGTACATTTCTCTGATAAGTGACTAGAATTCAGTGTAACATGTGAAACCCCTATTCAGTAGCATAATGGAATGAAAAGTTGTGCACCAACAACAAAGATTTAAGTGACCTTACCAATACAGTTTTGAGAACAATTATTTGAAAGAATACAGAAAGAGAAAAACAATGGAGGACAATTATGGTAAAAAATTATTTATACAAAGGAAAGGATTTTCTAACACTAGAAATCTTAGATAAATATAGAAAATTTATTCATAATCCAGTGAAATGATGAGGAACTGCATCTTTACCAGTATATCTTGGCCTATCCAAGCAAAGGAGACATTGCGATATACAGCCCAAACAACAGCAAATGCTATGCAGAATGGAGAAACGGCTAATGTCAGGTATGAGAGAGGTCCAAAGAAGGGTATTTTAATATATGACTCTCCAGCATGCTTGAACCACCTGTGGAAGTATTGAAACTTTAGTTCCCAACATAAAAAATATACCAATTCCCTTGGCTAAAAAGCCATGAATTGGCGTATTTATTCAGGTAATGCAACAAGCAAGCATACTTATAAATAGAAAGGCCAAAACAAAATTCAACATATTTACTGAGTCACTCGCTCGTTGTTTCATGCACATTGTAAATGGAATCACGGTGTAGCAGGAGGAGGATATCACATTGCCAAAATCAGATTCTAGAATATATGAGCCAGTAAATATAAATTTATTGCCTAGTCATAGTGTTTCTATGTTACTCACCTGCATTACAATAATTCTTTTTAGCTCCTAGATATTATTAGCATTTCTAGCAACCACTCATAGCAAATCAATAGTGTCAAGCACAATCATCATAACAAAATATAAACCCCTGCCTACAGCTTCAAAAAATTCATAGTTTCACACATTCTCCTCTGTAAATTCTATATTTCATAAACTATAATTTACACCAAACAATCATATTATGCTCTTCTTTAAGCAAATATTTCTCTCCATACGTGTACACTATTTGAAACTAAATCAAGTACCCTCAGTATCACTACAACAAATATTTACGGCTGAACAAGGTCAAGCACAAGAAATAACAAACTTGCTATAAGATAACTGAAGAAAGACACTAGTTCTCATTAAGCCACGTAAAAAACAAATGAGGTGCAGCCACACACACCCCAAAAAAAAAAGAAGAAGAAGCAAATTAGTCAAAATTTACACTAAAATCTCAGAATTGCTAAAACCATATTCACTTTCACAATAACTTGAAACTAATACATGGCACTAGGAGGATTGAAAAACACTTGAATATTTAGAAATCTGTCAGCAAAAGGATAATCAGAAATTATTTTCATGAACAGATGGGGTGTGGCAGTTCCCCCCAGTATATTGCTTTCACCTATTATAATCTAGCAACCGGACCTCTGCTCAAGCAAGTTTATACAAGAATAATTTCAAACAAACCACAAACTGAAATGTGGATGGCAGTTCATGTTAAACTCCAGTCAGAATAAGAAATCGACAATCATACCTTGATAATAAAGCAACTAGACAGGTTTGTAAGCCCTGCAAAACCATGAAATACAATGTTAAAACTAATTCCCAAGAAAAAAGAAAAGATATGAACAAATAGATCTAGTATGTTTATACACCAATTTCCTTAGACAATAATTTGCATGACAATAATGAAAGTATACATACTTGCGCAGTAATAATGAATATAAGGAACATGCATGTTTTGTGTGTGTATTTGATTAAGCACCTTTCTTATTCCATGCATGTAGAATGACTACAGAGTGGAAAGGAAAACCTCTCACCTCTACACCACCTATGCAGAAAAGAACCACCAAAAGCTCAACGAACCAGTATGACATAAGTTCATAAAGCATGACCAAGAAGCATGAAGCAACAAGAACAAAAAGCACAGCTGACGTTGTGTTAATGTCTACAACGCTACTAACACCTACGACCTTATCATCTGGAATTTCATCCACAGCATCCTACATGAAGAAAACAGAATTCAAAATCAGCAAGTATAAGCTGTAATGAGAATGCAGGCAAAAAAGTAGGAAGTTGAGCAACAGTTTGCAAATAAAAGCAAAAGATCACCTTCAATAGCTTCTCATGCTCAATAGCTGCTTCTCTGGCACTCCATGCAGACCAGTAAGACGCACATAAGATAGTAACAACTGCCATCAGCCACAAAAATACTTCGGCTATATCAACTAGCGGCCGCCGTGGAGAGTATAATTGCACAGAAACTGGCAACAAAGACAGCTTTAGGGTGAAAAGGAAGCATGTAGATAAAATTATGTTGGTCATAAAATATAAACCAGAAAAGTTTGTCATTTAAAGTTCCAAAGCCAAATGGATAATTAAGCAATATTATAAAAGATTCATGCGCCAGAAGAAGGTTTTTGCTTTGACTGCATGAATGACTGGAGTTACATTTGTCTTGCATTTATGCAGAATGTGGAAAATCTTACCTGATGAATTAGTTAATAGCATTTTTTCCAAGCTTGCACCAGCATCTTGTGGGAGCATAACAGCAGGTATTTGTATGTCAAGATCAGTTTCATCTGGCTCACAAACCATCTTATAAAGTTCTGCCAGAGAAAGAACAGACTTCAGGCCAAATGAATCAAAATGGAAAACAGTGACGATAAACTACATACAGTATCATGATTTATATTTTTGAAATGAGAGGTAATTAAAGTCAAATCTTATTCCAGGTCATGTGCAACATAGACTTTGGATTCATAGGTGAAGAACTTTGATCACTTGGAAGGCAAATAACCAAAGAGAGACCGGAAAATAGTAGGGGTTAAGACATAACAGAAGGGATTTGATCCCAAAACATCTCCAGATTAAACAACACGGAGGAAAAGCACTAATCTATCAGACTCCAAATAGTTGAGCCTAGTGATTATTTCAGTAAAATGAACGAGGTTAATAACAAAAAGATCAATTTTCAAAGATAGAGCAATAGAACTATTATTGGCATGTTGCATCTACTAAGAACTAAACTACTCAAACGCATGGATCAAATAATAACCACAAATATAGTGATTACCTTTTTGGTTATTTATTATAAGGACAGCAGAAGCACCAGCAGCTTCTGCATTGTTTGCTTTGACTGTGAACTTGCACTTTCCTCGATCAACCATGATGATATCCTTATCAAGCTAATAAATCGAAAACAGAACACTGCATTAGCAAACATCTATCACATATCCCTGAAAAGAACAAATCAAAACTGTTCAGAATATAGTCAAACAAGAAAAACCTTTTTCTTGGGTTTAGTACAACAATCTCGAGGATCTGAAAGAGTGAGGCGAGTTTGATGAGCATTTTTCTCCTTTGACACAATGGTAGTACCAAATCTAGCACCGACACCAACAAATTCAGCATCCTCTATTCCATTGACCCAAGTTTGAACTTTCACCTAACAAAAATATTCCCAAGATTGTACCAAAATAAGATGAGGCACCCCTAAATAAAGTACAATTAATATGCAAAATAAGCTTCATCAGAATCTAATCAATGCAACTTCCCAACAAACTTACCAAACCATGCTACGAAGCAATAATATCATATGCCTTCCATAAATATAGCTCATACAGTATGCACTTTTAATATTAATCTAAAAACCAAAAAGAGAACCGAGTCGGGAGAAATAGAGCAGGAGCTCAATTATGACCCAAAAAAAGAAAAAAACTTTCATCATAGTTTCTTAAATTGATTTTGAGCTTTCTAAGCTAAATAAATCAAAGGAGCTAATCACTTGATGTGCTACTCGACATTTTCACAAATTTCAGACAACCTAGTTAATTTGGGGAAAAGCAAAAAGAAAAAGAAAGATAAAAGAAAAGGCTTTCCATTTTTGAGGGATCACAAAACTATTTTCAAATCACCCAGAAATATTACAAGAAGAACAACACCACCAACAAAATAAAGACTTAAAATCACATTAAAATAGTCAACAAATATAATTTACTACGCCTCCAATACCATAAAAAAATAGATAAAATGAAAAAAAAAAGGACCAACCAACAGATAAAACAAGCTAGACCCAGTTGAGAAATCAGAAAAGAAAGAACTGGGTAGAAAAGAAAAGCAGCATTGAAGCTCTACCAAAACAAAATCGTTCTCGCAACCAGGCTTTTTGGGAGCTGAATCATCGTCATGCACAATGTCCCCAGCTGTCACAGTAGAGGGGTAATAGACCAACGAAATCACTGCTACAATATAGATTACCAAGCAAAGCTTCTCCAAATCCATGGATTCCCTCTTTTAAGTAGAAAATTCCTGTGCGCGTTCTCTCTCTGCAACACAATTCAGAGCAGAGAAGAGGAGCATGCCTCTTATCATATTTTCTCATTTTTGTTATATAGTCTGTATAAAAAAATAATAAATAATCAGTAACTGGATTTTTTTTATTATTTATTTTTAGAACAAGAACGGAAATGGAAATAATCATCAATTAAGCTACCCAATGCAGAAGTCCGCCTGAAACCACGTCGTTTCGAATCCTGCTTTAAAAATTAATTACTTTATTTAACAAATTTCTTTTTGTTGGAATCTTTGTTATAATAATCATTTATTAATTACTCCCTCCCTCTTATATATAGGTTCATTCTTTTTTTTTCCCATTTATCTTCAAATATAATCTTATTTTATTTTATTTAAAAGACCATTTATATATAACATTAGACTAGTTTGGCTTTTAACTTTAGGGTGTGCAATGAGCTCTTCTGATTTCATTATAGGAGGTGAAGTGCACATAAGCGCGACAAAGACAGAACCCGTGATGAGAGTAGCCACGGGAGATTTTAAAGATCATCAATCAAACAGAACGAGAGTTTGATCCCAAAACATCTTCCAGATTGAAACAACACGGAGGAAAAGCACTAAATTCTATCAGACTCTACTTTTAGTTGAGCCTAGTGGATTTTAAGTGTCAGTGTATAAATTTCTATTGAAGAGCAAAAACGCTGGCGATTATAGATATTTACAGAAATTAATAAGGTATATAGGTCATACTTCTCTACTAAAGAAGATTACGGGGTGCTCAATAATAGTACTACCTTTGATTATGGCATAACAGCAGTATATTTTGGTGTGCATCATCTTACTTAAGAAACTAAAAACTAACTCAAAAACGATGATCAAATTAATAACCCATAGAGAAAATATATACAAGTAGTGATTAACGCTTTTTTATTTTGTTGTATACTTATTATTTGGAGTAGTTAGGAACAGAGCAGTTGACAGCACCAGGCTCAAGCTTCGGCTGAGAAATTGGATGTGTGCTTCTCTTTGGACCTTTGAACCTATGACCTACTTTTTTCCCATCCTGTATCAAAACCCATTATTGATTATATCTCTCTTATCAAATGGCCTTTAATTAATACTCAGGATAAATCAGCAATTGAATTATTTGCGATTTTTTTCAGACATATTAGCATTATTCTACGATCAAACGCCTGATAATTAGGAACAACTATTCAAAACCTTGTATTACAAAGAGATAACTGTATAGTCCACAAATACCTAAAGAAAATAACACCAATCTCTGTGGATTTTAGGGGTATACAATCCTAATAGAATCAGAGGACAAATGCTTGAATATAGTGAAGTTTGTATAGTGTGTAGTTGAGTTATCTTGGAGCATTCTGATTGACTTCCTTTTTGACACTGATAAGTTGCGGTTTAGTTTACACAACACATTCTAAAGGGCGACGATATACATCACTATAAACAAAATTTCAGCATCATCCTGCTTAATGCCTAGTGAACCGCAAGTGGTATTGTGAACTTTCAAGCAAATACTCATATCAAATATTTCCAAGATTAGTGGTCACCATAAACTGAGACAAAGGAATGGCATAAGACAACTGATTGCATAACCATTGTGCGACACCTAACATAGACCTGATGGGTATCCAAGGTCTATTCCATAAGCAGTATTTGCAAAAATGAAATGAGAGCTTTTCAATCAAGGAAATTCATAAATCCTACACTTGCACGATTATCTTAGTAACCCTAAGGCAACTAGCTTTTTACACAAACCTTTGCTTTACATGGAAAATTAGCAGAAATAATATCATTATGCCAACTTATCCGAAAATTTCAATAGAATTTTGAAACTAAGAATTTAATGACAATCTTTAACTTTTATATAATCTTTCAAAAGACCATATAAAGAAGCAAAAACCAGGAGTTCGGGGAGAAGTAAAAGGCGAGGAGCCTTTACCATTTAATGACCAACAAATATGAGAGCGAAAAAATAAATACGATAATAGTTATTCAGTATGCTTTTTGCTCTAAATTATCTCCGGATATTCTTTGAATGGCGCTTTTTTCTTAAGCTAAATAAATCATAAGGGTAAGCTAACATTCACCTTTCCAATATAGTAGCCTTCAAAAGAGCTTAGTCTCTCGACTAATTTTGCAGCGAAAATTTCAGGGACACTACCGACGCTTTACATTTATTATGTGGAAAAAAGTACAATTTATATAAGGAAAAAAAGGGAAGAATATAAAATGAGAACAACAGTCTTTACCCATTTTTGGTGATATGGTGGCGATCACCTTAAAATCAAACATCATTTATTGTATGTTCGTCTATTCTAGTGCAATTCTCCCATGTAGTTATATTTTTACCAAGAAAGCAAGAGCGCAATTAAACACCAGCGCAAAACGAAAATAAAATATAACGCAACTTAAATATCACAATTAATTAATTAGTGAGGTAAACAACAAATACAAAATAACTTGACGTGCCTCCAATACCATAAAAAAATAGAATAAATGAAAAAAAAAAGGACCAAACCAAACAGGATAAAAACAAGCTAACCCAGGTTTTTGAGAGAAATCAGAAAAAGAAAGAACTGGGTTAGAAAAGAAAAGCAGGCATTTTGAACTCTACCAAAACAAAATTCGTTTCTCCAACCCAGGCTGTGGGAGCTGAGAGAGAATACACAAGAGGTTTAGTCAATGGCACAATGTTCCCAAGGCTGTCTGCGATGTAGTTAGGAGGGTTGAATGAGAAAATTGTTAATTCGGTTAATAGTGGGACCAACGACCATCACTGCGTTACAATACTTTTAGACAATGGAAGTGTAATTTACCAAGCAACAGGCTTACTACCAAATCCACATACCTGGGAATATATACACCTTTTCTATTGATTAAGTTAAGGATTAATTTGAGAGAATAATGCACTGCGGCGGTGTTCCTCATCTGCAACACATATCAGATGCTAAGAAGAGACAACGTACAGAGCTTCGCGATCGTCTCGTGATTACAACTTTATTGTTTTCTCAAATTTTGTTTTACCATTTTATAGCCTGTATGATTAAAAATAATCACTGAAATTAAATCAATTGTATACGTGAGATTTTATTTAATTTTGATTATTTAGATTACATATAGATACACGAAATATTGAGAAAATTACAATCAATTCACAATTTACAGTGTGCTTATCCCAAATTTTGCAGAAGATCCGGCCTTGTATAAGTCCACCTGTCTGGTTCATCGGGAATTCCAGCTTTTTATAGAACAAATTTATATGGTACACTTACTTATATGTTTATTACAAATTCTCTTATAGAATTCTTTGTTGGAATCTTGTATAATTAATTCATTATAATTACTGCCTCATCTCTTTGCAATTATATAATAGGAGTTCATGTCGTTGTATTATTACTAACATACTATATTTCTTTCCAAAATCTTAAACATCTTTATTTATTGAGATATTTATTTAAAAGGACACATCAGATATACTTTATAAGCTTAATATATATATATATTAATATATATATATTTTTTTTTTTTTTTTTTTTTTCCAATGTATATTCAGGTGTATATCATACAATCACTAATAGAGGGATTGTTAAAAAAAAAAAAACTAAATAAAAATATAGTTTTATTGTGTTAATAAATTTTTCATAATCTACATAAAAGTCAAATTAGACATATAAATGACAAAGGGAGTATAATATTATTTTCACGGTTGATGAAAACCGCGTAAAATTAAATTATTACTAAAAATATTTATTTAAATAACTTTTTTTTTTTTGTTTTTGCATTTGGAAATTTTTATAATTGAATTGTTAAATTCAAAATTTTTCAATATCTATTTTACATGTCAAATGTTACTTTCAAATTAATTATCTTAAATATGGTTTTTTTTTTTTTTTTTTTTTTTTAGTTTTCATTTAAAATATATCAATGGTGATTTGTTTATTTATAGCACTGTCTCTAACGGGTTTTTGGACATGGGACATACCCATAAATATTTTATTTAGGCAAATAAAGGTGATTTTATTGAATGGAACATATACACAAATACGTCAGATTCTAATTAGTTTAACTATTTTCTATAAACATCTAGATAAAGAAGTATATTTTAATTTCGGAATAGAGTATCTATAAGGAAATATTGATTCCTAAGAACAATAATCAATATATATATATTTTGCCACTATTTGCATTGAGTGGGGAACCTCACATTTTGGCTACATAGCTGTGTGAATTACAATAAAATTATAAAGGAAGTACTATGGAAACACTTTATCAGATATGACATTCAAGCATAGAAATTAATTATTTATAAATATAAAAATAATCAAGGTTTAATAATAACTTAATTAATGGAATTACATATCACTTTCATTGCGTAATCCCAAAGTATTATGTAATATAAAAAAATGATATTAGTAGACTTAGTCCTTTTCTTTAAGAAAAATAATATTTTATTGCAACAAAGATGATTCAAGGAGGTATGAAAAATATCAATTCTATTAAGGTATACACTTGGGCGTTAGATATAATCCTTCTCAGAGCTGATAAAAGTGGTAGGATGATCTCTCTGTGTAATGTTATGTGTAAATATCTAATTATTTATCTTCTGTAATTCGTAAACATCACAAAACTCTCACATACACCAATATTAAATTATAAAATGAATAGAGTCACTTTATATTTATGAAGGTGAAAATTTATCACTTAAAGAAAGATAGGAGCGGAGGGATTGCTCGACAAATGGGGTAAAGTGTGGATTAGGCTATAGACAAATTGGTGACATTAGATTCTTTGTTATGTTTGCTCTTTGGAATTTGCGACTCATAAAAATTGCAAATTATGTAGACCGGCAGACATACTGTTGAGAGTGTCTGGTGAATTTTTCAGATCATAAAAAACATAGATATATAGGTATAATGCAATCAAACAAGGTAAAAAAATTGAACTTCCAAATACCTCCCTTAAGGGAAAATTTATGAACTAGAACTAACAAGTTGGGAAAGACTTTTGAATATTAAGACCATGAATAACAATTAGGGCGATATTTTCCTTAGATTAAATATAGGGAAGGTCTTATGGAATATATATAGAGAAAACAAAATATAAGTTTAAAAAAGGATTCTCTTATTTAAAAATTTTAGGAATAAATATACAAAATTTAAGGGAAACCTGGAGATGCCTGCATACCATTGAGGTTGTCTTTAATTTGAATTTTGCCTGTGTAAACGAAACCAAAAGGATGCTGGTCCCCTAAACATCGCCGAAGGGCTTAAGCAAGTGATAGGATCGCCTCCAGCAATATTAATAGTCACACGTAGTTTCGGTATGGAAATCTGGAACCCAACAGAATGTTGTTGGCCACGGATGTTAGAAGGAAGGGCAAAATGAGAGATTTTTTCGTACTTGTGAATCGTAGAGATGATGAGGTTGAAACAAGATAAAGGAGAGGTGTGGCAGGTGCAGGGTAAAGAGGTTACGCGCACGTGCGAAAGAACAATAACTGAAAGGCTGAGTGCCAAATATACATGTGTGAAAGTATAATAATAATGGATGTATAACATATGTGGTTGGAGGGTGTGAAGAGTGTGTTACGGAAAAAAAGAGAATACTGGCATAGGAATATATTTCACAACTTAAGACCAGAAAGCGACACATAATTCGCTAGACATGTAATTTATCTGGATTCGCGTGAACTATGATGCATATAAGTTGCGTCATCAGGCAAGAACATTCTAATCTACAGCATTTGTTGAATGTCACCGATTATCAGGTAATAATTTTCAAATCCAAAATTACCAAAGGGCATAATTTACACTTATTTTCCCACTTTTGCTAGTTTTGGGTCAGCTCTGAATAGGGGCAATAATTGAAAAAATTATCTCTCACTATTATTCCGTTCAGTGGTAATATAGGGATAGAGTTTCTATTAATGAGACGTATCAACATGCGTATTTAAAAAGAAAACATAGCAAAAAGAAACGAAAAAAAAAAGTTATATGAGGGGAAAAAAGAAAAAATGCTCATATGATGGCTTATACAATACAAAGTAGTGAAAACTCTCTCACAATGGCTCGTTCATGAAGTTGTAATGCATTATTACCAATTGGTTTTTTTTTTTTTTTTTTGCATAGTTTCATTTAAAATATATCAATTGTGATTTGTTTATTATAGCACTGTCTTTACGTTGAAGCAACCAATTATAGAAAATAATATTGCGATTGGAACATTACAATAGTCAAGATTCTAATATTAACTTATTTCAAACTTGAAAAGAAATTTATTGAATTTTGAAAGAACAATAATCAATATTTTGAAATCATTATGGACTTAAATGTGAGCTTGTTCATAATAAAATATTTGACCATTTATTCAGAATGACATAAGCATTATAATTTATTTATAAATAATCAAGTTTTATTTTTATTAACTTATAGAATTACCATCATCATTGAATTAATAAAATATTAAAAAAAGAAATAGACTTAGTCTCTTAAAAAAAATTTAAAATATGAGTATGAAATTCAATTTGGTACTATGGTAAATAACCTCCAATGTGGTGATGATCTCTCTGTTTTGTTATATTTTATTATTTATTTTTTAATTTACACAAATACAAATAAAATATTTATAATTTGAATATTTATATATAGTGGGGTGCTTGAAAGGGTGAACTTGTAAATTGACAAGTCTTAGGTGCTTGGATTGGACAAGAAATGCATTAGACGCGCATACTGTTGTTTGGTGTTCGACCAAAGCATGTGGTCATTGCCTCAACGTGAAATGACTCATTTACCCCTAAGGAAATTTTGGGATAAGAAACTTGATAAAGCCAATTACATAGGTTTATAATGGGGGCAAGATTGGAAAATTAAGTTAAATGGATCTATAAAATTGTAAAAAAAGTAAGGAACCCATTATTTAGTGATTGTGGAAGGAAACAAGATGTGTCCCAATACAAAGCTTAAGAATAGACAATTAACTGTTTTCATGAAATCTTGAACCCAACAGAATTTTGCCAGCAAAATGAATTTTCAGTTCTTGAAATGAATGAACAGATTTTAAAGGCTGTGGTGAAGGCTGAAACACATAATGCATTCTTTATTAATAAAGATTAGATATTTTGGTTAGTGGAGAGGAAAAAAAGAACTGCAGATTTTCCAACTTGAAAAGAACAACAGCTATGAATTATGATTCTCTTCAAAAGTCGTATGAACTTTCAAAATTATCAGGTAATAATCAAATCCAAAATACAAAGGCATAAATATATTCCCACTAAGCAGCTGAATAGGAAAAAAAAAAACAAAAACAGTGAATAGGAAAGATCTATAATGAATTACATTGGAAGTATTATCAAAGGAAAAAAAATATTGAGGGAAAAAAGAAAAAAGAAAAAAAAAATCTCTCAAGTATGTTTTGATTTATGCTTAACAAGATGTTAAAAGAAAATACCTGAACAAGGAGAGGCAAAATAGCAGATGTTTGAAACTTGATGGACCAAAAACAAAAAAAATATAAAAAAAAATGAGATGTCCGAGCTGATTGAATGAGCATTTCCTCTCTAACCCCATGCCATAAGGCACACATTAATCTCCTTCAATAGCATAGATAAAAACAAACTTCACTGCCTTTTTTGAGGTCGTATAATTTTTTTTGTTTTTTTGAGGAATCATATAACAATGTTCTCTGATGTCCTGAAGCAAAGGATTGTTGAAAGTTCCCAACTTTACCTCTTTCAACAATTGAAAAAGAAAAATTTATAAAGAAGATCTCGAATCCATGGTTTCTGAAGGCATGCTAGACATTTTCAACAGTTGAACCTATTTGGGAATCGATAACCATCTTCAAACGTCATTAGTCTGCCATCAACTCTATAATTTGGAAGGCCATGGAAGTTGTTGGCAATGTAAGGTTCTGGTAAAGAGTAGCCTCCACCAGAAAACCTTATGGCTCCTCCATTCATTGTCAAACCAAGTGTGTTGTTATTCTCTCGCGGTAGATTTTCCATGTCAAATTGATTTGGCATGCTAAAACCCCCACTCACAGTCTGGAGAGGAACTGTGAATCCATCTCCAAGAATTGAAGTTGTAGTACTGTTCTGGTTGAAGAAACTGATATCTCTAGAGCTAAGTTTAGCGTAGTTTCTACTTCTTTCTTCTGCAGGCTGCATGCCTTGAAAGTATCCAAGATGACTACTCGAACCAAACATCATATTTGATCTTTCTGAACTAATGGCTGGCTGATTCTGAGCAGTTCTTTGCTGAAGATAGCTAAATGAAGAAGTATCAGGCCTGTGAATTGGAAAATGGGTTTTTGTTAGGACACTTGGTAATGTTAAGTACATTGATGAAGCTGCCTGACTGAAGGAATCACATGTAAAAGTTGGCTCTAAAGATAATCCTGACCTTTCTCCCTTGTCCTTCTCAGCTGAAGTTATGGATCCAATAGTTCGGCTGTAATTAACTTGATAATCGGGTAGTTGAAAGTGATTACTAGAATTAGCAGTTTTTTTGCCTTTTGCAGACTTCAATGAAGATCCACTATTGCCATTTTGAGCTCTTATGGCCAAAACAATGCTCTTCTGTTGCTGCATATTCTGGTCTGTGACACTGGACTTGGAATTTGACTTGTCAGCCAATGCCAATCTCTCTTTTCCATTCTCTTCAGTTGGTTCCACAAGCACAATAGCTCGGCTATAGTCAATCTGATCTTCAAGAATTGGAGAATAAGTATCAGAATCAACTGATTTCTTGCTTTTACTACACCTCTTAGGAGGTCTGCCATTACAAGTCCGAGCTCTTGTTGAGGATCTGACCTTATTCCGATTCTGCAGTTGAACATTTTCCTGAGAGTTCTTTTGAGGTACTCCAATGTTCTCCTCCAAGTTGATTAGGTATTGCATATGCACATTCTCCTTAAACTTGCTTTGGTTATGCGCTTGACCATACTCCGCAAGTTTGTTTTGAGGTTGGACTTGGATGTTCTTCCCAAAGAGGTTTTGGTACTGAACTTCTGCATTCTCTTCAGAATTGTTCTGGTACTGAGATTGGACTTTTTCTCCTTCAAAGATGACTTCTTTCCTTTCTGACTCAGAATCTTTCTCCTCTGCCACCAGTTTCTGCATTTCTTCCCTCATCCATGATAACAAATTTTTTCTGGTAACTTTAAGTTCTTCTAACAAAGAATGCATATAACTTTTGAGATCATTCAAGGCAGCATTTTCACTAGCATTATTAGTTTTACCCTTCCGAGAGATTTCTTTGCGACTACGAGATCCCCTCTTTGTAGATAAATTTTCCTTTTTATTTTGTCCTCTTTTCCCTTTTCTAGCTGTTCCATGTTCATTTTTACCTGAAACGCCAGGATCATTCTTGCCTTTCTTCCCAAATCTGCTAACCTCACTGGTTTCACCGTTATCAATGGGAACCAAGGCCAGTTTGTGCTTCTTACAAGCTGGCTCACCACCTAAACTGTATTTAGAATCATTGCTTGAAGAATCAAAGTCACTGTGCCTCCTTCTATACTCCCACCGCTGCTGGAATTTCAGTTCATCTCCCATTTTAGATATGGCAGACAACAGAAAATACAAATAATTAACCTTGCCTGTAAAGAACATAGATATTCACTTCAGTGGTTTCTTGAAGTTCAAAAGGTACGAACATGGATTCATCTTATTTCAAGAATAAAATTTTATGGCAACTTCATCCATCATTCTCATTTCACTTCTCACAGCAAAGGCCAATCAAGTATAAGGTAGCAACAAAATCAGCTATGGAATAGTAAGCTCTAAATTGCTTTGGCTTCATGGACTATTCACAAGTTAAAATTTGTAGCTTGTGTTTCTATTAAGAACTAAAAACGTTTTTTTTAATAAATATGAGCCCAAAAAGCCACAAGAAATTCAAAATCAAAGATGCAATATGGTTCTGCGAGAATAAGTAGCTCTTCTTAAAATTCAGACCCCATTTCTGTAAACTCCCACCAAACAAACAATCAATCCTGAACATCCAAAGCTTTCCAATGGGATTAGAACACCAAATAAATTGGACAAGCTTTCATAATAAAAACTGCTTTTGACATAATATTAAACTAAACACTAAAAAAAAGAGAATTTTTCAATCACTGGTTCAAATAAAAAAAAAAAAAAAACATCCTTAGTACCAAAGTAATTGGAAAAAGTACTTCTATTTTCTGAAGTTATAAACATCTTGCATGGTAATCTCATAAGGCCAGAAACATAACCATAAGAGCTCAAAGGGGATATCAAACGGTCCAAAATTCACATACGTACTGTGCATAAATTCTAAAGACAAGAACTTTTCAGAGTCATCAACTCTCTTTTGATATTATACCAAAAAGAAGGGGAAAAATAAAACAACCCAGAAAAATGATCAGCTAAACCACAACAAGGATTAACCAATGAAGAAAAGAACAAAAAGAACAATCAAAACAACACCTTTCAATCATCAAATAAATGGGTTTTTCTTTCTTCCTTCCTTTCTTACATTTTTTTTTTTTTCTCTTGAAGATGGATGGAAATAAACTCACCAGGTTTGAGTAGACGAAGAAACTCTTGTTCAACCCAAGAGGACGTTTCCTTTTCCCATCAAAAACCAACCCCCAAGCGCATCTCTTTGCTGGGAGCTGTTTTCCTCTCAGGCATTTATGTCTTCAATTTCTCTCTCTAAAAGGAAATAAAAGATACGTTCTTGCCTGTCTATATAACGAGTCAATCTGTGCAGACTGCAGAGAGAGTGTGTATCTATGTTTTTTCTTTTAACTTTTTGCTGTTTATGGAAATGAGTCAGTAAGTTGGCATAAAAGTGGCAGAGAGAGTTATGGGTCCTTTTGTTAACATTGGCCTATTAGCTTGTGTCCGGTGGTGGATAAATGCAAAGGATTAATAATTAGAGCATTTAATTTTTCACCAAAGAACGTTTTTTTAGAGAATTACAAAGATTTCAATCTCTTAATTTGGCAAACCCAATTGTGCTTATCACAAGTAACAGCTGTAATGATTAATGGGTTGCATATAAATTAATCTATACTTAGAATATTCTCACATATTTTTGTTAAATTATTGATTGTTTATAAATGGCTCCAGATATAGTTCCATGCTGGGATGAGATTATGAAATAGCCATATGGTATAGACCAGCTTAAGAAATGTTCAGTCAGATATGTTTCTATGGATGGCATGTTAAATCAGAAATGGCAAATTGCTATCATCAAATTCAAAACCTATAATTTTGTTTCTCTTTATAAGGCACCTGGTTTGGAAACCCAACTAAGAATAGAGAATCACTAAATGCATTTACAGTATTAACTTTAGAATATAAGCTGTGAGAAATGAAAGCATATTCTTTTCACGGCAGAACAAAAACGACAAATTTCTTGCATTGCAAAACAAAAATCTTCCTCTTCTAAGAACTTTTCAGTTAACTTGGAATCATTCTTTAATAGATAAAGAAGGTTATTAAACCTAAGAATTATGGATATTCTGACACTTAATCTCCTAATTATAGTAGAAATTTTATTTTTAATACGCGTGACCCGAAAAATAAAAATATGAACTTTCGTTTAAAGAAAAAAAAAAGGTTCTTCGTACATGTAATAGTTTAGAAAGAACATGACTTAAAAAGCCAACTCCAATGATTTTGGGATTGAACTTTAATAGAACCCTGTTTTTGGATTGCTCTGTCAAATACAATAAGGTAATAGTCATGCACTGCACCATATTGATGCCTAGAAATTCACTAAATACTATATACAACCTGATTTGCCTAACAGGAACAGAATAGAGCAGGTTCTACATCAGCGGAGTTACAATCCGCTATGCATGTCGATACAGAAGTACAAAATTGGAGGGTTGATTCCTTCAGAGGATCATATTTTCACATTCCTTTTGCTAACACCACCACAATTTTACATCGCATAAACTTCCAGAAACCTGCAGGGAGAAATGATTAAAGAAAAAGGTCATCTTTCAGAAATTTTTAATGCATTTAAACGATTGTGGAGGTCTTAACTTCAACCAATTTTAAAAAAAAAAAAAAAAAAAAAAAATATAAGAGGTAGGAGGCAAATTGATAAAAATAATATCAAAATTAAAGTTTCGAAATTATAAAGACGTTGCACAGTTGGACGTATGTTTGACACACTAAACATTACACTACGATTTTTACATGAATTGAACTTTCCATGATACTAAGAAAGGCAAATACTTATTGATTGTCATTAGCCCCATACCTCAACAATTCGAAGTCCAGCAACTTTCCGTAGTTTTCTGCTCAAGTAGTCACGAGCGAGTTATGAACGGTCCCTTCTTTAAACATGGCCTATTAGCTGGTGGTCCTGAAATCAGTATAAAAGTTTTCACGTTTTCCGCTTCCCAAATGATTGCTAATTAGGAAATATTAGAGCCTTCAATACCTGAAGCAGCTATTTTACATTTTTCACTACTAATATAGATATATAATAACAAAGAAAAAGTCGTGTCAAGTATATATATTATATATCTAAATCTAATAAGATTGAGCAATATATTAGTAAACAGACCTATATCTACATTCAATCTCTTAATTTGGCAAACCAATTTGTAACTATATATTTGCTAATTCACAAGTTAGAACTAAGTCAGGATGTCAATTAGTGAGTTAAATATGGAGGTTTGACCAATAAAATATTTCTGAAACATCCGTTATAATGTGGAATCTTTAGAACATATTCTTCTACATTTTATATAATTTTGTAAAAATTATTGCAATAATGTCTGCTATCTATAAAATTTAGTATTAAGACTCCAGAAATTTATAATTTAGTTTCCTTTTAAAGCTTGGGAAATTTATCATTTTTTGATTAGAAGGATATGACAACATAACTTATATGGTAAATTAAGAATCCTGACTTAAGAATTCAAATAATGTTCAAGTCATAAATGTTATCTCAATCGGGTGCATTAAGTGTTTTTAAAATTCTCAGATAATGAAAAGCAACTTTTCTATTATCATACAAAAATCAAAAAAACCCGTATAATGTTGTCTCGTTACTGTTAAAAGGCACTAATTTGAGTGAATTTTTGGTCATTACATCTCCAAAACTAAGAAACTATATGTAGAATATCATAACCGTAAATTTTGAAACTCTTTATCCCGAATAATTTTTAGCGTGTTTCCACACTGAGAAAATGATTTAAGGCTCATTGATGCGAAGATAAAATTGAATATCGGCTATTGTGCTTGTAAACAACGGAGCGAGAGAATCGTGAAAAAAAACGACAAGAAAGTTATGATATATATTTTTGCAATATGTCGGGCCAAAAATACTCTATATAGTAACCTATCACTCTTCTTAAGAGAAAGCGTATTGTTCAGCATAAACATCATGGAATTCATAGTGCTTTTAAATTTAGACTTTAATACGAAAGACGGAGTTATCGCAACTTAAAACATCACTTATAAAAGAACTTCATTCATTCGGCAATCTCGCTTCTTTCTCGTACACCTCTTGTACACTTCTCTATTCCAATTAATGTATTAGGTTAGTAATGATAAAATCTTACTTCAATTTTCTTACTTAATTCATCCGCGCTATATGATCTGAATATTATATATACATAAAAAATTAATTGGAATCTCTCAGAATTTTATTACACAAGGAAATAAAAAATCTAAAATAAGAATACCAAGGTCTTTAGCTGTTTAATCTATGTATTAATATATGTGATGCGATGTGAAAATGAGAGCTTAGACTTCTAAAATAATAATGAGTTGCGCGAACTTTCCAATGATTGGATTTGAAACTTAAGGTGTAATATGAACCCCTCATGTTTTATTGAGTATTTTGTGACCGTTGCTTATGGTTCACCTATTACTGAAATTATATAGAGGAGTAATTTAGTTCAGTCACCTTAATGGCGATACTCCCTTTTAATATGAGTGGCCTATGGAGTCGAATTTCCTACTTAAATAACATATTTAAATCAACCTGAGTGTGTGTAATAGCCTCCTAAACTCAAGCAAAAAACAACAAAATACATAACAATGACATATACTTTCGATCATTTCTAACACTATATATCATCGGCGGAGAAAGTTCTACTCCTCAATTTCCGACTAATATGCTAGTGTCATTGCACTGAGAGGGTCATATCTTCTAGTCTTCACCTAATTTTGCTGTGGTTTTATATCAACCTTCTAGGATTAGGGTGTCATTAATATTCATCTATTTGGATACCTTCTTATATTTTGAGCCATACATTGAACGCAACGCAACTCTTACTAGTTAAGGCGATACGCAAAATAATGCGTTTTTCCACTCAGCATGAACCACAACTTCTCTCAGTCCAGGGACACAAGAATTGATTGCAAAGTAATCAATAGAAGTAAATGGTTCATCATAGTTCTCATAAGAATAATTTATGTTAATCTCGTGGCATATTTAAAGACGCACTGTTGAGAAGTGTCTATAACTTTCTTATTAAAAACGCAAGTTTTATTAAATAAAAAAAAGAAAAAAGACTATTAATTATTATAAAAAAATATCTTTCTGCATTCAATGAGCATATTGAAGATTTAGATCATATGTATAATAGATCGATTAACACGTTTGTGCATCTCAGAAAGCCACCAGAGGGTTCTCCTGCTTGAAATACAAGAAACGACGTCTTTCTCTGTGTGTGGACGTTGAAAATGAACCATTTTACTTTTCAATTTTTAATGTTTACGAAGATATATTAGGACTTATCCTAACCTCCACATTTCCAGAGACTCATCTTTCTTAGGATTTACTCAATAAAATCTTTCTACAGCAACCTCTTTAGATACTCTAACCTGTTAACGCTTGCGATAAAATCAATTAAGTGAGACTCTATGCTCTTAGTCAGGAGTTAATATACTTCTCATGCTAACAACTAGAGTTGTAACAAATTGTCAAGTTGAATTATGTAATGATCTTCGATTATTGATCAATTACAAGGTTTGAAGACACTGTTCAAATATAGTTCAGCTCTTAGCGATCCATGAAACTCTTAAACATTTTCATCTATCAAATGCAGATACAAACCCTTCATTATTAAATAGAATTGGAAAGAACAGAGAGTTATGCGCAATCTTTAATAATAATAGAGTTCGAAAAATGAATGAGAAAACACAAATTAAAAACGATGAGGAACGTTTAGGAGAGCGCGTGATAAGAAAAGCAAAAAAAAAAAAAAAAAAAAAAAAATCTCCATCAATTGCCTTGAAGTATATGTATAATAGTGCCTTCATCAGAGCCACGAGGTCCTCAAGACTCTTCTTTGACGTGAACTAAACATTCTGCTTTTATGTTCGAAGTAGAATTCATAACCTTTCAGTGTCATTGGATTACCACTCAACATCTTAGATTACTAACTTGTAACTGAAAATCAATGGCTTTCTGGTAACCTGCAACAACAGTTGCAAAAGAAGGAAGTATTAATGATGTCGTGTCAATCAAGGTTGGACATGTCAATGCTAGCTTAGCATAAACTAAAAGTTCTAAGACATTAAACCCTTCATTATTAATAGAATGAAGAACAGATCCTTCATTGTCAAAAAATAAAAAATAAAAAAAAGAAGACCATGATGCAGTTCGTTATGCAATTCAAAGAACAGCGAATTAACTTACCGCCATGGAAATTCACTTGTGTCTATCCCAGCTTGATGAAGCTCATCAACATACTGCAAAGCTTCCCTGCACTCCTCACGATCATCGAAGAACTCTCTTTTGTCACCTTCAATTTGATATGTCTCATGGCCTTTACCAGCAACCACCTGCAATACAAGAATAATTTCAGAAAGACAAAAACTCCTTGAAAGAAATGTGAGAATAAGCAAGCCTGGTGAAAACATTACCCTTTCAAAGTCCACCCATCCCCGTAAAAGAGAAAATAAAAAAAAAGTTTCAGAAAGAACTTAAGTTACAGCACCAAGATATAATAGGAAAATTATGCAGGACTTAGATTAACAATGAGGTAATAGAAGACATAAAAAAAACATGTCATTTTGACAGCTATTTCCAAATTACTGTTCAACTACTCATCGCATCTTATATTGAATCAAATTAACTTAACTTTTCAGAACAATTTGCTTTAAGAATTTATGGTTTCTTTTATGATCTAAAAGGCAAGGAGGAAAATACTTATAATTTTATTCATTACATCACATTTTTTCAGCTTGTCTGTTTCAGGTAGAGAGCCAATGAGAGATGGTTGTTGTAAAACAACACTGGAATATAGTAAATTGAGTTTTCTGAGCAATCTTCGAACACTATTGTGCTCCTAACAAAGAGTAGAAACATGGGTTTAAATACTTACAACCATATCACCTTCTTCCCCCATGGCAACAGCACAACGTACAGCCACTCGTCTAATATCATGTAGAAAAAGACGATGACCATTAGGAAGAGGTGGATAGTAATCATTCTCCCCATATTTCAAATAATCCTGCATTGTCCATCCCACACCAGCCAACATGTCATCCAAGATGTCCACTGATCAAAGATAAAAAGATAAAAGAATTAGTAATATGCTTTGCAACAATGACATTTTAGTTATGCAATATGGTCTAAAACACCTACATGGATCTTCAGTTTTTGGATTGTCAGACGTCAGAATTGTCACCTCACTTTTTTCTGTTGCAATTTTTGTCATCATTGGTCTCTTGCCTCTTTCGCCCTCACCCACACATCCAATAACTTCATAGAAAGCATGAAGTTGGTTAGAAGTGATTGGATTTTGTTAAGAATTTTATCTATCCCCCATAAATTCACACCGATAAACTTGTTAAAACAAATGGCAATTTTCTCTAGGAACAACTCCCATCTTTTCTAAATCGATCATAGAATTAACAATGTAGTAAAACTAAAATCAAGGATGAATTCAATAAATAGACAGATACACATGTCCAAACCTTTTTGAATGTCAATAACATTTTGATTTTTTGAGATAGATTAACTCAATAGTTCAACTAATAAATGATTTACTTAAAATAGAATTCCTCGGGAGGAATTTTCAAAATTCAGTAACTTCTAACAAAGAGCAATAACGATGATAGGCAAAAACTTATCTCAAGATATTATCATGACAGGACTGCAAATGCCAATACCACTGTTTCAACAAAAGGAACCATCTTTCTAACTAATTAAATTTGTGACCATATATGACATTCAACCAAGTGATCATTGCTTTCTTTCAGCAACGATCCAAGATTCTGCAAGGGGGCAAAAACTAATTTGGCCTGTTTAAACAGAAAAGCAAAACTGCATTTATGTTGGACTTAGTGGGAGTGTAACAAATTGCCCAAAGAAAAAATTGTTAAAGCTAGTGGCAAGGCTTAGAAGTATACCGGTTATAATCCTCCTAGGCCTGAGCTCTCTTACAGAATCAAGCAGCCTAGATAGGGCTTCAGGAGTATGAGCAGAGTCCACTATCACACCAAATGCCTGCTCCTCATCTATTAACTCACACCTACCAGGAACTGCATCAATCTCTTCAATCCCTCTGACTATGTCCTCCAATGGTGCCCCAACTGCAATCCCAACAGCAACAGCAGCTAGAATATTATAGATATTATGCCTCCCAAGCAATCCAGATGAAATCTCTAATATACCATGGGGTGTATTAACCAAAACCTGTGTCTCAAAAAGGGACAGTTCAAACTTCAAGGGATGAACATCTGCACTTTTATTGTCCATAGCAAAGGTCACAACAGGCACATCTGGATTCCCCTGTGCAATAAAAAAAGAAGCATTGGGGTCCTCAATGTTAACAATTTTCCTGTGCCTTTCTGGATCAACCATCCTAGCAAACAACTCAGCTTTGGCATCCCTATATTCCTCCTCAGTCCCTTGAAAATCCAGGTGATCCACTCTTAAATTGGTAAAAACTGAAATATCAAAATCAACCTCATTGCAACTCCCAGAAGCTGGTCCTTGGGAAGACACCTCCATAACAACAGCTTCAGTCCCATTATGTACCATCTTAGCCATCAAATTCTGAACTAAAACCGCATCCGGCGCAGTATTAGGTGATTCCAACTTATTATCGCCATGTATATAATACGCAACTGTACTTAACATCCCAGTCCTCAACCCCATTGCCTCATACATCCCTTTAATCAAATATGCTGCAGTAGTTTTGCCATCTGTTCCAGTTATCCCAATCACAGCCATGTTTTTTGACGGGTACTTATAAAACGCTGCAGCCAACGCAGGCAAAACAGCATTAGTATCCTCCACAATTACCAAACCTTTACACCCCAAAGTCTCCTCTATATCAATCTCTTTACTGGCCACAACAGCAACCGCTCCTCTCTTGTCTGCCTCACTCAAATACAAATGTCCATCTGTTTTCCTCCCGACACAACACACAAACAAATCACCAGCATTTACCATTCTGGAATCGTGTTGAATCCCAGTAATCTCCACCTCCAAGTCCCCAGCAACTGAAACAGGCACCACTTTACTCTCATCTAAAAGCTCAGCCAAACTCATTTTAAACTTTGGTTCAACAATGTTGGCCTTCCCTTTCCCATAACTATCAAAATCCAAATCAAAAGAAGGATCCAAAGATAACCCATTGTCAACTTTTTTGCCCTTTGGACCAATACCCGCATCAAATCTACTAATATCATCATCCTCATCAGGCTCAGCATCCACAACCCTAAGCCCTTGCAACTCATTAATCTCATCTAAATCAACTACTTCTTCAGGCTCTAACTCCTCAATTCCCTCAAGAACATTTCCATCAGCTTTATTTGTTGTTGATTTTATAAGTCCTTGCTTAATAAACTCATCTCTTTTCAATGCAATTGCCTTATCAATCTCACCAAACAAATCATCCTGACTTGCTAAATTAGAACTTACAGATGGGTCCTCAGTTTCAGTAATGGCGTTGAGAAAAGTTGACTGATTTTTTTTAAAGTCCTCTTCTTGGATTTTCCTTGCACGGGAAGCTTGGATTTTGATTTGTTCAAACTTTGATACTCCATGAGAAGAATCTTCCGGGGCCTCGGGCGGGTCGTTATCGGCTGGGTTCGGATAAAATTTGCCGTCCCGACCGATGGCGAGTGGCGGGTGTAAGTAACGGAGTGAGCTAAATTGGAGCTTTAGGAAAGAAGGGATGGGTTTTAGAGTGAAGATTTTTGGAGAAAGAAAGTTAGGGTTCGAAGAGAGAGAATGTAATTGTGAAGTGAAAGTGAAAGCCATTGATGAGATGGATTGATGGAAAGAATTGCAGAAACTGGAAATGAGGGTTTTAGCATTATTTTTAAAAGAAAGGAGATAAGGCCAAGGGGTTTTTGTAGTTCAAGGTGAAACAGTGCGTTTAAAGTTTGAGGCACCCTCTATCTTTTAGAAAAGACCTTGTACGACAGGTCGTCTAAACTAAGGATATATAGGATGAAGGCGTCTGGGAAGTAAATTTGAGGCCCATTCATAGACACTCGAAAAGTAGTAAAACTGATTGTAAAAGATGGACCATTAAGCCCAAATTGTTTATTACATTTTTTTTTTTTTTTGGGTAACGTAATAATTATATTAATAAGATGTGGCAGATTTGGTATTTAGGGGCATGCCCGAAAAAATTATATAATAATATAGTAATATATTTTATAAATTTCATAAATTTTTCATATAGTGAAAAAGTATAAAATTGTAAATTTTAATTTCTTAACAGAACAAAATCAAAATAAATTTATGAATGAAAAAAAAAAAAAAGGTTAAATTAATATAACCCATCTTGACTCATTTTATTACCATTTTGATAAGTTCCACGTGTATAAATTATCATCACAATCAAGCTTATGGCATATACCACAAACAAAGAAATGAAGTGTTGAATATATTAGATTCAAAATCAAATTAATGAATATTTGGACCGACGAATTTGTTCGTTATCACAATCATTACCATCGCGGTTAGAATATCAACTCTTTATTATAATGATTTTAGGATGAGTTTGAGAATGACATTGATTGGTCAATTTATAGAAATTTTAACATTGCTTTTTGTATAAATAAATATAAAATTAGCTCGAAAAAAAAAATTAAATATAATTTTTTATCGAAATTTTATTCTTTCATAAATGATTTTTTTCAGCAATTTTATAGAGATCAACTAAATTATACTTTTATCAGTTCAATTAGTTTTTTTTTTTTTTATGGACCGTTAAACGGATATTGACTTGTACATCTTGAGTATATAACAATCGAGTAAATATAATACTAATAACAAACTCATAGATTTTATAGGAAAAAGTGGTTAGGGCATGTGGTCCTTGTTGTTAGGCCTAATCCAACGGAATATTATAAGTCCAACCGTTCCATCACGATACGGACCGCCAAGCCTCACCTAAATTGTCAAGAATTTGGTGCGTACAACGGGAAAATGCCTCTGGAGTAGACCATTATTTTATTTTATTTTATTTTCTATTTTCTCTCTTTTCTTTAAAAAAAAAAAATATTGATGTGAACTCATATTTTATTGATACATGTTGATTTCAATAAATAATCCTAATTATAATGATTTTATATTCATAATTTTCTGAATTAGTGTTTGAATTGAAAAATAATTATTATATTGTATATTAAATACATTTGTCTCTGAAATATCCATTAATATTTTATTATTTGCAGTGAAATGTAGTTGTGCATTGTTGTACAAGACAACTAGACAAGTATATATTATAAATATCATTGATATTAAACTATAAAATACCATTAATTTATATAATTTATTTGTCAAAAAAAAAAAAAATAGTTATATTGTATATTAAATACATTTGTCTCTGAATATCCATTAATATTTTATTATTGCAGTGAAATGTAGTTGTCATTGTTGTACAAAGACAAGCTAGACAAGTATATATTGGATAAATATTCATTGGATATTAAACTATAAAAATACCATTAATTTTATATTAATTTATTTGTCAAAAAAAAAAAAAGTTAATTTATTTGTCAAAAAAAAAAAAAAGTTACTTGGATTTTACACAATATATAATTTTGATTTTTATATTATATACATTAATAAAATAATTTTAAAGGAAAAATCTTTAATTTTTTTATCCGTATCTGTGATTTATTTTATTTCAACTAAATTAAATTATCAAAGGTGGTGTTTGAAAATAAATTATAAATTATTTTTCATTAGGGATGAAAAATTATTTCTTTCAAATTGGTACATAAATGATAAGTTTAATAATATTATATAATTAAAATATGATATAATCATATAATTAATATATCATGTAACATTTTTTGAGCATGTGCAATTTGAGGAGGGAGAACTGAGAGCTGTGGGTCATAGAAATTGACCAAGATTGATGATTTGTACAATGCCTACATCTACCACTTGCAATAATTTATGGTATGGGCTTCAATATCAATTAATTAATAAATTAATTAAAAATATTAAATCCTCATTCCTCAACAAAATAGGAAACAAAATGATTTAATGTTGATTTCAAGAATTATGAAATGTGAAAGTTATGTTAATTCTTTTTTAGAAAATAATTTTTCTTTAACAAATATTTTATAAGAAAAATATTTTTTTAAGTATTTTTTAAATGTTTTTCAACTAACTTATTTTATTTTTTAATTTATTAAATTAGTTAAAAAACAGTGGGATTTACAATTTCTATAACTATAGAAATCAATTATTTTATAAAATTATTTTAAGTATAAAACAATATATAAAAATAATAAATCGTGATAGTTGTACGTCGTGGTGATAATAGTTGGTGACCAATCGTAATTAGTAAGTAATTAATAATGATAATAAAGAAAGAACAATTATAATGTTGTAATAAGTGTATCAATACCTACAAAATGTTTTAATATATATATATATATATATATATAGTAAGTAATTAATTATAAATGATAATAAAGAAAAAAGAAACAATTATAAAAAAAAATGTTGTAATAAGTGGTATCAAATTAAACCTACAAAATGTTTTTAATATATATCATATATAGTAGTATATATATATCCAAGTTTTCAAGGTTTACTGTAGGTTGACTTGAATTTTTGAGGTATAACAATCCGCAATCACAGTAAAAAAAATTCCATTCAAAAAATCAAAAAAAGATTGAAAAGGTGGAAGAAAATAATCTAATCCCATTAATTTCAAAAAAAAATTAAAAAAAAAAAAAATTTTTTTCCACAACCAAAAAAACCGAACATAGCTGCGGGTTTTAAAAAATTCCCCTGACATAAGACTGACAAAGTTTAGCCAACCAGGCAAGACAAACCAAAGTCCTCTACAATGAAATCCCCCCCAACAAAACGCCCTTTCCTATGAAAACAGTATACACATAAAAACGGCTTCTAAACGTCATGCATAAACGAACAAACAAGATAAACTGCACCAGTTTTAAAAAAAAAAAAAAACCCATTTTAAAAACCTCCACTAAACATATGCAGAGTCTCTGTTTAAAAAATCAAATGGGGCAGAGAAGTATATATATATATATATATATATCCAATTTCAAGGTTTACTGTAGGTGACTGAATTTAGGTATAACAATCGCAATCACAGTAAAAAATTCAAAAATCAAAAGATTGAAAGGTGGAGAATAAATCTAATCCATATTTCAAAAAATTAAAAAAAAAAAATTTTCAAAAACAAAACGACATAGCTGCGGGTTTTAATCCCTGACATAAGACTGACAAGTTAGCAACCAGCAAGACAACAACGTCTCTACAGAAATCCCAACAAACGCCCTTTCCTATGAAAACAGTAATACACAAAAACGCTTCTAACTCATGCATAAAACGACACCCATTTTACCCTTTTTAAAAACTCACTAACATATGCAGAGTCTGTTAAAATCAATGGCAGAGAAAGGAGGAGGGAAATGGGAAAGCAAAGACAAATTTTTTGCTTCATTTGAAAGATTTCCCTTGTTGTCACGTATCTGCTATTTTCCAGTCAATATATCATTAATACCTCTATTTTCCTTTTCTTGGCTTTCCAGTTTCTTTCTCTCACTTTCAGGTCTTTCTCCAATCTTTATTGGTGTTTAATGGCAAGAATTTAAAGCAGAGAAAGTGTTAACTTAATTTATCAAAAGAAAACCAGAAATGAAATAATATAGTATTGTTTTCTTTTTAGTAGATGAAGGGACATTGGTTACTATTCTCATTGGCCATTTAAGGTCTTCCATTTAACAAAAGTTTCAGTCTTGGTTCAGGTACTTAATTATCTCTTTCTTTCTTCTTGTTTCTGTTCATCATAAGGATTGTCTATTTGTTTGTTTGTCTGTTTTTCTTTCTTTGTTTCTTTCTGTTTTTAAATCTACTGAAAATCAAGAAATGGTTGTGATTATTTTTGTTTAAATTATTGGTTGTGATACTAGTTAAAGAAGACATTAAAGAAGTGGTCAAGCGTAGCTTTTATAAAGTTCGTTCTTGCTTTGGATTTATTTTCTAGTTTAATGTGCAGTGCTTTCCCAAAAAGAGAAAGGTTATTTCCTTGAAGGCCAAAAAGAGAAGGCTTCTTTCTTGAATTCCCTCTCATTCTTTATTGAATTTGCGCGAAAATATTGTGTAGAAGCTTCAAACATGAGTTTAAACAGAATTATCCAACTGGGTAAGAATATGCATTTGAGGATAGTCCTAAGAGAAATTTTTTCAAAATATTGTTGTTTTTGAAGGGGGAGCTGTTTAATTTTTGGTTTCTGTATCTTACAAATGTATTTGCAATCACTCTCAGGGAAGATGCTGCTCCTTTGCTGAGATTTAAAGTGATGCACATTTTGGGGTGTGTAAATCAGTTACTGATATGCCATGGATAGGAGATCACCAAATAGCAATATGTTGAAGACCTCTTTGTCTAAGAACTCTGTGCCAAGGAGTCCTATGCCAAAAAGCCCTTTGCCTAGGAGTCCTGTTCCCAAGAGTCCTGAGTTCTATGAGAAATACAAGTCAAGATGCGCTTATAGTTTAATGAGTTTCTTTCATTTTCGGCAACGTCGTTCAAAGAAGCTTATTTCTGATACTGATAAGAGATGCTTAAAGAGACATGCTCTTGGTAAGGATTATTTGATTTTTTTGTTGTTTTAGGATGAATAATATTATCATGCAAGAATCTGTTGTGCTGATTCTAGTTAGCTGTTTCTTTTTCCTTTTTTTTATTTTGTTTAGATAAGAATCCATGAACGTCAAGAAAATTAGCAATATAATCATTTTTCTGATGGCACAACCACTGAAATTAAGTTTTGCAATTATTAGAATAATGGATTAGTAGGTTGTTTTGATTTTTAAAGTAGATATTTGGTTTCCACACCACCTTGATAACATTATTGTTACCCAATTAAGGTGATCTTCTTTTATTCATTGTTTTTGGGTCTTCTAAGATAGACATGAGCCAAAGGTAGACATCTATCTATTTTTGGCCCTACAGCTATAATCTCAAAACAAATCTGAATGTGCTTTTCGTTTCTCATGAACAGGTGATGAATACATTAAGAATAAGCTTGATTATCGCAATAATGTAAGTATAGATAACCCAACATTATCATTAAATTTAGTTTATTATTCTTTTTAGTGCTGGTAATCAATGGAAGGATGCCTGCTAGCTAGTCCATTTCTTTTCATGCGATATACATAATTTTTTCGTTAGTATCAATTTGCTGATAATAAAAATAGTTCCAGGATGGAGCAAACAAGAAGTCTGCAATGGTGGATTCTGGTTATGGAAGAGTAAAGAAAATCACAGGAGAAGATGTGTCCATTGAGCAGGAGATCAAGAAGAAGATTACAACTGCTAAAGTGGAAAATGTACAATCTGATTCTGAACTTGTTGATGACCGATCAAGGAACCATAGAAAAGCACCTAAGTCCCAGAGATCTCGCCGTTTACCTATTTATGGATGTTATGATGTATCAACTGTGGATCATGGGGAAATTCCTCATCAAAATTTGGCTGGCAGCGACAGATCTTCAAAGTCAATAGACTCTGTTGTGTCTGCAGAGGTGCAAGTGCATACTAATGAAAATTGTATGCATCATGAACGGCCTAATGAGATCAATCTTCAAGTTAACATGAACGAGGCAACTGAAGCATTTATAAACCAGAAGTTGATTGATGGAAAACATCTTATTGCTGATGGGGCAAGTCATCAGTCTAAGAACTTCTTGGACGCATTGAAGATATTGAATTCCAACAAGGATTTATTCATAAAACTCCTACAAGACCCCAATTCTCTGTTGGTGAAACACATTGAAGACTTGAGAGATTCTCAGACAAAAAAGCTCCAGAATAAATCCTTTGCCAGAGGCGGATTATCAGAATGTCAGACAAGGAATACAAGAAAATGTAACCTGTTGATGGAGACAGGTGATTTTCAGCCCTTGGAGAAAATAGTAGTTTTTAGGCCTAGTTCGAAAAGCTTGCAAAACCATGCAGATAGAACCAGTAATGACTCTCCACAAATTCATTATAGCTTAAGGAGTGTACATCAAAGTGTAAAGCCTATCCGTTTTCCCTTCAAACAAATGAAAAGAACGTTGATGCATGCTATAGGTGTAAGCAGAAAAGAGCAGCAGTTGTTGACTGATAATCTACTGCATGACAAGTCTGTCCATGGCTTCGAGGGTGGACAATGTAGCAAAGAAGCAGTCGCGGGCAGTATTAAAGGACTCTCGCCCAATGAAGCCTCTTCAGATTTTGAAAGAATGACCAAATCTTCCATGGATGTCAATAGAAAAGACCAGAGGGACAAGTTGGGCCAGTTTGATTCGGTTGTTAGAGATGAAGTTGCTTCAGCCAGTGAAAGTAGTCATGAAAATTCACATTTGTCAACCATCAGGCATCCCAAGAGAAATGAACATTTTGTAAATATTGAGACAGAATTCAAAAATGAAAATGCGAATTTACCCAAAAAGCAGAAAGTAAAATCCTATGATGTGATAAGCTCTCTTCTTGAATATGACCTCTTTCCTGAGGTTTCCAGAAGGACAAGGAAGCCCGAAGTTGTTTCCCAACAGATGAGATTTTCTTCCTATTACAGTCGCCATACAGTGAATGAGGACAATTGGAGGAGTCAGGAAGAAAAGGAAAATAGTTGCTCAAGTCCAGTGAGGCAGAATGTAGAGGCTGTTTGCGGGACACAGATGCAAAAGCATGAAATGAGGCGAAAAATCTCAAGCAACCCTTTTCCTGATGACAAAGAGCAGCAAAGCATTTCTTCTCTTAATAATGATATGAGCCATATAGGTAAACTTTTGTTATTTATATAATCTTGATGGTGCTTGTATTCTGTTCTGTAAAAGCAGTTCATAATTCTTATATAAGCTCTATTGAATATTGTAGAAAAAACGTGTGGTGAAAAATCAGAAGAAATTGCTCCTTCTGAACTGCCTTCCGATCCAGACAGTTCACTTAATAATTGTGTCAATCAGAGCATCAAGACAGTGGATGGTTGTGAGGAAAATGGATCTTTGAATTTTTCAAGAGAGGTAAATTTCATAATTCCTCAAGTTTTTTTAACCGTTAGTTCTTTGATGTATCCTTTCAGATTGTATCCTAACACCAACTTTTCCATCTCAGGATTCACCTGTGAAGAATCAGACATCAACATCTTCAATAGATGATTATTCATCTAGCCCTCTAAACAATCAAAGATTTGGAGCATTTGATATGATCAAACAAAACACAGAACAAACAAGTCCAGTGTCAGTGCTTGATAAGCTTTTTGCAGAAGATGTCAACAGCCCTTCAAACACTAAATCTCATCCCGGTAAGCTCTTCTGTTTGGAAATTAAGCTTCACTTACTGTTATTCTTTTAACTTCACCAATGTGCTTACACAACTAAAATCATGCAGCTCTACCATTAGTACCACTTCTACAAATTGGTAGTGAAGAAGGCTATTTAGCTACTGCTCAAAAATCCCCTTTGAGTCTGAATTCAAACATTTCAACAGAAGAGTACAAATCCATGTTGGAGTATGCAAGCACATTGTTGCAAACTTCTCGCCTCAGTTGGGATGAACTCACAAATAAATGCCATTTCTCAGACCAACTCCTTGACCAATCATTATTCAGTGAAATAAATGTGAGATCAAATGAATCCTGTGACAACAATAAACTCCTCTTCGATTATGTTAATGAAGTCCTCCTAGACGCATGCATGTGCTACTCAAAATGCTCCCCTTGGTTGCCATTCTTGAAACCAAGAATTCTATCAGCTACAATGACAGGAAATATAGTGAATGAAGTGATGGCATATTTTGATTGGAACCTTCTCTTGGCAGCACCTTTAAAAACATTAGAGCAAATTACTGAGAAGGACTTGATGAAATCAAGAACATGGATGAATAATCCAATTGATGCTGAAGAAGCTGTTGGTGAGATGGTAGATAGTCTAATGGAAGAATTGATAATAGATTTTGCAATTGACTAACCAAGCAGAAGCATTTTCTGCTATTTTGCATATAGTAAATGCTATTTTGAGGGGACTTTGCTGCTTTCTATTGTAAGCATCTGCTGTACTGATTTGTCTGGAGAATTTTTCAAGATTTATAGGATTTTGATTTTACACAAATGATAATAGTAATTTTCTTACTGCTCAAAATTTTGCTGTAATTTTTTTTATTTGCATTATAGATAAACATCTATTAAAAGGTTTATATATGTGTTGGTTTTTATTTTTTAGTGGTGCACTCGAAATTCTTGAAATTAAGTGAGACTACAAGGATGGGAAGCACTTTACCTGTCTATGAGCAAATTTTTTTTATATTTTAAATAAAATTTCAAGACATTGGAAAAAAAAAACATCTGTAATTGTTAAAATTTATTTTTAAATTAATTTTCAATATATACTAATTATAAAACAGTTAAATAACACTTCAAAAACTGCCTTATCTGAAAAAAAATGTACAATTTCAAACAGGCTATTCTTGCCGGGCCGAGTAGTGATTATTGGACCTTTTGGCCTTTCATCGTTTGGAGACTGACAAACCATTGGGCTAAATCCAACAAATTTTTAATGCCCGAAACCTAATCTGGATACCCGAATTTTGCCCAAAAAAAAAAAAAAAAAAAAAAGCACATTCTTCTCAAACCAGTGTTTTCTTTTCCAACAGGAAAAGGAGTACAACATCCTCGTCGCAAATTGGATTTAGCGCGCGGAGATTTGCGCAAAGCCAGGCTTGGTTGCAACTTCTCGAGGGCACTCAGTTGGGATGAGAACTCACAATATCTTGCACATGTTATCGTCCTAACGGTTTCTAGTCTCTCTCCTAATATCTTTCCTTTCTCCTCCAGACCAACTGCGCTCTTGGATCCTGCAATTCATTAATTTCAGGGTGATGGGAAATAAAATGGGTGGAAGATCAAATGGGAATCCTGGGGTGAACAACCAATAAAACTCCCTCTAGTCTTTGCGGGATGAGTGGGCTTTTATGGTAATCAACGATCACCTTCCGGCTAGAACGCAATGCAATGTTGCACTAGCTTTCCTATCCAAATGCTTGCGGCCTGCCCTTTTGGTTTTGTGCACCGATATCTTGGGGAAAACCAAGAAATTCATGGCTTTCTAAGACTACAAATGACAGGTAAAATAGGTGAATGAAGGGGGTTGGGATGGGCAGAGATCTTTGATGGAAACCTTTCTCTTGGCACGCGACCTGTTTAAAAAAGAGCACTAAGAAAAAGACTCAGACATAATATATAAACTTAACTGAGAAGGATTGATGAAATCAAGAACATGCGGGGGATCTCGAAATAATCCCAATTATGCTGGGGAGAAAGGCTGTTTGGTGAGATGGTAGATAGGTCCAATGGGGAAGAATTGATAATAGAATTGCAATTGACTAAAACCAAGCAAGTAAGCATTTTCTGGCTATTTTTTGCATATAGTATGCCTAATTTTTGAGGGGGATTTGGCTGCTTTCTCCCCCTATTGTACAATCTGCTTGTACTGATATATGTCTGGAGAGTTTTTTCAAGATCTTATAGGATTTTGAATTTTATAAAAAAAAAAACACAAATGATAAATAAGGTAATTTTCCCTTACAGACTGCTCAAAACAATTTTTTGGTCTGTAAATTATTTTTTATTTTTGCATTATAAGATAATACATCTATTAAAAAGGTTTAATTAATATGTGTTTGGTTTTTAAAATTTTTTTTAGGGGTGCAGCCCTCGAATTCTTTTGAAAATTAAGTGAGACCTAACAAGGATGGGAGGAAGCACTTTAAAAACCCCTGTCATTGAGCAAATTTTTTTTTTTAAATATTTTAAAAATAAAATTTTTCAAGAACATTGGAAAAAAAAAAAACATCTGTAATTGTAAACATTTTATTTTTTCACAAAATTAAATTTTTTCAATATTATTAACTAATATAAAACAGTTTAAAATATTTAACACTTTCAAACTGCCTTAATTTTTTTCTTCTGAAAAAAAAAATGTACAAAAATTTCAAAGACAGGCTAGTCTTGCCGGCCGAGTAAAGTGATTAATTGGACCTTTTTGGCCTTTTCCAAAATCGTTTTGGAAGACTGAACAAACCATTGGGGGGCTAAATCCCCAACAAATTTTTTAATAATGCCGAAAAACTAATCTGGATACCCGAATTTTTGTGCCACAAAAAAAAAAAAAAAAAAAAACAAAAGTTTTAAATTTTAAAATGAAATAAAAAATACTTTACTAACTCCAAAAAAAAAAAAAAAAAAAACAAAAGTTTTAATTTTAAATGAATAAAAAATACTACTTACCCAAACCTAACGGTTACACCTAAATCCCACCACTTCCCGCCAAAACCCAAACCCCTAAAAACCCTAGTTTCCTACTTACCCCATACTTTAAACCCCTGCTTGTCCAATCCTCCCAGAATCCCTAGCCACCACCATAACCCCTAAAGCCTCCAAACATCCACCATCATGGACCCTAAAGCTGTGAAATCAGACCTGGTCCTCATCCTAGACTATGGCTCCCAATACACCCATCTTATTACTCGCCGTATTCGCTCTCTCAACATCTTCTCTCTCTGCATTTCTGGCACTTCCCCCCTTGATGCTATCACATCCCTTAATCCCAAAGTCATCATCCTCTCTGGAGGGCCTCACTCGGTCCATTCTCCCAACTCCCCCGCATTTCCCGCTGGGTTTGTGGAGTGGGCCCAGTCCAATGGATGCTTTGTCCTTGGCATTTGCTATGGGTTGCAGTTGATAGTGCAGAGGTTGGGAGGGGAGGTGAGAGTTGGGGAAAAGCAGGAGTATGGGAGGATGGAAATTGTGGTGGACAAGAATTCGGGTATTTTTGGGAATAAAAAAGTTGGGGATAATCAGGTAGTTTGGATGAGCCATGGAGACGAGGCTGCGCAGTTGCCTGAGGGGTTTGAAGTGGTGGCCAGGAGCCAACAGGGGGCGGTTGCAGCTGTGGAGAATAGGGAGAAGAAGTTTTATGGGCTGCAGTATCATCCTGAGGTAATTGCTTTTCATTGTTTTTTTTTTATTTATTTATTTTTATTTTTTATTTTTATTTTGGGAGTGATACAATCTTTGAAGTTATCGGAGGGAATTTTTATGACAGCATGTTAACATATGTTGGTGTTATAGCATAACCTGGAGTAAAGGGTTCGGACCTTCATTATTGTACTACACTTAGTTTGAGTGCTTGCTTCTTGTTTTCAGGTGACCGTATAATAATCTAGCTGTCTCATTCAGGACATGTCAAGAATAGACCACTTGAAACAGTTGAAACACAGGTTTTGTTGAGCTGAAAATATGTTGTAGGAGCTGTCACAGAGTTGCATGGGCTTGAGTAGGTATCGTGTTAGCCTCTTAGGAAGAAAGGTCTTAGAATGTAAAATATAGTCAAGTTAGTCCAACAGGAACTAGAAAGGGTTCAGATGCAATTCATTGGTAATTTTTATTGCAGGAAGCAATCTGCTAAGAAGTTTGTTGCAATGACTTTTGTGGTTCACTGTATGCTGAGAGCTTGACTTAAAAATTTCTTGCATTATTATGGATATACGATTATATGTCCTCAAAAATAGATGTTGAACTGATATCATTATACTTTGTCAGTGCCGGACTTGGTTGAAATATTGTGTCCTGAATGCAGGAAAAGGAAATTAATAACTCTACCGAAATTTGGTTTATATTAATATGTTGTATTCATGGGAGAACCTAACTTTGTGTTTAACATATATTTTCTTAAGAACATAAACATCAACAATATTGCATCTTTTGTAGGTGACTCATTCACCAGAGGGCATGGACACACTACGCTATTTCCTCTTTGATGTTTGTGGATTAAGTGCAGGTTGGAACATGGAAAGTGTGGTGGATGAAGAAATCAAGTTGATCAATGGCACAGTGGCTCCTGAAGATCATGTCATATGTGCATTATCAGGAGGTGTGGATTCCACAGTCGCTGCAACTCTTGTTCACAAGGCAATTGGAGATAGGCTTCATTGTATTTTTGTTGACAATGGTTTATTGAGGTGAGCAAATGAATGCATCTTTAACAAACTAGAAAATAGAAATATTGGTTTCTCCCACAGGAAATTTTTTGATTGTCTTCTTACTTCACGCAGGTACAAGGAGAGAGAACGTGTGATGGAAACTTTTGAGAGGGATCTGCACCTACCTGTTACTTGTGTTGATGCTTCAGAACAGTTCCTTAGCAAGCTAAAAGGTGTTGTAGATCCTGAGATGAAAAGGAAGATTATCGGAAGGGAATTTATTAGCATTTTTGATGCTTTTGCACATGATTTGGAGCAAAAGTTGGGAAAGAAACCTGGTTATCTGGTCCAAGGAACTTTGTATCCAGATGTGATTGAATCTTGCCCGCCTCCTGGGTCTGGAAGAAGCCACTCACACACAATTAAAAGCCATCATAATGTGGGAGGGCTTCCAAAGGACATGAAATTGAGGCTTATTGAACCACTTAAACTTCTTTTTAAGGATGAGGTATTGGTCTCTCTCTCATACATACAAACACAGCTGAAAATATTTTTTAATAGCTCCCTGTGACTTATTATACCTTTTTCGTTTCCATTTGTAAAGGTTCGTCAACTAGGAAGGATCTTGAATGTTCCTGAGGGATTTTTGAAGCGCCACCCGTTCCCTGGGCCTGGCCTTGCGGTACGAGTCCTGGGTGATGTAACTGAAGGAAATGCATTAGATATCCTTCGCCAGGTAAAGTGATGTTTGCTATGGAGCTAAGTCCCAGGGTGGGTTTTAAGTATTGGCCTTTAACAATCATAATGGCCAATGCATAATGGAATTATCAGTTTGATTCTGGTCATGTTGATACCCTTTTTCCAAGTCTGCTATATAATTGACCTGTAGCCCTGTAGTCAGTACAAGCATACAACCAAATATAGGCTGGTATACTAATGGCTTGAGTAATGACTGAAACAACAATTACTGTTCAGCTTAGCTGAGGAAATGAGAGACTGTGGAGGGACAGAGCGTTCTTGGAAGTTCCTGTTGTTCTTTTGTTTTCCCTCGTTTTAAGCTCTAAAATCTCATGGGAACTTTATTGTTTAAGTTTTTTACATGTTCATTTAACATAAAAACGCGTTTCCTTTTAATGTTTTATGTGGGCCATCTTGTTTGTCAACTTTTTATATGAACTTTTTGTAGAAGGGGAAATCTTTTCAAAATTAATTCCTTAAAATTTTTCACTTGAAGTCTTTTAACTTATGATTTATGTTGAATTATGAATTTTGAAAAATTTTTACCATTCTATGTATAAAAAAAGCTTATAATTGCAAGATTTATATTCTAATACTTTATACACATCAGTTGTAACTAAAACATTATTTATTCCTGTTACACTTGGGCTGCAAAGTGAATGGCCTAAACACAAATGAGATTAAAACATTGCTAAAATTTAATTGTCTATTTTTTCTTCCTTTTACTGTTTTTGAAAGTTATTTCATTTGATTTCCTTACAGGTTGATGAGATTTTCATCCAATCTATCAAGGATGCTGGGCTTTATGATTCAATTTGGCAAGCTTTTGCGGTGTTTTTGCCTGTAAGATCAGTTGGAGTTCAAGGTGATCAAAGAACGCATTCTCATGTTGTTGCTTTAAGAGCTGTTACAAGTCAAGATGGAATGACTGCTGATTGGTGAGTTCCATATATATGTTTTGCCATCTATACTACTTTGCTTTCTACAACCTTTTTCTTATATCAATATTTCAAATGGTCACTTTTGCTTTCGAGCTTAACATTGAAGGACAGTTGCTTTCTTTTTTATTTCTTAGGCATATGATTGGATTCCATGCTATTGAATATTAAAGAAATGCTCTGAAGAAGCATATTTCTCTGTCTCTATTGATTTTTCGCTTCATCTTCGGCACTAATTTTCTTGCATTTTTTATATATAAAAATATCTTTGAAGAAGCATATTTCTGTCTCTATTGATTTTTGGCATCTTTTTTGGCACTATTTTTCTTGCATTTTTTATACATGGAATTTCTTTTTCATCATTTTACATGCTTGTGATTTTTCCAGACTTCTGTAGTTATATATGATGATAGTTATTTCTTGGGTTCTGAATTGATTGTTTCAAATCATATACCTGTGGTAATTGCAAAACCATAGGGCTGGAGTTGTGGTTTTGTCCCACCTCAAGATTTAACAGTAATGCAATTGTGACATTTTCGATGAACTTGCATGTGTTTGAATTTTCATGTCTCTAGTAGATAGATAGGTCTCTTTTGGTAGAAGAGTTTTTTTTTTTTTTTTTTTTTTTTATTTTTCGATGAACTTGCATGTGTTTGAATTTTTCATGTCTCTAGTAGATAGAATAGGTTCTCCTTTTTTGGTAGAAGAGTTTTTTTTTTTTTTTTTTTTTGAGTTTTTTTTTTTTTTTTTTTTTTGAGTGGGTGTACCATGTATGTGAAAGTTGAATTCCTTATCTTCATACCCCTTAGTTTGCTACTTTGCTTTTAGGTCATGGTTAAACCATGTCCAACAAAGACAATGTAATTTCAAGATGGCTGTTTTGATATAAACTCAAAAGCTTAATGCTTTTCTAGGAAAGAAAAAGACCAGAAATATTTTGAAGAAATAATTTGACAGAACAATGACTAGTCTACAACAGCTAATTATTGAATATATATTTCTGTGTTACTTTGTTACTGCTCTTTTGGCAAAAACTAATTTAGTACTTTCCTCATTACTGCTTCATCAATGCTATTGTAAATTCTCTCATGACCCTTCTCAAATTCCAGGTACTATTTTGAACACAAGTTCCTTAATGACGTGGCCCGAAAAATTTGTAACGGTGTAAGGGGCGTAAACCGAGTTGTTCAAGACATTACATCAAAGCCTCCATCAACTATTGAATGGGAATAATACCATTTTGGATGCTCAAGATTCAGCAGAAACCAAGGATAAATCCATGGTTGTGTAGAATCAAGGTTATTTATACATCTAATTGTTGCTTGCTTCTCATCCTACATCCAGTGAAAGTGCCAAGAAAGAAGATTCTTTGAGCTGGTCTATGATTTGATTCTTTTGATGCTTGATATCTTTGCTGGAATCTGTATTACCTATTTCTTGCAAGGTAGTATTTTTGGATAGACAATGTTCATCAGAACTTAATGATGATAAATCACAATACTATATTTGCTGCGCAGATGTGACCTTTTTTATGAGTTTTTATTTATTTATTTTTTTCTATTTGTATATGGAAGTTTATATTTCTAATGTAACATAATATAGGTGTCACATAATCTATTGGATGATTATATGAGAAATAACCTATTTGAGAACTTCTATTAACCACAAGCCAAAAGCAAGCATTATGTTCAGGGGTAAATATCCTTGTCATATCAGGTTATAATTAGCACTTGTCAAATTGTCTTTTTTTTTAAATGTTGTTTTATGTTTTATTGTTGATTTTGCTAAGGTCTCAATAATATACTGTTTGTGGTTGCCTAACTTGATCAATTTTATCCATTCATTAGTGTCAAACTTTTATTATCTTCTGTTAACTGTCAGATACATCTTAAATTGGATTGGCATTGTTATTAGCTTTTTATTATCATTATTATTACCATTTTTGGGCTTTGATTGTTAATTCTTTAACTTTAACCCCGTCTTCTGCCAATGAGGTGTACTTCTTTATTTACATGTGTTTGTTTTGTTGCTGGTATGGTGTATTCCTATAATTTAATTACATCTATGTGATGCTGATATTGAGTCGGTCGCTTTCTTTTTTTTTTTTTTTTTTTTTTTTTTTTTTTTTTTTTTTTTTTGCTTCTTGAGTCCGATACATTTTGGCCTTTGGTGGTTTTGATTCATGTCAGACCAGTATAATAATAGATTGTACATTGATGTAATTAGTAGCAACTAGCAGTGATGTTGCAGCAAGGATGGTCGTTTGGTGATTGTGAATTTAACGCGGAAAAGTATTTTCTAGCTCTCTTTCCATCAATAGGGACATATATATATATACACATACAAGAGACTATAAACTCATTAGGAATCTAACTCCCTAAGAGAGTTCTATTTACAACTAATTCTTAATACTTTCCCTCAAGTGGGGGCATAGATGTTAATCATGCCCCACTTGTTACAAAGATAATTTACTCGAGGTCCATTTAGAGCTTTTGTAAAGATATCTCCTCACTGTTCACTTGTTTTAACATACCCTGTAAAGATAACACCTTATTGTATATTTTTCCGAATGAAATAACAATCAATCTCGATATGTTTTGTTTGTTCATGGAATACTGGATATGATGCAATATGAAGAGCAGCTTGATTATTACACCATAACTTTGCAGGCAAGGATGACTTGAAGCCAATTTCCTCTAACAATTGACGAATCCAAATTAATTCACAAGCAGATTGTGTCATAGCTCGATAGTCATAGCTCGATATTTTGACGAATCCAAATTAATTCACAAGCAGATTGTGTCATAGCTCGATATTTTGATTCAGCACTCGATCGTGAGACTACATTTTGTTTCTTGCTCCTCCAAAAATAATCAGAAATGTCAAATTGACAAAACTGAGAATGCCCCTACCAAAATTTCGCCGGATTGGAAAAACAACCGCTTGAGCTAGAGGACTATTTTCGATCGCTGAAAACAGCCGAACGCGCCTCCACGCGCCGGCGCGTGTTACTGTAGCAGAAAACAGAATTGGCGTGTGAGGCCTACACGCAGGGAATGCGGTGACCGGATTTGGAGGGAACGCCGGTCGAAAACTGGAGAAGCTTCTGAGGTGGGCGGTGAGACAAAACAGTGACCCTAGAACGGTCAACAAAACTGACTGCTGCCGAAATTTCAATGAAAACAGAAAAAAAAAAAATTTAACCAGCCAAAAGCTCTGATACCATGTAAATTTAACATGGAAAAGTATTTCTTGGTCTTTTTTCATCAATAGGGACATATATATATATACTATAAACCTATTATGAATTTAAATTTTAACAGAGTTATATTTACAATTAATCATTAACAGTGATAATGGTCTGTGGTCTCCACCAGTTTTGGTGACGTGGTATTGATTGCCTCCAAAAGTCTTGCTTTGGATGACCACAGTACTCCGTGCCTATCTCTTTTATTCATTAGTGTATTGCTTTGATCTGTATCCTTCATAAAGTTCATATTATAGTAATACTTAGTGGCAGCAAAATAATTATAGGCCATTAAGTACCTTTATCATTTCTGAACGTGGTAGAACTAATGAAATGTTTGTTTGAAAGTTGTTGTAAAGTTTTATATGAAAACTTCTTCCACTCTAGCCCCTATATGAATGCAGCCTAGCCCTTAGCCTAGCATTTTGGATCAATAGAAGAAACCGTAGCGTTCTCCTTTATAATGTCTGAACTGCAGACATCTTTTGAGCTTCCCGTGTTAGATTTGTCTCAACTTGTTGATATTTCCTCCCTATCTTCAGTTTATAAAGCCTGTCAAGAGTGGGGCTTCTTTTCTGTCACTAACCATGGTATCTCAAGAAATTTGTTTGATGAAGTTTGTTCACACTCAAAGCAAATCTTTACCCTTCCTTTGGATTTCAAACTCAAACTTGGCCCATCATCATGCTTGAAGACCTATACTCCTCAATTCATAGCCTCTCCTTATTTTGAAAGCTTGCGAGTGTCTGGACCAGATTTCTTTGCATCCTCTAAGAGTTCTGCTGACAAACTCTTTAGTCAAGAAAGTTGTAAATTTAGGTGACATCTCCTTTTGTTAACTTGTGACTTTTATTTATTGTATTATTTTCTTAGTTCCATTTTTATTTACCTGCTTAGTGTATGATATTGTTCTCGTTTTCTTGTATCATTTAGTGAGATATTACAGGAGTATGGAAACAAAATGGTGGAGTTGTCGAAGAGAATCATAAATGTCGTATTAATGAGCTTGGGTGATGGTTATGACAGGAAGTTTTATGAAATGGAATTCAGCAACTGTAATGGGTATTTGAGGATTGTAAATTATTCACCACCAAAGAATGTGGAAGAAATGGAGGTTGAAGGACTTGGAATGCACACTGATATGAGTTGCATAACGATACTCTATCAGGATGAGATTGGCGGACTGCAAATGAGATCTAAGGAAGGGGAATGGATGGATATACGACCACGTGAGAATGCTCTTGTGGTTAATATTGGAGATTTGATGCAGGCTTGGAGCAATGGTCGGTTAAGATCATCAGAACACCGTGTTATTTTAAAGCGACTTGTGAATCGTCTTTCTCTTGCTTTCTTTTGGTGTTTTGAGGATGATAAGGTGATCTCAGCACCAGAAGACATTGTAGGAAAAGAAAGCTTAAGGTTGTACAAGCCATTTGTTTGCTTGGATTATCTGAAATTTAGAGAGAATAACGAGGAAGGTAAGTTCGATAAAATAGGGTATACTGTGAATGATTTCGCAGGTGTGAAACTTTCAACTGGAGTGCTGTAAGACAAGAAATAGATGATACTTTAGGGTTAACATTTTAGTGGGAGCTTGAAAGCTGAATAAGTAAAGAGATTAGATTTTGTAACAGGGTTTGGTTTTTCTTTATTGGTAATGTTTGAGTGTCTTGGTTCCATGGGAGTCAAAGTGAAACTGAGGAGATAATTTCTAGGTTCAAATGTGATAGGTAGGACATGAATCATCTTCCGAGTTGGATGTGACAGGTTAGGTTGGGCATGGATGTTGATCGAAATAGAATATATATGGTTGGTTTGGTTGTTGGGTTTCTACTTGATCTATAAAGGGAAGAAATCTCCACAACTGTTGCTGAAATTGAAATATTGTATTTGCTTTCCTTTGTTTTATTTACTTGTTTCGTCTGTACTATATCTGCTTTGCTTTGACATTGTCTTTTATCAAATTTCCTACTCTTGAAGGGTCTGTCTATTGTCCACTACTATTAGTAGGACTTAGGGGTTTTGATGTAATAATGTTTTGCTTTGGTGGTAATTGGACTAATAATATAATAATTGAGTGTTTCGTCTAGAGATTAGTGGACTCTTTATAAATTTCATGAATCATACCCCTAATGAGTCAAATGGACATTAACTTTTAATAAACTTAATAATATAAATAACTTTTATTATTAAAAATAATGTCGAAATTTGAAAAAAATAAATTTTATATATATATCAGAAGATAATAAATGAACTTTGATGAGCCAATCCTTTAGTCGTCAATGAACTAATCGATTTATTTTCAATCCTATTTTGTTATTTTATCTCCTAATATAAAAGATTAAGGGTATACAAAAATAGTGTCTCTTCCCTTTGAAAGAAAGGCTGAAGAGGTTATTAGAGTTTTACGCATGAAGACTAAGAGAAAAACCCATTTTACATTAGATAAATTAAAAATAGGACACTATTCTTCTTCTTTTCAATGACCTTTCAACTTTTTAGTAATTGCCAAATGCCAATTCTTCTACTTTCAATCATAAAAACAAAAGATTCAACTTTCCATTTGCCATCCAAAAAATGTTTCACCTCCATCGTACCTAAAACTCAGCCATTGCTTAATTATTTTATTTATTATATTACACACATGCATATACTTTCAATCATAAAACAAAAGATCAACTTTCCATTGCCCATTTTTTCCAAAAAATGTTTTCACCTCCATCGTACCTAAAACTCAGCCATTGCTTAATTATTTTATTTATTATATTACACACATGCATATTTAATATAATATATATATATAATATATATATATATATATATATATATATATATTGCATATAGCTTTGTAGAAAGCATCGTATAGTGGTTATATTTTTCATCGGAAAATATTTCTGGATATATTGCATATAGCTTTGTAGAAAGCATCGTATAGTGGGTATATTTTTCATCGGAAAATATTTCTGGCATAACTTGTGTCAGGTCTGATATGTGTGGAAAAACTATAATGCCCTTAAAAATTATTTTGACAGTTGAAATATTGATAATGTCGCACTAAGGCTGTTATTATAAACGTGTACACGGTTGTGCCATTTTTCATGTCTGCAGAGACTTTTTTGCCCAAGAAATTGTGAAACGTGCATTTGGATTAGATTAGGTAGTGCTCCATAGAAATGAACTTTGATTTTCATTCTACCAGTTTGCGTGTTTTGCTGAAAAAATGTGAAGTCTTTATCATCCTAATATAATTAAGAACGTATTTCTAATGCATACACATTCAAGATTCCATTAATTTTTATATATGTTGGTCTTTTCACATCTCCTTTTTGACGATTCAGATTATATCTATCTTGCTTTGCTTTAAGTGAAAGCAGATTGCTTTCTTTTGGCGAGATAGAAATCAATATTTTTCTTGTCTGCAACTGCTTAAAAGTGAAATGCTTTTCAAGAAAAGAAAAATAATTGAAGGTTAAACGAGCACATTTTTTTATAATATGATCAATTTAAGCACAAGAAGCTAATTTTGGCATTGGACAAAACGGCTGATATGTTTAGTCAATTTTCCAACAGCTGTCAATATTCCATGGAAGTTTGTACAAATAAAGTCTGTAAATAATTTAGAAACCATATGAATCACAAGCATGAAGTTTCAGCCATTAGATATTTAGATGAGAATATTTCCTTTCAAGAATTCCAATCCAATGGTCAAAGACTCGTGTAAATAGATCCTATGAGCTTTCTTGTGTAGTTGCTGTCTAGTGAGAATGTCTTTTCCTTTGTCTTCTGTACCTGAACTTTTCCACCTGCTGCAGAAATTTATCCTTTGACAGGGGAATGTTATATTCTGTTTTACATTTTGTTACCTTTAATGTTGTGCTGTTATGATTCTTGAAAGAAATGCAGTATCTTCTAAAGATAGATTCATAAACAGTGACATTATATTTCAGAATCTCAATACATTGGCTTTACCTTCCCCTGATATCCCATTAAAGTGGCTGAAATTAGGTTTAGTTCCTTTTAATTGGCATCTATATGTACATTTTTTTTTTTCAATTTAACACGTTATAAGAAGAAATCATTGTAACCCTGTCTGACTGTTATAGTTTGACCGTGGGTCCGTGGCGTACCGACATGTAGTGTCTATACCGCATCCATGTCTGCAGATCTCATACCTTGGTCCTATCAGGTGCAAAACTGCATACTAGCTATGAATAAAAGATCATTGCAGAAAATTCATTTGATATTGAAACATGTTTATTTCTGTTTATTAGGCTAACTCTACTTGGATGAAAATCTCTTGTTTTATAGCAATGATGTACAAAATCCCCAACAATACGCAATTTTACAACTCAAGTAGTGAAATTCTAATGATGAAAGAAACAATACAGACTAAATGTGAGGCCAATCTTCAACATTTACAGGCAACTCTTTGAAGTGCTTGTCTGATCGCCCCAGCTGATGCAGTTCTTAAACCCTTCTGTTGCAATAAACATATCAACACATTAGTATAAACATTCATGACTAATGATAATCATTCACTTGAGGTGAAAATGCTTTCATTACCTTAGATTTGATGGTCAAAGAAAGAGTGCCATCTATGGTTGATGATTGAACCGAGTAAGAATCTAAGTGCATATGGCTTATAACATCGATGATCTCAAGCAACAGTCCCTCCCTCCACAGACACTTGATTTCGATTAATATATCCATGTCATTGATACTGACAGTTATGTTGTCAGTGGAGCAATCTTTTGGTATGTTATAATTAATCTCTGGTTCCATTTCAGAGATGTCATGAGCCTTTCTCTTGTTTACTAAATGCTTTTTGTTATTACCAGTTTTGTTGCTGCCATAGTTATCAGATGTCCCCTCTATAGCATCTTGGAGTTTTCTTCTTGCTCTTGCCTCTAACTCTGTTGACCCCCTACATGATTCCAACTCTTCAACTCTTTTTTCAAGCTCTTGAAGGTATTCTATTGTGTCGTCGAGGATAGATACTTTATCAACCTGCAAAATAAGGCAAAACTTAATCTATGGATTTATTTCCTGCTTATTGACAAATGACTACAAGAGAATTTTTAACTACCTTGTTGATTGAAGGGACAATTGACTTGAGAATCATAAATCTTTCATTAAGCTTTTCTCTTCGTTTCCTCTCTGACAATACATGGTTTGCACCAAAATCATCTGCCTCTGGTCTCAAGACTCGAACCCCATTGCTTTTGTCTCCTGGAGACTCTGGCAAGCCATTTACATGCATTCGAGGAACTTCAAACAGAACTTTCTTCAGTAGTTTCTGGGAGGGTGCACCTTCTGATTTCTGATAATGCACTAACCCCACTTTCTTCCAACCAACAAAGCTGGATAACTTGTTAGAGTTTTGAACATGCTGTCCAAGAATTAATGGATGGGAAGTCTTCAAAAGAGATGAGAGGACACTTTGATAATGAAAATCATCATTTCGTAGGTCCAATGAAGTAAGCTTCGTCCGATTACAGTCTTGAACCTCTTGTGGACATCTTTCATTGACCTTTTCTTTGTTCACAACAGGAACAACCTTTATAGGTTCTACGATGGTTTGAGATATACAGTCACTGGAATTCAAAGAATGGACACAGTTACTGAAGTCATCATCCAATAACTGCCAACTTTGTACTTGGGAAGCTCCTCCATTTATCCCTTCAACCATGAATGAGTCCTCCGCAGGCTGATTATTCGAACTGTTATTGGGGGAAACTACATCTAACTCTTCACATCCTATGACTGGAATTAACTTGGCTTCAAGAATCTCCCCATCAAAAGCAAATTCTTTGTCACTTTTTGTAATCGTCGTAGTAGCAACTACTGGATATGGAATCTCCAAGAACGAAGTTTTAACATGCTGAATCAGACTTGGGTCCTCCAAAATCTTCATAAGACAAATTAGAAGAAAACAACTCAAAAAATCTGAGTCATAAATCTATAGTGTATCAATTCATAATATAACCAGTAATCTAACAAGAGAAATACCAGATCTGTCACACCCAGTTCTATCACCCCTCTCACGAATGGAAAGCATACTACAGTCTGAAAGTTTTTGAACAAGAAACGTTATCATTAGTATTGAACTTTTCATTGAGATTTTTGTATTCATAAATTCCAATTTTACTAGTTCTACAAACTGCACTTGGTAAAGGCGCAATGTTGATACCTGAATAGATGCACTCTGAGGGTAAAGGATGCCCCAAGTCAAATTACAGAAGAAGAACCAAAATCAGATAAAGAAATCTTTAGTTTCATCCAACACATTAAGCAAAACCAGGCAAAAAGACAAAATTAACTTACTTTAGCTAGCAGAGAGCGAGTGAATACTTTACTATCTGCAAAATGAGCATTGCTTAACCAAATCGGCTGACCATTTGCTAAGGTTCTTCCTGGCAAGCTATGACCAATTCAGACCAAGAATTAACAAATATTGAGCATTGAAAGTATAAATCGTTGTAAAAAGAAATTTAATAAAGCAGAACGTAGTTTTACCCTTGGCCAATGTTGAACAAAAAAGACATGCAAACTAAGTAATACCACTCTGTATCAGTAAGATCTTCTGGTGATAGTGCTACTGAAGGTCTCCTAGCTTGTGGGCTGGCTTCACCAGCTGAAAGAGACTCATAGAGTTCTCTTAACTGTTCACTTCTTTGCAAACCCAATTGGTCTGCATTGAGCTCTACAGATTGAACTGTTTTTCTTGTCTTAATATCTCCATTGTAGTACCCATCACCCCACTCCAAAGCCCTACAGAAATTCAAATTTGCACCAATAACAACAAGAACGTGCCATTTATTAGAACATAGATGCGGAAAATTAATTGCAGTTCTAAAAAAGTAAACTTAGTGCAAAACCCTTGTTTTAGTTTTTTAATAGACAAGATTTTTTATTTAAAGATTGATAAATAAAAAACTTACGTTGAGCACAAAATATCAATTCCTAAGAATAAGTCAAACTATTAACAAAGAAACTAGGGAAGGATTAAAATACCCAGGTTGTCTAGTTGAAATGGACCAAAAGATTGCATAGCTCCATTGAATGCTCCTAACAGCAAGAGCAAGTTGTTTCTTGAGGTTCTCTGGTACTATCTCCTCAGCCATAACTTAAGCTAAAAAATGATAAGTCTACCTAATCAGATCAGATTCTTTCTTTTTTTTTCTAAAATCGAATCCTTAGTTATGGAATATTCAAGCACACCCAGAAGCAATCACGTGCTTAGCAGAAAAACCCCATTCTTGTATTGCAAAGGAGCAAACCTATGTGGGTTTGTTTAAGGAAAACAATGTTCAAGAAAAAAAAAACATGGTCCTGCTTGAAAAGGCTAAAAAACTACACTAAATAGAACTCAAGGTGGATGAGTTTGAGTCAGTAATGAAGGCTGAAAAAGAACAAAGATTTAGTTTAGAGGGAAGAGACCATTACTGTCCTAGTAGCGATTGGCCTCTTGTTATGTACAAAACCAAAACTCTGACTTTGATGGAGAAATAAGAAGAGAAAAAGGAAAGACAACAAATAATAGTAGCAGCTTTCTTTGGTTTTGACTTCCAATCTTGTAAATTGTTACTTAGTTTCATCACTGAAAAGTTTTAAAGCCTTATAAAAAGAAAATCTTTCACTGAAAAGCTTATGCCTTGACAAAAATAAATTCAAGAAAGAAAGAAATAAAAGTTCTGTTTGAAATTGTGGGGAACACTACAAAACATATCCAAACATATATTTTCATATATACATAATACTTGCTCTTTTGAACCTCTTAACACTGCAAAGCCAATTCAATGGCTATAAAAGATAAATGTTTTTATTACTGACCGAAAAAAAAGACTCAAAACTTTAAGATCCAATTTTCTTTTCTGAAGTGGCTAAATGGGTTTATTTCATTTTCATTCCAGAAATCCCATAAACCAGCTCAAGAAACAAAGTCTTTAGTGCATAAAGACAGAAGAAAGGCGTACAGTTTTAGTTTTGACAGAAAGGAGCTCCGAGATAAAGTAAAGAACGTTATGTCAAGAGACAGATGCAAGAAAGTGTTCTGCCTTCATTTTCTTCCTGGGTTTTTGAGCTTCAAGAAAAAGAGAGCAAAAAGGGACAAAGAAACGAAGAAAGAAAATAGAAGAAAGATTCTCTTTCTTGAGAGTCCTTTTTGTACAAAGTTCATACACAGAAGAGATTTGAAACCAGAATGTCTGGGGAAAATTTAGAGACACGATAGAAGAGAGGAGAAGAGGAACGTAGAGAAAGAGTAACTAGCTCAAATAGACATTTAAGTTGGGGTGAGTAATAGTGAAGGACTGAAGGACTCCTCTCCTGTGTCTTCCATGTGCTATGATGAGCAGAGTAATTGGTCAGAAATAATAAGGGAGAAAAACCAAGAATATTTATTACTCATTTAGTCATTCCTTTCTTTTCACATTGTTGCATTTTCAATTCTCTCCGCCCTCTTCATTTATTTATTTATATTGTTTTTTTTTTTTTTTTTTTCCTTCTTTTCACATTGTTGTTTGCATTTTTCATCTCTCCGCCCTCTTCATTTATTTATTTTATATTGTTTTTTTTTTTTTTTTTGGATTGTTACTTGTTTTTTTTTTTTTTTTTTGGATTGTTACTTGTGTTACAAATAAATATTAGGTCTCTGGAATATAATATGATATTTTTGCAGTTTTTATAAATAAATAAAAAAAATACAAGCAGTGGTAGAGCAAAAATTAAAAATTTTGAATTCCACGTGTTATAAGAGTTTTTATCAATTAAATAAATTTGGACAAGTCGCTTTATTGTTTTTATTTTTTTGTGGATCACCGTATTATTTTGATTCATTTAGCCTACTAATGCATAAAAAAAAGACATCTACGGTCTTACTTATAAACCAAATCAATAAAAATAAAAATTATTTAAAAATTGTTCCTAATTTATTCTTTTCTATATAATTAGAAATATCATCATTTAACTAAAAAAGTTTATTTTCATCGATAAATCCGATTTAAACCAGTGATGCAAAATATTCAATTGAATTCAATAATAAAAGACAATATAGTCAAATATGTATTTGACGGATAAGAATAATTGATATGTTATATTGTCAAATCTAAAAATCTAATCATCAAACTATGACTAATAAATTTCCAATTTGGATTTTCTCTTGTATGCAGCAATATAAATTTTAAATTTATAATATTTGCATAATTTCAATCTTTAAATTTCTAAAGAGAATTTGTAATTTTATTTAAAAAACAATTTTAAGAGATGAATGATTATATAAATATAAAATTATTTATGCTAATTTTGGCTAATCATCCTACTTACTAGTAAGTTAGCCCATTGAGTAGGTCTAGAAAGGGCTTATTTGACTTGCAGTTGGGCAAAATTTTCATATTCCCAAATTACCCTTTTTTTTTTTTTTTGTCATTTTCATGTAAGATTCCTCGACTGCCTCAATTCACTGTCAGTAAAAAAATGCATTCTTCTCTTGGCTTACCTTAGCTCTGAGTGACAATGAGAGTTGAGGCTTCGTAAGAGCACGTGCTTAAAAAAAATTAGGAAATTATATAAATGCAATTTTAAAAATTCCTTAGATTTATCATTTTTCTTTTATGAGATTTTAATTCTTCTGTTCTTTTTAATAATAGAAATTAAGCTATTTAATTATATTTTAGAAATACGTTAAAATTCATAAATTTTGCTTTTCATCAAAACAATGTAATATAAAATTATATGAATTTCATAATTTATAAATTTTATATTCCATAGATTTTCTGTAATGAAAATATTGGGCGGCTAAAAAAGAAAATAAAATTTGTGTGAGAGACAATGAGTTTATTCGACAAAATTAATTGTTGTGGTAGCTGTAACTATTTTAATAGCATTTAGCCTTTTAAATAGCATTTCATAAAACGCTAAAAATTAAATATTATAGAAGTTAATTTTTTATAAAACGTTATTTTAATAACTAAAAACTATTTCAAATAATATATTATCAAATGCTATAAAAAAAATAACGTTTACTGTTTTAACTAGTCAAAATGCTAAAAATTATTTTAAAAAATTGTTGCCGAACACTTGTGAATAATCTTTTGAAGTGACGAGTCTAAGCATATGGGATGGGACCTTCAATTGTCATTATGTGTTGTCTATCATTGCAAGTGTTATTGTTATAATTATTGTTGTTGTTATTAGAGTTGCAATTTGTAGGTGATTAACTACAAATTTAGGAAAAAATAATAATAATAATAATAATTATTATTATTATTATTAAGAGACATTAAACTAATTAAACGACCTCATAAACTGTAAATTAAAATATTAAATCCGGACAATCCATAATGTTTGTGGAAGTTATCATTTCATATCTTCACACACACACAAGATATCATCATTAGCTTCCTTAATTAACATCAAAACAACTTATGATTGAAGAATTTTTTTGCCTCCTCAATTTAATGTAATTTTATTTCCAAGGCTTAATTTAATTTAATGTGCCTTTCAAATAAAAATAAATCTATACGACTTGTTCGGACACAATGCAAATATTGCGAAATGACTTAAAAAAACTTTTTTTTTTTTTTTTTTTTTTTTAAAAAAAAACTTTTTTTTTTTTTTTTTTTTTTTTTTTTTTTTTTTTTTTTTTTTTTACATGATTGATTGAGAAAAACCCCTCTTCAGAAGAAACTGCAAGAAAGAATACACTGTCTTGACCGTAACCCATGATCTGCCATTAGGATTTTTTTGTTTGGTTATATGTCAGGGTTTTCAGAAAGTTCCAACAAAAAGAAATTGCAATCTGGTTTTCAGCTTTTTTTTTTTTTTCTTTTTTATTTATATTATCCATTTTTACCTATTTTAGCTCAAAATTTTATTCAATTTTAATTTTTTCATTTTTTAATGTATTGGGATTTATTTTATATAAGTATATTCAATTAACTAAAATTATAAATTTTAATATATATTTTTATTTCTAATTAAATGAGTTAATTTTGATTGCAATCACTTTCCTTCATTAATTAATATTGTCATTTTCAATTTAATTAAATTGAATTGCAATCCCTACTGATAATGAGTTAGGCCTATAATGTTGACATTAATCAAAAATGTTACTGGAAACGTACATGACCAGAATTGTAAGAACAAGGCTGCTTTCCAATAACTATTTATGATAATTAACTTTTTATATGATTTCATTGATGTGATAAATGGTCAAAATGTGAGAATAAAAAGTAAAAATTTAATAAAGAAAATACACTTTTTTTGATAATTATATGCACTCAATGTAAAAAAAAAAAAAAAAAAAAAATTTATATAAGCACTCAATGCTTAAAAAAAAAAAAAAACAGTTAAAGCGATTGCATTGATAGCGGTAAGTGGATATTAATTCTTCTGAAGATGAGAGCAAAATTTAAAACTTCTAAAAATTACTCATTTATTAAGAGCAGGTTAAAAAAAATCTACTATATATGCGCTGAATATATGATATGCGATTGAAACTATTTGATGTATCTAGATTGTAGAACATTGCTAGGCTATTTTTTACAAATGGACAGTAGACTTCACATGAAATCAATTTCAAGACAAATGAGCGTCCATTTTTACATAATCAATAGGCATAGGCTAGTTAGCACAACACAAAGACGGGGTAGTGTGCTGTAAATTTGAATTTGGAAAATATTAAATTGCAATATTTATTCCAATTGATTTGGTTGATTTGAAATAAAAAACATTAAATGGAAATTTATATAAGTTACATCAAAAAATAACATTAAAATATACAAAGTATACTTAAAACAATGTGCGAATATATATAGCGAAATAAAAAAAAAATTAGAAGATTATAATATGCTAGCTACAGTCAAAAACAAATTATGATTCGGTAGATTATAATATGGTAATAAAATAAAATTAAACAGTGAAAAAACTCTTTACTCTTTACTATAAAGATTTTCTTTCTAATACCATCTTTTTATTTTTACGGACATAAGTTACCTCATAAGCGCTCACAACGTTTGTGATGAGCATAAGAAATTTGAAGTGTTTCTGAAGTAAATTACAAAAATCTGGACCCTTTGATGACCTTTTCGATTGTGACCGCCGACCGAAACAAATTATCATTAGATTTTTTTTTCAGGCAGAAATTTGTTTTGTTTGCAGTTAGGGAATGGCGGATTTCATGATCTTTTGACTCACCTTTTAATTATTTCTATCTGTTTCATTTGCGAAAAATTGCTTAATTAATTAATATAGTCAATTTATAATTTTTCTTCATTTATTTTCATAATGACATGCCTTACGTTATATCCATTGAAAATAAGAAAAAAAAAAAAAAAAAAAACAGTAATAAAGCGTTGATTGAAGCGGTAAGTGATATTAATTCTTCTGAAGATGAGAGCATAAATTTAAAACTCCTAAAAATTACATTTATTAAGAGGGTAAAAAATCTATATATATGCGCTGAATATATGATTGGGATTGAAACTTTTGATTGTATCTAGATTGTGACATTGCTAGGCTATTTTTCAAAATGGACAGTAGACTTCCCTGAATCAATTTCAGCAATGGTCATTTTCATATCAATAGAGTAGCAAACAAAAGGGTAGTGTGTGTAAAATTTGAATTTGAAAGATATTAAATTGCAATATTTATTCCAATTATTTGGTTGATTTGAAATAAAAAAACATTAAAATGAAATTTTATGTTACTCAAAATAACATAAAATTACAAATTATACTTAAAACAATTGGAATATATATAGAAATAAGAAAAAAAATTAGAAGATTATAATATGCTTAGTACAGTCAAAAAACAAATTATGATTCGGTAGATTATAATATGGTAATAAAAATAAAATTAAACAGTGAAAAAAATTTTACTTTTTACTATTAAAGATCTTTCTTCTAATACATCTTTATTTTTAGAAATAGTTACCTCATAAGCTAAACGTTGTGATGAGAAAGAAAATTTGAAGTTTTCTGAAGTGAAATACAAAAATCTGGACCCCTTTGATGACTTTTCGATTGTGCCGAACGAAATTATTGATTAGATTTGTTTTTTTCAGGAGAAATTTGTTTTGTTTGCAAGGTAGGAATGGGATTCATGAATCTTTTGCTCACCTTTTAAATTATTTCTATCTGTTCATTTGAAATGCTAATTAATTAATATAGTCAATTTATAATTTTTCTTCATTTTTCATAAGACATGCTTACGTTATATCCATGAAAATTAAGTTATTTATATTAAATTATGCTTTAAATTAATCAAATATTTGATTAATAGAGTTTTTATTAGAAAATTTAATGTTGATATGTTAATTTTATTAATATCAAGATTTAATTAATGACTATATAATAGTTTGACGATTATATTTATTTAATGACAGAGAAGTGTATTAAATAAGGAAAAATAGTAAATTTTAAATATTATTCGCTTTTAAAAAAATAAATAAATAGGACAATAATTCGGGACGGATGAAAAAAGAAAATAAAAATATATATATTTATAATTATATGTTATCCAAATATGTATAAACTAATTATTCAAACTTACCATTGGATTTGCTGTCAAAGAATTCAAAGTTCACCATTTCTAGGAGTAAAAAATGCTGAAAGTGAGGAATTAATTAATAGCATGGTAGAAAATCTTGGTCTCCTCTACATATAGTATATGGCATTTGCAATTAATTTATAAATGACAATTTTGAGCAAGTCTAGAAAGAAACATTGTAGTAATTTATTAATAGCACATGGTAACTAAAAACTTGTATCTATATCCAAATGCCATCTGCCCTTCAATTTGTATTTCTTTTTTTTTTCTTAATTGCATCTTAGTGATCATACAAAGAAATTATGTAATCATATGATCTCATGATGGTTGTTGACATGAACAAAATCTAAACATTCCTACTGCAAATGCTTTTGATTTTTTTTATTTTAAAAAGAAGAGCATATTGTAGTTGTTTTTTTAATTAGGCTACCCACTGAAAACTGAAAATTATAATAATATGATAAATGATACTTGGGCTGTGCTTGGTAACATTATATATATTTTTTATAGTATTTAGTAACATATCGTTTAAATTAGTTTTTAGATATTAATATAACATTTTATAAAATGTTACTCCTCTAATGTTTAGGTAATGTTCGACAATAGCATTTGAAGTAGTGTTTAGTATTTTGATAGGTTTAAAACACTATTTTAATTAATTATAGCGCTCAATAATATAATATTTATCTTAACGTGAAACATTATTTTCTTTAACGTTTAGTGTTTTATAATTTATTTGTGACATTTATATTCATCACTTGTCTTTACCTTATTCCTCGCTTTCATACTTTTTTTTTTTTGTTTTATATTAAACAGCTAATCAAATAGTTATTTATACAGAAAACTTTTATACCGTTATATAATCAGTTAACCACTAACAATTAATCACTAGTAAAACAGTTGACAGCTATTAAAATAACTAACAGCTGCTAGAACAACTAAAATTGAAGAATAGACATTTATCTATTTAGTATTTTATGAAAAATTACTTAAATAATTTTTAGCTACCAAATAATAAAACGCAACTAAAACTGCTAACAGCTACTAAAGCACCTAATTTTGCTGAACAGACACTCATATAAACATGAGAATTTAAGAATCTTTTTACACAATTTATTCAAAACTAAGTGCTAGAAATATACAATGGTTTGGTTGGTGCTCTCCAAATATCAAACATGCCAAAATAATTGGCATGAACTTTGGATCCTCGAGTCCCTCTTATAGAATCAACTTAGACCATCTTCATGTGATAAAAAGTTAAATCCTAAAAAGAATAGACCAAACCAAAGAGCAAAGGAAAATAAAGTAAATACATAAAAAAGTATTGACTTTTAGTGTGAAGTAACTATGTGATAATAACAACATGTCTAGATTCATCTCCTTCCGAGCCAAACGTTTACATTATGAGAAATATAATGTTCGTATTTTCCAAAACCCTAATCATAAAATCATATGTGTACATATTTTTACTGCACAGAGTAATTGAAATCAGCTGTCAACTATCAATTATTATGAACGCTGAACCAACAGATCCTTATGCTAGATGATTAAAGCTGATATTTCGAGACAAGTTGAAATTCTTTTATCTCTTCAATCTCCATCAATTGACTTGAAATTTCTCTCCCCACTTCCCTTAATAAGTATTTGGTTGATAATTCTCTCTCCTAGACATAGCTCCCATGAAAACAAAACAGTTGAATTTCATGGGTGGTTGAGAAGATCACAGGAAAATATGATTAGTCTTAATGAAATACCGAATACATAGAATTAGAATAGAAATTGGTAGTTCTTGTTGGTCTTCCTGCAAGCAAACTAATAAACAATTCTCCATAGATTAGACATCATTAGCAAAAAAAAAAAAAAAAAAAAAAAAAAAAAAAAAAAAAAGAAGCAATGGTTGAACTTTAAATATCAAAGTCGATGCTAAAAATTAATTCGTATACTTTAAATTAAGAAAGAAATTAAATAATTTTTATTGGGAGTATCAAATATATATATTCCAATTATGTTAAGCAGCACTAGAACGCCTTTGTTGACGATCCTTTATTCCGACAATATCTAGGGTTCCTCGAACAATGTGATATCTCACACGGGCAACATGGTAGTAAAGAGTGGATAATATTATCAAGCATTGTTTATTTATCGTCGGTTCTTTCATTTATTTAAACTAGTGTTTTTTTTGTGAAATGCGTTGCATATTGTTATTTATTCAGTATTACTTGTTGTTTACACTCATTAATTTATTCTTATATAGTATTAAGTATGATTATAATTTTTGTCTTATATTCTCTAGATATTTATATAATATTAAGACATGATTTTCTATATGTTTTAACATTTTTCTCTCATAATAATTGAAGCCAATAATTCAAATTTTATAAATAAAATAAGAGTCTTTATCGATCCTTTAATGAGTTCGTACGAGCGGAATTTAATCCTGTTTGAATGGACTAGAAATAATTTATCTTTCATAGCAAATAGAGATTGCACCGGTGGTCCATCCAAAACAAGCATCACCTCACTACAATATATAGAGACAAACCAAAACCTACCCCAATTATATTCTATTATCATGCTTTTAATGTTTATGTAGTGGGCCCAACTAGAGGTGTGCAAAACTATCTTCCGAATAAAAAATTAGAAACTGAACTGATCATTTCAATTTGGTTCGGTTATCTATTTTACGGAAGGTTCGGTTTGTACCGAAGTTTATTATTTGGTTCGAGTCTATTTCATAGAAATTCAATTATTGAGCTCAAAATCGACTAAAATTGCACTGACAGATTCAATTTGAGTCAATTCAATTTACTATAAAAAAGTTCGGTTTGTACATTGTTATTGATTTGATTCCATTTGCGCACCCCTAGGCGCAGCCTTTCAATCTTATGCTTCATCCGTTAGATCAAAGGGGATTGACATTTCTCACAAAGATCAAATTTTTACTAGAGCATACCATATTCAACGGCAGTGTCCAGCCTCATCTACCAAATCCAAGACTATGACATTCGAGCTCCTCCACAATATAAAATGAAAAAAAAAAAAGTTCATATTTTGATTAAGAGGTCCATATCAAAGCCGAGCCCAGTTATAAAATCTGTTCATAACACGAAGCCCATAAAACCCAACCGCAAAATACTAGTGCAGTAACTGAAAAAAAATGTATTTCTCGAGAACCAAACAGAAAGCTGAAAAAGGAAATGGGAAAAAGCCCATTTATAGCGAAATTGAAAGCTTACTTTAGACAGAGCTATGCGAAGAGGCCGGTGAAGCTCACAGCGACCGCCGGAGAGTCTCTTTCAATGACTTCCAGAGATTTTCTTTTTATGATTTGGATATATGGAAGTTTCCTAGTAATCTGATGTAATTCTCATTAGCCTAATCTTAATAGAATAAGGAAATTAATTATTAAACCCTATAAATATGTACATATCATACGCATTAGCTTCATTACTACGTGGTTTTGACTCCTTCTAGGAAACAGTATATAACCCAGTAGAGTTTCTCTACTTCCGTCACTTTCTTATTCATTCTTTGTTCTTCTTCTTCGTCAAGCAAACATGGACAACTTGTCTCCGAGAGAAAGAGATCGATTTATTCGAACTTGGCTACATAGTATTATTCCAGTTCAAACTGTACTGGATGATAATATCCAATCCATGTTAGTAGAAGCTAATAGAGATTTCTCACCGGAGCAATACTTGGGAATCGGAGATGACGACGAAGAAACTATCTTTGGGGATGATGATGATGAAGATTTGGTGATCGCACTGTTAGCAAGCATTGATTATTGTCCAACAGCGCAGCCAGCAAGCCAAGAATCCATTGATAAACTGAAAGATGTGAGAATTGAAAAATCGGATTTGGATTGTAGCATCTGCTTGGATGAACTTTTGGTAGGGTCTGAAGCCAAGTGCTTGCCATGCTCACACGTTTACCATGGAAATTGTATCGCAGAGTGGCTGAAGAATAGCAACACCTGTCCTCTCTGTCGGTATTCGTTACCCACAGATTCTTCTTGAATTTTGACCTTTCAAGGCAAACTTTGGTCGTTTAGGGTAGGTTGAATTTGTAAAAAACAGTATTCAATTTTCTTGTTCAGTTCTTACAAATCATAAATTTTGATATAAATAAGTAAAGAATTCTTATCTTGAGATTCAATTAGAGAAAATAAATGCAAGCGGTTCACAAAAATTGTTTGTTCGCTGTATCACAGTAGATTCAAGCCTGAAATAATGTCAGTGAATATATCTTCTCTGCAAGGAAGTGTAATAGTAAGACAACCCATTGGAGGTTTAAATCCAATTTCTTCCCAGCTTCTTGGAATCAATGGCTTTTCTGCATTTTTTTTTTTTTTCCAACAAACGACCACGTTTCTTTTTCCTTTTTTCGCAAACGACAGGGCTTTGTTTGCTTTTGAACTTCAAGCCTGTTCATGGGTTTTAAGGTAATTAATGTATATTCAAATATATATATTTTTTTATTAAAGCTTAATAAACCGAAATAACACTATAAATTATATAAATTGACAAAAATAATTACAGTAAAAAGAATACGAATCAGATACTTTTCGAAGAACAACGTTGACATGGTTTTCTTTTCTCCTCGAAAGTGTGGGTTCCATTATATATATATTTTTCATGGTTTTCAAAAAAAAAAAAAGAAAAAACATTTAATTATTTATTTTGTCAAAATGGAAAATTGAGCTTGCAAAGGACGCAAGTCAATAGTGTCAAGATTGCAACAAGAGAGGGAGAAAAAAGGACAGCTTCAGACTTTTCACATGTGTACCATTCGATGTTTCAAAATCATACCTTAACCTGGATTTGTATATAATTCTTACAAATAATACAATTTGATTTCTAGACACACTAATTTATGGATTAAAATAAAAATAATTAATTAAATTCATTTTTAAATTTAAGCTCAATCCTATAAAATTTTGACTCAACTAGATATAAAGAAACGAAATTGAATTATATTTCTCAACTTTACTTCTTACTCTTTTGTTCGTTAAAGTTTATATTTTTTTTATTTTTTCATAAGAAATAAAAAAATAATTTAATTATTTTAATTTTAAAAAAGAAAATGACAGTTGATTGAATTGTTCTTTTATTAATTCTCTAAATAATTAATATTTTTTATCGGAAATATTGAAAATAAAGAAAATAATAATAATAATTAATTAATTTTCTTAATAATGACCCATGTTAGACTTAACAAAAAGATCCCTAATCCAAACTTAAATAGGATTGGAAGCCATAAATAGGCAAATGCAACTCATAATTCATAAATATTATTTTCAATTTTAATAAAAATGAGAAACATTAATAGTAATATTGCAAATAAGGCTATATTTAGTCGGTTACAGGCTGCACAGTTTTGTTAGTTACAACAGTTGACACCAGGACAACAAACTTACTAATTGAAATCCCGAACCTTCTTACCTTTTCAAATTTAGGGTAAATTATTATTTAGTACTTAAGGTTTTATTTAATTACTAGTTAATTTCTATATTTTGATTAAATAAAGACATTGTACTTAATTTTTTAAACTATTTAATTATTTTATTCAAAAAGTGTTAAATGTGAGGTATTATATAATAATATTATATTATATTGAATGTGAAGGACTAAATATTTAAATATTACCTGAAATTTAATGATAAATATGATATTTTAAATCAAAAGACTAAATAATTAGACAAATTTAAAAGTTAAAAAATGATTTAATTATATAAAAATTAAATAATAATTAAAATTAAATTTAAGAAACTACACGGTAAGTAGTAAATAATAATAATTTTTTAATTAGAATTAGGGTGGAGAAAAAGGACTCAAACCCGGTGATTCTGAAATTTAAAGGATTAAATATTTTAATAAATCCAAAATTACAGACAATTCAAATATTTAGTTAAAATATATAATTTGGATAAAATTAGAGGATTAAATAATAATTCGACTTAGTAATAATTATATAATTCAATATATAATTATTTTGTTCGTTACTAATTCAAATCCAGAAACTGACTGAGCAAAAACCGAAACGACAAAAGCTACGAGGCGGGAACTCCACTCCAAATTTAGTGGGAGTGGGACCATAACTCCAAATTTGTGGGGACCACAATCCGGAAAAACTAATTTTTTTTAAATAAATAGCAAGAAAAATATAAAAATAAAAAAAAAACACATCTCCATTACGCAGTTTGATTTTCATTTTTCCAACCAAAACAAACAATTTCCAAAATTTCTTTTCTTTTCTTTCCTTTCTGTGTCAGAAACGGGAAGGAAAGAAAAGAAAAGAAAACAAAAGGAAAGGATAATCAAAATCTTATATTATTTTCTTAGTTATTAAAAGAAAAGGAGAAATCCGGCGATCTTAAGCTCGTTCTCTGTTTCCTCATTGTGTATCGTTAGCTGCTGATCTCTGCATTTGTGTTTGAAGAATTTCGTTTTCCTCGATCTCCAGAGCAAGACATTAGCTGCTTTTCCACGATTTCAGGTCGTTCATTGTCAGGTTCGAGCAATTCTCTAGCTCACATTTTGCATGTAAACGTCTTTTTTGTGACAAATTTAGGGATTTTGCTTGGATCTGGTGGATTTTTGCGGCATTGTGCATTTTGAATTTTGTTTCTGCAAAATTTGGAGCTGGTAGGGTTTTGGGTTGCTCGTTTTTGTTTGGATTGATTATGCCCTGTAAGTTAGATGAGAAAATGGAGGCAAATTTGTTTTTGCTTGGATTTGTCTATACTAAATTAACAATAGTAAAAAAATAGGCTCATCTGAATAATTGTGTAATTTATATATATATCTGTATATATGTTGTAGAAGTGTAGGGAAAGAAAAGAATCTAGAGCTGCGCCTTTATTTGTGTGCTAAATTATTATTTTTTTATTATTGTGTGCTAAATCACTTTTTTTTTTTTTTTTTTTTTTTAAAAAAAAAAAAATGTTTTTGTTAATTTTTAATATATATATCTGCTATATATGTTGTAAGAAGTGTAGGAAAGAAAAGAATCTAGAGCTGCGCCTTTATTTGTGTCTTTGTGTGCTAAATTATTATTTTTTATTATTGTGTGCTAAAATCACTTTTTTTTTTTTTTTTTTTTTTTTTTTTGGGTAAAAGAAAAGATTTTGTATTTCTTTTTATTATACATTTTGACATGGAGAGATAAAGCAACACACATTTGGATTCTTAACATTACCTGTCAACTTTGGTTACAAATTAGACACAGGTTGTAGTCCAGATAATTTTGCTGCATGTTTATGAATCTTGAACTTTTTATTATGGGAAAACATTTCCAGTAACTTATAGAATTCCGCTTGCTAGAATGGTCTTGTTATAATTGCTTGGTTTTAGTATAAGAGGTTGATTTAGTTTGATGAAACTTTTAAATGTAGGGCTGACACTTTAAGTGGTGCAGTAAAAGAAGAGTTCTAGGTCATCTCAACATGAGCAATCAACTACAAAGGAAATCAGGTGGAAATGGGGTATATGACAGCTCAAATGGTAATCGTGGTCTGGACTTGGAAGAAGAAGAAAGGCCTGAAGGCATTGTTGATGGTAAGAAGCATTAATCTCTCTCTCTTTCTCCAAACACTCACAAAGAACATCTCATCCTGGTTGCTACTTCTTTTCTCTAAGTCTTATGCAAGAACTTTGATTTGATTCTAGGTAACTTGCAATCATTGGTTGAGTGGTTAAACCAAATGGTTCCATATTTGGATTTGCGATTAGAAGCTTCAGAGGAAGAATTGAGAGCATGCCTGATTGATGGCACAGTTTTATGTACCATTTTGAACAAGTTGAATCCTGGTTTAGTTGAAATGGTTGGACTTCTATTAACTTAAAAATGTCCTTCAAGGTCCTGTTTTATTGTGTTTTTTTTTTGTTGTTTTTCAGTTTTGCTAACTTGAATCTATCTTTTTTCCTTAACTTGCTTTTGGTTTTAGAGACGTAACTCCGAGCCTGGCCCAGAAAAAATAAAAAAATTTCTGGCAGCAATGGATGAAATGGGATTGCCTAGGTTTGTACTTGCAGACATACAACAGGTACAGGAATTTCCTGAACAAAAGCAGCTATAGTTTAAATGAGATTCTGATTTGGTTTATATGATATTGGGCATGTATTTTTGGTTATTTGAACTCAAACAGTGTAGAGGCAACTTTACCCTAGGTCAGTACATCTGAACAAAGATTCAAATGGTCATTAGTTGATACGTTCGCTAAATTTCTGAATAAGTTGGCTCTTAGGTGAAAATGGTTCATCATCATGTATGCCTTCAATCCCCCAACAGTTTTAAAAGAAAAAACCCTTGTTTGTATTGGTCAATAAATCTTCTAGGCATAGCAAACGTTATTTTTGGCATTTTTTATTTTCCTTCGCCCTTGTTGGGGCGAAGTTAAAAGTCCTTTATTCTTGTTATCTCTTCATTTTTAACCTATTTTAATATATAACTTGAGAAACTTTTCAGGGTTACATGGTGCCAGTTTTGCAGTGCCTTAGCACACTTAAAGCACATTTTGATTCTATTGGTGGCAAAGCAAGCTTTGGCCGTAATCATTCAAGAAGGTTATGGAATCTATTGTTGGCAAATAGCAAGGGTGTGCGTCAACATGTTAATGCACCAACATTTGGAGAAGACAGACATCAAATGGAGGTAGAGTTTTCAGAAGGAATTGATGGTTCACAACAGGGGCATCAGACTGTTATATCAGGTTATTATCTTAAGAGAAGTTGAATATGCACGGAGTGGATTTGATATTCCCGAATTACTTGCCTGCTACATATGCATGAAGTACAGTAGCCTTCTTAAGATTTTTGTAATTCCTTAACATGCGTTATATATATGTCAGCTCTTATGCTGAATCTTTTAGGTTTGCCCAGATTTGTGCCTTTTCTGTTAGACTTTGGGTCTAGCTCATCTTTTCATGTAGACTAATGGTGAAACTAGGCAGTTTGTGTTTTCCCCACTACATAATGAAAATCAAATAAATAGGATAGCGACAAACTCAGTTTTGAAGAAAATAAAAAAATCATTTAGAATCTGGAACAGAGCTTCTAATTGAGAAATTTTTAAGTGTTTATGACTCTCTGTTTGGACATGTTGTCCTTTGTTCTTGGTAAATGACCTGCTCATAACTGAAATCAGCTGATTTATAGACTTTTTTTTATTAGTGGGGGATCAATGAAGAAATACAAAATCATCTCAGGTCAAACTTTGAACTTTGGTTCTTTCAAAAATTTGTGATACTTTATAATACATATAAAACAACTGTGCTTAGAGTTAATGCTCAAGGTTGCTTCATTTATCTTGAGATGAGATAATGTCCAAAAAATAAATTAGAAAAGATTATTCAATTATAAGACCTTTTAACTTTTTGATAGGGACAGATTTGTTTTTCAAATTCCTCGTTTCACGAGCTTATTTTTGAAGTCCTAGCTGGAGATAAAAAATCTGCTTCTCAGTCTCACAACATTAAATGTGCTAGCAGCAGAATTATTTGTTCCTTGGAGTTGTATAATTTTGGATTTTGGGTAGGGAATGACAGTTTTCCTGCTTTGGCAAGGGCTTGTGACCTGCCTTTATTAGATTGGGTGACCTTTATAGGAATGGAGCTGTGAGAGGAATGCAAAAACTTGGTCCTTGAGGCATTTTGGAGGCTTGTTATCTGGCATTCACTCATCTTCACTTTATTGGCTGCCAGTAATTGGCAGTCCCATCTTCTATTTTCCCTTCTCTGTGTCTATGTGTGTATAGAAGCTTATTCCCTCTTTTTTTCCTTCTTGGTGTTTTCTTTTTTAGAGCCATCTGCTGCTTTGCAATATGATGCGGGGCATAAGATTTCTGAGGCGTTTCTACCAAAGCAAGGGCATGCTGATCTTTCGGATTCCAATATCTTGGAATTGATGAAATCAAATGGGTTGGATGTAAGCTCCTGAACTTGTGTATGCCATCTGAACCATAACATGATGATGTAGAAATGAACTGGACTTTTGATGCCTCTCTGATGCATATTTGTAATTCCTTGTGCAGAATGCCTCAACTAGAACATTGTTCAGTTTATTGAACAGGATTATGGATGACAGTATGGAAAGGAAGAATGGTTTTGTTCAGAATGTATGGTAGATATTACTTTTATTGCACATACATTGATAAATAATATTTTACTTTTTTTCTCCAATAATTTTCTCAGGGGGTATTTGTGTTTTAACATCTCTAAGTGGTGTTTTTTTCTTTTAATATCTTTTCATAACAGATGGCACGTTTGATGAAGAAAGTCATCCAACTTATTGAACAACGATTTTCAACTCAAGCAGAGAACTTAAAAGATGTAATGTCTTGAAATCTTTTCTACATTGATGTATTGGATCCGTGTCTTTGTGCAAATGGGCATGCTTCTGTTTGTATGTTTTTATATTATATTATATTATTATATTTGTTTAATCTATTAAATGTGGCTCATGTATAACGATGATTTGGTTGTTGCATGTTTTCAGCAAAACAACCTTTATAATGTTCGGACAGAGAAGTACCAATCAAGAATCAGAGTGCTTGAGACCCTTGCATCTGGGACTACAGAGGAAATTGAGGTACTTTGACTAATAGTCTGAAGTATCCGGCTTGGCTTCTCTGAGTTTAGTTCTTATAATTAATTTCTATTGCTTTTTGTACTTAAATAGGTATTATTATCACAGCTACAACAAATAAAGGTGCGTCTTATCCCCTTTTTTTTTTTTAACTTTTGATAAAGAATCATATTGTAGTTGTTGGTTCTTTTTTCCCAATGCCTTTAGGATCCCATAGAGTTACATTGGACATGCATCTTTATTAATTTAATTTATATCTCATTACAATGAGCAAGAGAGGGAAAAACTCGCTACCATCAGCTAGTTTCAGCCCTTGTACTTATATGTTTGAAGGGAAAAATAATTGGATTTGTATGTTAGAGAGCTTAGCATAAATTATCTGGAGTTTTTTTATTCAGTTGTTGCATATCGAATTTGTGTACATCTATTCTGGTATGTATGCTAATTATACGAGAACATATTGTATAAGTAAATGATAAGTTATTAGCCAATATTTTTTTTGGTGTGCAAGGTGACTAAATTTTAAATTTATTTAGGCCGATAGCTTCTATGGTCCATCTTTCTCAATTGACAGCTAAAGAGTGCATATTCAGATACGATTTGTCCGTGCCATCATGACTCTTGGTATGGCTTAAGCTTTGTTCTATGTGCAGATGGAGAAAACCAAACTGGAGCAGAAGGAAAAGCTTGAATGGCAGGATCTCAATAGATTGAGGGAAGAGAAAAATCATAGTGACATTGAGAAATTGACGCTGAAAAAGGAACTGGAATTAGTGAAGAAGAAGCACGAAGAGCATTGCTTGGTGTTGGAAGTGCAGTCAAAGGAAACTAAAGTTGAATTAGAAAAGAGATTAGAGGAACTTGAATGTTTTCTAGCAGAGTCAAGGAACAAGGTGAAGGAACTTGAGTCGTTTTCTGAATCAAAATCCCAAAGATGGAAAAAGAAAGAGGGAACCTATCAGAGCTTTATAAATTACCAATTTAAAGCTTTACAGGTTTGTCTTTATCTACATGTTAATTTAGTAATGTGTTGATGTAATAGCATATCACATTAATTATAAGCCTGACATTGTTAGGAATTAAGGGAAACATCTGACTCTATAAAACATGAAGTCTTGAAGGCAAAAAGGAGTTATTTCGAGGAATTTCAATGTTTGGGTACAATTGATTGTTACTTTTGCATTACTTCAGTTTTTCTATGGTGATGTGCTTTTTAATTGGCAGGGCACTTTCACGATGCATATATTTTTTATCTTGAGCAGGAGTGAAGCTTAAAGGAATAGCAGATGCTGCTGAGAATTACCATTGTGTGCTTGCAGAAAATCGAAGATTGTATAATGAAATTCAAGATTTGAAAGGTATATTGCTGAGAATATTTTATCTGTACTTAGAATGCTCATTGGTTATATTTGGTTTATTGCTTCTTACAGGAAATATTAGAGTATATTGTCGGATAAGGCCATTCCTGCCAGGTCAATGTAAGACGCTAACAACCATAGAGTATATTGGTGAAAATGGTGAATTAGTTATTTCAAATCCATTAAAACAAGGAAAAGAAAGCCATAGACTTTTCAAATTCAATAAGGTTTTTGGTCCAACAGCTAGTCAAGGTGAGAAGTTTATGAAGTTCTAATATTAAGCTACTGCCTCTGTGACTCCTGTTCATTTTTTTTTTTTTTTTTCAATCAATTGCATCATACTTTTATTTAGATAACAAATGCAGCTCATTTACATTGGTAAATGTCATTGCTTCCAGAGGAAGTATTTCTGGACACGCAACCATTGATTCGATCTGTTCTTGATGGATATAATGTCTGTATTTTTGCTTACGGTCAAACCGGTTCAGGAAAGACTTACACAATGGTATGCAACTAATCTATAATTTTCCACTATATACATTTTTATCCTATGCAATTTTTACTCATGAGTTTCATTTCCCCAGAGTGGACCTGATTTATCATCAAAAGAAGATTGGGGGGTCAATTATCGCGCCTTAAATGATCTTTTCCAAATCTCTCAGAGCAGGAAAAGCTCCATTAGATATGATGTTGGTGTACAAATGGTTGAAATATACAATGAACAAGTCCGTGATCTGCTAACAAGCAATGGCACTCAGAGAAGATATCCTTCATTTTTATCTGTTTATTTTTAGTTATTTCAGGCATTTTTTCCCGTTGATCTTTGAATTCATAGCATTTATCATTCCCAGTTTATCGAAAGAAGGATAATGTTGCTCCAAATTCTTTTGATTTTGATGTTATGACTTTTGCATTTTTCTTAACTTGCGCACACTTGGGATTTGGAGTACAACCCAACCAAATGGGTTAGCTGTCCCTGATGCTAGCATGCACTGTGTTAAATCAACAACAGATGTCTTAGAATTGATGAACATTGGATTGATGAACCGTGCCATTGGTGCTACTGCGCTGAATGAAAGAAGTAGCAGATCCCACAGGTTGTCTTTCTAATAATAAATGCCTAACATTGACTGTCAACATAACTAATGTTGAGGATTTTGATTCAATTTCACACTGCAGTGTTCTCACTGTTCATGTCCGGGGTACGGACTTGGATACCGGCGCGCTTCTGCGTGGTAATCTGCATTTAATTGATCTTGCTGGTAGTGAAAGGGTGGACCGGTCTGAAGTAACTGGAGACAGGCTGAGGGAGGCCCAACATATAAATAAATCACTTTCCGCACTTGGGGATGTGATATTTTCTTTAGCTCAAAAAAGTCCACATGTGCCGTATAGAAATAGCAAATTGACTCAAGTTTTACAAAGCTCCTTAGGTATTATTCTCGGTCTTACATCCAGCATGCTTTCATATTGTGCAGTATTAAAGTGAACTAGTTATGATATTTTAGTTGTTTTTTCTTTTAGCAACTTTTTTTTTTTTTTTTCTCATTCTAGGTGGTCAAGCGAAGACTCTCATGTTCGTCCAGCTTAATCCTGATGTAGATTCTTATTCTGAAACTATAAGTACCTTAAAGTTTGCTGAAAGAGTTTCTGGCATTGAGTTAGGCGCTGCAAGGAGCAACAAAGAAGGAAGAGATATTAGAGATCTTATGCAGCAGGTAGTTGGGTTCCTAATTTTTATCAGTACGCTCAGTCAGTATCCATAACTTTTTTTCCTTAATCTTTCTCCCAGCTAAGGATAACTCAACAATTTAATGTTCAGCAATGAAATTGTGCACGTGCCAAAAAATAGGAACTCCTGAACTACTGCCCACTGGACATGCATAAACTTGGTTAGATTGAAGTTTGCCTAAGCTGATGAATTAATTACCTGTTTATAAGCATCTGTTTCTTTTGGTTTTAGCGCATGGATTGAGGTTCTCGAGTATAGAATCTGTACTGGTTTTGCCTATTTCATCTTTTGTTCCTGAAGTCTATAAAGCACAATTGCTTTACATGATTGGAACTTCCATGAATGACAACAGAGTTTGCCTATTATCTTACAGTCTGCCCAATCTGTCATGTTTGGGGAATAAAAGCGCAATGGATTCTGAGGAATGGAAATATTTGTTTAAGACTGAATACTTTGTTTCATTTCATTCATTGTTTTCTAATTTAAAGTGTGAATCTTGCAGGTTACATCCCTCAAGGACACAATTGCAAAGAAAGATGAAGAGATTGAGCGTTTGTTTCTTAGGTCTAATGCCAATGCCATGCGGCAAGGTAAGAACTCGCATAGGAGTGACTCTTCCTCTCCAAGAAGACATTCAACTGAGAGTCCACGTCAAAGCCCTGAGACAAGTGGAAGGAAAGGCTTGGGACCTTTTGAGAGAGTTGCTTCTGACTTTGATAATGGTTCCGAGTACAGTGAGAAACGTTCTGAAGCTGGTTCTCTGCAGTCAATGGATGACTTCAGAAATCGTCTGCGACAGTCAAAGTCAGTGGGGTCAGTGCGTGAACTAAGACTTCAACAGGAGATTCTCCCTCAGTCAAAGCTTAGAAAAGATGGAGACCAGAATTCTAAAGAGGATATTGAGCTCTTGCGGTTTGGAGAGGCAGATTCCGATGAGAGACTAAGTGACATATCTGATGGTGGTCTTTCAATGGGAACTGAAACAGATTCTGCAGAGTTGACTCTTTTCCCTGAATCTGCAAGACCAGCTGAATCCCCAGAACCATCAAAATCACCTGAAACTGAAAGATCAGCAGGAGTGACATCCCCAGAACCATCAAAATCACCTGAAAATGCAAGATCAGCAGGAGCGACAAAACCAATTGATACAGCAGAGAACACAGAGAAGTGAGTATACTTCACATCCAAGGTTCTAAATTTTGTATGAATAGTTCGTCTTAGACACTTCTCTAAAAGTTTGATGTTTTTTCTTGTCATTGCTAAGTTTAAATTAGCCTTGATTACTTTATTGATTTCTATATGCCATGCAATGCTGAGTTGCATATGCACACAAATACAAGGAAAAGAAAAGAGTTTGGGGATAGTTTTTTTTCCCCTTTGTTGTTTGACTTGGAAAGTTCTAGTACTTTACTGGTTAATAAACTACTGTCATTCAAATTAATCTGAACACCTGTAAATTCTGTTTGTTACCAGACCAAAGATCCCGAGGCATCCGAAAAAATTGATACAGACAAGATTGTCACGCTTATCATTGAATAAGAGCTCCACTCCAAGGCCTTCACCAAGTATGTATATTTAAACCTCTCTATTCCTTTTTATTTTTCCCTTAATCATTTTAAACTAGCAATTTATCTGCTCCTTAATTATTAGACAGGTAAACATTAGCCCTAGTTTGGTATAAAGGAATTCCATGTTTTCATGAAAGTTTTATTCATTTTACTCTTATGAATTTAGTCTAGTAGAATTTGACATTAATAAACCAAATTTTAGCATTATGAATGAATTATGCACTTCAAATTCATTTATACCAAATAAGGGGTTATCTAGGTTGGTGGCTAACCTACTTCTATATCACCTCTATGTTAATTGATTCGGATTACATGCTCTCTCTCAGTGACAGCACCTAGGAAATCTACTCTTGGTAGTTCGTCTGCAACCAGAAGTTCAAAGCGATGGCACTGAAACTGGGGAATTTTGGATGGTAAAGGAATTGACACTTACCCGTAGATTGTAAATTCTAACTTTATATCATGTTGCTCCTCTAGATTATCCCTTACTTCCATTTTTTCTTTAGAAAATGGTTTCACTGGAAGTGATAAACTAGAAAGTATTTTGTGATGTAAAATGTATAGACTCAAGGATCATAGTGTTAAGCCCGTTGGGTTTCCCCCCACTTTTTGTCCATCTTTTTATTATTTCTGCTTCTGAATTGCTGATTTTTGGTTTTGCATTTTGTATTCATTGCTCTCACTCTCTTTTACTATTTCAACTTCTGAACTATTTCAAAGCTAGTGACTTTTGCAATAATGGGGTGCAATCAAGATGGCTTCATGTTTCATATTGGAAGCTATGGATTGATCACTGTTGTTCGAAATCCTCATTTGCAGGCCACTTTTTTTATTCTTTGTATGAAAAGAAAACTTACTAGAAGTTTTAAAATAGTAAAAAATGTATTAGCAGAAAAAGAAAATTGAAAGGATAAAGATTAGGAGAGATTTTTATCTATAAAGGTTTCTCGAACTTTATTTTATAAATATATATTAGCCATCAGCTGGTATGTTGTGCGGGTTTAATTGAATATAGTATTTAAAAGAGATTAAATTTATATTTGTTTTGATAGTAAAAAGTTAATAAATATTTTTTAAAAAAATGGAGAAAATGACGCATGCTATTTATTTTTTACATTTTAGTTTTTTTTTTATTATTTTTAAAATCTACGAAGAATTAATTGTATTATTGAGCAAATTGATGTAGTTGTTTATAAATACTCTATAATAAAAATACATTTTAAATAACTTTAAACTAATTATTTTTTTTCTTTTGAATAATAAAATTAAAATAAAAAGAGATGATATTATATCTTTTTGTTTAAAAATAATTTTGACAAAATATTTTATTCTGGATATTTTATATTTAAATTATTTTTTCAAAAAATTTATTACTATGCATAAAGAGCACCCTTAGAAGAACATGTACACTGCTAGGTTTCATCAATTGAAAATCCCATCTATCGATCAAGATCTAAATTTTCCAATTAAATAGAATCGGAGGGCGTAGAAAATTATATTAATTATGACTTCCTTTTTTTTTCTTTCTTTTTTTTTTTTTTTTTAAACGGCCCATTATATTATTACCAAATTGCATAGCAACGTCTGGTCGTTTGGAAGTCAGTTATTTGCTTAGAACATTTTAAACCGCACCAAAAAGAGCACTTCTGTTTATGCTTAGAACATTCTATAAAACACGACCATAAACCCTCGTTCTCTTCAACAATGAATCAGCAAACAATAGGAACGTTATTTTCTGCTGGAGGACTACTCAATTCGTCGAGGTCTCAACTTCTCTCCCTTAACTTTAAAGCTTCTAAAGTTTGCTGGCTTGCTTTCTGTTTGGATCCGGAGAAAAACAGAATGGAACATAAAACTCACGAGTCCACCGTACTTTTTTATTATTATTTTTAAGTTAGAGGAATGTGAATTTATAGAAGTCTAAAGTCTAAAGACTAAAGTTTTAGTTTTCTATTTTGCTATTCACCAGTTTTGTTCTGTTACTTTGTTAATTACTCTGCGTTGTGAATTTATGTGAAATGGAAGTGTTCTGGAGATTGGATTAATGGGTTTTGTTTGAACAATTGACTGAGACTGTTCTCAGTCTAATTCTATTGAATTTCAGCTTGATGAAGACGACATGTCTTAAATATATGGAGTGGCTGTGTCTGCAAGTTTCGGAGCCAATCTATTGCAGATAGCAAAGGACAAAATTAACTGGTGAATAAGTTTAGTAGATGCTTTCTCTTAATTTATTTTTCTGTACTTGCAACTTATTTGGTTTCATTTTTTTGTATGTTGATTTTCTAGAGAAATAGGTTTTTGTTAGCTTGTGGAAAAAATATAGCTGCTTATTATATAGGTTTGGCTACCTAAGTATACCTTTTAATCTAAAATTGAAATGCAGATTTTTATTTTTATTTTTTTGGGTGAAGGGTGTTCAGATGTCCGGTGAATATTTTCAGAAAATTAAAGACTTCCGTGAAACATTCTGTTTAATGATAAATATATAATTTGTGTTTCAGTTATTTTTTCATCAAGAAATATATGCTGTCATCTTCAACAAGCAAATTCTTGAATGATATGAGAAAATGTCTGGGAGCAAACGGCCTCCTCGAAGTGATCAACCTTCAATTGCATACAGGCAGAACCAAGTCGAGGGGGCATCTTTTGACCTTACAAATTTTGTCCTTGAAGATCATGCCTCCTCAAAATCTAAGAAAAAACAGCAAAGTAGCATATATACTGAACAGAAGTCCCTTCAAATGCTGAGCACAACAGAGCTTATCTCAGCAGTGGGGCAGATATGGAATCTTGTAAGTCCTCTTGCTAGTTCTGAATCAGAGGTAAAATCCAATCATAATGGTAGTGGCTCGGAGAAAAACGTTATCTTGGATGGTCTTGTTGTCAAAGATGTTGGTGCAGCAGATTTAAAAGATGACGATTGTAGACGTTTCAACATTGATGTGAGGACCACTAGTAATACTACAGCTTTAATTCAGCCAAAATTTGAATTTCTTAAAGTAACTCAGAAGATGTTAAATTTAGAACCTTATAGTGAAAATTATATGCGTCCATTATTCTCACAATTTATGAAGGGAAATAACATATTGACAAATGAGTTTCAGAAAGGAAAGGGGCTTGCAAGTGTAGAAATTTTATATGAATTTGAGAGTATTTATGGATGGATGAAAGAAACAATTCCTGCTAACTTACGTTGTCATAGTGTTACTAGGAATAAGGAAGAGAAAACTAATAAAGACTGCGCTTCAGGAAATGCATTCAGCCACAGGGATGGCTGCTTTTCTGGAGATGCAACTCATCCTGGAAATAACAATGCCTTGAGAAGTGCTGATTGCTATTCTGGTTCAGTCAAATCAAAAGATGAATGGTTGGGTGACAATATGAAAGTTGCAATGGAGACAGAGACAATTAGCTCCCTCTGCTCTGATTATTTTCTTCAGCCTCCTCATGATAATAATGTAAGAGGTAGTTTTTCGAGGGCACTGGGTTCTAGTCTTTACTTGGACCATCATATTGACTTTTTAGCTACACACAAGACTTCAAGTGGAACATTCCAACATAACATTGATGATTATAGAATAGCTGAAAGCACAAGAAAACCACATCAAATGGTTGTTTCTGAGGACAAAATTCTGCTAGATATTCGGTCACCACCATGTAAACAACCTTGTTATGCCCTTGCTAAGCAAGAGCATGCTTATGCGGGTGCATTTGCTGGTATATTTGTTAGTGTTTGTCTACATCCTGTTGACACTATAAAGACAGTTACTCAATCCTGCCATGCAGAACAGAAGTCTATCTGCAACATTGGGAGGTCAATTGTTTCTGAAAGAGGTAAATTTACTATGAAAATTGTACTGCTTGCAGTTGGTGGTAGCCCGTAAAAGTTCTTGGCTTTCTGTAAAAAAATGTATGTAAAGTTTTGTATATTTACAATTGACTTTTCAGGTTTAACTGGTTTTTACCGTGGAATTGCTAGCAATATTGCATCTTCAGCCCCAATTTCTGCCATTTATACTTTCACCTATGAATCAGTTAAAGGATCTTTGCTTCCTCATTTCTCTAAGGTGGCTTTTACAATTCACTCTGCTTAACTCTTCTATGTATCATTGCTTTTGTTATTTTGCCTTGTGTGTTTGAGAGGGACTAAAGTCAATGTTTTTCGATGCAGCTGCATATTCTTTAATTTGAAGCTTGTCTACCCTATAAGCGTTTCACCCCTCTCATTTTTACAGGAATATCACTCTCTAGCTCATTGCATTGCTGGTGGAAGTGCGAGCATTGCAACTTCGTTTGTTTTTACTCCAAGCGAGCGTATAAAGCAGCAAATGCAAATTGGTTCCCATTATCATAACTGCTGGTATACTTTTGTTATCCTGTTATTTCTGTTACATTAGTCCAATGATGCTTACTTTCATTCAATGTTGTGGTCAATGTGAAGTTTGTCAATCATTGGTATTTTTGTAAAACATAATTTTCTTGCATTTAAAGGTTATTGAATTTTCTTTGGTCGTTCACTTACCCTTCATAGCTGAGGTAGCATTTTCGACTTCTCTTATGTTGACAAGTATTTCTGTGTTACTCTCTGTGTCTTTGCAGGAATGCACTGATTGGAATTATTGGAAAAGGTGGTTTACCTTCACTATATGCTGGTTGGGGGGCTGTACTCTGTCGAAATGTTCCACACTCAATTATCAAGGTTAAGCCTTTCTACATGGTAGTTGTTGTCATTCAGCACATGCATCCGATTTTAGGGCCAGTAGAGAGATATCCACTTAAAGTTGTAAAGCAATTGATCACTTTTATGCCTGAACTTCAAAATACAGTCTGTCTGCTGTTTGTTGTACCTTCTACTGCAGTATATAATTCTCAGGATATATTTTCACCATATGCAGTTTTACACATATGAAAGCTTGAAGCAGTTGATGTTATCATCACAAAATTCCGATGCTCAACCCAACACACTTCAAACGGTTTGTTCATCTCTCTTTTCCAGCTATTATTTTATTGTAGCAGCAGCTTTTATGGTGCTTTGGCTTCTTGATAGCTCCATCATTGCAGATAATGAGTTGTTTTTAGGACTTGGTTAAACTAGATGTGCTGAGAAAATTTAAATCGCTGCAGTTGGTTTGTGGAGGACTAGCAGGTTCTACTGCTGCTTTATTCACAACTCCTTTTGATGTAGTGAAGACGAGACTACAGATACAGGTTTGCTAATACTCTTTTTTAATATATTATGGAAACGTTATATACTTTTTACTGATATCAAACATAATCTTTCGTCACCAAGTTTCTGGAGTGTAAGGAGTCCTTAGATAAAATTTAATTGTAAGTGTTAGCAATATGACTCGAGGTCTTTGTGATGAGAAAAAAAGATGACATTTATCATGTCACTGTAAACTGATTAAACGTTTCACTTCTATAACTTGTTTGACAGTGTGTATTAGTAGTCTAACCAAAGTTGGTTGGGTCCATAAACTGTATGTCAAAACAGTGCAATTTAAGTTATCTATTTACTCCCCATATGTTGTCTGCTAGGAAGCTATTATAATATATACTTTCTTCATAAGTTGGTTTTTTGCAGATCCCTGGTTCTATGAGCAAATATCAGAGTGTGTTTCACGCCCTTAAAGAAATTGGCAAGAATGAAGGTTTGAAGGGCCTTTACAGGTTCGTTTTCTTTTGATATGCACCTTGACATTTAAAATAATTTGTGCCATATTACATCTGAAACCAGTGAAACTCTCGAGGTATTGGTTACCTTGTAATAACAGATACCGTTCTGGTTGCTTCAACTACAAGTAATTTTAAACAGTGAATTTTTTTTATGGCAAAATAATAATAATAATAATTTTACTACGTAAAATTGCAAATAAAACAACGTATGTGTTAATTTTGATATGGCAGAACAAGTTCGAGCTTTTTTTTAGCGATTTATAAGTTTTTAAATCTCTTTGCATACAAATTCCTGTTTTTCATATGAAAGTGTGGAAATTTGTGATTATTATCAAGTATGCTCAATAATTACTAATCATATTTGGATGATCAGGGGACTAATTCCAAGATTGGTTATCTATTTGTCTCAAGGAGCACTATTCTTTGCATCCTATGAATTTTTCAAAAGATTATTTACTTTGGAAGTTCCCCAACTTAATGCTCGAGGGACTCAGTACAAAGAAAGCATGGAAGATGATTCAACTCATTTGCAATGGCCATCATGATTAGCATCACAAGCATCTTAATCTGCACTATCGCCACCACAAATGGTCAGACAGTTTGCTTTGGATTACATATCAGAACATTTATACTGAGACCTTTTCCAGATGATGTGCGATAAAGAAACAAGATCCGTCCAGCAATGAGCTGATATGGACTTCGTGTCCAGGAGGCCATTAATGGATGCAGTACCTTAAAATGGGGTGGCAAAAGTTTTGACCCATTTTCATTTTTTTTAACCTTTATCAGGCACCAGCTATGTAGACAAAAGCATTCACCAGAGCCCATTTTGTTGTATGATTGATATACCTGGTTGATTCCCAAGAAGTGGTGGAACCAATTTTTTTGGCATTGAGGGATTGTAAACCTCTCCTTGATAATTTTCATTTTAACTATTTCTGCAACAAGTATTTCAGAATTTAAATGTATACATTATAACATTTAATTGTAATATGATGTTTGATTTATTTTAAAATAAAGCGAGAGCCTTTAATTCCCAATTTTGTCCTGTCTTGTCCTAGTCTTGCTTCCACCCAACCTGTTGACATGGTGTTATTACTGAACTTGAGAAATGAAGAATGGGATATGTATTACTGTGCTGATGTGGCAACATGAGCCCACTAATCTCACAACTGGCTCTATAAGTCATGGCGTGGCTATCTATAACATGCCACATGTTGGAGAGTGATGATGTGGCTCCTTTCGATGAGGTGTCAGTTGCCAAAAAGTAGCAAGGATTTTCCATTAACAAAATCTCTCGTTTCACCATGGACCCACGTGGTGTGATATACACGTGTCCACCACCTGACAAGAGAGGTGATGGCGTGGCTCATTTTGATGGCATGTCATAGCTAACGTAGCAAGATTGCTCCACGTGATGCATTGTCTGACAGGTTTTGCGCACTTGGCATGAGGGTGATGGCGTGGCTTCATTTTGATGACGTGTTACTGACACGTGCAAGATTATTCCACGTGTACGACAGGTATCCAACTTATTGCTTCACGTGCGTCGTGTATATACGTCTGCAACACCTGGCAGGCAATGAGCTGGTTCTATTCATATAAGTTATGTAGTAAGAGAACCGAACATCAAGAAGTCATTGTAGTATGGTGGTATGCATTGCCGCCTGTCACGAGTGTGACTCGCGTTTGAGCTACAGCAATGGCGTAATTTTTTGATCTGTACTTTCTTCTTTTTGTGTTTCCCAAGGCAATGAAAATCAATCCAACAACAACCGAGGCCGAGCGGTCAAGATTCCAAACAGCTGAAAGCGAGAATGGATGAATTTAACTAAAAAATTATTGTCAAATTTTAATTTGAAATTAAATAATTTATCGTAAGAAAAGAATTTCAAATATTATAAAATCATAAGTTTGATGTTATAAAAATATAATTCATTCAATAAAATTGAATTAAATTATTGCACATAAATTCTTTCAAACAGACCTTGGTGAGAAAAATATAAAAGATTAGATGTGAATGGGAACGGTGTATTTTATTTTAGAACTTGATAGATAATGCTTGCTCAGATAACTTATTAGAAACATAAACAAAACTGTTGACAGTGAAAAGGACATAAATGATTAGTTCACTAGAAATCAAAGAACATATGCTATGGGAAAGGCAAAATGAGCAAAATTTAGTAATATAAGAAAAGAACACCTTCCCTAAAAAGATGACAGTTTGGCTTTATCCTGGAAGACAGCAAAATCTGAAAAGACGCCTCTTTTGGACTCGACCACATAGCAACAGGAGAGCCAACAACATCATTGAACTACTGTATCATGAGAAGACAAGCTGAAAGCGAGAATGGATGAATTTAACTAAAAAATTATTGTCAAATTTTAATTTGAAATTAAATAATTTATCGTAAGAAAAGAATTTCAAATATTATAAAATCATAAGTTTGATGTTATAAAAATATAATTCATTCAATAAAATTGAATTAAATTATTGCACATAAATTCTTTCAAACAGACCTTGGTGAGAAAAATATAAAAGATTAGATGTGAATGGGAACGGTGTATTTTATTTTAGAACTTGATAGATAATGCTTGCTCAGATAACTTATTAGAAACATAAACAAAACTGTTGACAGTGAAAAGGACATAAATGATTAGTTCACTAGAAATCAAAGAACATATGCTATGGGAAAGGCAAAATGAGCAAAATTTAGTAATATAAGAAAAGAACACCTTCCCTAAAAAGATGACAGTTTGGCTTTATCCTGGAAGACAGCAAAATCTGAAAAGACGCCTCTTTTGGACTCGACCACATAGCAACAGGAGAGCCAACAACATCATTGAACTACTGTATCATGAGAAGACATAAATTTCATGCACATATAGCCAAATCAAGAAAATCCAGGACAAGGGTTGAACCCACTGTTTTATTATTCTGGAGATAACAGAATTTTTAACAAAATTTTGAAACCACCTAGTCTAAGATACACTAGTAACAATAACTTCTAGACAGCATTCCCAGGATCTAATTCCCCTTACCACCTTATACCCAATATAATACAGAATGTATAAGACCCCCCTATCTCTCAATTTTCAATTGGTACTTTTTCCCTGTTCTCAGAGTTTCAATATCCACAGTTTGTGTTTCTATTCTGTTTCTAGTTGTAGAAAGGAAGAATATAAATCAAATTATACATTTAAGAGTTAACCTTGATTGCTTGGTAACCCTCTTGCAGTAGAATTGATAGCCTAGTATATTAGTTCATGGGAACCATTCAGCTGTTGAAGGCTGTAAAAGAATTTTGACTCCGCCCGCGAATAACAACTTCAGCAGTAATACTGCAGTGGCCTTTTGAATGATGAATATTTCTTTTAGTTTTGAAGTCCAATCCATCCATGGTTAATATAGATTCTCCAAAAAGCCTTTTTGCATTATCAAGCAACGTAGTTGAGTCTATACCCGAGAAATTGGAGAAAATGGAGGGTTAAGTACATAAGATTGCTGGATATCTTCCTTTTTCTTGGAGACTTTCTTCTTTTTCTTTTCCTCCTCTGTGACTGCGTCAATTAAGAATTGCACTTCCTCCTCAATAAGTGCTTTCAGCGAATTGCAATGTGACAATTGCTTGCTTCTTTCCCCACCAGTAGTACCAGATGCTTCCATTCCATGCAATATAGCAACACAAATGGAAAATGCTTGTAATGTTGATAGCTGTGCATGGAAATCAACTGCATATTGTCCCTCTTCGACAACTCTCATGGTTAATGCTGGAGTTTTCTGTTTTGTTCCCTACATAGGAATTAGAATATGGTTAGAGCTAATGAAATTACTAATCATATTAACGAGAAAGCACTGAGAACCTTTAGATGGCCTGCTTTATATCACAAGGATTCGAGGACCAATCCATATATGAGTTATTGCAATTTTCGATCTAACTCTCAAGAGAAGAGCCATTTATCAAGAGTTGCAAAAGCAAGTGTAGCATGCTTCAACAGTTTGCATGCAAATCAATTGCTCAAAATAGATAAGAGCGGAATTACTAACAGCTAGACCAAATTCTAGTGATTTCTTATAAATGATCATTATTAATATGACAGTTCCAAAAGTAAAGTTGACAGACATTAATATATGTGTTGATATATTATATTCTTGACTATCCAAGAAAAACAACATTCTAAATCATTCTCCGACCGTAAACAGTAAAAAAGGAGCATCCTATTTCACCAATTTCAGGTCTTGTTTATCTGGGAGATCTATCAGATGGAACCATTGCCTGTGGACCCATTACAGCAATTTGATTTTCCTAGTTATCTACATTTATCCAAAATATGGTCATAATTAGGCACCAATCAAAAAGCTTACCTGAACAAAAAGTTCCAAAGGCTGTTGATTATCCATGAGTAGTTCATTTTCAGCACATTTGATTCCAGGACTGCCAAAAACAGTAAGTGGACATGCCATATCCCATCCACCACAATCACAGCCTCCACCCACTCTCCATCTATCAAGCAAAGAACAAGGGCCCCGATTTTCATCAACTGGTAAACTATGATTTCCATTTGGAATTATTACCTTCACCTTTTCTGGACTTTCCCCATTTGAAAAGTTTTTTTTCCCTTGCTCAACCATCTGGTTCAGTAGATTTGAATGCTTTTTATCACTTCGCTTGTCCCCTCTTCTGTACTTCAAGCTCTCTCTCTTTGCAAATGGGAGTTGAAGAACAATGGAAGCTATTTCCAGGTCTGAACGCAAAACTGCAGATGGCCATGGGTAAGGATTTGAGGCATTAAAGTCGATACCATCAGAAGCACGTTTTGGCTGATGTTTGAGTTCCATTCCATCAGAGCCATTATCCAACTCATGAGTTCCGCTAACAATGGCTGGTTTAGAACAATCGGGAGGTTTAATAGTACCATGAGACTCTTGTGTAGAAACACATCTTCTCGCATGAGCAATGTCATACAACACAAATTCTGTTACCACAGAGTTATCAAAAACCCCACCATCATTCAATTCTGAGCATAAGTAGCAGGAAACTTGCATCTGTCCCACCAGCGAGGATTCTTTGTTGCCATCAGTCAACCCCCAGCCACTAGCATTGCTCTTCTTTCTGCTGCAAATGGAATGAAATGTGTACACCCAGTTAAAAGCATTATTTGACTTCCATGTCTTGGCCACAAAAACTTCCTCCGGGCAATCCAAGGAGAACTCGAGATATGGCACTCCATGCTTATTTTCCAACTTGAGAGAACCATGTAGGTGAACCGGTGAACATCCCACAGCCGAATGTTGGTCATGTTTCTGGTCAATATCCGATTTCCCAACTGTAGGTGCGAAGTCATGCAACAAAGATTTCTTCAAGCTCTGATCTTTTCTCATGTTTGGCATCCCTATAGCTTTGATATCACCTGGTTCTGCTATATAACCCAAAGGACTCCGAGAAGATTTGGATTTCATAAATGGATCAAACATTTTTTTTATGGGGCTAAACCGGGACTTTGAACTGGCTTTAGAAGAGCAATCACTTTCTGAAGGAGAAGGCCAATGCGGGATTCCAACCTTAGCAGAAAGTGATTTATGGAATGTTGGAGCCATATCTTTTTCAAGAAGATCATTAGCATCATTCACAGGACCAACAACTTGCTCGCTTCTGAAGGTTGGATTCTCAATTGATTCACGTCTAACAGTTCCGGCAGATTGGTTTTCCCTCTTATCCAAATTTGGACAGATTTCAATAAAACCATCTGATAAGCATTGTTTTATGCAAGGCTTCCTAATGGATGTCAGATTCAAGCTTGAGTTCAGAGACAATGCTGGAGAATTCTTGTGTGTGTTCTCATCATCTGAACAACACAACGAGTCAACAATGCTAAAGGAGAAATTAGTGTCACTATCACGCGACAATTCAATTTTTCTCCTTCCCTCATTAGTCCCCATTTTCTTCATTTTCCTTACATCTCTAGAACTTTGATAAATGGAACCTCGCTTCAGCTCAGTGCTACCTTCTAGACCAACAGGTCTAGCTGGAGTCTTACAAGAGGTACTACGATACCGGCGAAAACTTATCTCTGTGAAGCCTTCCTTTACTGTCAATATATCATCTTTACGTGTTAGTTTGTTGATTGTGCTTTTCTTTTCAACATCTGGAAAATGTCTACATGGAAGAACAGTTTTAGGACTCAGATCTGAAGAGTAGCTCTTCTTGAAATCTAACTCCATATCTAACCCCATCGATATATCCACAACTCTGCAAAAAGCAAAGATTAAAAAAAATAAGAAAATGATTGCAGCCTTAAAGAAGTAGAAAAGCAACACCCAGCCATATGCAATAAATAAAATCAGCATCTAGTTAAATCTAAGAATCTCAAAAATGTGAAATCCGGATAAGCCAGAGTTAATCAAAATATCCTGAAATGAAAAAAAAATTTTTGTGGAGCTTCTGTTACTACCAACAATATGCCGAATAAACAAAACATGAAAGAGGCAAACTGAATTTATAACTTAATGTGCCAAAGGGAATTTTCCTGAATACTACAAGAAGCAACTGAGAAGAAAAGATCCTGCTTTTAGAACGGCTATTTTCATTACTATAGCCACAAGCTAAAAACAAAACATATTTGCTTCTTATTAGAAGAATGTGTACATATCATAAGTGAAGCTAAAAACAGATCATATGTAGTAGTTATATATTAAGAACACATCAAAAAATTGTATTTCCATCCTAAATAAGCATAAATAGTCAAAACCAATAATCATAAGTAATAGCTGTCTCTGACATTGCTCTATTTTGGAGTACTAGGACAATCACCTTAACTTTATAAATAAACCTTCTTCCGAAAAGCAAATTCCCCATAATTGATTCCAGAACTTGAGATCCCATAAACCTCAAAAAAACTAGCTTTGATCCCCCCCAAAAACGAAATCCTTAAACCAGAAAGGAATCCTATGATCTATAATTCTCTATAAACTTCAAAAAAAAAAAGAAGCAAAGTAACATTTCTAAAGGCTATAACAATTATTAGCACAACTTTCTTCACTTGCATTCTAAGCCAAAAAAAGAATAATAGAAAAGGAAAAATAAAATAAAATACTCAATAAACTCGCCATACCCCACTAGATCTCAGAGAAGTGAATTCGAAGAAAAACCCAACAAATCAAACTGCAAGCAGATGCCATCATACCATCAATCTCTTTCTCTTGAGCTCAAAGTCTCTTATGAAATTCTTTAAAGGAACAAGAAACCAAAAAAACCATCTTAAAGAAGAGTCAGCATCGACCCAAAGAGTACTTAGACCCTCAAAGAATCAACATTCAACAAAAGTACAAGGTAAAGCAAAAATAAACTAGAAGTGGACCAATAGCAGTAAAGCATAATAAGCACAAAAAGCCTGTTTCGGAGAGAGAGAATGCATGCCTTGGTTATAAAGAGAAAGCAAAAAAAGAAGACTCTGATGAGTAAGAGTAGACTGTTGGGTGAACACACACACACTCTCTCTCTTCTCTCCCTCTCCCTCTCACATGAGAAAGAGCTTCAGTGAGAGACATGGGACTGCTAAGGTTCTGTTCATGTCTAGTAAAAAAATCCATCTTTGTTCAAATCATGACATGCAGTTATATTTTTTAGTTATTCTCTTCCATGTGAGGACTTTCTGAAAAGACAATAATGCCCATCTAAAACAGTGAGCACTATATTTTGTGTGAGGGCAAATCTGCCAATTCAGTCTGTTAATCACTTACTTAAACATATATTATAGTTTAGGGAATAGCATAGTTGAAGACAAGATGATGCCTGCATTTAATTTTACCGTTTCCAATAATTAAATTAATATCTAAATATTTTTTTTTGAAAGGAATATCTAAATATTATTAATTCAGAAGATTGCTGATCCAGTCTGTTCTAAATTACTATAAACTCCTTGAGGATGAAGGTATGAAACTATTAGTTGACACAAATGCCCATTTTCGTGTCAACTTCTTCATTTAATGGAAACCAAGTTCGGGTAGGAGGATGGTCCAAAAAGTGAATAAAGCTATTCAAACTTTCTTTTTAACAAAAGAAGTATATATAATTTGAATCATTTTTCAACATTGAAATTAATACATTTACATATTAAGATTCAAAATAATATGTATTTATATATTGAATAATATTTTATAAATTAAATTTAATTAATTGTATAAATATCAAAAATTAATACGTGCGGCGTAGAAAATAAGAAGTCAAATTAACCCCTTTTTTATTCATATATACAAAAATTAATTTGACTCAGTTTGATTTATTATTTATTTTTTAAATATGTGATTAAATAAATGAGGCTAATTTTTAAATAAAGTTTAATAAACAATTATTTGTTTTAAATAATATATTTGGTGTGTTGGCATTGCATTTTAGAAGGTCACAATCAATGTTAGACATATAAATTTGGGGATTGTATGTGATAAATATGAAAGCACCAAACTATCATTTTCAAATGAAAATTGTGAAATAGCCACTTACTTTTTTGTTGCCCTATAGTAATTAGTTCATTTATAAGAAAGGCACTCTTGTCAAATAGCAGGTGGATGCACGGTCTTTCTGGTTGATGGTCAAAGGAGAATATGGTAATTATAAATGCATGTGATGTGATGAGAAGGCAGTCGGTCGCATCTTTTTTTCATTCAATATTATATAAAATGAATCCGCAGCAGCAATAATTCACGGCCCATTCAATGTCAAAAAACAAAATTCACGGCCCATTAGAGCGTGAATACAATTCATTATAAAGCTTATTAGAGCCAATAGAACTCACTAAAAGCAAAAAAATAAAAATAAAAATAAATAAATAAATAAATAAAATTGAAACCTCCAACTTAATACTCCACTAAGTATAAAAAATGTAAGTTTGACTCCTCAGTTGTCGATTTATATTATTTATTTTTTAATATGTGAATTAAATAAATGAGTGCTAATTTTTTTAAATAAAGTTTAATAAACAAATTATTTGTTTTAAATAGATTCAGTTTGGGGTGTGTTGGCATTGGGCATATTTAGAAGGTCGCACAATCACAAGTGTTAAAACCATTTATAAATATTATGGGGATGTCAATGTGATAAATATAGAAAGCAACCAAAAACTATCATTTTCAAATGAAAATTGTGAAAGTAGCCAGCTTTCTTTTATGTGCTTGCCGAGTCCTTGCTAATGAGTTAATTAGTTCATTTATAAGAAAGGCAGCTGCTTGTCAAATAGGCAGGTGGACTGCAACGTGGTCGTTTACTGAGGTGTGGATGGTCGTGATTCAAGAAATAAGGAGAAATATGGTAACCGTCAGTTATATCGGATCGCGATGTGATGTGATGAGGAAGCAGCATCGGGGTCGCAGTCTTTTTTCAATATCAATATTATATAAGAATGAATCCGCAAGCAAGCAATAATGTCACGGGCCCATTCATATGTCCAAAAAACAAAATTCACTCGCGGCCCATTAGAAGCGTGAAGTATACAATTTCATTAATAATGAAGCTTTATTATAGAGCCAATAGAAACGAACTCACTAAAAGCAAAAAAAATACAAATAAAAATAAATAAATAATAAATAAAATTGAAACCTCCAACTTAATAATCCCACTACAGTATACTAATATATATTATTAATAATGATAGTATATATATAGTACGAATATATATAAATAAGATATAATATAATAGTATATATTTATAGATAATGATGTTAAAAGAATTAAATGCATGATACAAGACCAAAGGATACGGACAAACGTGAAAATGGTTAATTCATATGCATGCATGCTTAAATAATGAATCTCACCATTATGCATGCTGTAGACCAGCTTTCGATATATATATAATGATGTTATAATTAATCATATACAAGACAAAGGATAGACACGTGAAATGGTTAATCATATGCATGCATGCTTAATAATAATCACCATAATGCTCCACTTCCAAGCATCATGATGAGCCATGCACGCACTTGTATAGATGAAATTTTTTTATTATTATTATTATTTTAGTATTTATTTGGAAAAAGAAGATTTTTCTGGCAGCATTTCAAACGAACATTTGGCAATTGACTACCTCAACCAAAATGGATAATGCAAGAATTAAGGAAGCTTCTATGAATAATAACTTGATTTTATTGAAATTGAACCAGAAAATTGCAAATGCAACCTAGGAATCAATTGAATCAATTAAATGACTGATAACTAATCAATTTCTTGTTCATTGTTGTATATGAAAAAATGGAGACAGACTTTCAAGCTCAGCTCGCTTTCTTGCCGCCCTTCTGAAAGGCTTTCTGTTTCGCCACCATAATCTATCAATTCCACTTGATCTGTTAGATGTGCTATTATTGCTATTTGGCCACCACAATCTATCAATTCCACTTGATCTGTTAGATGTGCTATTACTACTATTTCCAACTGAAAGCATCTCTTGTGCTATACTATAATCAGTTTCCTTTGGCTTCTTTCTTGGTATTGTGTGCGTTGGAGAAGGTGTTTTCGGCTCGACAAATTTGGAACTTGTCGCCCTGTCAAAGCATTCAATAACTAGGAAATTAGCAGACTATAACAAGTAGTCTGGAGAAACTATTCAACAACGATAAACTCACCTCTCATTATCCATTTGCTGTGATGTCGACAGCTCTTGTTGAGGATCACACGCGGCACATACATAGATCTTTGGCAGGTAGAGTATATTAACGCAATCAATGTGATACCACTCGTCACATCGATCACAGGTAACCTTTGCTCTATCATCATATGGCTTTCGACAGATGCAGTACAGCATACTACGAGATTTCAGTAACTGCATAATCCAGTAAACAGTATAACACATTCAAACTCTTACAAGGACCCAAGCATTTCTTTGTGTAAGGTCAGCATTTGTTACCTTTAATTCCTTCTCTAAGGAAACAGGCAAATTTTCACCTTCTGAAAGAAGTTCAAAAACATGATCTAAGCCAAGATTCCCAGAATCCAAGGCAACCTGCATAAAGCAAAAAGACAACTTTTCAAATGATACCAAAATCAAAATTATTTGCAACAAAAATTATAAGCAAAGTGCTCTGAACCTTCTCAGCACGATCTGCCCACTGCAAGCCAATATGCTTTAATTCTATGAGTTTTTGTCTGAAGTAATCTTCAGGAGGTATATTCAAAGCCAGCCCCTGTGAGAATTTCAAACAGTAATTTCAATACTTGCATCTTCAAGTATGGAATTCCTATTTTACATCTATAAAATCCCTCCTAGTGAAACACATTCTGCCACAATATATCAGTTTTATGCCATAGAAAGCTTAGATAACACAGGGCACAAGAACCAAATTATCAAGTTCTTTGAATGAAATAGTATAGATAGAAATACAATACATTGGATATTGGGGGCAGCTTAGGAGGGTCAGTGAATATCAGAACTGACTTAGTACCAGTTCAACATAACTAAAGTGGTGTATCTGGCCAATATAAATACCAAGACGTACCTCTTTCGTATGCTGCTGAATCTGCTGCATTGCAGGTTTCTGTGCACCATCTAATAATCTCTTAGCCTTCACTCTCCATGAATTTCTTGCTAGTGCCATTTCAAGGCCATAGTTAACTTCTTTCTCATATACACCAGCCATATGTGCGGCCTGCAAAACAAAAACACATTCAATTGCAAACATACTGGATACAACCTGGTAACTTTTATCACATTTTCCACTTGCTTCATATAAGCAAGTAATAAATAAAAAAGAATAAGAAGAAATATTAAAGACATCCTCAGCAAAATAACACAAGGAGATCAGGTGAAGAACTGAAAAACAAGGACCTTCAAAGCTATAATAATTTTTTTAGAGATAACGTTAAGATCTTCATGCAAATAGGATGCTTCAAAATCCAGTATTTCTCTCAAGCATGTTTTGCATTCCAGAGCTTGCTCCACAATCTGCTGTAATGCATCTCTTTCTTGAATCCTGTGAAAAAAAGCAACAGTTATGTGATCAAATATCATACCATCACAAATACAATAAATAAAATTAAGAAGAAAATTTCACATTCAAAAGTATAACAAATACTCCTTGGGAGAATTGTTATACGGCAGTCTGGAACATTTAAAGCATCTAAGTTGCTCAGTTACCATCTCATGCAGATTTAGACAAGATAGTCACCTTGCCCCAGATCATAAAATTCAAAACATCATGGAATTTCATTGTCAATAAGAAGAACAGCAAAACTCATCATATTATCAATCATGAGAAACGTGAAGTCCTTTAGAAATTCCATGTGTTTTTTCTAGCCTACTTCACATAAAATGCAAAAGAAGTTCATAAACTACAAAAAGAGCCTCCCAAGAATATTTGCCACAGTATTCAGTTTACTATCATAAATATAAAGCTTAAGTAAATGCCATAATGTAACTCACAGCATTCAAAATTAAGATCAACTATAAACACTGTCCATGGATGCTTCACATGAAAAAGCATTAGAAATTCAGCTTATTACCCTATAGATAAATGTTCTGCATCGGATAGAAGTTTGATAAGCATGCTTAATTCTGGTTGGCTCCCTCCAAATCTCTGTACCAAAAAAATAAAGAGTGAGATGCATGCACAAACTTCTTATAAGAGATTGTCCCAAGGAATAAGTAGATAGACAAATGCATACCAGAAAAAGAACTTCATTTTGAACCATTGATGGATCCTCAAGGCAACAGCAATAAGGACAAATATAGAATTCTACATTATTCTTCTCAAGTGATGCTGGCTCTAGGCATTGCAAGTGATAGCTGTTCAAGATATTTAATAAAGCATGTAACAAATCCTCTAAGTCAACGCCAAAAAGCATCATCACAATATGCAAACATGAAAGCAGATGACAACCGGACCATATGTCATATGAAAAAAAATTGACTTCAATTATTCTCTATGTAAGGAGCAAAAATAATATCACAGTTCTTGAATGTGCATTATGTATCCAACTAAGAGAAAGGTTACTACATGTCAATTGACAACCTGCCATTGATCTATTAAAGAAACAGAAAACGTTTTTCTATAACTGTCTAGAAGTCCAATGTTCCTGGTCAACACAATGGGCTAGTCTATCTGCCTTGTCCTTTTCTAAACACCACGCTGCCCAAAAATTCCACCATTGATTGGTAGATGGGAAGACTAAAGCTCGAGAAACCCCACATCAAGCAGAAGACGGGAGACCAAGCAATCTATGCCTTATTGGCAAATGGCAAATGCTCTTAAACACAGCCAAAAATATCTTACCAGTCTTTGCATGCTGAACAATTTAAGAACTCCTGATCTTCATGATAACTGGAGCAGCACATGAACAACTTTCTTGCTTTAAAGTTCTGTAATTTGCCAAGGATGTAACATGATGTGTCTAGAGACTGTTTGATCTGTACAATATCATAAGATTCAAATATCAGCTAATATGGTGACAAAGCACACTAGAAACAAAAATTAAACATGAATATTTGTTCATAACCTTTTGCAATGAACCTAGTAAAGGATTCTGATCATCTACAAGAATTCCTACAGTTTCCACGAGACGTTGCTTCCATTTTTCAACCTTTTCAACTTCAGATAAAATCATATCTAGTTCAGAACAAGCAAATGCAGAAGCTTCCCCAAGTTCCTGAATTTGATACAATCACTTTCGTATTATACTTAGTAGTAAAGGGTACATGTCAATAACACATCAGATAATACCCAAAAAGATGATTTGAAATTTCCAAGCATGAAATGAACGCAAAACAAACACAACTCAATCAGCTTAAAATCCTAAAGCATTAAGCTGATTATATTATTTGACATGTTGATGTAGCAAACACCAGGCCTCCACATATCTAATCCTTCTTAAATTCTATCACATAAAAGAAAAGGGTGATAACTATAATAAATCCTAATTCTAGAATCAGTGTGTGCACATTGATCCTGGAACGTCACAAACACTGAGCTTTGTAGCGTCAAGTTTGAGCAATTACAAAAAGAAAAAAAAAAAGTACATTGTCCTAATTGTTTTGGAATTATGAATGGATATTAGCATGGATAAATTTTTAATGAGACACACAGAGGAAAAGAGTATCCTCACTCAAAGCTCCTGTTCATCTGCATTGCAATTACCAGCAATTGCTTTTAACACTCAAGGCACTAAAGCTAGAGCTGTAATATTAAGAGTTGCCACCTTAAGTTCAAAGCTAAGCAGATTTATGAAAAGAGAATAGTGAAAAATCAAAGAATCAGTGCAATGCAATAGACCATACCTTAAGTTTTAGAATTTGAGACCAAGAACGTTCCTCAAAATTAAGATGGAAAAATTGGTCTACTTGTTCTCGCCACAACCTATATTTGCAGCCATAATGAGGAACAATCAAGTATCAGCAGCAAGGAAATCAAGGAATACAAATCAAAAAGCCAGAATATACAAATATCAAATTAACAACCACAAAGTAATGGCCCACACAATAGTTCTAATGTTCTAACTTGAAAACATGTAAGAAGCAATTTCTTATGATTATTGCTTTTCTCCAATTCAATGATAGCAACCTCGTAAAAATAAAATAAAGAGGGGATAAGAAAAAATGAGAGTCATTAATGTATCATAACTTCTGGGAGAGAGAGAGAAGGGGAGGAGGGGGGAGGGGATGGGCCCTCAAACAATTACATTGGAGACCAGGGCTTGTCTTTTACAGAAGAAATACAAAAGACATGACAGCATGTGTACATCTGTAGAAAATTAATGCAAAATCACTGTTTTGGTACTATTTACTTTGTTTATTGGAGCCATAAGAATTCCCTTCAATCAATTCAATGAAAAAGGAATGCAGTTGCATATTGTCAAAAATTTATCTTTTGCACCAAATCAAAGTGAGTCTGTGGATTGATATGAATTTGTAACAAATGCCATTTTTTCAGTCAGGTTAGCTCTTTTTGGAATATTTATAGCATTCTTTTTATATAAGCCTGTGTTAAAAAATTTGAACTTCCTTAATTTGTCCAATAAGTTCACTAAAAAGGATCCTAAGAGATTTATTTGGGATAAGATACTAAATGTGGTGTGTAATGGTCCAATAATCGAGATTATGTAGATGCTCTTTATGCAATATCTTTTATTAGGGGTAAAAGAAAATTGACCAAATTAATTCATTGTATCAACTACCACAAATTTGCAGAATAAATATCAGTTAAGGTAAGACAAAAGAAATCAAAAGATAAGGAAATTGAATGGATACAAAAGAAGACTCACTTGTGTTTCTCAATAGCATTTACAAGTTGATCAACCACAATGGGAAAGGAGACATTGATTCTCTGCAATTGGATAATTTCAAAGGAGCAATTGATACTTGGCAATTGGATAATTTAAGTAAAAGCTGTAGAGTGCACAAATAGGTGAAGCAAAAAGCTAGCAATAAAGTACCTCAGATTTCACAAGAACTTCTTCGGCCTCACTCAACTTGCATCTTTGAAAATTACTAGGCAAAGAAATTACCTCCAAGGCTTTCCTTAGCCATTTAACCCCATCAATTAAAGAGCTCCACAGAGAACTACAGGTACATGCAACAGAAAGTTTTTCTGAAGTCTCCATTAAGCTCTCAACGTCCTTCAGTAAAAATAACAAGTAGAATCAAGTGTTATAAGCTTCAATCAAACAAGTCAAAACAACTCAAAGCATAAGGAGGTGGGGAATCCCAGTGCAAAGGGCTCCTTGCTTTGGAAGTTTCAGAGGAAAGTTGTAAAAACCAAATCAAGTGCAAATTGCTTATTTGAATAACTCGTTTTAAAAAGAAGCAGTTGCTTAGGGAAAGGTCCATGCTTTTTTATGTAATCAGATATTAAAATTTTAAGGGGAAAGGTTACAACATTAATACAGATGAAATTCCTGACCTCTAAAGAAGGAGCAGCATAGTAGAAAGAAAGGGCCCTACTACACCATTGCAGCACAGAACAAGCATTCTGAAGTTCTGGAAGCCCAAGAAAGTCAAAACCAAGAGAGATACCAGCTTTTATGATGGACTCCATTTGAGCAACCAAATGTCCAATTCTTGCAGTAAGATCAATGGTCTTTCCATCACCAACAAAACTTGTACCCAATATGCACCCAGCATCTTGCAATGCAGAGGAAGCAACCTGCTCCCATTCCTCACAATTCTTTAAAACCATTTCAAGCATCCTCTGTTCAGCTAAAGTTATTTTAAGTAACTTTGACTGCAAAATTAACTCCTGCATGATATTCATTAAATTCTTTTTTTAATAATAATGTCAAATTTAATATCAATGCTTAGTAGACATAGTACATTCTAGAGATGACAAACCTTCAGGGCCTCCAGTTTAAGTAGAGAACAATAGCCAGATTCCACGGAAGAAGACCTTAAAAATGCCTCAGAATTCTTTAACCAGCACTTGGCCACTACTACAGCATCTTTGACATCTTCTAAACTAGGTAGAATAACAGATATGTCTGCTGCACTCCTAGAATATTAAAGCTCGAAGATTATAATAATTAGTAATAATAAAAGACAAATCAAACAAGGTAAACCTCAAATAAGTCAAAGAATAGAGAATAGTAAGAATGCTCAAAACCTTATAATGTCCTCAAAGTCAGACATTTGAGCTTTGTGTTCAAGAACTTTTACTGCTCTTTCTTCCCAAGACAAAGCAGTTGCAAGAACTCCAGATATATCAACAAATAACTTCTCATTCTCAATCTGTAGCCTGAGAGGAAAAAACAAACGCCATATATGCAATCAAAATCAAACACAATAAATCTCTCTCCAATCGTCAGGTATTCAACAGCATCAAGGGAAGAAGCGTACACAGTAGCATCCATCATAAGTTGCTGAATGAAGTCCAAGGGCATTTTGGATTCATGTGCCTGCATATCAAGTTCCCAAAATTAATTAGTAATGAATGCAGAATGATCATGGATGTTTCCTCTACTTATCACACCCATTGTTATTGAAGTGTTCCTATTCATCATCCAATAGCCACTCAAAGCCGTTGAAATTTGTAAACAGAAATGGGCACTGACATCAGAAGAAAAGAAACTAATAGCATAAAAAATACATGTTGACACGCTAAATGCCATTGCCATTCCTCAGAAAAATTTAAGCAAAAGAGAAATGAAAAGAGTAACTAATACCTTCATAGCTTTTTGCCTGCAACAAGCCTTCTTCAACTCAACCTCAAGAACAGACAGCTTATCAACTGTTCAAAGAAATGAACCAAACATCAATATGGCAAAACTGTAATAACAGACACCAGTAATAAGTGCCAGAAAGTAACAACAAGGGATCTGAATATTCAAAACCTTGAATTTTCAAGGACGCTCCATCTTTCAGAAGGCATTTTAACTCATTAACCACAATATCTTGTTCTTCTCGTTCATGAGCATTAACCAAAAGATCATCATAGCGAGCAATCCATGAAACAGCATCAAGGTGGTACTGCTTCAGAAGCATCAACTCTGGTACTTTAACAGTAAATTTACCCCATTCTTGAAGTAGCACTTCAACATCCTGAATCACTCAAAATTCTAAAACTTTGTCCTTGGACTCTCTGAAACTTGGAATAAGGGAGACAAAAGGCAGTAAAGGTATATCTTACCTTCAAACAACTAGGAGATTTCAAAATTACGCTACAGCAACCCTTGCATAATTCAGCTTGTCTTGATAGATCTAAAAGCATTCCCACTTCAGGAAGCTCAACTTGAAGTTCTGATATCTATTCAACAAGAAAAGGAAACATTGAAATCAAGAGTAGGAATTGATAGGAAGACATGGCAATTTGCAGAATAAAGAAATTCAATTCACCTCTGACTTCAACTTGTAGAGGAAATCAATATCAACTGCAGCAGAAGATTTTTCTGAAATGCATTTCCTTGCATTCTCTATCCATGCCTAATGGATGGGGTAACCACATAAGCAACAAATAAACAGCAAGATAGCTACATAAAATTCTAACTCGCTAACATATGCAAAAAGACTTTTGGGCAAAATTTCACTATAAAAGAACTCCAATTGCAGATCATGAAGCGACAATTAAAGCAAGGAATGTGAGAATGGCCCAGGCAATTTCAGACACCATAACACTACAAATAGAATCAAATTTTGTGATGATGGATTTAAATACTTTAAAAATTCCCTATCACGATTGATTCCATGAGGTCCATATTTCAACGTCTTAATCATCCATTAGGAACTAAAGAATCAAGGAACATCAGAGCAAGTTTCACTCAACCAACAAAATGCAGACAAAGAGAAGTCTAGTTAACTAAAAATGAAAAGATTCAGCGTACAGACCTTTGCTTGACTTACTCAACACTCAACATGACAAGCAAACCTAAAGTCATTGGTTCTCCAAACAATTAGACAAGAACCTCAAAATATTAAAGAAAAACAATTAAGCCAAGATACATGGGTAAAGAAATTTCATTCAGTGGACCATCCAAACAACCAAGCAGCACCCTTAAAAGTCTACCAGGAAAAAAAAAAAAAAAAAGAATATACTCTGAATGCATCAGCAAATTTACCTTAGCTGGTGAAATTTTCCGCAATAATTTCTCACTTTCTTTTATATAGATTGGGAAATCACACGCTCTTGAGTACAGCGAGTCCAAATCAGATATCTGGAGTGACAATGATGAAGAATGGATGACATTATCTAAAACCGAAATTCCAGCAGTATCACAAAAATTGAACATAAGATTATGTGCAACTGTATGTATAGAAATACTTTTGAGCATGATGACAGAGCAGAATCAATTTCCTGAATCAACAGCCTGGCTTCTTCTGCATGCTTCTGTATGAATTGAATACATAGGTGTCATTTCAATTAGCAGACAACCACCCAAAAAGCAAGCAAGGCAGAAACTACTTGTAAAACCATAATAACCTTCAATCTAAGATGCCCAGGCTCATTACAGGGCACAGGATCAAAACTCAGCAACTCATTGATATACTCCATCTGCACTCTCTCAAAATCAGATTCACCGCAACATGACCACTTTTCAATTCTAGAAAGGCTATCTCTGATGCCTTCTGCCCATTTATGAGCTACAGTCAAATTCTTTGTCATATCCCGCACCTATATTACAAACGAAGTAATATATTTAATTGGACATTTTTGTCATAACCTGTATTCCTAAGAGTACAAACAGAAGATAAGATGATGTCTCAAAACTCACTGAATCCATCTCAGAACCAGCCCAGAGAAATTGTTCAGCCTCCTTCAATAGAGTAGCAAATGCATCACCGGAGTATGGATTCTGAAAAACCTTACTGGAGCGCAAAAGCCATTGTTCAGCAAGTTGGGCCAGACTGACATGGCCACCTTTGACCTACACACATTCACAACATCAGAATATACTCCTACAATTAACTCCTATTAATTGAAGACATGGTAATTAAAGGTGCAAAGGACCGCTGGAGCCTAGGCGCTAGCCTTAGTGAGGTGAGGCGCAAAAAATAAAAAAATAATTAAAAATATATAATAACTTCAAAATTTGAAAAAAAAAAATTCATTAATAATATAAAATATATAATGATATAATTGTAAATGTAATACAGTTTCAATTTTTGATTTGATTATAAAATATTATGAGTTTAGGATTTAATTGCGATTCTTGAACATGTTTTGTATATGATTGCAACTACATTGGCTGCAGCATAGGATCTATATAAAAAGTTGTATAGCCTCTTCTTCCTTCTTTATTTTTCCTATCTTCCATAATTCTCTCTTCCTTCTATACTCTTTCTTTTCTCTAATTTTCTACCCTTTTCTCAGATATGATATAATGTAAATGTATAATACAGTTTCAATTTTTTGATTTGATTATAAAAATTATTGAGTTTTAGGATTTTAATTGCGATTTCTTAACATGTGTTGTAATATGATTGCAACACATTGAGGCGGTGCTAGAAGGATTCTATATAAGTTGTATAGCCTGCTTCCTTCCTCTCTTTATATCTATATAAAAAGTTGTATAGCCTCTTCTTCCTTCTTTATTTTTCCTATCTTCCATAATTCTCTCTTCCTTCTATACTCTTTCTTTTCTCTAATTTTCTACCCTTTTCTCAGTAGCCAAACACACTCATTAGGGTTGCTATGCTGAAATTCTAACAAAATCAGAAAATAAATTGGCAGCATAACTCCTTATATTTTAACATATTGAATTAGAGAAGGGAGTAGAAGCAAGAGAGATTGAAAGAAAGAGGCAGATACCTGAGTTTTGATGGATGAAAGAAACAATCTGTTGATTTTTCTTCTTTTCTTCCATTATTATTATTATCATTATTATCATTTTAACGTAAACATATAAAAGATGAGGCGGCTAGGTCATATACTCATAAAAGGAAACCCTAGCCGCTAGTACAGGGAAGAAAATAGAAAAGGTGCGCCTTTTCCGCGCCTTGCGCATGTGCAAAGGCGCGCACCTAAGCCCAAAAGTTCTCGCCTCATCAATGTTGCCTGCCTTTTAGTGTTTAAGACTCCAGCCTTTGCGCCCTAAGTAAGGATGGCAATTAAACCATTGAAGCAGACCTTGTTTTGTTACTCCAAACCAATAAATTTCAGATAACAAAAGAATGAATATCCAATTAGCTGTTTATGCCTACAAAATCCAGATGATAAGAGTTTACTTCCTGAAGATGACATTTTCAATGGCAATTAAACCATTGAAGCAGACCTTGTTTTGTTACTCCAAACCAATAAATTTCAGATAACAAAAGAATGAATATCCAATTAGCTGTTTATGCCTACAAAATCCAGATGATAAGAGTTTACTTCCTGAAGATGACATTTTCAATGGCAATTAAACCATTGAAGCAGACCTTGTTTTGTTACTCCAAACCAATAAATTTCAGATAACAAAAGAATGAATATCCAATTAGCTGTTTATGCCTACAAAATCCAGATGATAAGAGTTTACTTCCTGAAGATGACATTTTCAATGGCAATTAAACCATTGAAGCAGACCTTGTTTTGTTACTCCAAACCAATAAATTTCAGATAACAAAAGAATGAATATCCAATTAGCTGTTTATGCCTACAAAATCCAGATGATAAGAGTTTACTTCCTGAAGATGACATTTTCAATGGCAATTAAACCATTGAAGCAGACCTTGTTTTGTTACTCCAAACCAATAAATTTCAGATAACAAAAGAATGAATATCCAATTAGCTGTTTATGCCTACAAAATCCAGATGATAAGAGTTTACTTCCTGAAGATGACATTTTCATTAACAGGAAACAAGAAAGTAAATTCATCGGTTGAAAAAGAAGCTCAAATGCTATATATTCAACAAACTAGTGATTTATGGCTTTAAGTTAATCCAGCCAATGGCATGAGTATTACGCATTTGTCCACTACTCGGAGAAAGAGAACCAACCTTCTTGGTCAAGACATTCATTTCATTGGAACGGGAACTTTGCCTTTGTAAGCTATTACTCTGTGATCTCTCCTCAGAACCAAACTTATCTGCTGTAAGCACCAAGTCATATAACTCTGCAAGGGTATGACGATAAAGAAGACGAAGTCTGCTGGATTTGCATTCACAAATATGCTCCCAATGCTGCATCAGGGTCAAACATAGACCAGTCATTATAGAGAGGCATTACAAAAACACTAATCATTAGAAGTTTCAAAAAAGGATGAAAGCCAAATTATGCAGAACAAATTCTAGTAAACGAACATTTGGAAGCCATTATACAATTATAATTCCTTTGTCTGATCCCAAAGGGACATACAATTAGAATGCCATTCAAGGGTAACCAATGCACAAAGCATCCCACATTTGTATGCTCTAGGAAGGGTTGATACATGCAGCATTCCCCTACTTTTTGTAAAGAAGCTGTTTACGCAGCTCGAACCCATGACCTCCAGGTCACAAGTGCAATAACTTTACAATTACACAAAAACCACCTTCATAATCAGAATGCCATTTAAAAAAAAAAAAATAGAACTGTGACAGTCGATAAGTTGGATGACCCGTTTACAACTTGTTTAGAGCAGTCTGATTTCTATAAGGAATGCAATAGAAAAAAAAAAAAAAAAAAAAAAAAAAAAAAAAAAAAAAAGAGAGGGTAGGATGAGATTGGTAGCCCTATGGCTAATTGAAGACATCCCAATGTTGAAGAATTCAATAAGTTATGCAATGGTATAGGAAAAAAAAAAAAAAAAAAAAAAAAAAAAAAGAGAGGGAGAGAGATTGGTAGCCCTATGGCTAATTGAAGACATCCCAATGTTGAAGATTCAATAAGTTATGCAATGTCTAGGTCTGTATCAGCTTGCACTTTGAATTTCTAATCCACTTCAAGAAAAAAAATACAACAATTTACCATAGGTATAACACCAAAAAAACCATCTCTATTTTTCAGTAATTAATTTTCTTTAAACAAGGTATAATAATAATCCTGCCAAAGGTGGTGCTATCAATGTATGCTTGGAGTTGCAACTAAAAGTCTCATCTACAAAAACAATAAACAAATATAATCAAAATGTTCTACATGAGATTCATGGTTGTCCAGATAAAGAGTAAGCATCCATTTCCATTTACAAATGTTCAACAGGCAATCTACGTTCTCACAAGCTCTCAAGTTTTGCTCTCTCCAAGCGGTCCACAAAATAGCCAAAAAGGAGTGCATCTCTTACCTCCTAACATTAAACCTAGCCTGAAATATAAGCCTCTCCAAGCATTTAATCCCATTTCTATATTCTCTCTATATTAGAGTCAATAAATTTGAAGAATTGTAATATTGTATAATGAGCTCATTATTTCAGTTTGCAATAATTGATAGTTGTAAAAATAAATATGAAATGTGTCGATAAGAACTCGCAATGCATAAGGTTATTAGATATAACATTCAATATGAAGACAAATACTTGTTTGCATTCTCATTAGCAAAGATAAAGAAGACAAAGAGCGCATGCAATCATCTAATAAATTTACAACTACAGAAATGTTTTCAAAATGAGTGATTATCGAGTTATCATACCGCCAGGCAGACATATGCAGATGGCCTACAATGACAAACAACTGCCGAAAGATAAAGATACTGCTTGCAAATAATGCATGTTGGATCCTGAAAACCACCGGGAATAACACTAATTATGTTAGCAGTCAGTGTATAAAGTCAAAGCCATAAATTATGTGCATTACGGTATCACCTCTTCAGTACCAACGTATTCAGGACATTTTCGAGCAAGCATGGGAGATGATTTGACTATACCACTTCTCCAAAGTCTCTCTCGCCTGCTTTTCTCTTTCGTATATATCCTCAGCAATTCTTTCTTCAAATAAGGTGATACTTTGTCATCACAGTTGCCCTGCTGAAACAAAACAAAAACCTTCATGCAAGTGACTGCAGAATTTCAACATCAAAAGCAAGCAGTCACCAGAGCAGTTACCAACTAAGGTTCTTAGTGCAAAATATTAGCATGAATGTACCATAACCAAAAGAATTTTACTCAAGAATACCAGTCCCAAATTGAAGTCAAATATTCAGAAGAGCTTCACTTAAACCAACACAAAACAAAGAAAACACGTATGCTGAGGAAGCAACATGATTGACAAGGAATTAAGGCAAATAATATATAACCACATCCTCCTTTTGAATGTTAAACAGAGACTAAGAACAGTTTGACAGTTAGAGAGTCTTTTAAGTAGGGGAATCAAAAGGTTTACCTCCCAACAAATATTAGGAAAGCATTTTAAAATTTGATTGTTTGGATTGGAAAGTAAATTGTCACATTAGCGCAAGTTGCTAACATACACATTTCTTGTCATCATAATTTGTCACACTAGAAAGTACGTACAGTGAGAAGATAACATACAAATATGTCCAACAGGTAAGGTAACTTACAAACTTAGCTACTACACAAAGAAGCTCCTCATGAGATAAAACAGCAGTTTTATGATACATCTGATATCGATCTGCTCCAAACCCACCATGAGGCAGCCAATCAGCAGGAGCAAAATTAACAGCCTCTGCACAATTCAAACCTGAAAGGACAGAACACCAAAACTGCATTAGCAGTCGGCATATTATTGCATAAAACTGTAATAAGTCCTTTAAAATCGATTAATTTTAATTTCATTATGGCATACCAAAATTGAATCCTCCATGATAAGACCTGGGGAAGGTTATGACAAAATTTCCAGGCTCCTAGCAAAGGACAAGCAGACAAGAAACATCATAATAGCAAGCAATGGAATTTAGAGACAAAGCTTGAACAATGACAAAAAAAACAAAGCACTTCCAAACAGACATTAAAAGGCCAGTTTTAAAATGATAAAAAAAGTGAAAAATGACTTAATCTAGCAGTTTGCACTTGAAACTACAGTGGCCACCCAGTAGGGTCTACATCCTCCTACTGCCACAAATTTAATTGAGTCAAGTTATTATCAGTGTGAATTTCTTTCTCTGTAGTCTGTACTCGTCGTATACATACACTTCCACAGAATACATCATTCATAAGCAAAAGTAAAAATGAAATTCACATCCTTGAGCATCAAACCTGCAGTACACTGTAGACTGGAACTCCATTTTCTTGCAAGACAGATGGGTTCAGCATGGTGACAAGCTGAAAGAGTAAATCTGGTTGTGCATCAAAAAGATCAGGAAGACTATTCCGCATCACCTAACAGAAAAGAGGACAAAATCAACTATCTACAGAAAAGTTATACCACTGCAACAAGCAGATTAAAAATACACGCAAAAAATATCATCAACATGAATTAAATGAGGTGAATTTTCTTCATTATTAATTGACTTAGAATGAAATCCACAGACATAACAAGAGTAGGAAGAAACAACAAGCAACAGTGATATCATGATAGAGATACAAAAAGATACCAAAGCGCATGAAGGGAAAATAGCTACCTTCTCAAAAGCATTGACTTCATGACCAGGTACACTATACCAGCATTTTGGCTCTCCCCTGAGAACAAAAGAATTAATGGCATGGACTTTGATAAACCAATATGTAGATTATAAACTATAAAGCAAGAAAGATGCGTGACGTATATGCCATTCCAAAATGATCTATTAATCTGCCAATAAGTCATTTAAGGTTTGTGCTCTACACCGAGTAAAGATCTGCCCAGTTTTTATTTGCAGATACAGGAAAATCACCGATCCAAACCATACAACCATAGAAGAGGAGAAATATTATTCATTAAAAATTGCAAAATGACAATTGTTTAATCAAAAGTGCTATAATGCATATTTAAATGAAGGACCAAGATTTGAACAGTCCGATAATAAGCCTTTGGATTTTCAGAAACAAAATCAACCTGTTCAATGAAAATTGACCAAAAAAAAAAAAATCTGTTAGAAGCTTAAACAAATACAGACTTCAATATCTGAAACTTCTTGATTAAGTTGCCATTCTCTCGTAATTCTTACCAGGCTATATAGGAGTTCCTAAGAACACTACTGACACTAATTCCTCAAAGTTTAAAAATGCAGATTCAAAGTAGATAATAAATCTAATTCACTAGCTTATATACATGAGCCCAAACATCTGAAGCATAATGTGCTCAGAGTTCAGAAGCACAACACTAAAAGAAAAAACTCTCTTTTCACCATTGTAGTACATCAGCTTCAATCAATAACATGGAAAGCCGTGGTCCATGGCACACATAGAAAACAGATTTTTTAGCACAACTATTTTGGCAGCAAAGATGCTAATGTACAATTTTTGTTTCCCAAAACCCATGCTCCAATCAGTCATGACTCATGACCATCCAACAAGCACAGAACATCCTTAAAAAAACAATACAAGTACATAGTTCATATTTTGCTAATGTGCCAACATCTTTCATATGCAAAAGCAATACAGAACCAACCCTCATAATCACTGATTTGCAAGTTAACATAATGTCCATTCTTCTTGCACGTGGTCAAGTACATTATTTCTTTAATTATGTTTGCTTTCACAAATTCCTTCTTTTTATGAGAAACAACTAATGGACAAATAAAATACATATATAAACACAGTAGAAAATAATATTTATATGGAAGACATCTATTCGATTATGCCAACCATTTTTATTAACAGCAATTCTAAAAAAGAAAGCTTCTATAAGTAATCAATAAAAGGCTAGTACAATCTACTGGCAATATCAAGTAGCAGTATCTTTCAAATATTTGTAGTGATAAATAACAAAGATTTGCTATTCCACTTCAAAACATCTATTCATCTAATTTTGGAGGCTAGTTTCTCTCTTACACACATGAACCAAAAATGCAGATGCATGTATAACTAAGATAAGGGGCAGAAAAACTCGGTAAGAGTTCTTCATATTTTGTTCACTAAAAAAAAGCAAAAGAAATCTAGACTTCATGTGCAAAAATATATTCCTAAAGCATCTAGAATATAATGTGATCACAGTAGACACGAGCAACGGCAGATCAAGCAAAGAGGTGAACATGGAATATTGCATGGCATAGAATATCCTTGAGAAATAATTGGTGATTCTTCTTAACACTTTGGTCTTTTTGTTCAGAATAAAAATTCAATGAGTCTTCAGAATTTATATGTTGAGCTTTTCTCGAATTTCATTGTCCAATTGTTATTTGGATAGCATCTTTACCTTTAACTGTAAAATTTTGCTTTTCAACCCAACACTATATTTAATAAATCCTTTTATCATTTCTTATTTCAAGTCAAGAAAGATATATTTTTCTAAGAATTAAAATACAAAGATACAGAATAAGAGTATATGAATGATGATTACACATACCAGTGATGATAATTCATAGAGTAAAAACAGTGATCTTCAAAATGCCAGCAAAAAGATGAGAATAACATGCCAATATACAGCCAGGGCACCATTACACCAGTTATATTATGATGAACAGCTTGAAGCATTGAACCTTTCAACTTGGGCAAGTTGTTGAGATTCCATGGGCTGCTACAGTATTCATCCCATAACTTAGGCTCAATGGATTCTGGTCTCTGATCATTTACACGTGGAAAGCCACTCCCATAAATTGAAGTATCTAAATCGCTTCCATACATAACTTCAACTTCACCCGCTGATCCCTCCACAATCTCCCAAAATTTTTTCTCCATTTGCACTCGTGAAGCAGATCCTGATCCAAACCATTTCCTCTTGGCCCTATCAGCCAAACGCCTAAAAGCTTCCACTGTAAAGCGCTTGCCAGGAACAAAACCAAAGCTATCTTTATCTGAGTTCAAGCACTCAAAGCAATACCAATTCCCAGGAGGGATTTGCTTCAATGGTGGTGAGAGACAATAAATGTGCCATCCCTTATTACACCTATCACACAAAAGCATCACCTCCCCATGCAAACCGCTCCTGCATTGCTCACATATCTGATCAAGCTCTTCCTCTTTCTCCTTCTCAGCCTTATTGTAAACCTTAACTTTCTCACCATCAACATTTTTTCTTCTTCTTTTTGAGGCTGAAATATCAGCCTTATCTTCACACTTCTTCCTATCCTCTTGCACTCCCCTTTTGCAACTTTTAGTTGCGTCCTTATTCAGCCTGTTATAATACTTCTCATAATCATACAGATGCTCAAAATACAATTGACACAAAACATGCTTTGCACACTCAGAAATTTTCTTCCCTGACCTCACAAACTTAGAAACCTCCCCCCATTTCTTCTCCTTGACAACCTTGTCATACCCACCAAACCTCTTAACAGCATTAAACAATTTACACAAATCCAATTCTTCCCCTTCAAAAATCACCCTCTTCTTCAACTTCTTACCACAATGATCCTCCAAAAATCTCTTGTACTCCAACTCAAATGTTTTCGAATCACACGAAGCAGGCCTAGCCTGCAACTGATGAATAGCCTGCGTTTTAGTTGGAAAGTTAAAACCATCCAAATTCAGTGCAAATGGTGGTGACCAACTCTTTGGTGGCACAATCTTACAAATCCCATATTTCTCAGCTTCTGCTCTAATCTTATAAATATACTCTAAGGGATCCTTAAATTCCTCCTCACTAGGATAATAAACAGGTGCTGGAGGCACATGCACTGAACCAGGAGATGATACACTCAAGTTCTGCCCCAGAACCCCTTTCTCCACAGCTCTAGGCCTTCCTTTTCCCATTCCCTACAACTACTCACATACTAAATCTATGCATCCATGAATAAACCAAAGAAAAAAAAAATTATCAATCCATAAAGTTTACGATCCTCAAACAAGGAAATAAACGAGTAAGCTAAATTTCTAGGGTTTCAAAGCGTACCTTTAAATAGAGAGGAAAAAATTTCTGCTTTGTGTGTCTTGTTTATGGAGAGTGTGATGGATAGGGAGTGAGTTTCGTGGGAGATTTGGTTATAAACGAAGTTAAGTCTTTGATTTTTTATATGGTGGCCGTGAGGAAATTTTAAGGATTAAAAGCCGTTAGATTCTTTTTCAGGTCTAAAAGTGTATATTTGCAAAAATGCCAAACTAAACCCTTTTTTTAAGTTTTAATTCTGACATAATAATAATTACCAAGTAAAAAGTTTTACAGTGAAATTCTCTGATCTAAAAAATTTTTCCCTCTTTCACATAAATTATTAACTTGTATTGTATAGTAAAATTTTTACAAACCTTACCCTTAAAAATAATTTTTTACGATCCTGACTTTAGCTAATTGGCTAAATTAATAATTTTATAAAATAAAAGATAATTTTTTTTACAAAAGTTCTTACATAATTCTATATTCCTAATCCATATCTTAAATTAATATTATGCTAATTTGATTTTCATATTTTATTGAGACATAACTCTATAGTTAATTCATTCTCGAAAAAAGAAAAAAAACTCTATTGTCAATTGCTTTAGAGTATTTTTTAGATAATTTCTTCGACAAAATGAATTTTTACGGTCTCAAAAATTATTTATTATTGCTTTACATGCACATTTGACTATCTAAATTGAGAATATAAGATCGATCGCATTTAAGATATTTATTTTTTATGAATTGTCCTGCCCAATTCAATTGCTCTGATTTGAAATTATATTATATTTTAAATTTAAGATTTATTAATTTGAAAATTATTAATTTCTTGCATTTGTCGCTAATGATTAAAATAAGGGCTAAGATTATTAACTTTTAAAATAATAGGACTGAAATAAATATTAACACAAAATATATGGATTGTTTCGGAATTAATTCTTCTTATTTTTTAACTTTGATTTGTCTTTTGGCGGATGGGTCGGACCTTTCATAGTTTTCGTTTGGTACATTTGAGAATTTTCCCGTGCGTATCAGCCTATCATAGGAAAGTACGACTTAGATGGACGGTTTGGATGATTTTAGTTAGATCAATTTTTTGGATGCAAGGTTTTTGCTAGATCTTCTGTATTGTTGGCCTGATCATTGATTTTTTTCACCTTCTAAAGACCTCAGAAAAAAGAAAAATAGAAATGAGTGCTCTCAAACCTAAAAATTTTCGCAAATTCGATAAATGTTATTTAATAAAGAGCTACCTCGTTGTATATTCTATAATATAATTTTTTAAAATATTTTATAATATTGGTTCGACATATTTTACCTTTCAATAAATAAAAGAAATATCTATCTATTCTGTAAATATAACGCAAATATAATAAGTAAACCCAAGAAAAATATTTGACACCAATAAAAATATCAATGTCTTCCTGTAAAAAATAAAGTAGTAATAAAAATTTGATAATTTTTTAAATAGAATTAATTATTGATTTAATATATAGATAAACGGAATCAAAGCGAAATATTTTAGTTAAAAAATTGAAACGAGTTGAATAATCTAAATCATAATTTTTATGTATTTAAAAAAATTGATTTAGATAAAAAATTCAAACTAATTCCATCAAAAAGTATATTTATTTTAACAAAAAAAAAAAGGATTATTTCACTCTATTCGGTTTTCTTCATGGAAAATCAAACCAAAATCAACTAGTCAAATTTCAAAAAAAAAAAAAAAAAAAATTATTTTATATCACAATATATTTGGATTGTGATTTGTGGGTTCGTTGTAATATTATATTCGTTTCTTGTATTTTTTTTAACTTTGGATTTTTGTCCTTTTTTGGCGGATGGGTTCGGACCTTTTTTCATGAGTTTTCGTTTGGATACTTTAGTTTGAGAATTTTTCCTCTTGTTGCGTAGATTCATCCTTATTGCGGAATAGGTGAAAGTACGACCCTTGAGATGGTTACGGTTTTGGGTGATGGATTTTTAGTTAGTAGTCAATGGTTTTTTGGATGCTAAGGTTTTTGTTCCTAGTGATGCTTTTCGGGTTTTGTAGGGTTGTTTGGGATCCTGTATCATTTTGATTGTTTGTTTTCGAGCGCGTTCTGGAAATTGGGGGACCTCATGTAAAGAGTAAATTATATTGTTAAAATCTTTGTAAGCTGCTTTCTTTCTAATAGCTCTATGAATATATGTTTTCGGTGCAATTTGCCGTAAGTATAATTGTGTTTATATTTTTTTGGGTTATATTTAATATCAGAGTTCTAATTCCTCGTTTTTGTTATTTTTTTTCTATGATTATATTAATTGTTTTTAAAATTTATTTTTATATTTAATATTTGGTTTCGACATATTTTTACGCGTTTCTAATATATTATATTTAAATTCGATATATCTATCTATTCTATTTCGTTGTTTTATAAATATAATCTGCAATATTATGGAGTTTTAGGTAAGATATTAACCCAAGGAAAGAATTATTTTGACACCTTTGGTAGGGAATATAAAAATAATCAAAATGTTTCTTCCTGATTAAAAAGAAAGTAGTAATAATAAATTTTGATTTAATTTTTGTTTTTTTAAATACGATTAGAATTAATTTATTTTGAATTTAATATATTAGTAATTCAAAACTGGAATTTCGAGGAAATGCTTTTAAGGATTTATTTTGTTGGAGTTTTATAAATATAAGTGTTGAGTAACGAAGTTGATATAGTAATGTCTTAAATTTTCATAATTTTTTTATGTATTTTAAAAAAGGAATGTGTTGATTTGGTTTAAGGATTGTTTTAGTAGTTAAAAAAAATGTTAGTTTTCTTCCGCTTTAGATAGACCCTTTTTAAGGGAAATTCGCGTTATTTTGTCATCAAAAAAGGTAGTATTTAATTTTAACAAAAAAAAAATTAGGATTATTTCTAACTCTATTTTTTTCGGGTTTTTTTTGGCTTCATGTGTGAATAAATGCGAAACCCGAAAATATCAATCTGTTTTTTTAATTGTTGCGAGAGTTATTTTTTTCAAAAAAAATATATAAAATAAAAGATTCGCAAACGTTTTTTATTGAATAATTCCTGACATATAGGATAAAATCCAAATTCGACATTCGGTTCGTTTGTCTAGGATTAATGGTTGGTTGATTTTTTTAATGTTATATATTTTGTGATCCTTCCGGCTCCTAGGATCTAGAGGATGTAAGTTATTTTTCCATGAACATTTACGATTTGGGAATCTTTTTTCTGCTTTTCTTTCTCTTTTTTTTTATGCATGAAATGGATATGCAAATGTGGAGTCAAATTAGTTTTGCAAAAATTTATTCATATATCTCCAAATTTATGTAGATTAAAGTTAAAAATAATTTGAATATAATTTTATTGAATATATTATATTTAGTTAGTATTATATAATAGTTTAGTTATAGGAGAGTATTTTTCCTCACGTTTGGGGGATCATTTTAATAAATTTAGTGTATTTATAGAATGCTTAGTTAGAGGGTAAAACTATCTCCCGTTGTTGTTTATATAACATATTACGTCGAAACGGTAATAAACATATTTCGAATTTATAAAATGAATAAATAAATACAATTTTACATTTAATGTTTTTAATAATTAATTATTATCAACCTTTTTGGAAGTAAGGATTAACATACAGTTTTTATTTATTTTTATAGGTTTTATTTGATTTATTTTAGAATTTGGGTATTCCATGATTTATTATTGTTGATCGCCATAGACTGTCTTTTTCACAAACTTGGCAGATTACATTTTAACAATGTTTATTGGGTCACATAAGGCAAATATATAGAATGCAACACAGTTTGATTTTTTACTTTTCCGTTTTATTTTTTTTTTTTTTTTGTTCCTCGTCTCTGATTCCACTTTGACAGGGTGCGTTTATTGTATTAGTTAGAACAACCAGAGCTGGCAACAATTATTTTATCTATGTATTCCATTTGTGAGTCAGGTGAGGAATTTTTGCGTTGTATTGGGAGGTGTGTATGCGAGGAGATTATCTTTTATGAAAAAGACTTAGATAATGTTAATTTGATAATGAATCTATTTCTGTGTTTAACGAAATTTTCATATGCCCGCATTTGTTGCCTTTTTTTTTTTTTTTTCGATGATTTGAAACAGGTGGTGGGAAGTATATTTCACTGTTTCCAAACGCGAATCGAGTTTGTTTTATTGGGTTCATATATTTCTGAAAAGGAAGTTAAATGTCAAACTTTAAATATATGATTAAATTTGGGTCGTAGCAATTTTGAATTTTTTCAAATTAAATCTAATTTAGTAAAATATAATATGAATTTAACTCATTACAACATGCGAATACGAGACCTGGCAAGATTTTATTCGGTAATTTTTTTAAATTATTTTTTCTTGCCTTGTGTATAAGGCTACATATTTAATTAGGTTATTTTTTCCACATGGTAAAACTAATTTATTATTGTTGGTTGTGTAGTTGTTGGAATTTTTTTTTTTTGGTTTTTTATTATTTTTTTATCACATAAGGTCGTGTGTCACCTATTACTAGTAGCCATCTTAATATTTGATATTGATAGCTTTTCCTAGGGTTTGTTGTGATTTTTATAGTTTTGTAATATAGTTATATTATTTATTTATTATATTATAGAAAAAAAAAAAGTGGGAGTATGAAAGTGATGGGTAAGTTGGCTTTGGAATTGGTCGTTTTTTCAGTTTTATACGATAATTATTGTGTTGTTGAGGATGTATGGTTGTGAGTTCTCTTTATATTGAATTATTTACCAATATTATGGCTTCATTTATTTGAGTCCAAAACTATTACAACATGAGTGATGTTGAATGCCGGAAAGATTCGGTTTGTAATGGACAAAAAGTAAAGGTTAAAATTTGAGATTTAATTTATTCGCATAAGAGTTTTAATCTGTCTTTTGTGGTCCCATTTATACTTAAGTTTTTGATCTTGATTTAAGTTTGTACGGATTGGGAACAAAAACTATTAATTCAAAAATGGATTATTATAAAGCTTACATATATCCCTTAAAGACCAGAATTAATTTTTCCCAATATATTATTAAAAATTTCGTACTATTTTTTTTTGTTTGTTATTATTTGTTGTTTTATTATATATTATATATATATATTGGGGTTTGTGTTCATTATCTGCGTTTTATAACCTTGTTGAAAAGTTTTCCCACTTAAAGTCTATCATTCTAAATTACTACTTTATAATTTGTTTGGCCTTTTATTTATGGCTGTAGCTTCTATATCTATTTGTCTTTGGTCAGTTCTATTCTAATTATATGCTGTCAATTTGTTATTTTTTTTTGGTTGCTCATGGTGCGGAGTGTTTTTCCCATTAGTCTTGCCTTTTCTCGGTTTGTTTTTTTTTGTGTTTTTTTTTTTTTTTGGGCTGATTTTACAGCTTATGGTGGGTTGAGTAATAAATATATATGGTCGAGAATGTGTTTTGTTTTTTTGTATATGTTTTTACATTAGTAAGGTCCAATGAATGACGGAATGAGGTGATCCAGGAGATATAATACTCTTTTTTTGATCGAGCGTTTTCACTCGAAGTAGCGCGAAAAAATTAATCATAATGCGTTTGTAGTTTTTGTAATATCTTTAATTGTCCTTCTTTTAAATTGTTTTATTTGATGTTTTTTTAATTTAGTATTTTGGTTGTTTTACCATGGTGTATTGTTTGAAATGGGGCGTGGGCATTGTTGTTTAAATATATATTATTGGATTTGATTATGCGTTCTTAGATACGTGGCGAATAATGTTGTTGTAAAAGTTCTATTAAGGAGAAAAGTTGAGGGTAGAAGATGATGAATGAGATGTGTGGGAGGTAAGGGAAGAATAAAGGGAAGAGAATATACAAAAAAAGGATTAAAATTACGTTATTAGTGCGTAATATGGGTTGGTCATACAGAATGAAATATGGGAATGAATATTGGGGAGTTATCATTGAGTAGGAGAAGTTTCGATTATACCCAGAATTCTAATCTTAGTTTAATTTATTAGTGGTTGATTAGTGCGCGGTTAAATTCGTTTTAGTTATCTATTTTATTTAATTTTATATATATTTTTTCGTATTTGGTTTTTTAATTTAAATTGGATAGGTTGGAAAAATAAATTAATTATGTGAAGTTTTAATTAAACTCGAATGCAATATGGAGAGTTTAAATTTAACTCAAACGTGTTTTTTTTTTTTTTTTTTTTCTGTTTACACTATTTAATAAAATATATTCGAAATGTTTTTTATTTTTTACATAGTAGGTCCAATGAATTACGGAATACGTGATCCAGAGAAAATACCTTTTTGACGACGTTTACTGAATTAGCGAAAAATTAATCAAATGCTTTAGTTTTATATCTTTAATTTCCCTTTAAATTTTTATTTTTTTATAGTATTTTACCATGGTGATGTGAAATGGCTGGCATTTTTAAAATATAATATTGATTATCTTCTAGAACTTGGCAATAAAGTAAAAGTCTAAAGAGAAAGTTGAGGGAAAATGAGAAGAGAGGATAAGAGGAAGAATAATAGGGAAAGATAACAAAAAAGATTAAAAACGTATAGTATAGGTCAACAGAGAAAATGAGATGAATATAATTATCATTGAGTAAAGTTCGATTAACCCAAATCAACTTAGTTTAATTTTAATTTGATTATTCGGTTAATTCGTTTAGTATAATTTATAATTTTATATAATTTCGTATTTGGTTTTTAATTTAAATTATAGAAAATAAATTAATTTTAATTAAAACCGAATCAAATTAATTAAATTAACTCAAACTAAATTAAAACAGAGTTCAATTGTGATTCCACGTAAGTAAAAAATGAAAATTCATTTTTGGTTTTTCAATTCAATTAAGTATCAAACCTATTATAAACCCCTAATTATTATTGTTACTATTTTCGATTTTGACCAATTACAATTAAATTATTTGCTAGTTTTTGTGAGTATAAGTAGGCAAAGGTATTAACTTGGCTTAGTCAACCAACCATAATTAGTTATACTCATCTAAACTAATAAGTGAATATCCCAACTGAGTATTGATATGAGCAATTCGACATTCTTCTTCTTTAAATAAAGTCGAGGATTCGAACATCGTGTATGAAGCAAATACTCGCTAAAATTACTTCATTCATATGTGATGCGAGCAAGATTTAATTATTTATTTATAATCATCTAGGCAAAGTATTCTCACATGTCAAAATTGCCCTGGTAAATCAATGAACTTCATACCAATAGCAATCCTTAATTGACTTGTACAAGGCTAAAGTGCCCTTTAGAATGTCCTAGTTATAGACCCACATGCAATTGATACAATACTTATAGGCATTTACTATGAAACTCCTAATTATGAAAGACTCTTGTTGCTTCTATTATGGGCAGTTGCTAGTACCCCATCCTTTTCTATTGTAGCTTGCCAATAATTTTAGAGGTTCGAATAGTGACACATATGGTTATTTGTGGCTCAAAAGTTGTACTTTTTCCTTCTTCCCATTTATTTTTGGAATTGCAATCAATGAGGAAGTCCAAAATGTAAAAAGATTTCTTGTGGCTTTAATAATGACATCCAATCCATTTGTAGCATAATATTTCTATTGCCTAGCCAATAATTAGAGGCAAAAATGTCTAATAATTTTGGATTTGCAATGCAAGACCTAATTAATTATTTCCAATTGTGTTAAAACTCGGTAAATTTGAACAATTAAATAACTTCTACCTCTGTTTCTAATTACTCATTACATTTGAGAAACTGCTATGTTCCAAAATTTTTGTCACATTTGTGATTTTAATGAGTAATATTTTTTTTTTCAGATTTATCCTTTGTGTATAACCAAAAATTATTATTTTAATTTTTTAAAAATTTGGTATTTTGATATATCAAAATTAATGGTAATATAATCAATTTACTCGATAATTATTGTAAATTAGATAAATTTAATGACTTTCTAAATCCAAATATGATAAGTATTTAGGATACGATGTAGTATATTTTAGATATGGCAATGTAATTGTAGAAATTGAAATTACTTACTGTATTAGGGGTGAAAAATAATATTTCCATTAATTTTTATTTTCTTACTTTATATAAAGACTATCTTGCTTATTATAATATTCTTTTGAAATTGTTTAATTATCTTTAATAATTGATAGACATTAATGTTATGGTATGACGTGATAAGTGAAATAGTAAATTAGTATATATATATAAACAAGATGGCAAAAATTATGATCTTATGATTTTCATTTCGAATTAAGTCAATTCAAACACTTGACGTATCCATTTTTGGAAAAATTAACATTTTAATTCACTTAAAAAAAAAAAACATAATTTTGGCTTTTTTTAATTTTACTTTTGACCTAAATGCACTTATTATGCCACAAATAAATAGGTAAGTGTTTAGTGTGATGTCTATTTAAAAACTACACTTAATTAATTTAAGTGTTCAATTAATAAGTATACTTCAAAAAGTAGTTTAATTTATCAAAATTACTTAAGTGGGTATGCTAATTAAATAGGTAATTAATGGACTGCCTCATTTAATACTTATCATTTATGAACCTACTTCAAGATAGATTCAACTAGCTCCAAACATAATGGGAGTAATTACTTTTCAATGATTTGCTAAAATTGAAAAAAAAAAAAAAGACTATGGAATTTATAAAATTCTTATGGTTTGACCGTTAAATTCTAATTAAATATTTCATTTGTCCCAAAATATAAATCGTTTAAGATTTTTACATAAAGATTAAAAAAATAATTAATTTTCATAAATTTTCAAATAGTAACTTATATTTTAAGTCAGATGAAGTATTTAATATATAAAATATTTTTTTCTCATTTTATTTTCTAATACTTTAATTGATCATATTATTATTAGTATTTTTTAGTTGAAAAAGAGAGCTTGATTGGGGAATTGATAAATGGGGAAGGGCTTAGGTGTAGAAAATTGGAAAAAGAAGGGGTGATGTCGGTGGAAATTTAGAAAAAAAAAATAGTAATAAAGAAAAATTCAGAGAGAGACCAAAAACACAAGCACACGCTCGCACTCTCCCTTCAATCTGCGTAGCGTAAACCCATTACCATAACCTTTCTCTCGTATTCATATAGATACACCAATTTAATATTTTTGCTATATCTATCTATCTCTCTCTCTCTCTCTGTTGTATGTGTATTTTCATTTGAATTCTAGTATCCAAATCTCATTAATTCTCTTCTTTCTCAACAAAACTGATCTCAGATTCACGGCTCGAAGAAACCCACTTCTTCAAAAATACTTCTATTACTGAAATCGCCTTTTGCTTTCCGTTTCTTTTTGAACAAATCCTAGTTCAATTTTTGCTCTCCTGTTCAGGTTCTTAACTATCTCCCTTTCTTTTTTCCCCTGTTTTTGAGTTATGTTGGGTTTCGTCTGTGTTTTTGTTGCTTTTGCTGCTCTGATTTGATTGAGTAAATCACTTGAAGTTGCAGAGAGCTGCAATTTGATTGACTTGGGTGTTGCTGTGAGTTGACTTGGAGGGAATCGCTGAAGAATAAGTATATTCGTTTGTGGGTTGTTTTGTTTTGTTTGGTTGCTGAGAAAGCTGAGGAAAAAGAAATTTGCGATTTTTTTTTTTTTTTTTATGGGTTGAATCTTTAGAGATTTAATTCTATATGTTGAAGTATTTTTTGAGTAGTATAGTAGTTTAATATTTGTTTTCTGTCATTTATTTTTCTAAATACTTTTGAAGTTGATTGCAGTTAGTTATATGAATTAGTATTGTTTTAGGTTGAAAAGGAAGTGACTTGAAGTTGTGGGGGTAAGGATTGATAAAATGGTGGGAAGGATTGGGGCTCTGTAGGTGTAGATATAATGGAGAAAAGAAGGGGGTTGTGTGAATTGTCCGGTGGAAATTTTTGAGAAATAATAAAATATTGAGTAATATTTAAGAAAAATGTCAGAGAGAGACCGAAAAACCACAAGCGAGCGGAATCGTCTTCATGCACTTTGCGTCGCCTTCAATCTGCTGTAGCGTAACCATTTACCATAACCTTTCTCTCGTATTTCAGTATTATAGATTCAGTTTATGTCTCAAATTTTAGAGAGTATTTTTTTGACCTAATATTTCTATTTGATTCTTCTGCGGTCTCTTCTCTTCTTTGGTTGGTATGTGTTAGTTTGTTTTCATTTGAATTTTCTTATCGTATCCAAATCTCTATTAATTCTCTTGTCTTTTCGTCATTACAAAACTGATCTCTAGGATTTCGACGTGCTCGAAAGAAAACGCCATGCTTCTTTTTGACATAAAATATCTTCTATTACTTGAAGTTTTGAAGTTCGGCCTTTTGCTTTTGCGCCGTGTGTCTTTTTTGATGACAATTATCCTGTTATTGTTTTACTATCTTTTGGTTATTGCCTCCTCTATTGTTGTTGGTTCAGGGGTTTTGGAACTATCGTTCCGTCTTTGTCTCTTTTTGCCGCTTCCGTGTTTTTGAGTTAATGTTATGGTGGTGTTTCGTCGTGTTGTTTATTGTTTGCTTGTTGCTTTGTAGCTCTTGACGTGTTGATTGAGTAAAGGGTCACTTGATGATTTTAGTTTGCAGAGATTGCTTGCAAATTGTGATTGGACTGGGGTGTTGCGGTGATTGGAACTTTGGAGGTCAATTTCGCTGAATTGAATTATTATTGTTATATTTCGTTGGTGGGTTTTTTTGTTTTGTTTGGTTGCTGTGGGTATGTTTGAAATCTGATGTGTAAAAACGGGGAAATTGTGATCTGATGTTTTTTTTTTTTTTTTTTGGGTTTGATCCTTTTAGATTCTCTCATTTGGGGAAGATGCAGCTTATTTTTATACTTGGTGAAGTGAGTGTATGTCTGCGTGTTTGCGTTAAGGAGCCATTGGGAGTTTAAAGGGATTGTATTTTTTATAGTGTAGGAGGGTCTATGATGTTTTAGTTGACGGCATTCGTTTATTCTATGCTTTCTAGCTCTTTAGTGTAGCTTTTTTACTGTGTGAATGTTTTTTGATTCCATTTTTTCTTTTTTTGTGTCATACAGGTTTATATGTGAGTTAGTTTGTTGTTTTCTTCTAGAAGTTGTCAGGTTTTTGGGGGCAAAGTTCTCTATATAGGGTGTTTGAATCTGAGGAAATTTAATATCGTGGAGTAAAATTCGATGTAGTTCTTTACCATACGGGGTAAGAAAGTTTGATTGAAGTATGTGGATAGGGGCTGGGTGAGGGATGAGTTGAGTCTGGATGATATTGTGTGTAAATTTTGAAGGCTTTGGGACTTTATTAGTGCTCAATTTTCAAATTTGTGGTTGCTGGATGGGGTGTGAATGTTCAAAGCTGTCTGCTGTTTGTTGGGAGTTCTGAGTATGATGGATCAGTGCGGCCCCGTGTAATTGTGGGTTCAAAGGAGATGAGGTGTGTTTGGAGGGTGTTAATTTATGGGTTGTGTTGAGGGAATGTTAGTGGTTGTTGGGATTATTTTCTTTTTTTTGTTTCTTGGGATGGTGGCGGTGAGTTTTATTAATTCGTTTGGACCTTGGATTGTTTCTTAAGTAGTTTAATATTGGGAGGGAGGGTAACGAACTTGCCTGATGTTTGGCCTGTCATTTTCCGCGAATACACCATGTGATGAACACTCAAGATGGGAAACTTCTGGCTCTGCTTGTGGAGAGAGGGATATAGTTTCTGAAGCTATTGTTGGGTGAAAAGGCTCCAAATATGTTGGTGTTTAGTAAGGGTATAGGCTCTGAGATCAAAATTTTTTTTTTTTTTTTGGTGATCTTTAGATTCATTGGGGAAATGACAATTTTATACTTGGTGAAAGTGATGTTGCTGCGTTAAGGAGCATTTGATTAAGGGATTTATTTTTTATATGAGGAGGGCATTGATGTGACTCATTCGATTCTTATTGCTTCAGCTCTTTATGTAGCTTTTGTGAAGTTTGATTCCATTTTCTTTTTGTGTCACAGGTTAATTAGGTTTGTTCCAGAAGGCATTTTGGGGCAAAGTTCTCATATATTTGATCGAGGAAATAATTGAAAATTCGATGTGTTTATCTTACAACTGGGTAAAAGGATTAGTATGTGAAGCTGGGTGAATGATTGAGCTGGATGATATTGTGTAATTTTTGAGGCTTTGGGACTTATTAGTGCTCAATTTTCAAATTGTGGTGCTGGGATGGGGTGTGAATGTTCAAAGCTGTCTGCCTGTTGTTGGAGTTCTGAGTATGATGGATCAGTCCCCGAAGGTCAAAATGAGGGTGAGTAAAATGAGGGAATGAGGGTGTAATTTTCTTTTTTGTTCTTTTGAGGGCGTGATTTTAATCTTTGACTTGGTTGTTCTTAGTAGAAAATGAGGAGAGGAACGAACTTGCTGATTTGCCTGCATTCCGCGAATACACCATTGAGACACTCAAGATGGCAACTTCTGGCTTTGCTGTGGAGAATATAGTTTCTGAACATGGGGAAAAGGCTCCAAATGTGGTTTATAAGGGTAAGCTCGAGAATCAGAGGAGGATTGCTGTAAAGCGGTTTAATAGATCTGCATGGCCTGATGCCAGACAATTTTTGGTAAGTGGACTATTTCTATTTTCACGAGTTATGTGCCTAGAGAAACTTTAGCTTCATGGATAGATTATATAGTTAAATCTGCTAACGTGGTAATCTGTAGTTATCATGAAAATTTGATAGGTCCTTAACTCTGACATTTTTAGGACGAAGCAAGAGCTGTTGGTCAGCTACGGAATCATAGGCTGGCAAATTTACTCGGTTGTTGCTGTGAAGGAGACGAGAGGCTGCTTGTTGCAGAATTTATGCCCAATGATACATTAGCAAAACACTTATTCCATTGTAAGTTCTCTTTTGGTGCCCTTCCTTGAGTTTAGCATTTGTCAGAATGTCAGTGTTATTTAGAGTTTTGGAACTCACATACTTCATAATTAGGCATCGTAACCTAAATTCTGTTATTCACAAATAGATTATGGTTATTTTACAGCCTATTTGATATAATCAATTGTTCCTTTTTTATCTAATCTCGATTTCAAAAGTATGTTTTATAATTTCACCTTATACCTATATCATAGGATGAATGGATGAAAACTCTTTAGATCATTCGGTTTGGCAACAAGGCAGTAGTGATTTCATACTGAAATTCTTGTGGTATACTATCTTTTATGTTTTTTGCTAATTCTCTTTCATCTTAATTTTTGCCTCCTGGCTTATATATAGGGGAAACACAACCTATGAAATGGGCGATGCGTCTTAGGGTGGCTTTACATCTTGCACAAGCTCTAGAATATTGCACTAGTCAAGGGCGTGCTCTTTATCATGATCTGAATGCCTATAGAATTGTTTTTGATGATGTAAGTATGCAGTATCAATTACGCTTTTCTAATTTTCTGTTAACAGTAGAATTTTAGATCACAACCATTGTATCCGTTTATTTTTCAGGAGGGTAATCCCAGACTTTCATGCTTCGGTCTGATGAAGAACAGTAGAGATGGAAAAAGTTATAGTACAAACTTGGCATTTACTCCTCCTGAGTATCTAAGGACAGGTAAGCATACGACATTTCTTTCTGCATGTGCAGACTTACCTTTATTGTGGTATTGATGTCGATTGGCTGTATGAAACCATTCTTGCAGCTGTATCCTGAGTTACAGGCATCATATCATCATCTACCATTTACATTTAAGTTGTTAGTTTGATTTATGTTCGAGAATGTTTTATTTAGCTGGTATTTATTGATTCTTTATGCCCAGAGCAACACCCTGTATTTTCTTCTTTCTGCAGGAAGGGTAACACCAGAAAGTGTAATTTATAGCTTTGGCACCCTTTTGCTTGACCTTCTAAGTGGAAAACATATTCCTCCCAGCCATGTAAGTTTTCTCCTCAACACTTGATAGGATCAATTTGATACTCTATTTTTAAAGCATCTTTCAAACATTTTTATTATGGATTAGAAATGGCATTTAAAAGTAATTTATTTTCCTTCGAAGCGTAAATTTTGTTCCAAAACCCCATACTTCAACTAGGAGGAATATTTAATCTGAATATAAGGGAATTTTTAACTTTTAAATACATAGCATAAAATGTTAACCTAGCTCTCCCTCACTTTCTTCTCTCTCTTAAATTTTCTTTTTCATAGTTGGCATCTTATATGATGGACGGCTAGAATAATGCTTTTTATGATTGAAAATAGTGGTACAAGAAAATTCCTCTTCCAGATCCCTGCCATAAATGGTAATAAAAGATGGAATACCAACCAATGAAATATGTTTTTTTGAAGTAATGTCAAGTCAAACAAATGGAGCATGGGAGTATGAGTATTGTTGGGCTATTTGTCGTTAGTAAAATGGTCCTTATAATGTTGTGAATTTCTGGTGGGAATTCATAATTCAAGATCGAATGAAAATGCTCCAGTGAATTAATACGAGGGCAATGAAAAAGAACTTGTGTTCAGATTGGAAACCATGGTCAATAGTAGTAATCCTTTCTTTCCATGCTTCTTGAAAAGGATGATAGCTACTGTAAATCAAGTAAGTTGAGAAATGCAATATGGAGACAATCTGTAAATCCAGCATGCATTCCCCACCATGACCACTTGGGGGATATGCTAGGAAGGTTGAGATGCTTTATCCTTGAGGAGGCTCCTAAAAAGTAAAAGATGCCACAAGGTACCATGGCCCCTGATTTTATGAGCACTTCTTTTGCACTCTTTAAACCACTAAATGATTGCCATTTTCCTTGGCATCTCTCTCTTCTGTTTCCTCAAGCTCGTACCCTGTTTCACTGTTATGGAGTTGTAGAAGATAGCTCATACTCACTCAGTGGGACCCAATAAATCTCGGAACATCTAACAATTAGAAAGTGCTAAAACCTAATCTGATGGATGTCATCTGGCTTTTTGTGCCTGATTATTATCTCATGATGGTTGTTATGTGAGGATATTGCTAGTTTCTTTACTGTTTGCTGATTTTATGTTGTGATCTTTTAGTTGGATACCGATTTTTAACAACTGATGCATGAGTGGATTGGGCAAGTTCGCTTGCTTGTTACAGTTTACTTAAGCATCATCTCCTTTGTATTTTGTGCTGGATGCATGTATTTTTATCGTATAGCATAAGAATACTATTATGATTAACAGTCTAATGGGTGTTTCAAATTATTAGAAAAATCAACTTTATGAACTTCTTTAATTGAATTTTTCTTTTTGGTCCTTTATTTTTTAAGGAGGGGGTGGAATGCGTGTGGCTTGTTGCAGTTGAAGAAAAATGTTATTTATGGAAAGGAAAGAAGGATGAAAGACTATTTAAGAAAATATAGTAGCCAAATTCCTTGTCATATTATATTCAAAGTCAGATTTATCTGATGTCATCTCCAGAAATAGAGCAGCATGTATACATGTATACCTTTTCCTGTCTCATCCCTAGTGTTAGATGGTGGCAGTAGTTTGATAAAAACAATAGTTATCCTGCTATTTTTTTTTTGTTTAATTTGATGTCTTAAATTTGAATTATTTTTCTTGGCGGTTTTTCTAATAGGAGTCTGACCAAGCATTATTGTAAGTAGACAGCATGATCTAGAAATTTTGTTTTGCTAGTATTTAACTGTCTGTCTGAATCTTTAGGATCTTATAGATAGATGTCTAATATTGAGTTGCACTATTTATTTCAGGCGTTGGACTTAATAAGGGACAAGAATATTCAGATGCTCACAGATTCTTGCTTGGAAGGCCAATTTACAAATGATGATGGGACTGAGTTAGTGCGATTAGCCTCTCGTTGTTTACAGTATGAGCCTCGTGAGCGGCCAAATCCAAAATCATTAGTTGCTGCTTTGATTCCTCTTCAGAAGGATACTGAGGTTAGTTATCTCTTTATTCCATTTACTCTTAAAGCTATCAGAGAATGACTAAAAATTGAATAGTTCCAATACTCTGTGGAAATGATATTAATTTGTTCTGCAGGTTCCTTCTCATGTTTTAATGGGTATACCAGATGGTGCCGAAGCTTTACCTCCGTCACCCCTTGGTGAGGCTTGCTTAAGAATGGACTTGACTGCGATACATGAGATCATGGAAAAGCTTGGGTATAAAGATGATGAGGGTGCAGCTACTGAGGTTTGCTTATGATATGTTAACAACTTCTAGTTTGTCAAATTCTCATCTTTATCTAATTGTTGTTTGTTTTAATTTATACTTATCCACTGAACTCATCGAACACGAATATCCTGCACTTGATGTCACTGATTTCTAGTATGATGCCAGAATGTTTGATCTATGTATTTTATATTGCTGAGTGTTACTTTCCTGCCTTACAGCTCTCATTCCAGATGTGGACCAATCAGATGCAGGAAACATTAAATTCAAAGAAAAAGGGTGATGTTGCCTTCCGGCACAAAGATTTTAGAGCTGCCATAGAATGCTATTCCCAGGTTAGATTGGTAGCTATTGTTTTCTTGGTTTCCTGGTGTGGTCAGTAGAAGGGGAAAAACTCATTTGCATTTGATCAAGAAAGAGAAGTAGTTGGTGGGGCTAGGTTATTATTTGAGGTTAAAAATGGTTTGACATTGTTATAGATCATTACTTTTTAGACTAATAATGGGAGAAAAAGGATTTAATGTCATGAAAATAGTTGGTGGGGCTAGGTTATTATTTGGTTTGACATTGTTATAGATCATTTGCATTTGATCAAGAAAGAGAAGTAGTTGGTGGGGCTAGGTTATTATTTGAGGTTGAAAATGGTTTGACATTGTTATAGATCATTACTTTTTAGACTAATAATGGGAGAAAAAGGATTTAATGTCATGAAAATGGTTAAAATGGGGCTCTTTTAGAATGGCTAAACATTTTTCTAGATCCAGTTAAAATGTCCAAATGTTTAAAAATATAGGAAATTTCCAAAATGCTTACATTTCGTTATGTTGCAGTTCATTGATGTTGGGACCATGGTTTCTCCAACTGTTTATGCACGCCGAAGTCTATCCTATCTCATGAGCGAAATGCCTCAGGAAGCCCTGAATGATGCAGTGCAAGCTCAAGTAATATCTCCTATTTGGCATATTGCATCCTATTTACAAGCAGCAGCTCTTTTTGCGTTGGGAAAGGAGTGTGAGGCACAAGCAGCTCTCAAAGAGGGATCAATCCTAGAAAATAAAAAGACGACAAATGCTTGATGATACAAAATGATGAAGCTCAAATAATGCTCTTCTTGATTTGCTCTTTTCAGTAAGATGACCACCAAACATAAACAGAAGCCTAATCTGCATGTGTTATGATCAACCGAGTGTTTGTAAGCCTTGCAGCAAAGAATCGACTTGAATGTGCCATAAATGTTCCGGATCTTCTGCATGTGTGATTGGTTGACATCTTGAAGAATTCTTTCAAAACATTATTGGATGGGTTGGTCTTTATCAGTTTGCTGGGTATTCACAATTTTGGGAAGTACCCACATGCACATATGAACAGTGTACCCTTTGTTTCTGTTTGCTGACCTTTTCCAATACACCAATCTAGAAAAATAATTAAGACACTCCTGGGATAGATTACATGTTGTAGAGGGATTCAGCTGTTGTTGTTTAAAGATGCATTTAGAGGGTGAATAGAAGATGTCTATGCAATCCTTGTAATTTATGTACAGTGCTATTGGTTGTGGTTGCTGAAGCTGAGGTGAAATTGGAATTTTTTTTTGTTTGTTCAATACTTTGGTATGCCGTTACCAAGTTTTTGAATTGATATTATTGCTTTCTAGTGGACTCTCTTTCTTTTTCTCCGGTAAAATTTTACTGTGAAAGTCTGAAAGAAGCACTGGCTTCTGTAATTTATCTTCAGGCTCGTGCACAGTTCGTGATTAATCTCAGATTCCTCGAAAATGTTTAGTCCATAACATATGTTTACTTGTACTGAATGGTCTACTAAAAGGACAGCATTTTTAACTAACAACTACGAGCCTGAACCATAGCTAGTCCGTAAAAAGACCAGATTGTCTTTTGTTCCAAGCTCCTCAAAATTTAGCAGCAAATTGAAAACTAATTGGATACTGGTAGCCCCTGTGGTAAGCGAGTACGAGGGCTAAAATTAATTTTGAAAAAGTAATTAAATAAGGGTCATTATGAGGGCTAATCCACAAGCTGGTTAGGTATTGCTAGTAGGGTGTAAATGAGCCAAGTTGACTTGGTAGCTATAAGTTCGGTTATAATTGAACCTAAACTTAAGCTAGTTTGTTTGTTAAATCAGCTGAATTTAAGCTTAATAATATTCAGCTTGAAAATTCCTTATGCATTATCAAGCTTTTATATATACATATAAAATATTTATTTTAGATTCATTAGAGATTCCAACTTTGAGCCGAGCCTCATTTGCTAGGGACTTATATGCAAATTAATTGTTTATTGTGAGTATGAGATTAAAATTATTGTCACAAAAAATAATTAAATAAAGGCCCAACCAAATTCAGCTGGTGACCTCTTAATTTGCAATCAAATGCTCTACCACTAAACTATGGACCCAAGATTTTTGAAATTGTTGGTTTGTAAATATAAAACAATTAATAAATACAAAACCAGCACTCACAATTACATGTAAATAAATCACTATCTCACGAAAATTCACTTCACTCAACACATTATCATCATGACTTATTGACCATTATCAAACAGCAATACAGAATGTTTTCTCTATGATCATACACAAACCAAAACCAAAGCCAGAATTCCCCATTTAATCCTCGAAAGCCTCTTCATCTTCCTCCTCCTCATGGTCCACTGCAGCATCTTGATATTGTTGATATTCTGATACCAAATCATTCATATTACTCTCTGCCTCAGTAAATTCCATCTCATCCATTCCCTCCCCTGTATACCAATGCAAAAACGCCTTTCTCCTGAACATAACAGTAAATTGCTCTGATACACGCCTAAACATTTCCTGAATGGAAGTGGAATTTCCCATAAATGTTGATGACATTGCCAACCCAGTTGGTGGAATATCACATACACTTGACTTCACATTGTTAGGTATCCACTCAACAAAATAAGATGAGTTCTTATTTTGTACATTTATCATTTGCTCATCAACTTCTTTGGTGCTCATTTTGCCCCTAAACAAAGCTGAAGCAGTCAAGTACCTTCCATGTCGCGGATCAGCTGCACACATCATGTTCTTAGCATCCCACATTTGCTGTGTAAGCTCAGGAATTGTCAGGGCACGGTACTGTTGTGAGCCTCTGGAGGTCAAGGGTGCAAATCCAACCATAAAGAAGTGGAGACGTGGGAAAGGAATTAAATTTACGGCTAGTTTTCGAAGATCGGAGTTGAGTTGTCCGGGGAAGCGAAGGCAACATGTTACTCCACTCATGGTTGTAGAGATCAAATGGTTAAGATCACCAACTGTAACAAGTAACATTTTTTTAAGAGTTACAGTATAGTACAATCTCAAATGTTATATGTTACGTATGAAAATTGAAATTTATTGGACGGGCAACTTAGCAATGGAACACTTGTCTTATAGCACAAGAAAGTTAAAGATTCTACCTCTAGCATTTTCTTGTCTTAAAATTTATTGAAGAAAAGAAACTACTGAGAAAAGAATAACTTACAGCTTGGATTGGTGAGCTTGAGAGTTCTGAAGCAGATATCATAAAGTGCTTCATTGTCAAGTACCATACACTCATCAGCATTTTCAACAAGTTGGTGCACAGAGAGAGTGGCATTGTAAGGCTCAACAACTGTATCAGAGACCTTAGGAGAGGGAAAAACTGAGAAAGTTAACATCATTCTATCTGGGTATTCTTCCCTTATCTTTGATATAAGCAGAGTTCCCATTCCTGAACCAGTGCCACCTCCCAAGGAATGACAAATTTGAAACCCTAGTTAATCAAATACCATCAAATTATGTTAATTTGGCTTGAAAATGGAAAATTAAAAGAGAAAAAAAATTGACAATTAGAAATTACCTTGCAAGCAGTCACAATTCTCAGCCTCTTTCCTCACAACATCAAGAACAGAATCGACCAGCTCTGCTCCTTCAGTATAATGCCCTTTAGCCCAGTTATTACCAGCCCCATTTTGGCCAAAAACAAAATTATCAGGCCTAAAGATTTTCCCAAATGGACCAGTTCTCAAGCTATCCATGGTCCCTGGCTCAAGGTCTACTAAAACAGCTCTGGGGACGTAGCGGCCACCACTGGCCTCGTTATAGTAAACATTAACCCTCTCAAGTTGAACTTGAGACTTACCAATATAATTTCCTGCAGGATCAATTCCATGTTCATCACAAACAACTTCCCAGAATTTCCCTCCAATCTGGTTTCCACATTGACCAGCTTGGATATGGAGAATTTCTCTCATTTTTCTTTTCCTGATATGGGTAACGGGTATTTCTTGAAGACTGCAGGGGGATAGTGCAAAGAAGAATGAGATGGCTTAGGGCTTTTGTAGTGGTTAGAGAGATGGGATTTAAAGACTGTGCCTTTAATATTTTTTTTTTTGTATCAGAAAGTGATAATTGTATAAAAAGTTCAATGAATAATATCATGTGTCTTTGTTAGGAGGAGGCAATGTCAATCTCCAGCAAGTGTTTATGAGCTGGATGTGAAAGGAGACAACAGGATGCATTCTAGCTTCTCTGGCTTCATTCTATGCAAATTACCAACCAAACCTTAAGATGATTATTTCCCATCTGCCAGTAAGGATTCCAAAACTGCCCATTTCTCTTGTTAGCTGTCTTTCTATTCTTGACAGTCTCTTGGGTTTGAATTTGTTTTAAGTGTTGTATTCAAGTATATCAATAGTGTAGTATTTTTCATTGCATTAATAACCTAGTTTTTGTCTGCCCCCAAGTATTACAAGAGATTAGATGTTCAAACCTAATATCTTTTTCATTTTTGAAATTTCTGATTTACTCAAAAAAGAAGCAGTGATCAAGCATTCTGCTATTTCCATGTTTAAAATAGAATTTCTCATTCCTATTTAGATTAAAAATATTAGAGGTATTTAAGGTAAGGCCAAATACACTTGGGATTATTTCCTATTTGCAAGACATTATAAATAGTTAAATTTCTCAGGAGGGTACTTTGGTCATGATCAAGGGAAAAAGGTGGTTATACCATATAAATCAACATATAAGATTTCATTTATGATTTGGAGATTTGAATTAGGTGCCTAAGTAGTGATATAAAACCTAAGGTTGAAACATGGAATAGAGGGTAGAGAGCTTCAATTATTGAGGGCATGAGATTTTTCCACCTTAATCTGTCTCTTCTTAAATAAGTATTCTTTGTGGCCCTCCTTCCAGCCCCTCCACAAAGACTAGTTGGCTACTTGATGTTGGAATCCTATGTTGAGCCCCCTTCATGATTTCTGATTTATCAACTAAAATAGAAGTATGTACAGAAACCTCCATATGTGGATTTTTAAAATTTTCTTGAGTCCTTTGAGAGCAAATTTAAGTTGTTAACAATTATTTGCAGAGTGGGTTAGATAGAAGTTTTGTCTTGTGATTCTGATATTTACATGCAAATTAAACATGTAAAAAAAGTGTATAAATCTCAAAAAAGCATTATTTTAGGTTACATCAACTCTTTCTTTCTGGATTAATTAGCCTCTGATCTACATGACTGCATCTGACTTCCAATAGAAGTAAATTTCAACATCATTTGTAGTTTAAAGATCTTTCACACCACAAATAGCAATCAGTGCAAGAGAAAGCAATAGCCAATAGTCTAATTGACTTTAGTTTTATTTAGTAGCAATAATTTTTTTGCCTCCCTAAGGGACAAACAAAAAATTTTGTGTGAGAGACTCGAGTATCAATTTTAATTTGTAACTTAAAATAATCTGATCTTCAATTTATCCAACAAAATGATTTCTGTTGGCCGTTACCCATATAATTTAGATCCTTCTAATGAAATTCACCCACGAGATTAGAGAGTTGAATTAACAGGGATAAAACCACAAATTTGTAGTTAGACCATTGCTTTCAAGTCATTGAAGACCTACTATGGAGTAGTACAGAATGAGTAGTCCCATCTGAATTATTACCCCTATGATTTTTGGATGTTCCCTCAACAGCAACCATATACCTAAAAAAATCCAGCCATAAGATTTTCATATAATACCCCCCAATAATTTATCTTTTTAACATAATCCTCTCCAATTTCTTTTTTTTTTTTAAAAAATTTCTTCAAACATATACAAGATTTCAAAATATTATCTACTTGACACTTATCGAAACAAAAAAGTGTAAATAGCTCCTGCAATATGTTAACATGGTAGGGTATCACAAAGCACATGGATACCTGTTGGCAGCCACATGGTCAAGGGATGGATAAGTCATTTTACATGAAATTAAAAACAAGCCCTCATAGAATTTATCAATGCCAAGAGATTAGCTTGTTAGTGCTGTGGACGTTAAAAAAAAAAAAAAAAAAAAAAAAAAAAAAAAAAAAAAAAAATAGAATTTATTCAATGCCAAGAGATTAGCTTGTTAGTGCTTGTGGACGTTTAAAAAAAAAAAAAAAAAAAAAAAAAGAAAAAGAAAAAGAAAAAAAGATATTCAGACTTTTCAACTAGAGTTTGTGTGGTTATTATCCAATGAGACATACAGAAGGATCCTCATGCCAAGGATTACACACGATAAAATTTATTTCCTCTGAAGTCATCTATTTCTAACCATAGATGAGAAAGGACCAAAAAAAAAAAAAAAAAAAAAAGAAAAAGAAAAAGAAAAAAGATATTCAGTTCAACAGAGTTTGGTGTGGTTATTATCCAATGAGACATACAGAAGGATCCTCATGCCAAGGATACACACGATAAATTTATTCCTCTGAAGTCATCTATTTCTAACCATAGATGAGAAAGGACTTGATAACAGAAAATTCCTCTGAAGTCATCTATTTCTAACCATAGATGAGAAAGGAGTTGATAACAGAAACAACAACCGCTCACATCCAAAATTCAGTACAGGAGAAGGCTGCTTAAGTGCCCACAAGAATCTAATTCACCTCAATAGAGTAATTCTTCGAAAACAGGATCTACAGATTGCCCCCACTTTCCATTGTACAACTCCAAAAGTTTCTCAGCTGGTGTTACACCTGCCATAACAACATTGACATCGTAACCACCGAACTCATGCAAAAGACATAAATGAATAATCAAGGCTGCAAAGTAATTCACAGATTGCAATGTCCATAAATTTTTTAAAAGAGATACTGAGGTATTTAAGACAACATAACGTTCTCAAATTACAGCACATAAAACTATGATGTTGATGAATAATCATAACCTTTGCCATAAAGAAGTTCAACAGAAGGCAAGTTTATAACTTTTGCCATAAATAAAGGGGAAAAAAACATAATAATAATAATCTTTTTTAGCAGAACATAATGTACAATAATTCTGTCCCTTTCTCTAGGGATACGAGGATCTTTTCAATGCTTGCTCAAAAGTATCATCAGAATAATTTGTACGGGGAAATAAATTACCTGTTCAAGTCAGAAAGCTCTAATGGCCATAGGCATTCAGACACTTATATTGCGATTCCACGAGATGAAAAATTCAAAAAACAAAAAACAAAAGGGTCCCACGGTGGGATTTAAAACACCTAGCAAAGTACTAGCTCACACCTCTTACTACTAGATAAGCTTTTAACTGTTAGACCAAATGGTTTTCACGTCCACTCTTGCAGAGTTATGAGGGCAGAAGGAACTTGTTGAGTAAACCATTATATATATAACAAAAGGAATGCTAACACACATTTCTAGCATATTTGACCAAGTATAATACAAGGCAGATGTATATGCTAATCCATGGTTCTCATGACTGACATGCAAAATCTTGAACAGACATGAACAGCCAAGAGAAAAAACAGAATTTAACAGAGGCACAAAGTTCAGTAAGGAAAACAGATGCATAAAGTAGATTCAGTTACCTGTTCTAACCACCTCAGCCACCTCATTCAAGAACCCGACCTCCTTGAAGCCTCTCCTTTGCAAGCCATCCTGCAAACAAGCAAATGGATGTTTTTTTTTCATAAGGTATTAAATAAGCTTCTAAGATCCCTTTCAAAAAAAAAAAAAAAAAAGCTTCTAAGAGCACTTTCTTCTATTCAAAACGAAAAATTTATGAATGTAAGTTACCTTAGCCAGCTGTAGAACATCTTCAGCAACATGCCTCAATAATCCATCACGAAAAGGAGTCTTTAAACCAGTCACTGGAACCTACTAAGTACAAATATCAAAAAAGATTTTTCTATCTTAATTACAGTACAAACATGAGATCAGTAATTTGTTGTCGAACAAATATATGTGTGAAGAAAATTTATCCTAATTCAATCTACAGAATGCAGGTGCTGATTGCTGTATACACATTATGTCCTCTACAGGTATGACATTTAGTGAAGTGGTTAAAATATGAAATTTTCCCCCTCATTCCAGAGTATTCCAAAAATTTGCCAGAACAAGCATGAGATAGAAAAGAAAGTATCAAGTATATCTATTTATTACAGAACCATGGGAGGCACAAGTATATATTTTCTTACCAGAACAAGCACGTTGCTAACTTAGCATAGAATCTATAGATATAACTTGCTGCAATTTACTGCTTGTGCAGTGCAGATTTAGAGTTAATCAGATAGTGTAAGATCTTTGGATTACCTTATTCCTTAACATTTGTCTTTCTTCAGGAGTCCAATCAGCTACCATGTCAAGAACATGTTGAAGCGAGATTTCATCGTATAATAATCCTACCTGATATTTGATTGAAATCAACATGAGTTGATACAAATAACAGCATGCTCAGTAAGAATTAAATTGTTAGTCTTTAAGTTTCACATCTATGGCTGTAAGCTATTTGGAGTGTTCTATGGTTCTAATATTTCTATATCCAGCAACCTTCATTTCTACTCAAATAGTTATTACTAGATCATGTGAAGAAATAGATTGCACATGAACGGATTATAAAGGCCACCTACCCAAAATGCTGGCAATGCACACAACCTCCTCCAAGGCCCTCCATCAGCACCCCTCATTTCCAAGTATCGCTTCAGTCTGACCTGAAATAAAAAAACGTAACAGCATATAAGCCAGGACATCAAGTAAAATGATGTTCTAACAAATAGACCAAAATGCATATCATATAAACCTCAGGGAAAATTGTTGTTAAGTGATTCTCCCAATCATTAAGGGTTGGCAGTTCACCCGGAATGCAAGGAAGTTTTCCAGCCATAAAGTCCTGATAAGCAATGCATAGGATTTCAGGGGATTTGTGCAGTAAAATAGCATGAAAACAGAAGAAATCTGCAAATTTACAAGATTATTAAGAATAGATGGAAACCCTGAATGTCATTCCAGTGCAGTCAATATATTTCTTCTTCCGATAAACAAAATACATTGGAACATCAAGAGCATAATCGACATACTGCTCAAACCTGCAAAAGAATTTCAATAAAAAAATTCCATCACGTGGCCCAACTATTGATTTTATGGGGGAGATTTATCTTTGCTTATAAATGATGCACTTTTTTTTCTACATATGCAAGCATTTGAATGATAAGAAATTCTGAAACCTTTAGGCAAATTTAATCCCAGCAAGAGAAAGTGTGGAGAGAGTTAAGAATACACTATTTCCTAACAAACAAAATTTAAAACTCACCCAAATGAGTCATCAAAAACAAAAGGTAGCATGCCGGTGCGATCCTTATCAGTATCAGTCCAAATTTGGCTGTTTAGTGAAAAGAGTCACCAAAAAGTTCACAGAAAGCAAATAGGAAAATAGCAAGTACGGCTACTATATGATAATGTTTATATACCTTCTCATGCTAAGATAACCATTTGGCTTTCCTTCAGTGAAAGGTGAATTTGCAAACAAAGCTGTTGCTATCTGTTGGTTTGCAACAGTTAGATATAATGGAATTGGAGAAACTTCAAGTTAAAAATAGAATCTACAAAATTTCTCACCGGTTGCAAAGCAAGACCAGCGCGAAATTTCCTTATCATGTCAGCTTCAGAACTGAAATCCAGATTAACCTATTAACAAAGAATTTTGAAGCACACAAGTTATTGTTATTATCTACAACAGCAAATACACTTGGAGAGAAAAGATATTCAGAAGCACGTCACTAAAAATTAGTAGCGAGGAAGAGTTTGCTTTAGAATGGCCAAATCAGAATAATGTTGAAGTTTATCAAACCTGAACGGTGCATGTCCTGAACATCATATCAAGTCCCAATGAGCCAACTTTAGGCATGTAATTCCTCATGATATCGTACCTTCCCTGAGATAAAACGCATGTCAGCGTAGAAGCATAAGGGGGATTACTTGGTTTCAGTAATTATAAGCAGATTTGTTTCTAGAATTCTTTCCCTATGGATCTACTCCTGGATCTTTATACAAAAGAAATTTTACACAACTCAAACGAGAAAAAAATGGAGCTTGCAGCAAAAAAAAAAAAAAAGAATTCAGGAGTCAAGGACAACAATCAGAAAAAATGAAATTTTTGGTTTGCTGTATTTAATATGAAATACAGTGTGCTATAATGTGCAAAATCTAAATTTACTAACAGCTAAATGAGCAAGAGCACAGAAAGGGATGCTCCTCCTAATCCCTCCTTCCCCAACCCACCAAAAAAGAGGGTAACTTTACAACCAAAAAAACAGAAAGCAGAGGGGAAAAGAGACAAAAGTATATAGATAAGTCGTGCGCTGTTGTCTTATAACGTACTTTCATTTACTTGATTCCATCTATTTCCTGCAGTGCTATTTAAAATTATGATTTTTTTTCAACTTAGGAAGAATAAACAATTTCAATTCCAGAGTCTACAACTTTGATTAAGAATTTACGGATCATTGTATTTTCCATAACCCAAGTGGTTGAAATGGGGATAAATAATACCTTGGGCATAACAGGTATGTCTTTAAGTCCCCATTTGGGCTGGAAGCCAATTCCTAAGAATCCAATTCCCAATTCCTCTGCAACTGCTTTAACCTGGTAAAAATCAAAATACGATGACTGTTAATAAGTTTGAACATTATGTTGCCTATGCTTCTCAAAAAACATTGCCAAACATTGGCACAAGGTTGTGACGACAAAAATGATACCAACAAACAAATAATGAAAAAATTAACACCACCACATTAAATAACTGAATGTGAATGAAGTTTAGGAATACCTGATTCAAATACATTAAAAATATAGCATGATTGATCAGTTAATAAAAGAACAGGCAAAAAACAGGGGAAAAGAATTATTTTGCAGAGTAGAAAACATCTAACTGATCTAGAGTGATTTTGAACAGTAAAACAAAAAGTCAACAGACTCACATGCACTAGATTACAATGCTTCACATAATTTTCTTCCTTCAATATATCCAAAATAACAATGAGAATAATCATAGCATAAATAATGAACACAGCGGCCAGTTTGACCTAGCCCTTAATAAGGCAAGCTTATTAGTGGCAAAATGGCATGCCAGAAGACCGTCCCTTCTTAAAACAACCATCAATGTATCCATCACTGTTGAACATCTACTCCTGCTTGTTAGATTAAATATAAAGAAGAACAGGTAGAATTCTCATGGGTGAAGCAAAGAAAACAATTATTTTTTAATAAAGGGATCTAGAAGAAGCTAAATATATCCAGAGAAAAACAAAAAAATACACCAGAAGACAGAAGGGGATGATTAGGAGTTTATTTGACTCAAAAAGATGTTCGCACCAGCACCTCACTCCCCCACCATTGCACAAGAAACCCACGAGAGAGAGAGTCCAAAAGTTAATTATATACATAGAACTCCTATTAGTAATGATTTTCTGGAAAAACATACACTATGAACATGTTATATGGTTGTTGTGAAATATTCCAGAAATGATATCTGTTTCCAAATAAAAACAAGATGGTGATGATCAATTAATTATTTCGGGACAAAATGGTCTAAGTTATCAAAATATTAATATTACATGTAGACTTCCTGAAGCAAACTTTGCTGGTTCACACATACTGAAGTATGATATTTTCAACCTACCTGATAAAGATGCGAATTAACTTCAGCACAAGTTTGATGCAAGGTTTCAAGTGGTGCACCACTAAGCTCGAATTGGCCACCAGGCTCTAGTGATATGCTCTGCTTTCCCTGCCGCACAAAAAATTTTTATAAATATTCTTGCCAACGACAAAGGGATGAAGTTTCTTCACAACAGCCACAACGCATACACCATTGAGAAAATAATAGAGGAGAAAGTTATTTTTCCTACTTTCCCTGGCCCACACAATTTTTATGAATATTCTTGCCAATGACAAATGAATGTTTTTATTCACAATAGCCACAATACAGACACCATGAGAAAATAATAAAAGAACAAGTTATTTTTTCCCTCAAATAGGACATTATTTTTTCCCTCAAATGCCATGCCATACAAACAATGGAAAGAAGTACAAAGATGCAAAACATGCAAGCCACCTATTTACCTGTTTAAGTCCTATAATGTAGTCACCTTCCATTACTTTCTCCCAATCAAATCTCTCAGCAATACCATTAAGCAATTCTGCAATTTGTTCATATTTCATAGGGCGTAAAGTTCCAAGTTCAAATCCAAACTTCTCATGTTCCGTACCTATTCTGTGAAGAAGCATATAATTAAGTCAATAAATAATTAATCTGAAAAATCTCAAATATAAGAAAAAAAAAAAAAAAAAAAAGAAACTCAATGTTGAAAACAACCAAACAAAAGTGCGATATTAACAGCTTTGTAGCAAGCAACTCTTCCTCAAGAGAAGTAATTTGTGATATGACTTGAAAAACATGAAATTAAATGGCCTTCACCAGAGTGCTGATAGTAAAACACAGACTAGAGTGTAACCTTTATCTATACTTCAGGAAGTTGTAAGTAGAGCAGTTAACTTTGAAGTTTGAGTTTATTTACATGGTACTCACTGTGATAACATGGTAAGACATGTATAATGAATAGAACATTTATGACATGCAAAATAATGAATCCATACCATCTCAAAGGAACTCATCAAATGGGCTAATGATAATATAAATTATATGATTAAAGTAAATTATTGTTTCACAAAATTAATAAACAAAACAATATCAATTGATGTATTGGCTTAATGAAATAGTTAAAAAGGTTTATTGAAACGCATGTGCACCTCCACTGTTCCTTTGATTTGCATCCAGATGCAAGATATCCTACAAGATCCTCTTTAGTTAGTGGTTCTGTAGCAATCACAGCATCCTCAATAGGAGGACTTGCTGCAACAATCACTTGATTCCCTCTTTTGCTTCTTAACCATGAGTTTTCTGAAGTTGAAATCCGAGACATCTTGATAGAATTATACGATAATGAGGAGAATCTAGTATACATTTCTTTTGGTTTAGATGCCTCTATGCTGTTAACTACGCCGAAGACTACATTTTGACTGGTTTTAGAGCGTGGTATTTCAGTGGGGATATAATATGATATACCTGCCTGGGAAACAAGCGTCATGCCTGCAATAATATGTAAAATTGACTTCAATTAGAATATAAAAATTATAAAGCACAACTAAATTAATGGCCACCTCGAACATCCAAGAGCAAGCATGAGCATAAATATATTAATTTTACACAGTGCCATTGGCTGCAGTCAATTGAATTGTCATATCCCTTATTGATAATATAAGCACATTAAAACCATCAAATATCCAAGACAAAAAGCACAGAAGAAGTTAATAATTCAAAAGAAGAGGAGAAGGTAATTATCAAAACCAAGAACAATAAACGTCATCAAATGAAAACAGAAGCCCATCGAAATTTATCAACAATGAAAATGGTATTCAAAAGATATACATGCAAATAGAAAATTAAGTCTCAGGCAATTTATCCATTAAACGCGCAAATGTACACAAACAACATGCACAGAGAGAACAAAACAAAAGATATGAAAACACCTAACTGAACCAGAGAGAGAGAGAGAGAGAGAGAGAGAGAAGTAATTGTGTGATTCGAATATGAAGATGCCAATCAGGTTAGGTCAGAACGTAGCGGAATTGAGCTTTGAGATTTTCGTTGGAGGCTTCTATCCGGTGGAAAGTTTTCCTTCCCAGGGACACAGAAAGCAAGCCGAGAAAAGAAGAGAAATGAAATGGCGTTGCAGGAGATGATGATTAAATAGTGCGGCTCTAAACCGGTCCTTTACGGTCCACTTTAGCTCTGCTTAGTACACGTCAGCAGCTTTTAAGATTCTCGGGCATTTATGGACCTCCCTCATCATCATCGTCGTCCACTTTGTGTGTGCCATTTGATTCCTTATTTTTTATTACAAATTGTTTTCTTTTTCCCTTTTTGGCCTTGCTTTATTCTAATCTTTTTGTTATTTTTTTCTATTTTTTGGTAAAAAAAAAATATTTTTTTATTTATTAAAACTCGACGGGCAGATATAATACTGTGATCTCCCGCTCCTTTTTATTTAACAATGATAATCATAGTATCTGTTTGTTATAACTGTTTGTAATTTCTTTTTTTGGATAGTGATTATGAAATTTTTTTTCTTAATTGATGTATCATATTACATTGATACAATGAAACTGGAAGTCGGATGATGTATTTGATGACGTATCTACAGTGGTAACCGAACCAAATAAATAAATGTAATAACAAATATTTTAATTTTAAAATAATAATAATAATAAAAGTCATAGCAATAATAATAATTACAAGTAATTAGTATATTATACTTACAAGTAATTAGTCATAGCAAATCCGTATACGTTGCTTTAGCCAGTTGGCTGAAATTCAGGCTACTCAAGCTTGATGATTTGACCTGAGCTTGACTTTTTGCATCTGACCTGCTCTTCTCCATCGCATTCGCATGGTAACTTCACGACTTCTTTTTATTAGATTTGCGTTTCTTAATGTATGTATCCAGTTAATGATTGTAATTGTGAATTTCTGATCATTTAGTGAAAAACCATATTCTCAAAGCCGAAAACTGCAAAAAAAATCCTTTTGTTTTTTCTTTTTGACACATTACTGCATCATTATTGGTTCAGCAGTCCGATTTAGATGACATTTATTCACACGCAACAGTTGAGTTTGATAAGCTTTTTAATTAGCAGCTGATAAGAGTTCCAATCTGATGTTTATCAACTAAGTTTTGCAACTTCTTCGTTTCAGCTGGTTATTTTTGCTTTTATTATTCTCATAAAGTGTTATTCTCCTTTTTAATTAGCAAAGTCCTTCATAGTCGCTTAGATCTCTATTCTATATTACTTAACAATTTCATGGCGATAGGCCTGTTAATGGCAAGAAAGGAAAGCGAGGTTCATGCATGAGATTTGAGCCGCAAGCCCAAGACCAAGACCAGTGCAAATTAGCTGACTTAACTAACCCCTCTACCCGTGAGATAGATTAGTCACCAAACCCTATAAAAAATAGTTGCTCAACGCAACCTTTATATCAATAGATTCACAGAAGAAACTAGACCACGCAGAAAGCTATGCATGTCAAAAGAAAAAAACTTAGGAATCAGTTTTCATTGCCCATTTTCCATTCAGGGTCATTCTTGACCAATAAGCCTTTCTTTCACGCTCCTGTGCTATTAAGTGAACATAAGATGCAATGATGGAAATATACTTGCTGGGCATAGTCAAAATAGTATATAATTTCTAACAATTGAACACCAGAGTTTCGAGGAACCATCCAACAGTAATGATCTCTATTGCACACTTACCACTCCTGCTGCTGTTACTAGCCCCATCTGCAACTCTATCAGTATGATATGAACAATGTTTCAGTTTGACTGTCACACTTGCATAGTTAGTTCTGAAATGTGCAAACAGAGAAAAAGCAACACCAACATACAAATTATGGAAGGTCAATAATATATATATATAATATATATGGTACAGATAATACATATATGAAGATATTAAGGCAGTCCAATGCAGATTGCCTTCCTTTAATTGTTTGCCCTGTTTTTTCTTTCCTTTTTTTTTTCTTTTTTCACAGTTCTTTAACCATGTTTTCCCCTTAAGCACAAGGGTTTCTAAGCAATGATGTTACAAAGATATAATAGGGACTACTGTCAACAAGAATCTGATATAAACTGAAAAGCAATCTGTACAATTCATAGGGATCACCAGAAAATATCATCAACTCCCACCGAGGTTGATCGATCCTCCTCTTCCTCCTCCAGCTCCATCTCCGGTTCAAGAGATCCGAATTCTGGTGATTCAATATCAGCAAGGTTCTTCAGATCAACAATTGAAAGCTCATTTAGGTGTCTCACCACCAAGTCTGCAGCACTGAGCTCATACACCGGATGCTTGCTAGCAACAGCTACACATTTCATCCGAACATCATGAGCAGCCTCCACAGTCTGATTAGAGTTCCCAAACACAATACAACGTTCTGGAATAAATTTTAGAAGCTGTGCCGCATAAACAAACATCTCTGGGTCAGGCTTCCCCCTGTGAACATCTTCTGCTGCTACAATAGCACTGAAATACCCTTCTATCCCAATGCTTCCAATTGCAGTCTCAAGAGTTTTCCTTGGACGCGTAGATATCAATGCCATTGGTATCTTGTAATGCATCAAAACATTCACAAACTCTCTTGAGCCAGAACGTAACCTATATATTCCACCTTGCAAAGCTTGGTAAATTTCTTCCTTCCTAGCAGCCATTCTTCTCATTTCTGATGGATCTCTTGACCAACATAGAACTTCAGAAATTGCTTGCTCATTCTTCATCCCCTCTATTCGTCTTAAAATGAAAGCTGGAGGAGCCGATTTTCCTTCTTCTTGAGAAAGAGCAAGCCAGGCTTGCTTCTCAAGATCAGGATTATCCTCGATTATTACTCCCTCCCACTCAAATATGGCACCTAACCAGCCACAACCCATTCTTTCTTGTCGAAGCAAGGGGTTATGTAATGAAGGGTTATCTGCTCTATTTTCTGGTGGCCATAAACCTGGTTTTCGATCAACACTGTCATCAGGCCTGTAACTCCACGTACGTGGTATTCTCTCCTCCTCTCTATACGAATATGCCTCTTTGGTTAATTCCATTGCAAGGGCATTAATTGATGTATTTGCTAACGTACGAACTTTCAATCTCGGAGATAAACAAAAAATCCTTCTACCAAGAAATTGTGATCCTGAGATGCGACAGTTACTTGAAGATTTCCTTCTGTAGGAGGTACCTGTGTCGGATAATCCTCTACACATAGGCCTATACCCAACAAGAGATGTAGCTGCAATCGAGTCCACCATGTTTGCAACAATATATATAGCACAACCAAAACAAACCACAACTCTAGCTCAATAGACCCAATTCTGAGGACCCTTTTCACTTCTTACAGGTTTGAGCACAATTTAACCCACCCTTCTTTAATTTCGATCTCTAATAAGCCCTACCTAACGTACAATTATACCAGTGCAACCAACGTCAAATTGAAATACCAAAGAGAGTTTTATTGGTTTCAAATATTCTCGGTAAAGACTAAACGGAAAGAATAAAATAGCCTTCTAACAACAAAAACCCCAGGTTAATCCTCTTCAAAGCCAAACTAAGCATAATCCATTAAACCCAGCAATCTAAACCCCCAAATAAGTAATATAAACAGCTATTAAACCTATAAAAAACACAAAACCCAGAAGTAATACAATATATACAGCAAAGCCCCGCCAAAAATAACACAAATTAGAGCCTATAAATTGAGTAAAAACTGCATATAAATAGAAACTTGTATCTATATATTCTATATACAGAGAGAGGAAAGGAGAGGTAGCGAAGAACCTGGGGCTGTAATTAACTGTTGATTAAAGATTCCACCGATGAGATGAGAGAAAAAGGTGGAGAAACTAGAATCTTCACAGAATGGATATCTGAATCTCTTCTCTGTGATTTAGTTTCTCGAAGAAGGAAACGTGTGGTATTTTTTTTCCGTTTTTGTGGTTTATAATAACAGGCATTGACAGTAGACCGGTGATGCCGGCGAAATTGACCGGCTTGGAGTACACGTGCCGGTTAAGCATGTCAATTTTTTATAATTTTTTTTGTCAAATTTTTTAATTTTTTCTAGCGTAAACTATAGATGTACAGACGAGGACCATGTAATCCGATTCAGACTTACAGACAGTTAAGACTCTTTCGTCTCTTCCAAATGTATTTAATAGAGATTGAATTCAATGGTTCTTCTCTTCCAAATGTATTTAATGGAGATTGAATTCAATGATTCTTTCGACATACTCAATTTGCGTTCCTGCTAATTAAGCAACAAACTGTAGGTTAAAATTTTTAATTTCAGTAGTTTGTGTGACTCTCAATATTCCACGTTTTTATCAAATTTTAGTTGAATAAGGCTCAATAATTACATGAATATCAACGTTGACCTTTTTTTTCTGTAAATTGTAATTTATTAAATAAAGAAAAAAGGTTTAATACTCCACACATATTAGAAAGGATGTTTATTTCTTTTGTTTTATTTTAAAAATTTTCATTACATTTTGATGGTATTTGATAAAATTAAAAATTAAATGCTAAAAATTTAATAATTAGATTTTAAGTAGTGAGTTTAATTTTAAGTGTTCAATAATATTATCAAATACTAGAAAGCATTAAAATTGAACATTTTTTTTTTTTTTTAATAAAGGTGGTGAGCCAATTTTGATAATTGCCAATGTTATTAAACATTGATAGCATCATATGTGAAGACTTTTAACTTAAGTAAATGCAACTATATGGCAATAGATGAGAAAGAGGAATAACTTTTAAACCATGTATAGGAATATATTTTCAGAATAAAAATGGTTAGAGATTTTATAACTATCAATAGAAAATGTATTTTACATGGCTAAAATTGGAAAATTATTTTTTAAAGGATAAAGAGTTCTTCTAATAGTGACAAAAATAAAAAATTCAAATTTAATATAGATTTCTTTTCAGAAAAATTTCATTTATCTAACTTTTACTATCAGAACATTAAAACTACAATCTAGTGGTAAATACATATATGACTTGAGGATAAATTTAAGTTCGAATCCCCTCAACTCAAAAAAAAAAAAAAAAAAATACACTATCAAAGAAAATGTATTTTACATGGCTAAAATTGGAAATATTTTTTTAAAGTATAAAGAGTTCCTTCTAATAGTGACCAAATAATAAAAAATTCAAATTTAATATTAGATTTCTTTTCAGAAAAAATTTCATTTATCTAACTTTTACTTATCAAGAACATTAAAAACTACAATCTAGTTGGTAAATACATATATGACTTGAGGATAAATTTTAAGTTCGAATACCCCTCAACTTTCAAAAATAAAAAAAAAAAAACACTTTTAATGAAAAAATTGATAATTTTTGAATTACTAACACAAAAAATTTCACTTTTTTTCTTCCATATCATTTTTTCTTTATCACCTTCCTTTTGATTATATATATATATATATATATATGTATATATGTATATTAGTAAACAGTAGAATTCTAATATTTATGAGGGTAATTTTCTCAACAAAAAGACAGGAAAGAGAGGCGTAGTAGAATAATGATGGAACTAGAAAAGCTTACACTACGAGTATACATGTCAATTAGCAAACACATGTGGATGAAAAAAGAGAAAAATACAGTACGCTTGAAATGAAAAGTTGCTGAGGTCCATGCTATTAAGCTGCTAACTACAAAAAATATGTTATGCACTGTGGCCCAATTTGTGTTGTCAAAACCATACATTCCTTGGAAAAACCATATAATTGAGTATATTGGATTTATAAATTTTGCAATATCAGGGTAGGAATATAGCCACCAATAAAATGATAGTACAAAAGACATTGAAAAGAAACTGAGATCTTAAACGGACAATGCCAATAGCATCAGAAAAAAGAAGATGATCCATGCCTAGAGATTCAAGGGACCAAGATTGTCATGTAGAAATTTGGTTTGCACCCAGTTTTGCTAAGAGCTACACTAATTGCCCTGAAGAAGGAAATAAATACAATCAGTACTAAGACCTTCCTTGATTTGATATCCTCAGAACACCAAAAGTAAGTTTTAACTACTGTCGATCTGTTTAATAGCCCATAACTCAGCAAGAAGATCCATACCAGAAACAAGAATACAAAAAGCATACTCCATTGAGGATCATCCATGTTACTATAATATTATCCTCAAACCAGTTCACCAGCTACAAATACTAAAAAACAATACTTCTATCACTCCATTTGTTCTTTCCTTCTTCTCATTCCCTCATCCAAATCATTGAGTGCATGCTGTTGACAAACTAAACCATTTTGAGGTGCTGAAACAATTGAAGATTCATAATCCATTCACCTGTAATTATAAATTTGATTTTGGCTGTCATGAGTACACCTATACTGCTGTATGCATGATATCACATTATCAGAGAACGAGGTGGAATGGTCGACTTACTTAATGCAAAAGGGAATTGTTAAATTTGCTACACTTCGAGTGCAATCATGCTCAGCAATTTCCTTCAGGCTTGTCCAAGCCTTTCTCTTTCTTTTACTTGACATACCAACAGTTCTTTCGCCATCTTCTGCAGAATCATTGCTTTCTGATTTTTTAGACCCTGATCTGTTTCTCTTTCTCCTCATTGCATCCAACAAAGTAGATCCACTTCTCACTGATGGAGTTGCTGGACAGTTTGTGATGGAAGAGTCTGCAGATGTTTTGGACAAAGTTATCTCATCTATTGTAATAATCTCATCTTTGCTTTTTGTGACTTTCTCCAAGTTGGCAGACTTCTGAGGCATGGACTTGGAAGGTTCTGATTTGACAGATGGCTTTGGCTTTGATGGGCATATTTCTTTCATGTAGCCTTTTGGAGTTCCTCTCTTTAGATTCCGATGTGAACAGAAGTGGCAGTTGTAAACCACACTATTCTGCATTGAAGAATTAGGTTTCTTTTGTCTATGCCTTACTTTCTTTTGAGTCTTCTCAATTCGCACCGTGCAGTTAAAGCCAGGTTGAAGAATCGTCTCACATCTACAAGACAGTTGATTTACAGTAAGGCTGAAGTGTTCTTACTAATCATCAGAAGAAAGCAAATAAGGAAAAGAGAAGAGTCAAGCTAAAATAACAGAACTAGATAATTAAATCAACCAACACTTGATGCCATTGACCGTTATCCTTGTGAAGGCAAACAATAAGCTGTAATGCATTACTCTAATCTGAAATCAAAGTGAGATGTTGGATACTGTGAAACTAAATGATTACATTTCATTTTCCAGCTATGTACATTATGATTAAACAATCATCATAATTTCTTGGACATTGTAGCTAAGCATGGGAAATATTCATAAATTAACAAATTCAAGGACACCATTATTTCAGAACATATGCACAAGGAAGAAATTTGCTTCAAGCAACATGCTCAGCGTTTGATAACAACTTAAAAACAAGAAAGTCTACCAATTTTAAAGTGGATTTTTAGGGTAGTTTGAATGCTTGAAATTAGACCAGAAACTACCCAGAAATCCATTTCCATGAACTGAAGACAGTAAATCAGAAACTTTTTAGCAATTTGCAATATTCCAGTTTTTAGCATTAAAAATAAATTTTAATCACAAAGACTTAATTTTGCATTGGGGATATTGGCATATAGCTTAGAATTTTATTTTGAATTTGAAGCTTATCAAAATTTAAGCATTAATGTATATTTGCAAATAACAGAAGATACAATTCACCGATGCCAAATCCAAGTAGATAACTCAAAGTCAAATAAAGTCCGAGTCCATCAACATATTTTAAAAACAGAAGTTTAGCAGACGAACCTCTGGCAAGGAATTAGAGAAGGTTCAGGAGGAACTCCCAAGATCTCTCCAGCAGCGGCAAATTGGCGGCCGAAAAAGGCACCGAGAGAGGGGACTGATGCTTCACCGCTTGCCCATACAGCTAGCTTTTGCAAGTGCTCGAGTTTCAAAAGAGACTTTGGATTACGAGAAGCGCCTTTGGTTTGTAGTTTGCCAGTTGATTCCTGTCTTAACGAGACAGAACTGTGAGACAGAGGTGCCGTCGCTTGTGGTCTTTTGGCGCCTCCTTTCTTGCCCATGGTCTTAAGTTTCGCTTAGGAATTTCAACGAAAAGATGGTGGGTGAGGGTGGAAGGCACGAAGGAAAAATAGGACAGATCACATCATCGGAGCGTCCTTACGAGGGAATGTTTTTAGGAGAGTGTTAAGCGACGTCGTTTCGGTGTTTGCATCATCTGTGTGTCCTCCTGGAACTATATAACTATAATGGTATATCTGTAATTTACTTTGATTCAAAGGCTATTTACAAAATTCGAGCAATTTCAATAAAAGCACCGAGTGCACCACCAAATTTCTTTCACCAGTAGTTGACGAGCCTATCATTCGCAATAGCAATTAGCAAGGTCTGAACAATTTTAGGATATGGGGAACAGGAGATTTGCGCAAATCTCCACGAGCGATGACGAAGACGAAGCGCCACCTCCGCCACCGAAAACTCGCTCCTCGGCGAAGTCGGAAGAGAACGAGAGGAAGAGGAAGAAAATGAAGCTTCGGGAAGAAGACGAAGAGGATGAGGAAGAAGAGAAAGTGAGAGGACGGAGGAAGAAGAAGAAAACCAGGGGAGGTAAAACAGTGGAGCCGGACTCAGAGGAAGATCCTGAAGAAGAGGAGGAGGAGGAAGAAGCTCCACAGGAAGACGCGAAGCCGGTTGGTGAACCAGTTAAGCATTCGGGAAAGGGAAGAGGAAGGAGGAGTCATTATGAGGCTTTTGAGTTCGATGGAAACCGATACGATCTTGTAAGTTAGTTGCTTAATTTGATTGGTGCAGTTAGGGTTTTTGTGTAGTTCAAATATTTTCGGGGTTTATGAATTTTAGTTGCATTTGGGCGGAATTAGGTTTTTTTTTTTTTTTGCACAGTTTCATTCTTCTAACAGCTCTTTATTTTGAATTTTGACAAGTATTTGGTTCTGTAGTAAACTGTACTTGCGGTTTATGGTTAATTGGTGGTTTATTCCAAACAGTCTAGACCAGGTAGCTGTTAATATGTGCTAGTATCAAATAGTTGAATTAGGTGTAAAGATGAGCTCATTTATGTGTCGTCATATCAAATCTAGGCTAAAGAACAATATGCTTCTGTTCACACCATCACCATTTTTATTTGCTTTTGTTGTTCTGCAGGAGGATCCTGTACTTTTAGTTCCTGAAGATAAAAAACAGAAGCCTTATGTAGCAATCATCAAGGTAACTGCATAGAAATGCTTTATGGTGTGCTAGAGCATTTCTATTGCTTCATTCCTAGGTATTCAAAATGGAGGGGACTGATCTGCTCTGCTTTTGCACCTTTTCTTCTGGATTATTTTGACATTGCATGGCTTGGTGACGATGTAAACTAGTCTTTTGAAGCATGTGCGAGAGTTATGTAGTATCAACAGGATCACAAGTGCACAAGCAAGTATAAAATTAAATGGCTAACAAAAGAATGGAAAAGTGCCAACCCCTATTAGTTCAGTTATTAGGACTCCTGATCAATTTCATATTGAATTACTATTGTAAATTTGGATTCAGCTATCATCTAGTTTAAAGATTATGAAAAGGTTCCCTGTTAGCAAAGACACATCTGTAGCTTTTTTATTTTTATTTTTTTTGAATCTCTTACTGCTAGCTAAATTGGGTTCTCTATTTCAATTAGTTCTCCATCTCCAAATTCTGCAGAATGATTTCATTTTCTTAGTTGGCATGTCTTTTTTTTTTCTTTTTTTTTTTTCATGATGTTGCATGATTCTAAAGGACTGTTGAATCTTGAATATTTTCTGTGTGCTCTTTGTTTTGGTCTTGGGGTTACATCATCAGTTAAGATTTGCACCTTATTTTATTTTTATGTAATTACTATGGTCTCTGGTGCACAAAGGACTCTTCGCAAACCAGTAAAGTAATTCATATTGTTTTCAACCTTTATTAAACATGCACGTGTTTCTCTAGTAATATATGCAATTGCTTTTACCATATGCTGCTTCCCTGCAAGAAGTATATTTGACCTACTTTTTGAAAGGGCAAAAAGTTGTTGATTTGTTTTTTTCTTGGTGGAAATATGGTTTTTCTTCTCGACTCCAAAAAAGTGAAAATGGTACACTGTTAGTTTCAACAAGTGGCTGAAATCACAAATCCTATCGGACTGTTGCATTTTATAAAAATTATTTTCACTATTGGTTTAATTGTATTTAATGGAATTTTTGTTCTCTTGATAGGATATCACTCAAACCAAAGAAGGTAGTATGATGGTCACTGGACAGTGGTTTTATCGACCTGAAGAGGCTGAAAGGAAAGGTGGCGGAAGCTGGCAGTCACGTGACACTCGGGAACTGTTTTACAGTTTCCATCGTGATGAGGTTCCAGCAGAATCTGTAATGCACAAGTGTGTGGTGCATTTTGTCCCTATTCACAAGCAACTCCCAGTTCGAAAACAACACCCTGGTTTTATTGTGCAGAAAGTGTATGACACTGTAGAGCGGAAGCTTTGGAAGTTAACTGATAAGGATTATGAAGATAATAAGCAACATGAAATCGATCTTCTTGTTCAGAAAACTCTATCGCGTCTAGGAGACCTTCCTGACATTGAAATTGAAGAAAATGCTGCTGAACCAGAAGATCAGTCTAAGGTCAAAAGAACTCTTAGGAAAAAGAATATTGCCCCTCTTGATGTTTCGAGGGAGGATGAAGCAACTATGAGGCCTGAGAATTTAAAAGCTGAAACACCAGGAAGTTGTCCCGGCAATACCTCCGAGTACTATGCAATCTTAGAGAAGTTTAATGCTCTAACTGGAGACACCCATCGTGATAAATGGTTGGAGAGGCTCCTTCAATGTGTTCAATACGTGTGCAGTTCTCCTGATAGCATATGTGATGATGAGAAAGGGAAATGTAGTTCTGATGCTGCTGACCATGAAAAAGAGCAGAAGTGCGAGGGCACTGCAAATGGATCTCAAGAAAAGAGTTCTAAAGTATGTAGAGAGTTGTGTACCTGTTCTTGGCATACCTTATTGGAACTCTGGATTTGTGATGAGATCATGATTGCAAGAATGGATGTTAAATGTTAGTGTCGTGAAAGTGATTTTCTAATGTTATGCTTTGTTGCATTTACAGAGCAAAAAAACTTTCTGCTGGCCGGATGATGCTGTTCCTGCAGTAACTGCTGTTGAGAAGGCCTCACATGAAGTTTTTTCCACTGATTTTCAGAAATATAACCAGAAGATGCGTCAGATATCTTTCAACCTGAAGGTTGGTCAATTTGATCGTGCACATATAGTTTTTGCGTTCTCTCCTCGCTAGATATTTTTGTTTATCCATCTGTTTACTTAATAAGAAACTAGTTGTGTTTGGTCTTGTAGAAAAATTCTTTTCTTCCATTTACGCCCCGTCTTGAAATAAGGCTTTAGTGGCGTGGATTGGATTTTTCCTTTCTTCTTCCTTTTTTTTTTTTTTTATCTTCAGTCGTCGACACGCTCGGGAGAAGTTTTGAGTATCAAGCTCTATCCGCATCGAGCTGATGTTAATGTTCCCGCGAAGAATCTGTAAATGCTAACTCAAGTTGTGTGGTCGCCACTTTGTCCCTATTCGAATAATGCACCTGCCAAGTTCGAAAATCTCGCACAATTATGAACCCCTGGTTTTATTGAGTGCAGAAAGTGGTAAGACCTGTAGTAGCACGGAGGGCTAAAGGAGCTCTTTGGATAGCGATCTATTTATTTGAATAAGGATATGGAACGATATTAAGTGTCATAGTGATCGACATCGGAAAGCAGAGAGGTCATATGAAACATTTGTTCCACGTTAAGTTATTCAAAAAGGACGGCTATGTTTCTTGCGTGGCTAGACGAACCAATTCTTTGACATATGCAATTGAGAGTAGATATAAATATTGTCCGCTGCTAGATTGAACCGTTGCAGAGAGACTTCACACTTCTAGAGTCAATCTAATATAGAATCCTATTAACGAGATGAAACTATATGTTAATTATTCGTGAAGCTGTTCTCTCCGTATAGGTATGGTCGAGAGTGGAGTACTAAAGCTCAACTAGCTTGAGGCTGATATAGTATTAAATATAGTCGCCGATAGACTCAATCACAGTGAGTAGAGAGTTGTTTACACAACTAGCAGTGCCACAATCGTCACAGTGTATTATGATCTATCATAGCGTAGGGAGCACTATTAAATGCGAAGAATAAACTAAAATGAGTCGTGATGAGCAGCTATTACATACGAGGCTTAGAAAAACTGCATGAAATACATTAGATGATCATGAGAAAATGGTATAGGGAAGAGGCACCATTCCCTTTCAATTGTGTTCTATGCATATATTTACGATGAAGAGCGAGTTATCCTCAGTGTAGTCAAGAAAATGATAGATTGGGGAAAGGAAAGGGTCTAAGCTGTATTGGTTAATGTGTTGGTGTAGAAAACATACGGGCTGACAGTTGTGCATTTGTCAGAGCTTGTAGCAAGGAAAATAGGGTAGGGTCTCTAGAGGTAGTCGTTGACAGGGTCGCAATATATGAGGTGGGCATCAACATGTGTGGGGCGGGGATCTTCTCTAAGTATCGATACGTGCTCTAAAGAAGTAGAATCTTATGACAATAGCGATGGTTTAGTATGTCTGTTTGTATTCCTTGGAGGGTCGATAACGTGCATGCCAATGGTAACGTTTATTGGAACTCACATTGGATTTTGGGGATGGAATGCAGTATTCCATAGATGGGCACCATACAAATACTGGAGATCGACTTATAATATAGTTTTTAAGATTCGGATTCCGGTCAAGGGTGGGAGCTCACATTGCCAAGACTGGCTTGCTGATAATGAAAAACCTTATTGGTTAGGTATGGACAATGTTGTTATTTAATCAACAGTGAGAGGACACACACATTACCCTTGGCCGCGCTGAAGGGCAGCGGAAGTGAATTGCGTGGCTCCCCTAGGGTGACTCCGACTGAGCAATAGCGAGTAAACAGGAGGAGCACTTCACTCGACGTATAGACAGCACTCTTCTTCCTTCTACCATAAGCCTTTAAGTGCTTTCTTCCTCAAGATATGAGAAGTTAATCCCAGTAGCACTGTATATAAGCACGCGTCACGAAAATCATTTAATGTATATTACACGAAGAGATCTTAAGTAAAGTTCTGTGTGGCTCACACATGAATTATTATTTCCGAGGATATCTCGTGAGACAGTTTATAACTCGTTGTTTTGACATAGCGTTAGCTTCTAATCTGCACGCGCAAATTCTTCGGTGGCTCTTTATATAGGTTAACATGTGTTTAGGTTCATAATATAGTGGAGTTTTCTCACTGGTGTGAATTATACAGAGCAAATTGGGTCTAGTTTAGTCAATAGGCTAATTTGTGTTATTATTACGTTCTTCTACCTGTATTGTTACACTGACATCTGCTTCATGAAAACTATCATAGTGCTTTTTGTGGAGACACGTAGATGTTTTAGAGTAGATTATTTATTACAGTCTGATTCTTGCACTTCTTCATAAATTTTTTTTATATTTCGCTCGAGTTGTTTCTTCTTTATCTTATCGTCCTATATGTCTTGAAAAGACAAATAACGTGCAGTAGTGCACTCAGGGAGCTGTGGCATAGGTTGGCATAGTGGATGGACATAGATGTATACACTCTTCGTACGAGCTGTATATCACGAACACGACGGGCGAGATTGCGTAGTTCGAGTGAGTCCTGAGTGTTAGTATTTAGAGACATATAAGCATTGTGCATATTGTCTTAGCATCTAGGAGGAAGTAGTGCGGCTGGAAGGGACATCTATATGAGGCGCATATCTTGAAGTAAAGATGCTCTATAGGCGTGAACTGCAAGCGGTTAATAGATATATATAATTCCGACTTTCCCATTTGCCTCGCCCGTACAGCCGGATCTAAAAGGGATTGGGTTGCTTTTGGGTATGTGGTGAGATTTCTGTGCAAAGACAAACGGTAGACCAATTTCGCTATGGTGTTATCCCCTTCATAAGAACACCAAGCTAAGTAATCTGTGGCCCATTTTGTGGAGTTCTGGGATGATATAGATCACTTTGGATTCTCTAACGTATTGTATTTTGGATGGGCATTACTATATAAGATGTGTCCACTGTGTATCTGTTTGGAGCTGCGCGTGTCATTTGTATGTTGCTTACTTCCTATATGGTGAATTTGTTGGCACTTGCACTATCTGATGCATGTGATTGAGGGGTAAGGGAGGCAGCGGCGAGGTAGGATGTGGCAGGGCGGCCCGACCTCAATTTTTTTTATTTTTTTTTAATTGATTTTTCATTCTTTGGCCCTGATTAAACTATTCTGTAGAAAAATTTCTTCTAATGTTTTCGTTTCTGTTTAAAATTTTGCCGCCCCTAATTTTAGATGAAGCATTAGTACTTGACCAGATGACAGAGGAGAGAGAACAACAAGAAGGTGAAACGAACGCACCCTTAATGATGTTTACAATTATTGGGAGGGTATGCGAGCATTAGAATCTAAGTTGCAAAATGATTGAGATTAATGGGATTACAAACAACAACAGTCAAGAGAAAATAAAAAAAATATATGATAAAAGCCGAATAGCTAATAAATATATTGTCTCGAAGCTGTAAAACGAATCGAATATATTCAATTTATAGCTTTCAGCAAATGTTGGGCCGTTTGTACATCATAGCTAAGTTTTTTCTTGCACTTAATTATCTCTTACTCATAATGTAAAAAACAATATAGTTAATTCCTTTTGGCATAATCGAGGACACGTTATTCATAACTTTTCATCTTCTTGCCATCTTAGCTTACAAGCATCCTTGCTAGCTTCTTCCGACGTCTTTCTTTAATGGATTGCAGTTTTGGAACTTGGGACTTTTCTTAAACCTTATTATTATTTTCTCAATTCATATAAATTAATAATAAATATAGGTATGACTCCAAGCATCATATTATTGTCAATTCACGCAACTAATAGTTTTCGATTACTTGATTAATTTCCAACGACCCTGTTGAATTTCATATGAAAGAACGTCCACGCAAAACGGCCTTCAGTTGTTTAATAAACACCCAGAATTTGAGTAAGGCGATCAGGTCTAATGGGCATTTTTATTTACTAGTCTGCTCAAAAATACAAACATGGAGTACGCATGTCTTCATTGAATAACACGGGGATTTGTCTTTTTAGCTGAACTCTTGATTCTTTAGTGGAAAATGTTTTGTATTTTATGAATAAACAACACAACAAATTAAAGCTGCGATCAGCTAGTTAGGGGCACAATCACACACCGTCAAAGTATTAAAGTTGCCAATTGATCTGATCACCAGTAACGTGCTGGAGAAGATGAATAAAGCAAACCATACACATAACAAGAAGGAGATACAACTCGAAGGAAGAGGAATTTTCCGCGCACGATACTCTACGCCGGTTCTCTGTGAGAAACAACCATGGACCGTGTGTGGTTCCATAGACTTCGTGTCCTTTTTTTTGCTTTTAACTGCTGTTTTTCTTTTTCTTTCATTCTATCTTTTTTTCCTATGTTTGTCTTCTTGGAAGGGTATCTCACTTTTTTATATGGTGTAAACAGTTATCATAAATATTGACAAGATTTACTTGAAAACCTATGATGGTCAAATGCCCTTTGCATATACTATCGGAGGTTGGCCACTATAGATACATGCAAATAAACAAAGCCATTTAGAACATTTTATTTTAACATTTCAAAACACAAAAACATAAAAATATACTCAGGAAGTATTCGGTCAAAGGCTTAGAAAATAGCTTTAATCATAACAAACTAAATACATAATATCTTTAAACGGACTTATAATTCAAGAAATATAAACATTAGAACAAATTAAGCTTTTATTTTTTTAGAGGCGGACAAACTAAACTATAAGGTGCTACTGACCTTCAATTAAGATGAATATTTAAGCATAAACACTCAATCATAGATGCCATGAATATGCATCTTAGGATAAGAAACATGGATTTGGATGCACATCATACACACCTAATAGCAGTCATTGATATATATAATATATAGTATATTATAATATTTAGGAAACGATTTTAGAAGATTTAGAAGATTTCCTGCCCTCGCTATTAGATCAAGTGAAAAAGGAAAATATTTTTTTACAAACATCTAAACCATGAAACATAAAATTTTTTAATAGCGGCAGTGAATATAATTTGTTGACTAAATTGTATAAATGAAACAGCCCCTCTGAACTTTTTATTTTCAAAACTTTTTTAA